TTGCATCATACAGAGACAATCCTTCATTTAACCTTGTCATCTGCAACATAAACACATAAAAGACATTTTTACTTTAGCAACTTCATCATCTCAATTGAACAATAAAGTAGACAAAATTTCAATGGCTTTAAAAATTTACCCATATAGGTACTAGACATGGCCAATCTCAGCAAGTTTGAGCTGCAAAATGAAACTCAAAATTAGCACTAGAAGCCATGTGCATAGCTTATCAGCTTATTCAAGTAAAGCTACCAGATTTACAAACTCACAGTCACTTTGGCGGATCAAACTAAACATGGTCATATAGCGCCAGAGACCAGAGCATATGAGAAAGGAAGCATCATTTAGATCCAAGACTACAATTTCAGATCGAATAAAGCTGAATAAAGCTGAACATGAATATTTGATTAAACCAATCGAAAAACAGGCGGATATTAAGACTCACCTACATAAGAAATGGTTTACGACTACGATTAATCTCAAATCAAGTTGCGTCAACTCCAAAATTGAGATTTGTCATCGAAAACCTAACAACAAATCATTCACAAATCACAAATTCTTAGCTGAGACTCTCAATACAAGGTATTAATAGACTGATTAATCGGAAACTGAACAAAGCCCTATGAAATCTCTACTTTACTAACCTTCTTCGACAAATTTGAGAGGAGACAAACAAATTATCAAACGAAGATCCAGAGTAGAATCTGTGTGCGTTTGGATTCAAAATTCAATCCGATAGATAAAACCGATATCAAAGGAAAGAGAAATCCACGAGGACGAAGAACATCAGACGGATTCTCAAACGAGATTCAGATGCGAAGGGTCGAGAAAGGGAACCTAATTTGTTTCAAATTTCTGGAAAAGAAAAAACTCAGAGACGAATGACGATGAATAAAAAAAGATAAATAATTAATTTTCGTTTTAATGATAACAGTAAATAAAAAGCAAGGGATTTTAGGTCACTTAAACTTTTGACGTCAAGTTACTTCACTTTTTAATATTTGACGTCGGCTGAGAAACTGACATTATAAAACTGACGTTATCTACCGTATTTTTTGTAGTGTGGTTATCATCATCTTCTAGTAATGATTGTGGATAGTTTTAAAGTTTCAAGCTCCTCAAAGCATAAGTAGAGTACTTATTCATGTAACTCACAATAAAAGAAGGTCGATTGCAATTAAGGTTAACACAATTGTAATGCCTAGATTCAAGAATTAGTCTCCATTACTGAGATTTCTGAAAACCGAAGACCGTTTCCTCCAAAATAATTCTTCTTCCTTAGCTTACTCAAAACTAGAATGCTATCAGGAAAGAGAGTGATAGTCGTTTAAGTTTCGAATTTCGAACTTTGGGCCTAAAACCATTTTGAGCCCATTTAACCCTTTTTAGATAACCAGCTGAGCTGGATTGGTCCGGTTTAGACTACATTTTTCATTTTCACCTATGAGATCATTTTCAAAATTTGGATCCGGTTCAGTACTTAGATTGCTCGATATTCCTCTCCTTTTTGTTTTCTTATCTTTTACCTGTAAATGGAATTATGTTCTTTAACCTGTAATTGGAATTGACAAATGTAGAATCTAATCTAATTATGCGATTTGATGTCATATTAGTAGAGATGTCAGTTTTGAGTAAAGGCTCTTTTATCAAACCCATTCCATCACGTAATGAAAAATAAAGCTTCGTTTTTACAAAAGAAGGTGGAACTTTTTTTACGTGGAGTACGCTTGCAGATAACAGTTTCTAAGCTCATTCAGGTTGAGTTTTGTATTTTCATTTAAAAAGATTGACATGTTAAGAATTCTATACAAGAAATAATTTTGCAGCTAAATAAGTTTAGTGTTGTAAGTTGTAACGGATCAACTCGCGTTGACATCTTTATCTTCCGGATACAATCATAAAACAGTTTATGTTTAAAAACTATTTTCTTTCATATGATGAGAGTTTAAAATTCTCTTAACTTTTAGGTTGTAACATAACGCCATTGTGAACCAAGAGATTAGAGATAGTGTTTATTTGTTAATCGATATAAACTTGCCTAACTTTAACGAACCACTTGGAGTGTTCCCACAACTCGTCACCCACTAATAATTGATTCAAATACACATTCGTAGTTTTTTTATTCATGTAAAAAGATGATTGATTAGAAGACAAAACGAAAATGGGTTAAGTATCGATTGGATGATCATTTGGTAATGTAGTTGGAAATCGCATTTATGTCGTGTCATTAGCATTACTAGTTTTTCCACTAGTGATAGTGTTTTTTCGGTCTTCCTCATTTTTGTGCTTGGTTGATGAAAAACGGACCAAGTCTTCTTTTCTTTTCTTTCTTATGTAACTTTGCAAATTACAACATAATGTGATACACATAAGTATTACTTTGAATTAGCTATTTTTGTATATTTTTTTTCAAACTTATTAATACTCACACAGTTTGTATTGGTTTAAAACAATACTACTATTCTTCTTTAAATAGTTTTCTCAAGTGATTTGGTTTATATGATCATCAGCAATTTGTTTTTTTTATCAGTTTTTACTTGGAGAACATTTTCATTATATAAAAGACTTCGAAAACTACTGTATAGGCATATACCATAACAATCCCATAAAATATAAGTAGAATATGCCATACAGTTATACACTTTGATTCATATTTCCCCACGATACATGAACAAGTTATACAAACCATACGTAATATTGTCATCAGATACGAGAAAAACACATGAAAAAGGAGCTTTTGTTAACGCATATTCCTCCAAAAGAAGTATATCTTAATTAAAGAAAAAGTTTGTGGATGATTACACTAACTTAGAGGATATCACTAAACGTAATCACAAGTGTTCTAACATTTTCGTCCTCATGATTAAATTACAATAACATGAATGCATATTTTATATGACAAGTTTCGGCTAATTAACACCATTAACACAAACAATTAATATTCACAAGCCAGATTCATGAACAATGTGTTGTTTTCCAGGTGGAGCCAAACAATGTCCATAAAAATTATTTGTGTTTGTGTAATGTTTGTATACAGACAAGGATGACCCTATTACGGAAAACGACCTTTGGAAAATTTTGTGATGTATTGATCGATTGCTTGCAAAATCTTAAATAGATAGAGAGTCTAGCTAGAGACGTAGGTTATACCTTTATAAAAAAAGAGACCTAGGTTATACAAGGGAGAGGAAATTTGCACTTTCTAGATATACATATAGAGGCTAGAGTTAGATAGAAAGACATATATATTTACATCAAATATACGAAGAAATCTATATAGCTACATCCGGGATCCCAATCTCCCCCCCCCCCCCCCCCAGTTGGGGAGTGTAGATAATACATCTAACTTGAGATAATTAAAATTGCTCATTCCAAATGTTTTCGTAAAAATATCGACCATTTGAGAATGTCTAGAGACATGTCACATATGTTGGTGGGGATAGTTATTTTTTCGTAGTGAACAGTCAACTTGTGAACTTCAAGTGTCTTGTTGTTCGACTGAGAGCTTTCATGAAAAAAAAAAACATTATGTATCGTGGTATCAATGGCTTTAGGCAACAAAACGCGCAACAAAGAGAAATCTTGTAGTTAGATGTTATCGCAAGATCACTAAAACGTAAAACATTTATCAATTTTGTGAACACGCCAACCTTTTTTGCCATAAGAAAATAGCATCAATGGATCTCATAATAAGCAATACCATATCAGTATATCACAGAAAACGACGTTTGAGGGTGTTGTGTTGTATTGATAATTAATCGATAGCTGGCAAATATTGCTTAAACAGGAATGAGCTAAGAAAGGTGACAACGCGATTTGATCTTAGGTCCTAGGTTACAACTTACAAGGGAGAATGTATTCACATTCTTGAAAATAAAAAAGAGCTAAAGAAAGGAATATATAGATAGAAAACGTACATCATACAGAAGAAATATACAAAATACATCAACATCCTAATAGACTCTCATCTCACACGTAATGTCCTAATCCTACTATATAACCCACTTTCTTCATGGGCTCTTGTGATGATCGCACCTCTTTAATAAACTAATCTTTTTTTTAAGCCAATTTTTTTTTATGACAACACCTTTTTTAATAATTGGATGTTCTAAATCGATAACTCGAATAATTCCAGCCTTTTAAAATTTTTATCTACAATATTCCATTTTGTAAAGAGATCCATGGAACCACATATTTATATTGTAAAGAGTGTGTATGCCATACGTAACACTCAACTACTTACGGATGAATTTACGCTGTCTTACAAAAGAGTTTCTTGCAAAGTTTAAACTCACTTTACATGTAATATTCGGCCAAAAATCCACAAACATAACCGAACTTTTGAAACCACGATCAATAAAAATGTCTGACAAGTATCAAAACCCATCTGTGTTTTGGAATCACATGCATTGGTGATACATCAAATGGGATTGGGTGATACATCACATAGTTCAAATATTTGTAATTTTAGCCATGTGTTCTTCTCATGCATCATAAATTCTTTTCTTTTGCTTCTTTTTTCGTCATGCATCATGATATCTAACCGTAAATTTTGTCGTTTGCTTTATATTTTTCAGTATTTTAAAATATTTGGGAATTAAAGGAGTTACATCTCTTGCCAAAAAGAAGATGAGTTACATCTGTAGATAAAAAGATGGAAGAGACGTAGACAAAGTAATAAAAAGTAGAGAGTTACTGATTTTAAGTTTTGAAATAAGAAATGATGAGAAATTAATGAATGTACCAATCAGACGCAACAGATAATATAGACACGCACAATACATGAAAAAAAGTTTTAATTGATTATACAAGAAAAAATATTAATATGACTCATTGTCCACAATCCCTTTTCAGATTTGTTTATTCAAAGAGTGATAAATTGGATACAAATCACTCCCCGGACGTGTATATAAATACGACCGCTTACTTACTTAAGACAGATATCAATACCACAAAAACAGGCTTAAAACAAGATTATTTCCACCTGAAACAACAGCAAAATGAAACCATCCGAACAAGAAGCTCCAAAGCTGGTGGAGACATCAACAAACCTATCCAACGATTCATCCGCATCAGAGAAAGGAGAAGCCACTAGACAACCTCAACAATCCAACACTAGTTATGCACTCACTGTTGACGAGGTGATCGAGCAACACATAGGATCACTTGGGTTTGCTCAAGTCATGCATGCTCTCATCGTCTCTATCGCTTGGACCTTTGATGCTCAGACCACTCTTGTATCAATTTTCTCCGACGCTCTCCCCGCTGCAAGACTTGTCGCAACCGGCGCCATCTTGGAGGGCTCATCGTTGTGTGGATTGTCCACCGGAGAATGGGAATGGATCGGAGGAAAGAGTGATACTGTTGTCTCTGAGTGGAATCTTATTTGTCAACATAAGTTTCTTGTGGCTCTTCCTTCCACTCTTTTCTTCATCGGATCTCTTTTCGGTATGAATTTCCATAATTATAGATATCATAAAAAAAAAAATAATAATACAACCACTTTACATGAATCTCATGTTGTCTTGAAATTGTTGTTTTTGTTCCACAGGTTCTGGTGTGTATGGATATCTAGCTGATTCATGGTTTGGTCGGAAAAAGACATTGTTTCTCTCTTGTGTATTAACGTTTGTCACAGCCTTAGCGATCTCCTTTTCTCCAAACGTTTGGGTTTACGCGTTCTTGCGTTTTGCAAACGGGTTTTTTAGGTCAGGAATCGGTTCTTGCTGTATAGTACTAGCGACAGAGATCGTTGGTAAGAAATGGAGAGGCCAAGTAGGTCAATACGGTTTCTTCTTCTTCACGTTAGGTTTTCTCTCTCTACCACTGATGGCTTTCTTGGAAAGAAAGTCATGGAGAAACCTTTACCGAATCATATCGCTACTTCCTCTCGGATACGCCGTTTTTCTCTTGCCTTTTGCCTACGAGTCTCCACGATGGCTTCTCGTCAAGGGACGTAACAAAGAAGCTATGGTGGTCTTAAAGCAACTCGCCAGGCGCAACGGGAGACAACTTCCGGCGGATCTCAGCTTAGTCGACCCGATTCCGACAAGAAATGATCAAACTTCGTCGTCGTCGGAGAGCTTTTGGAATACGAAATGGGCGGTGAAAAGGATCGCGATGGTTATGATGGCTGGATTTGGGAGTGGTTTTGTTTACTACGGAATCCAACTAAACGCTGAGAATCTAAACTTCAATCTTTACTTGACCGTAGCTGTTAACGCTCTGATGGAGTTTCCAGCGGTTTTCATCGGAAGTTTCTTACTCGGTGTCATGAACCGCCGTCCGCTGTTCTCGAACTCATCATACCTCGCCGGAATCTGCTGCTTACTCTGCGCTCTTCTCTCGCTCCAGCGCGTGACACGTGCGGTTTCCGTTGCGAAATGGTTGCAGCTTGCGGTTGAGGCGGTTGGTTTCATGGCGTCATCAACGGCGTACGATGTGTTATACGTCTACTGCGTCGAGCTGTTCCCGACAAACGTGAGGAACTTCGCGGTTTCGCTTTTGCGTCAGGCGTTTATGCTAGGAGCGTCTGCGGCTCCGCTGCTGGTTGCGTTGGGAAGAGATAGCGCAATGATGTCGTTTCTTGTGTTTGGCGTTGCGTCTGTGTTGAGCGGCGTGGTGAGTCTATGGCTGAGAGAAACGCGAAACGCTCCGCTTTACGAAACGCTAACGCAACAAGGGAAAGAGGAAGAGATGATGGGAAACGCAACTGCACAATCTTGATTACTTAGCTGCGTACACGTTGTTGTGCTGCTACTTTCTACTTATCATTTGCGTCCAATAATTGGAAAAATGTAAAATCTTTCGGTTTTCCATTAAAATGTACGCAACGTGCTGATTGTCTATTTTGAAGAAACATTCATCTAAATTAAGCAAAAAACCAAGATTCCTGTGATTAAAGAGACAGAACATAGAACTCATTTGAACAGATGGTAAACAAAAAGCGATCTAACCTTAAATAAAAGGAAAATTGCTGTTCGGACCAAACAACAGTGATAAAGAAAACACAAGTCTTTTCTCTGTTCGCAAGCATTAGAGAAAACAAGAATCTCAAAAAAAAAGGTCGAGCAGAGAAACATTTATGCGATGACCTTCTTCTTCTTGTTACCTAAGTAGCAGCAGCTTTGGGCTGAGCAGCCTCTTCAGCAGGAGTCTCGAAAGTCTCTCCAACGACAAGGTCAGGGACATCATCATCTTCCTCTTCTTGGATAGTTGCTGGGATGTTATCAGCTCCTGCTTGTTTCTGGAATTGCTCTGCTAGCTTCTTCAGGTTGTCCAAGTTATCAGGTCCTGAAATTATCAAAACCAAAACAAAAATGTTAAAAGATTAATTAATATTCATTGGTTTGGAAGAGGAGGTAACACTAAACGGTGCTTACCAAGTTGGCTGATAATCTGAGGAAGTATGTCTTGCAATTCTGCAAGAAAAAAAAAAAAAAAAAATCAAATTATGAGATTATAATACGCATATAAACTATATAGTATATCATCAATGTACATAAAAACACTTACTTTTGGTCTGTGGTGTACCACTCACAACCCATGTGTTAGCAGCAATCGATGCTTGAACTGTTGTAACATAGCAACATTGTAAACAGACATTAACACAATTTTTTTTTTTTAACCACATTTGAATTAAAAAAGCAGCAAGTTTTTGAATTTTTACCCTTGGGGTTAATGAACTGAATCACAACATCATCCTTGAAGATGTTAACTTCTTCAATGGCGGGGATTGAATTCACACCAACTCTCTTAAGAGTGCTCTGGAGCCTCTTGTCATCGGTTGTTGTGGTTTTGTGAACAGCCTTCTTCTTCCTTCTCACTGTCCCTTTCCCGCCGGTGCGGACAGTGTTCGCCATCTTCATCAACTTTTCCCTATTCATCTGTGTTTCAAATCACACACACAAAGCTATAACTATTAATCCCAAAATGTAACTAAAAAATGTTCATTGGAGTGACAAAAAATCTACTCTTCACTGAATCAATTGAAGCACACACAATTAACTAATCCATGTAATCAATCGATTAGTTAACTAATTTTTTTTCAATCGATTGAATCACCATTCCTCTAATAAAGTTGTTGAAAAGAGAATAATCAGTGACGAAAACAGTATCTAAAATCCATTAAGCCAGTACATGAATCGAGAGAGAGAAAAAAAACATGAAATTGATCTTGACCACTTCAGCTCAATAAGAATATTACTAAGGAAACAGTCAATTTTCTCGAAATGGAAAAGGAAGAACGATTGTTGAAGCTGCTTTACCTTGAAATTCGATTACTAGGGCTCTTCCTTCGACTTCGACGAAGAGTATAAAGAAGATAAGAGAGAGAAGAGAGAGAGAGAGATCGAAGCGGCGCAAAGAAGGTTTTGCCCTTTAAGTAAATGACACAATGCCTAGCCCAATCTCGTCTTTAACGAAGACAAATCTTATTATATAACCCACACATGGGCCTTCTAAGGCCCATTTCCCTCCCTCTGTAAATGCGTAATTATTGGAGAACTCGTTCAGTTTACACTCGCTAAAAGAGTAAACACATGAGTGTTCTGCGAAATCCAAGAAGTAAAACTTTGTGTAACAAACAAGCAACATTTTAACAATAAAGTTTGATTCATATATAATTATGTAGTTTACCAAAGAGAAATTCTAACAATATTGTCCCAAAACTTCTGCAAAATCGAGGGATTTTCTTAATACAAGCCATTTCTCAAGTAACAGACACTTTAGTTCCCTCTTTTTGTTAAACATACCGCATTTTTATATCACTGCAATCTTTCACATCAAGCTTGGAAGTCGAGGAAGAGCTTAAGCTTCTGAAGCAACATCTCATTCGTACCAAAAGGCGGTTTCTTGCTCCCAATCCAATCTCTCCCAAGAATTCCGGTTTTGTCGCTGTTGAGCATCTCATCGCGGAACGTAGACAGGATCTGGTATATCGATATCCTCAAAACGTCTGAAGCCGCGTAGGCGTAAGAGTAAAGCGCCCCGCTTCTCCTTTTGACGACGGGCTTGACGTCTTTACGAACCATCCCCGAGGTCGCCCATTTGATATTAGCAGGTCCCATCAGCTGTTGAGGAGACTGCAGATTAGTCTTCTTCCCCAAAAACGTCTCAACAGCTAGCAAGAGAGATAGAAGCGTTGAGACAACGTCTGCGTTTCCACCGGAGAGTTGTGCTACTCCGAGTCTGTCTTCCTTGTGGGAGATTGAAGTCAGGGATGCTGTTGTTTGAGCACACCATGCATATAGCTGCAAAAACACATCAGATTTCGTTACAGCTTCCTGAAGAAAAATCACAGAGAAAGGGGTTGGAATATTTGGATTGTGGTTTACCTGGAAAGACTTGAGTGATTCGCCGAATTTAGGATCGATGTAGGACTCGGTTGGGGTCTGTGGTGGTGTCTGGTAGCCTTTTTCAGTGAAGGTTGTGTGGTCTAGCCCAGAAGATAACTTGGAGGCAAGCTCTTGTAAAGGTCTCAAGCATAGAGTGATTACTCTTTTGTAAGTCTCGCTGGACTCCTCGAAGAAGGCAGCACGACGCCATGTGTCGACGTTGTTCTGAGAAACCGTGTAGAGATCAAGGTATGCAAGAGACTGCTCGAGGGAACCTGGACTACTACCCTCTAATGCAGCGAGAAGAGGTTCGCTTGGATTCGTTTCTGCTGCAGCGGATCCTTTTGGAGGAGCAAAAGCGAATCGCTTTGTGTGCAGAACCTGGAAAAGAAAATAACAATCGCATATTAAGCCTTTTTTTTTATGTAAAACCTGTCAAATTAGCTAAACCATATGATTCCATTGATAAATAGAGATGTATCAAAGAGAACAAAATCACATAGATGATCCTTAAAAGCTATCCAGGAAAAGTAAACAATTTGATGAATAATGATGTCTGCCTCACCAATGTTCAAAGTAGTAGGACACAGTAAAAGGCATGCATAAATGCACATGGATAAAATAATGAGTGATACTAATTTCTACAAAATTTCTTCACACAGAACTACGTACACAGAAGAAAGACAGTATTAACAGTTTGGCCTTGCAATGTGCTTCCAAAAGAGAATTCGTATAGCATATGAATACCAAATTACTTAGAAAAACCATTTGCTAACAATATCAATGCAACATTCGATGGTAAACACAGCTATGTTGCCATTGCTTTTCAGAGTTTTCTCAGTAGAGTTCAACACCAATGGAGGCATAGTGAATTAACTCTTCTACAATCTAACATGTTACATAGCCTAATACACCTCTGCTATAGTGAATTAACTCTTCTACAATATAACATGTTACATAGCCTAAGTTTACTTGACATAGTGAATTAACTCTTCTACAATCTAACATGTTACATAGCCTAATGGAGGTATATACCAATGAAGGCATAGTGAATTAACTCTTCTACAATATACCTCCAGTCCAAATGGTTATTTCTCACCAAATACTAGCTACATCTATCAATATAGACTACGCGATATGCAAACCAACAGGTTCTATACATCAACAAAGACACACCAAAGCACAAGAACGAACCTGATGTATATGGTGAGTCACTTCCCAAGAGAGAATCAAACAGAAACTGCCGGCGTAAGTTAAGACCTGCTCACCCAAGAATCTCGATACGGAAACAAGCCCACCGGACCAGTCAAGCAGAAACAATAGCATTATCGTCGACAGCACATACAGCACGCCTGATAGCTTCAGAGCTTGCGTCAGAGCTGAGGGGAGACCGATTTTGAAGCTGAAGAACGGTGGACGCTATTTGAAAACACACACACGTAAAGAAGAATCAGCGAATATACAAAATTGATGAAACATTTCCATGAATCAGAGAAACAAAATGTATTATTAACCTGAATGATGGGAAACTCCAAGACCCATCGCTGCTTGAGGACGAAAAGCACGGCGTAAAGCAATCCAGTCACAAATCCCCTAAACCCTATTCTTCCAATCGCTCCGTACGAATCGCTGGACAAGCAAAACACAGCCGTCGAGCAGAATCCAGCTAGGGAAGTGGCGGAGACGAAGAGCGCGATGCGCAAGGACACGCGAGCGCGGCGGCGAAACTCCGGATCCGAGAAGTTACGGAGGAGGCCGATACCGAATTGGAGAGGGTAGAGAGGAGAATCCGGGGTCAGGGAAGAGAGGAGAGCGAGTGAGACGGAGAAGAGAAGCTGCGAGGCCTGGAAGACGAGGAAAGTGAGCAAAAAGGAAACGACTGAGGAAGTGAAGAAGAGGAGAAGATTGAAGAAGAGGAAGATAGCCGATGAAGGAATGGATTGCCAGATTAAAAACGCCGCGAATCGGTGGTTCACCACCGTCTCCGGTACCAGTGGAGAAGGCATATCGCCGGCGATAGTTTTCCCCTTTCGTGTTATTAGATTCTTTTTTGAAATGTGTTTCGCGTCCCAACTTAAACGGGGCCGTTGAAATGACTGAGCGAACGAAGAAGACAAAGAGAGAGAGAGAGAGAGACAGAGTGACGAAGGTTTTAGAGATTTTCTGGCATTGAATCGTGGTGCGTTTTATTCACGCTGTCTAAACAAGATTTCTTCAGCCCATTGGGCCGATAATGACTCGGCCCACTATGCCGACATTACAGCTTGCAAGGGCCTGTTTCGATGCAAGTCTTGAGTCTACTCTTAACTTAGATAATGTAAATTTTCATCAATGAAAACATTAAACAAAATGATCCTTTGCACAAAGAAAACAAAACCAATTCTTAAATCTCAAAGAAAGATAAATCACATTTGAGGTGATAATAAGTTTGATTCACCTGAAAGAACTGAATCATGTATATAATATGAGAAATCATATTTTACTTACTTCTTGGCTGCACAAACATTCTCCAAGTACCATTCATAAGTCTGACGAAGACCATCTCTAAGAGAAACCTTCGGCGTCCAACCCAAACTCGCGAGCTTCGAGCTATCCATGAGCTTCCTCGGAGTCCCATCAGGCTTGGAACTATCCCATCCAAGCTTCCCTTCAAAGCCAACAACTTCTTTCACCAACTCAGCCAACTCTTTGATCGTCACTTCCTGACCACTCCCAACGTTAACATGCTCCAAACCACTGTACCGGTCCAGCAAGAAAACGCAAGAATCGGCCAAATCATCGACGTGCAGGAACTCCCTCAACGGACTTCCTGTTCCCCACACCACAACCTCCTCCGCTCCGTTAACTTTCGCCTCGTGAAACCTCCTCATCAGAGCAGGAAGCACATGAGAATTCTCCGGGTGGAAATTATCGTTGGGACCGTAGAGATTCGTCGGCATACCGGAGATCGCATCCCACCCGTGCTGGATCCGGTACGCCTGACAGGTCTTGATCCCTGCGATCTTAGCAATCGCGTACCACTCGTTAGTCGGTTCGAGCGGACCGGTTAGCAACGCGGACTCGGTTATCGGCTGAGGAGCGAATTTCGGGTAAATGCAGGAGGATCCGAGGAAGAGGAGCTTCTTCACTCCGTGCTGGTAAGCGGAGTGGATCACGTTGGTTTGGATCTGGAGATTGACTCCGATGAAATCGGCCGGGTATGTGTTGTTGGCGTGGATTCCACCGACTTTGGCTGCTGCGAGGATCACGTAAACCGGCTTCTCTTGAGCGAAGAAGGATTCGACATCCGCTTGACGAGTGAGATCGAGCTCGGCGTGTGTTCGGAGGACGAGATTGGTGAAGCCTAGCTCCTGGAGCTTGCGGACGATGGCGGATCCAACTAAACCGCGGTGACCGGCGACGAAGATTTTGGCGGATTTGTCAGTCATTGACGAACCTGCACATTGAGAAAACCGGTCCGAAATTGAAACACTATACAAGAGGGTTTTGACGATTTTTCGTTCTCCTCAATCTAAAATCGAAATCGGCGATTACAGTTTTTAGTTCCAGAACAATCTCTAACTCACAGATTCCATACAGATGTCGACATAGGAATGATTCAATTCAGGTTAATTGAGAGATAGCGAGGAAAAAGGGAGTTACCTGAGCCGATCGTTTCCGCCATTTTCGAGTCTTTGTTGTTCAAAAGTTCTGAGAGACGGAAGGATATAGAATTTTGAGAGATCGTGAGACGAATTTGGTCAGCACTCAGGACCATATATTATAATCTTAATTAAGGAAATTGAATCATTGGAAATCCGAAAATGTTGACTTTTTAGTTTTTACTAAGGTAACGTAATTTCTAAGTTGTATGAGGCTCTTTTATATCGACTAATCCAAATAATGTCGGCCCAAAACAGGCCCATCTATTTGATTATCTATCTAGCTAATCGTTTTGATATCGTGTTAAACCGAAACATTCCGGTTCGCTCCTATACTAAAGTCCAAACCATGTACTTACCTACCAATCGTTGACCACAAATTAGATAATAACGGTCAACTGATTTTTGTTGATTTTAATTTAGCAAAGATAAACTCGTGATCAAGTGAATATTAAGCTTCTGAGAAGGCAACAGACCAGAGATCTTTTTATTCAATATGTAATTTCCAAAAGAAAACAGAGAAACACAGAGAGGTTTTACTTTTATTACAAGTCATAGTGAAGATCGAGTCTTGTCCTTTCACATAGTCTTGGAAGAAATCTCGGTCTCATTAGCTTTCTTGAACATAACCAAGAACGGTTTAGAGCTTAAAGCCAAACGCCGGACGCCGATTTCATCCACGAATATCCCGACGTCCCTGCATTTCGGACGGCCAGAGTCACAACTCGGAGGACATAACATAAACTTGTAAGCAATATCTTGAGATTTCTTGATCTGGAAGAAACTCTTCAATGAATCTCCTTCAAACCCTTCTGGCTTAGGACCAGCCACCACAAAGTACTGCTTCCTCTCCTCGTCAAACTCACCAACTCGCCAGTACGTTGACTGGACGCAGATCGTGGCTCCAACGTCTGTCTCGATGTTAAGGTTCTCTGATTCGGGAACGAACGCAACTCTAGGCGCCCAGTTTGAGAATTTTACGGGGATACCCTCGTCGACCTCGGATGATTCCTGCACGATGTCGAGAGGACATAGCTCACCACCGCGGCCTGCTAGTGTCAGCCCGCCCCCTTGGCCGCGGTTAACGGGGAGAACGTAGTAACTGCCGCCGAAAATGAGGTCTCCATTGATGTCGAGAACCTCACCAGAGGCGTTTGTGGCAAACAAAGAGGTTAAGACAAGAACGAAGCAAAACGTAGGATTCATGGCTTTGATTTTTGTTGTTTTTGTGATGATTTGAGAGTTGTTTTTGTGAAAATATGAGTTGATGTAATACTTGTATTTGTAAACACATCGTTATAACTTTGGTGACTGGGTGAGGCGGCTTTGATGGCTAGTGTAGACTTAGCTTGTGAACAATATACTCTCAATATTTATATGATTTTAGGCATAATACACATTGAGAAGATGATCATATATTCCTATATTCTACACACGTACGTTTCATTAATTTATATGATTTTGGTTCAATGTTAGTTTTTAAAAAATTTCTTTTAAAAGTGTTGAGCACTAGATGAGAGTTTAGATTGATATGGTTTTACTTTTATGCATGACTAATAACTTTTTTTTTGTTAAAAAACTAGTAACTTCTTTTTTTTGGGCAAAGTGGAAAAAATATTCGATCAATTTACTTTGGTTACGTTTGTTATAGATATGGATAAATTTAAAAGAATGAAAACGAAGGATTTTTTATTTAATGTTTTTTCTGGTGTCTATTTAAGTTCAATTTGATCAAACCAACAAAAATGGACACGTATGGCAAACTTTGATCTTGATCCATACATGTCAGGTGTTTGTCCTTCTCTAGGCAAAAATACTCATATAAAATTTTAATGCCATGTGCATGACATGTTACTTTGCAGCACTATATACGGTTAACACTAAAAAAGGTTTTACAAATTTTTTGGTTCAAAGCATGCGTTTTACAATTTTAAAATTGGGAGACGATAACATTAGTACACGCCACTAAATTGCATGTCCTGATCAAATAAATAAAACTAATTTCAGTGAACAGATTTTCAAATACCAAAGTGTATCTGCTTCAAGTGTGATAAAACTTTTGTTCTTAAACACTAAAATCTCACTCTTTCTTAATAGTGTGATCGGTGATTTTATGAAAATGCTTAACACAAATCCAAAAACAGAATCCCGGAACTAACATAAAATCATAGAGTTATCTTCATTACCGTAAACCTGATGGCTGATAGTACTAATTAACATCGTCATCTGTTATACTCCTCCTCATTTATTTCATCACTACAGTGAGTCGCTTATTAAATCATGCGAGTCATGTAAAAAAAGAAGTGATGTGACTATGTGAGTCATGTAACAACGATCACGTACCTACTATCGTTGACCACAATCTTAGTTGATTTTTTGACATCAAAGCGATTATAATTATTTTTCTTCTTTTTTGTCAACATCAAAGCGATTATAATTTAGCAAAGATAAACTTGCGATCTGGTGAATTATAAGCTTTTTGAGGAAAGAAACAGACCATGTATCTTTTTATTCAATATGTAATTTCCAAAAGAAACTAGGGACATACAGAGATGTTTTATTACTACAAGTCAAAGTGAAGATTTGAGTCTTGTCCTCTCACAAGCCCCACATAGTCTTGGTCGAAATCTCGGTCTCATTAGCTTTCTTAAACATAACCAAGAACGGCTTAGATCTTAAAGCCAAACGACGAACGCCGATTTCATCCACAAATATCCCGACGTTCTTGCATTTCGGACGGCCAGAGTCACTAGTCCGAGGACAGAACACAAACTTGTAAGCCACATCTCCAGATTTCTCTATCTGGAAGAAGCTCTTCAACGAATCTCCGTCAAACCCTTCTGGCTTAGGACCAGCCACCACAAAGTACTGCTTCCTCTCCTTATCGAACTCGCCGACTCGCCAGTACGTTGACTGGATGCAGATCGTGGCTCCAACGACCGTCTCGATGTTCAGGTTCTGTGAGTCGGGAACGAACGCAACTCTAGGCGCCCAGTTTGAGAATCTTACGGGGATACCCTGGTCGACCTCGGAGGATTCCTGCACGATGTCGTAAGGACAGGGCTGGCCACCGCGTCCGGCTAGAGACACGCCGCCGCCTCGGCCGCGGACAAAGGGGAGAACGTAGTAACTGCCGCGGAAAATGATGTCTCCGTTGATGTCGGAAACCGCACCAACTGCGTTTGTGGCCAAAACCGCGGTTAAGGCAAGAACGAAGCAAAACGTAGGATTCATGGTTTTTAAATTTTTTGTGATGATTTGAGTGTTTGGTGGATGAAGAAAATATGAGTTGATCTAAGACTTATTTATAAACACATCGTTATAACTTTAGTCAATATGGTGACTGGGTGAGGCGGTTTTGTTAGCTAGTTTAGGCTTAGCTTGTGAACTATAAACTCTCAATATTTATATTCCTATTTTCTACACACGTTTCTTTAATTTCTTTGGTGAAGCCCGGTTTTAGGTTCAATGTTTTAGTTTTTGAAATTTGTTCTTTTCAAAGTAATATTAAGCACTAAATTAAATATACTATTTTAGTTTAATTTGGTGTGGTTTTACTTTTATGCATTACTATAACAACTTATATCACAATTTCTTAGTTTTTTTTTGTTAAAGTGGAAAAAAGATTCGATCAGTTTACTTTCGTTTTTTATTACGTTCTTCTAGATTTAGAAATAAATTTAAAAATAAAACGAAGAATTTTTCAATGTTTTATGGTGTCTATTTCAGTTCATTTTGATCACACCAACCAAAATGGACACGTAATTGTGATTCTTGATAAACTTTGAATCCATACATGTCAGGGGTTTGTCTTTCTCTAGGAAAATATACTCATATAAAATTTCAATGTCATGTGCAATGACATATTAGTTTGCAGCACTGTATAAGCAGGGGATAACACTAAATAAAAACTTCACAATTTTTTGGGTCAACAGCATGCGTTTTACAATATTAAATTCGGACACGATAACAACATTAGTGCATGCACGCCACTAAATTGCATGTCCTGATCAAATAAAGATCTAATAAACCTTTTCCCTGCTTACTTTTGTTTCATCACTGCCAGTATGTACGTACTACTCGCTTATCAAATGGTCTTTGAAACATGCGACTGAGTTTTGGGGTAGTGGAGTGCCATGATAAGGATAACACTAGATATAAAGTAGGGAAGTAGGGATATGCGTCTAAAAGATCTCTTTATTTGATCCTCTGAAGATTTCTCTTCGTGTGAATTAGATTAACATATTAGGCATCAATTTTTCTCTCTGTTTTTTTCTTCATTAGTTCATTTGACCATATATGCATGAACCGCGTTTCTCTTTTGTAGAAGTTTGTTCCTGTTAGATAATCAACTTATTTGTGGTACCTATAAATAAATAAATAAAAAGAGAACGTTTCTGTTTAATTTCCATTTATTTGACTCTTAAACTAGAGAAAAAAAAAACAAAATATTAAGAAAGAAACGAAAAATGTTTTATTAAATTTGAGGAACAAAAGGAAACAGAGAAACAAAGAAACAAAGATTTTTACCAAAAATAAAAAAGAAACAAAGATATAACTCTTATCCTCTCAATTGAGTAGAGTCTTTTCTCTCACACAGCCATAGCCTTGGACTTGGACGAACGCTCTCTCCCATCAGTTCTATCGAACTTAACCATGAAAGGTTGAGCGTCTAGGGTCAAACGCCGAAAGCCTTCTTCATCCTCAAGTATCCCGAGATAGCGGCAACGGTCACTGGAAACTTTGCTGTTAACTTCATCATCATACGAAGGACAATACGCAAGAAAGTAATAATCATATTTGAATGCGTGGATCTGGAACACAGTCTTGGACAAATCTTGTTGTCTAGACTCGCGTGGGTTTGGACCAACCTTCACGGTCCAGTCCTCCCAACTGTTTTCTGGCTCTTTGACCCACCAGTAGGTTGAGCGTGCGCAGGTCCTGTCTCTGTGGTTGTCGTTGTCCACCACGATTTGGAGCTCCGCTGACTCGGTAACGTACCCAGCTCTAGACCTCAAGCTTGAGAATTTAATGGGAAGGCCCTTGTCCCTCCTGGACGATGTTTGCACTACGTCGATGGGACATGACCTGCCATCGCGGCCGGAGAGAGTCAGGCCACCGCCTCGGCTCTTGCCGACGGGGAGAACGTAGTAGTAACTGTCAAACTCGACGGTGTCGCCATCCGTGTCTCGAATGGGTGCAGCGGCGTTTGTGGTCGCGGCTATAACCGCGGTCAAGGCAAGAAGGAAGTAAAGCATAGGACTCATAGTTTTTCCTTGAGTTTTGTATATGATTTAAATGTTTCTGAATGAAGAAAATGGAAGTTGATGTAACTAGTATTTATACACGGATGTGTGTGGTTATACCTTAGGTTTTTAATTATTAGATTTAAAATTAAACAGGTTAGCATTGACATTTAGGAAAATAACATAGTATTTACCAAGATATCATCACAGGTAACACAATCGTAATGGATTTTTCTCGTATTTAAATTACTATACGATCGAGGATAATCTCTCCATCTTCACGCCTCCACGGCTAAATAATAATGCCAACATACTGTATATAATTTGTAGATATTTGTTTTGTTTCTTTCTTTATTATACTCGTGTTTGGATTTTGGAGAGATTCTTCACGATCGTGTAATTTAAATACCGAGAAAATCCACAACGATGTTTCCATTACGATTGTGAATCTGTGATGATATCTTGGTAAATAGTATGTTATTTTTTCAGATCCAAATGCAGCTCATTACCACGTGCACTCCATCTTTGAACTTTGGAAGCTTCATAATCGAGCTTATCACGTTTTTTTAAAGAAAAATTTCGTGTCTCATCTTCAAAACTTATATAATAACGTTAACTGAATACAAAATTACTTGTTAACTGTCCTCCGCTTTTCGCGAGCATAAAAAACAATTCTTTATCTTCTAATGTTTTCGTTCGACCAAAAACAATCTTCTAATGTTTTCATTTACATATGTTTAGTGATAAGTAACTTGGCGTACACGTTACAATACGAGTTTGACCTTTCCCATTGCAAACACTTAGAAACCTCACTGCTAGCCTTTCTTTTTTTTCTTTTTGCTGCTGATTTTGTTTGAAACGTACGTAATACACATAGCTCCTTCTCGCTAAGTGTTTTACTTCGATATCCAAGTTAGTTTCTTTGACATTATCATAAACACTACTACAAACAGACCTCAATTGCTAACAAGATTGATTAAGCGAAGAGTCATCAGCGAGCCATCTCTTGGACTTCTTCTCTAGAACATAAAGCACTACTCGACGGCTGCGATACTCCGGATGCCATTGCGTTTGTTCCACACGCCCGATCGCGAAATCTTTCAACGCAGATTCTAAGAAATACTCAAGAACAGCATCTGAAATAAAAGGAGGAAGCAAGATTAGACATCATGTTCTTGTTATGTAAGGTGAGTGATCAAAGAACCAAAGAGAGAATGACTCACCATTTCGTAATTCTCCTGCTAGGAAGATTGTGGTTTGATCGCCGGAAAGTTGCAGAAGCGTTTTGATCAAATGGTGAACAGCTTCTTCACTGTATATAACATCTGAGCCTAATACTACAAGTGCATAAAACAATACAAGGTGTGAACAAAATGGTGAGGACAAGTGCAACAAAGCAACAGAGCGTGAGACCAAAATGAGATGAATACCGTAATCAGGGAATGGTTCAATCAAATCTGGATCTGGATCATCTCCCCAAACAAGTTCCTCCACAGAAGCAGAGCCACGTGTGTCGCCACGGTGCAGATTGGTTTGGATGTTCTTCTTGAGTAGCCTCAGTCTATCTGGAAGATCAGTGAGGACAACATTGCCTCCCAAAAGCGCTGCAATACAACTGAGAGAACAAAGCTCACTAAATATGTTCCACACAGTCCTCAATGGTCATTCACAGAGGATAGATAAAGTTTGCAGTTTTTTGCTCACCCAACTAAGCCACAGCCAGAACCCAACTCGATGATTTTCTTGCCTTCAAAAGAGAGATCCTTTGAATCAACAGAATGTTCTAAGAACTTCCCTAGCACCACTCCACTGTCCCACATCACTGACCCTGTGACCCCAGGCGTGCTCTTCATCATACACACAACACACACACCGGTCAGATAGTTTAAACAAGTCTCATGATCAGTGCAAAGAGATTCAAAAGTTATCACTTTCTTCAATGTTTATGCTAAAGCCACTAACAAAAGTTGAATGTATCACCAAATCTCTGCTAATTACATCCCAGTGAACCATAAAATCACTTCTTTTTTTGGTTATGAATAGCATAAGGCTTAAAGCTTACTTCTTTCAACAGATTTTACCGGGAAAAGAAGATAAAAAGTCACTGAATTTGACTGAAACAGAAAAGCTATGGAGTTGTACCAGTGAACAAGGTGACTGGAGGATGGAGAGAGAGTGTCCACAAGCATCGAGACGCAGCTCAAGAGAAGACTGAGAAACTAAGGCGTTTGGAGCAAACGAAGTTGGCCCTTGAATAGCCCATACAATCATAATCTCAGCCGCCGCCAAATCCGATTCAGATTCAGATTCCGATCCAGAACCAATCTCCGACTCCGAAGCCGGAAACCCACCGACGGCTATCACATCTCCGCCGTAACCACTCATCCGTCGTATCTCCTCCACCGTATCTTCTCCTTTGATCGCTTCCTCCTCCCCCATTTTTTACGCGCCGCCGAATTGACTCTCTCGGCTGCCGTTTCGTCGTTGCGCTGATTTCCACTAACCAAACAGAGCGAGGGGCACCAAAGTGAAAATACAACATAGTTTTGGGGTTATTAACAATTAACTAATATTTTAACGCTTTCTCATATTCACCCCAAATATTCATAAAAGATCAACTAACACCCAATAATGAAGCAAATTTATGTCAAAGAAAACAAAAAAATCAAGCAAATTTCTAAGTTATGCACATTGTACATACAATAACCATGTTTTATTTCATATAAATCGTTGGTTACATCATAAACTTGGTATTGTCTCAACTCGCAAACCATTACGTGACAATTTACCAATATTTTACATTTATTAGGAAAAAGGGAACAACATCCACGAGTTAGACTTAGGATGAGATTTGTTGTTTGAATCATCATAAGCCTTTTGAAACTTAACAACAAAAGATCCATCACTGCTAAGAACCAATCTTCGAACACCAAGACCATCATCTATCTCCAAACCCACATTGATACACGATGAAGTGGAGTTAATCGGACAATACATAAGCTTGTAAGCATCTCCATGATCTTTATGAATCTGAAACAAGCTATTCCCTTTTCCTTTCTCGCCACCAATGCTTACAAAGCTCTTCCTCAATTGCACAGAATGGTCGATTCTCCACACTTTGGATTCAGGGCATAACCAAACCGTGTAATCAAACTCGAGGCTGAGACTAGTTGAGAGCTGGACGAGCTTTGTTTTGGTGTTGAGTGGAGAGAAAGTCACGGGAAGGCCAGGGACGAAAGGAGACGATGACTGGACAATGTCTAGATTGAGACACAAGTCATCTGTTTTTGAGTTCCGGCTCGAAGGGATAAGACCACCTCCGGTTCCGGTTTTAGCCGGTATGATGTAGTATTGGACATTGGACTGAACCGGATGCCCTGCTATGTCTAGGACTTGGCTGGATACATCATCGGCTGCTGAAGCTGCGGTCAAGACGGTAACGGTGAGAATGATGAAAGACAAAGTAGGCTTCTTCATTGGGTTAGAGTTTGGGACTGTGTGTGGTGTGTGATGAGCTTATCTTTTAATATATATACGTAAAATTATGTAACACAAATGCTAGCAAATTGAAATAATTTTCAAAAAAAACAAAATATTAGAAGCTTGTATCGTTCTTTATGTATTTGTCATATATATCAAGAAGGAATCTTCGCTGTCATTTACGCACGTTTTTTTTCCTTGCTTCTCAAAATCTGTGTAACGAACAGTTTGTAATGTAGTGGAGATTCTCTTCCAGAGAAAAAACAAAAAAAAACTATTACTATTGTTTACTGTTTATATACTTCTTTGAACACAGGCTTGACAAGACCATTCATCCTTGTATTCTTTTTGATATTTCTTCGAGTAAAGTTACCAGTAGCCAAAAACTCACATTCTTGATACCTGTCACCGTATGTGTGCTATCTCGGATCTCACAAACAGTTCTTGATTTCCTACGAGTTTAACTGAAGTTGGAGAACTTTTTGTTGTTCATATTTCAAAAGAAAAAAAAAAACAAAAGAGCCTTTTTATTATTGGACTGATGATCATAAACAAGTTATCATCAGTAAAAAAGATTAATTTTGTATCATATGGTACTCTTAGACAAATAATCTGGCCCACCATCAGCCTTCTTAAACTTAACCAAGTGAGGCTCAGAGCTGGCAACCAAACGCCGAACGCCTTTTTCATCCACGAATATCCCGAGAACATCGCATTCCTCACTGCAAAGTTTGCCTGCACAGTCGATAGAAGGACACCACACGAACTTGTACCCATCTCCCGATTTCTTCAAATGATAGGTACTCGACGATGACCTGTCCTTGGGAGCAGCAATCACGAACAACTGCTTCCTCTCCTTGTCAAAGTCACTGTCGTACTTCCAGTACGTTTGGCGGCAACAGGCCGTGTCCCCTACGTCCATCTCGACACGAAGTATCTCAGTTTGAGGAACGTATCCAATGTTACTCCACCAGTCTGAGAATCTTACGGGAATGCCATTGTTCTCCTCCGAAGATTCCTGGACTATGTCTAGGGGACATTTCTTGTCGCCACGGCCGGCGAGACCTAGACCACCTCCTTTTCCAGGGACGGCGGGGATAAGGTAGTAACTGTGGCCGCCAACTACGGTGTTGCCGTCGGTGTCGAGAATGGGGTCGGGTTTGAAGTCAGATGCGGTCGCAGCTAAAACCGCGGTTAAGGCAAGAAGTAGGTAAAACATAGACTTCATCATGATTTGCTTCTTGGGTGTATTGTAATTCTTGGGTGTATTGTAGTAGCTATAGTGACTTCAAGTGTTAATGGATGAAGATCATGTGAGTTGATGTAATCAGTCTTTTATACACGGATCATGTGTGTAACTGTGTATAATAGCAAATTTGTCAACTCTTTATATTTAAGAAAATTCTACTTTCCAACGACCTTCCGTTAATTGTTTGTTTATCTACTAATCAATGGGTATGCCACTCTGTTTCACGAGCTCTTTTTATTAATTGGCCTCGTGATCTGAGCGTCAACATTGATTATTACTAAAACCCTATTTCGATGTGAGACTGTATCAAAACCTAAATACATAGTATAAAAAATGTCCTTCCTTGCATAATTTTTCGATTTGATCTCATCTTTTCTGTCGCAACCATTTAACTCACATGTGTGGTGAATGAATCATATGTTTTTTTTTCCCATTTTCCTTGGTAACCTAAAAGAGCTAGCTCATTGCAGTGCACATGTTGTTGTCTGATCAGATGGAATATACAGTTTTTTTTTTTCGGCAACAGATGGAATATATACATGTAGTCGAAATGCAATCGATTTTATTACACGATACCTTTCTTAATTTAAACACTTTACAATAAAAAAAATTTCTTGTTTCATTCTCTTTGAATTTTGCAAGGTTTTATGCAACAATTAGTCTTTTTTGATATTTGTGACAATTTGTATTACACACTGTTTTTTTTTTTATATCAGTGTTGATTGTAATTAAATAGTATTTTTTTTCAATGTAGAAGAATACTACAGCCACACAGACACAAAAATGTAGAATACTCTTTTTCTAATTCGCGTTTTTAGCCAAAGAAAAATTATATAAAAAGCAGTACAACATTTTTACTTATAGTCCATGGTTAAAACATTTAGTCCAATTTTAATTTTTGTGTTAAAGATTTAGTACAATAATTATTTATTTTTAATCAGAACAATAGTACGTACTGTATGTTTTCTATAAGTAACGGCATCATAGACAATGGGTTGTGTAGTTCATTAGTGATGGCTCAAGTGGTAGAGAATTCATCATGTGGATCACTGCCTCACTGGTTGAATTTTTACCATTTCCGTACGGGTATTATTTCTGTGGGTGTGTATATATATTATATGTGGTCCGTCCATGGTTAACATTGACTCAATTTCAAATTCAATTGTGCATAGTCCATACTTTTTATTTGTTTTGCTAACAACAATTATTTCCTATACGAGCATTTGATGAAGTTGGATAACATTTTGATGTTCCATTTTTCAAAAGAAGAATATATACATTCTTATTATTGGACTCATCATAAAAAGTAAATAATCAGTCTAGATTATTTTTTTGGTATCATATGGTCTTAGACAAACCCTGTGGCAGACCAGGCACAAACCTCTTAAACTTAACCAAGTGAGGCTTAGAGCTAAAAGCCAAACGCCGAACGCCCTTTTCATCCACGAATATCCCGATATCGCTGCACCCCGAACCGCAAAGTTTGCTGTTACTTGCAGCACAATCAATAGAAGGACAAAACATGATCTTGTACGCATCTCCAGTTTTCTTCAAATCGAAGGTACTCGAGGAAAACCTGTCCTTCGAAGAAGCCATCACGAAAAACTGCTTCCTCTCCTTGTCGTAGTTACCGTCGACTTTCCAGCTAGTTTGGCGGCAACAGGTCATGTTGGCGTCACTGCCCCATATGTCCATCTCGATATGAAGTGACTCACTTTGGGGAACGGATTCAACGTTATTCCACCACTCTGATATTCTTACGAGAATGCCATCATTTGTCACCACGGCCGGCGAGACCTAGGCCGCCTCCTTTGCCAGGGACGGCGGGGATAAGGTAGTAACTGCGGCCGCCGATTACTTTCTTGCCGCTGGTGTCGAGAACGGGTTCGTAATCGAAGCCAGATGCGGTCGCAGCTAAAGCTAAAACCGTGGTTAAGGCAAGAAGAAAGTAAAGCATAGACTTCATCATGCTTCTTGGGGTTCCTTTTTTTTTGTAGTGACTTCAAAATGTTAATGGATGAAGACAAAGTGAGTTGATGCAAGGAGTATGTATATATTGGCGTATTTGTCAACTCTTTATATTTAATTTTAAATGATTTATATATAACTGGATGATAATCTATAGTAGTACTAGTATATTTTTAAGAAAATTTCACCTTCCAACAACTTTCCGTTAATTGTTTGTTTATCTACTAATAAATGGGTATATGCCACTCTGTTTCACGAGCTCTCTTTATTATTTGGCCTCGTGCTCTGAGAGTTTACATTCACTATTACTAAAACTCTATTTTCTTCTATTTGATCTTATCTTTTCTTTCACAGCCATTTGACTCAAATGATTTAAATTCAGTTGGCATCGAATTCAAATTTTTACACCTTTTACTATTTCCGTTTGATTAAGCTTGGTTGTAGAAGTTTTTAGAGAGAAAACTGAAATTTTGTATTGATATCAACATTACGAGTACAAAATGAATCATTTTATGAAAGAAAATAAAAAATTCTATAGCAATACTTATTATTATGGCAACCCGATCGCAAGCGTTGGTATTGTCTCAACCATTACTCAAGATCCCATTTCTTCGGCACTTTTTCATAGGTTATAATTTTCATTTTGTGCGTAGACCAAGAGAGTAACATGTATCTCCCAAATATATGTAGAATAAAACATTTGTTGGCAAAAGAACATTACTTTTACAAAAAGACAAAGCGGATTGTGTGTAGTTATTTTAAACACAAGCATAATCCTTAAAAAAACCGAACACACATGACAAACTGATCTTACACGAAATAAAATTACAAAGTGAACACAAGTTTTGGTATTGTCCCAACCATTATTCACGAGGCCATTTTTTTGACACTTGTGTTACAAGTCGTTCATTAGTAGGAAGGGAACATCCTCAGCTTAGTTTTCAAATCATGTTTTGCTGGTTCATCATGAGCCTTCTGGAACTTAACTAGCAGAGACTCGTCGTTGGTCAGGACCAAGCGTCCTACACCAGAGAGATCGGTGAAAATGCCAACGTTCGTGCACGTAGTAGGAGACATGTTAGTACAGTACACAATCTTGTAAGCACCTCCTTCGACTTGATGGATTTGGAACCTACTTGGGTTAGATGAGCCACCAGTGCTTATGACAAGACTCTTATTGAATTCTTCCGAGTATACGACTCTCCACCCCTTGGATTCTTCCGGGCATAAGAACCAGTTAGGAGCCTCGAACTCGATGGTAACATCACTAAATTCCTTAACAAACCATAACTCAGAGTTAAGTTTGATTGGTAAGCCGAGGTCAAGCGGATTCTTTGACTGAAGGATGTCGAGAGGACAGATCTCTTCACTGTTCGAGAAAAGACCTCCTCCTGTCGCAGGTACGATGTGGTAGGTTTGACCAGGACGAAGTATACGGCCGGCAGAGTCCTTGACATGGCCATCTGGACGAGCTAAGATGGGTGCGGCCAAAGCGACCACGAGAAAGATGAGTGTGAGGGACATGGTAGGCTTCATGATAGTTTCTTTCTTTTAGCTTAGTGTGTTTCGGTGGAGTTTGTTACTTTGTTTGTTGGGTTTGAGGAAATGTCACAAAGAGTATCTTTATATAGATGCATTTGGCTGTTACGACGTCCATGTTTTTAAGATATATATAACGAAAAAAAATATTGTAGATTATTTAACCAATGATTCACTAAAATATGAAATATATATGTGATTGGCGTTAGGTGTGGTGGAACAAATCATGACAATTTAAAACCTAATATTATTTTAGGATAATATATTAGATTTTCTTATTGATATTCATCTATTATAAACTATCTTGCAAGACGAACAACTAATCGTATGCACCAGTTCTACATAGTGTTTATTTTTTCCACTATTTTTTAATGACTAACAACGTGAAATTTGCCAAAGCTTTCGTTTTCAGACAAAATAAATTATACTAGTAAATTGTAAGCAATCAGAACGCATTACTGCATTAACTAACTATTCTTGTTTGTCCTTATTACAGAAAAAACTATTGTTGTTTGTCCTATAACGATGTTTATTGTGATGAAGTTATTTTTCTTTTGAAACTTTAAACTTTTGTTCTATCATTGATCACATCTATATGTGGTATGTGGACCCTAATTTTAAATCCTGAGCTGCATTGGATCGGCCCTTAAGTTATGGATCTCAATTGTTTGGTCCACAAAACTCACAGATTTGACCTCACTTGTTTACACAAAAATGTTTCTGTTACTAACGTACTCATATTTTGTCAAGGCGGGTTCTAGTGTCATAGCATAACGAAAACAGTTAAAAAAGAAAACGGGTTAGTAACAGAAGACATTTTGGTAAGGAGAAGATAGTTTGCTTGAAACGAACATTTTGAAAAGTTAAAATTGTTATAACTTTTTCTTCTTCTAAAAGTCAAAAGTAAAAATTACTTTTTTAATATTCGAAAACGTATACAAGTTCGAATCCAAACGCCTGAAAATCTGCTTTCAATGAAAGTCAACATGTGATAAGACAAATTGTAGCATTGGTGTCTGAAGTAGTGTAAACAGTGAATCGTGTAATAGTATGATTGAGCAACAAGTCAGGAGTCTCCGGCTGACTCGGAGGCTTTTGTCCCAACCCTTCTTACCCAAGCTTGTCTTAGCTGGCTCCTGCTGGCTCCTGTTGCCATTTGCATTAGAATATTCATTTCTCGTATTTTCATACGCATACTAGCTTATTTTATGTAACAAAAGAAAATATCTTACGTCTAGAAGTCAAGGGAAACAAAAAAACATGTAAAACTAAGTATTCAAAAATCGTTTGAATTAAAAACTACAAATCGACCACGTTTGCGTCTAAAACGCGTGGTTTCTGATGCGGCTCACGAAGTCTCGTCGTGGCTCTTTTGATAACTCTGCCTATCTTCAGAGGCATTATTTAGCCATTAAGAAGCTTGGAACCACACTTTTTTTACTTGTTTTTAGTGGCTCCATAAAGTTTGACCTTACCTCATGATTCCTTCTCTGTCACGTTAACCCAAAAAAGGCTACTTGAGGTCAAAGCAACCTCGCAACACTACAACGACGACTCTCTTCTTTCTTTTATAATGCTTAACATTATTACTTCTTTTATTTTATTATAGAAAAAAACTTGTTCACTTTATGCTTACTTGTTCTAAAGTCTTAGCTGTAAAATCTTGTATATAAAACTCCTCCACGAACTCTCCACACAAACCGAGATATACAGAATACAAATTTTAATGGCAGAACTCACTGGAGAATCCTATTGGCTTCTCTCTGTCGCTGCATCAACCACATTTTTCTCCTTCATCATCATCTTCTTCCTCACCGGTTTATCAAGAAGAAAGAGAAGAGAGCTTCACAGGCTACCTCCGGGAAGCAGAGGATGGCCTTTGATCGGAGACACCTTCGCTTGGCTCAACGCCGTCTCCGGTTCTCATCCTTCCAGCTTCGTCGACCAACAAATCAAAAGGTTCAATTTCTTCCAGAAAACCAAAAAACAAAACACCTTCTTGTTCTTGTTGATCTTTTCTTGGGACACAAAACTGAAACTCTGTTGGTTTTCTTGATTCTTAGGTTTGGGAGGATATTCTCATGTAGCTTGTTGGGGAAATGGGCGGTGGTATCAGCAGACCCGGCGTTTAACCGGTTCATAATGCAGAACGAAGGGAAGCTGTTTCAGTCAAGTTATCCAAAGTCTTTCAGGGATTTGGTTGGGAAAGATGGAGTGATCACGGTGCACGGTGATCAGCAGCGACGGCTTCACTCAATCGCGTCGAGCTTGATGCGTCAAGACCAGCTCAAGACTCATTTCCTCGAGGATATCCCCGCGGTTATGCTTCAGACGTTGAGTAATTTCAAGGACGGTGAAGTCGTGCTTCTTCAAGATATCTGCAGAAAGGCAAGTGGTTTCAAGAAGAACAAGAAGAGAAGTCTTTTAAAGAGGTTTCTTGATTTTCTGATGTTTGTTTTGGTTCTGTTCTTCAGGTTGCGATTCATCTTATGGTTAACCAACTTCTTGGAGTGTCGAGCGAGTCAGAAGTCGATGAAATGTCTCGGCTTTTCTCTGATTTTGTTGATGGGTGTCTCTCTGTTCCTATCAACTTGCCTGGTTTCACATACCACAAAGCAATGAAGGTAATGATCACATAAACAAAACCAATGGTTGGTTTGGAGCTGGTTTCCTGAGATCTTTTCTGTTTCTTGTTCAGGCAAGAAATGAGATCATAAGAAAGATAAACAAGACAGTAGATAAGCTGTTGCAGAACAAAGCAGCGGATAGTAGTACTGCTGGGAACGGTGTGCTTGGAAGATTGCTTGAAGAAGAAAGCTTACCAAACGAAACCATGGCAGATTTCATCATCAATCTTATGTTTGCCGGAAATGAAACCACCGCGAAGACGATGCTCTTTGCGGTTTACTTCCTCACTCACTGTCCTAAGGCCATGGCTCAAATCCTGGTACATAATGAAAACCTCTTCAGTGATAACAAATTAGTTATATGTTTTGTTTACCTTCTAAAACATTCTGCAAAATGAGTAGGAGGAACACGAGAAGCTCGCGGGTGGAACACTAACATGGCAAGATTACAAGACAATGGACTTCACTCAATGCGTAAGTAAATCAAGAACTCCAAGAAACTGCTCAGCTTCTGATCTTACATACTGAAAACCTCACTCATAACTCTCCTAATTTCTCAACAGGTAATAGATGAAACACTCAGGCTTGGTGGGATTGCGATCTGGCTAATGAGAGAGGCGAAAGAAGATGTCTCATATCAAGGTACGTAATAGCATCTTTCATTATTGGTGGTATAAGCAGCAGAAACATGGTCTAAAAAATCAACCTTTTTGCTCTTTGCAGATTATGTTATCCCCAAGGGATGCTTCGTTGTCCCGTTTCTCTCAGCAGTGCACTTAGACGAGAGCTATTACAAGGAAAGTCTCTCCTTCAATCCATGGCGTTGGCTTGACCCTGAAACTCAGGTTTTTTTGACTTGGCATTTGACATTAAAGCTTTACTTCCTAAAGTCAAGATTTAAACCTTATGAATGTGAATGCAGCAAAAGAGGAATTGGAGAACGAGCCCTTACTATTGCCCATTTGGTGGAGGAACTCGGTTTTGTCCAGGAGCAGAACTAGCTCGCCTTCAAATCGCTCTCTTTCTTCATTACTTCATCACCACATACAGGTCAGTGTAACTCCTCTGCTTCTAAGGTTTTGTTTGTCTGAAACAATCAAAATCTGATTCATTCTTGTTGCATCATTTAGGTGGACACAACTTAAGGAAGATCGCATCTCCTTCTTCCCTTCGGCACGTCTAGTAAACGGCTTCAAAATCCAGTTACACAGACGTGACAACGAACCTCTGTAGATATCTCTGTACTGATGTATATTCACTGCAAAACCTAGTGAATCTTTTTGCAACTGGTAAATTTGTATAATAGTGTAACTACCACAGTCGCTCAGATTTGAGGACTCTATACAATAAAACCTAACAAAACAATCAGTACGCTTTTGGAAATCGTCTTCATTAGATTATCTCTGTTTCAAACTTCCAACAAACCCGTTTAGTTTCAACAATTACAACAAGTGCAGGGCTATATGGCAAAAAAGTTCTCTATTGGATCCTAAAGCTAACCTCTTGTAAAGCTTTCAACATAAATATTGGAGACGACAAAACAAAAACCTGAGAAGACTCTCCTTTCAGTCTTCTTCATCTGAAGACTCATACGCTAATCCCAACAAGCCTTTCAATGCGTTTTGACCTTGCCCATTGCTTTCCATTGCTTTACCGTCAGCTCCTGGTTGCTTCTCTGGTCTGTCCAGTTTCATCAACACTGTAGTAGCCTCTACTTTCAGCTGATCTTTGTGAACCTTGGCTTCTGCTGGACCTGTATTGCTTCTTTTAGGAGGTGATAAGCTCGGACTTGAGACTCTTGGACGTTTCGGTTTAACCTCGACAACCTTCTTCAGCAAATCTTGCTGCCTACACATTGCAAAACACACACAAAAGTTGCTCACCGATCTAAAATCCATTTCATTCTTGTGGTTTCTGAATAAAGTAGAAAGGGAGAAAATTGCTACCTGATACCACTCTTTGCTTTGGGCTCAACACGAAGCGGCAAAGGAACAGCTGCTGGAGAGGAATCAGCTTGAGTTGCAGCTTTGTAATTCATGGTCAAGAAAGATAAAAAATGAACGTTTTAAAAGGCATATTCATTAACTTACTTAAGTCTCTAAACATAAACAAGCAAGAAAAAGGATATTTTAAATGCAGCGAAAGCTCGTTTCTCAGTTCGTCTCAGAAGACGTTCTGCATCCTCCTCTGCTTCCATCTGTTCTTTCAGATAAAGCAAATCATCGCTATCCAAAGCTACAGACACAAAACAAAAAGGAAGAGTTAACTTATGGACGATTAAACAATGTCAAAGAGATGAGAAGAAAAGGAGAGAGTGATTGGTACCTCCTCGGCCGTGAAGATAGCCTCCACGCTCACCAGCAACCTCTTGCATCTAAAATGCATTAACCAGAAAATGTGGCCGGGCCGTTATCCCTGCCGGGGCATGTTATCAGAAAAAGTCTCCTCCCAAAATTGAATCACTTCACATACATCAATAAGCCAACAATGCTAAGAAAGGGACTCTTATCAATATAACTTCACTAAAACCACATACTGATCCAATGCTATGGAAACGAAGAAACAAGAGCTTGATGGAAGCGATGAGGATCATCTATATAACTTCACTAAAACCAAATATTGATCCAATCCTATGAAAGCGACGAAACAAGAGCTTGATCGAATCTTAGCATACAAAAGAGACTCATTGAATGACTATCGTATACTGGAAAATTTTATCAATTGAGCTCGATTTCAATGGCGACATTGACAGAGATAAGCTCTATCGCGTACAATTTGGTAAATGATAGGTTGCACAAAAGAGGATTCGATAACAGAGGAGAGTGCGACGAGCTAACCTTTGCAACCATCCGTTGGAATGTGACGTCTTCATCATCTATCTTACCTTTCCCTAATTTCTTATCTGCGACCCAGAAAAAAAAAACAGAGCTTGAAAGGTTTCTCGAGAAATTTACAATGAAATTTACACGAGCTATAGCAATTAGATGTCTGACCTTTAGGGTCGGAGAGATTTGTGTATTCTTTAACTTCCCTGCCTGACATCGTCTTCGATTCTACTTCGAGGATAAAGAGTAACAAATTCTGGGAAGATTAGGGTTCTTACGTTTTCTAAGACTGGAGTCGAGGAAGAGGATGACGATTGAACAAGGATTGGAATCGGTAATGGCTCGCCCAGTGAAGATTGTTCTAGATTGAATTGAATCTTTTTGTTTCTTCTTCATTGGGTACCATGAACATATACAATGGCCCATATTCAAGCCCAATACTACTCTAACCCAATACGCTTTTTTCTTTGATTACATATGATTTTAAATTGAAAAATGTTGAGGAAATAACAATTGTTTTTCTTTTCTGAACAAAATTTCATCATGTTAGAAGGAATAAAATGACATTAAATTTTGCACCAGTAAGAAAATTAATTTCATATGTACCATTCATCTTTATACATTTACTCATTTTTAAATTTTTTATTAGTCATTTATGAATTTTTTGGCTTTTAAACATAAATTCCTGACAAGGTAAGCCTAAAGTCTTTAATTATGTAGCTATTATCTAATTAACGGTCTAGTAACAATTTCAATAACTCACAGAAGATACGAGAATTATATGCAACTTTTTGAACTAGTTAAAAAAGAAAAGAAGTCTAGCACTCTTAGACTGGTAATGTCAAGAACTCTTTATTGGCATGGACCTAATTTAGATAGAAAGCACATTCATACATTATTGCGATTCATATCATACAGATCAACCCTACAAGAAAAAAGTGTTCACATCTACATAAAAAGTCTATAATGTTTTTGATGTATTTGATAAATGATAACTATAAAATTAAACAAAATCTATGATAAATAAATTAAAAAAAAAAAAACGCACGTTCAACGTTTTTGTTTTGGTGCAAAGAAAATGGAGTTCTCTTGAGACGTGACATGAATCTTCACCATATGTTTTGATCATAAAGTGTGTATTATTAGATTTGGATCCCAACAAGAGAGTGATGGGGTTCTTTTTTCTGGTCCGTACCAAAACCATTTCCTTTAAAAGCGAACCAACCAAACGAAATCGCATTTATAAATCTTTGTTGTTTCTTCTTTCTTCCTAACTTTCAACTCAAAAAAAGTCATCAACTTTGTCAGCTTTCATCACCTAACCTCTCTCTGTCTACACCCATAACAACATTAAGATCAATCACCAGTTCACAACACGCATTTTGATCAAGAATCAGTTAAGGCAGAGCCAGAGCCATTAATGGAGAGATGAACAATGCTTTAAATTGAAAGAAAACAAGTAAAAAGAAAAGAGTAAAACTTTTGCAAATAGCAATAGAAGTCAATGCCCGAACCATACAAAGAAAGTCAAAGTTGCATGGTGCGTTCTTGACTTCCAGTTTCTACCAAAACAAATAGTAAAAAAAAAGACCCTAAAATTCTCATTAAAAAATACCAAAAAGAAACAAATGATGATGAAGAAGAGAAGAATCCAGCTGGCTTTTAATGAGGTTTGTCCAAGAACAGCACCAACAGAAGCAGAGCAGAACAATCGGAGTTAATGTTACTTCCTCTCTCTCTCTCTGGCATTGAAGGCAAAGAAGAGTTAATTCTCTTCTCTGTTCCATCATTGAAGAGAAAGAGACGCCCAGAAGAAAGCAGGAAGAGAGCTTTTAATATGGTGTCTCATGCTTAGTTGATGCACTAGGACAGTTGTTCAAGGCGGTTTTAATCTGGTGCACAATGGTTCCAATCAGGTTATTAACCGTCTCCACCGACTCCATATTCAGTTTAGCCGACGGTAAATTGCTCACCACTATCTGAAAACCAACCGTTATCAACGATCCTCCTTCACTTCCTCCAAAACCGCTGGAAGATGATGACCGTCCTGAGCTCGTGGAGGCTCCTCCTCCTTGCTCTGCTGTTGAGTTGCTTCGGCTTCCGTCTGGTGAGATTGCGAAGCCTGAGGAGGAGAGGGGAATGTAGGAAGGATCTTCACCGCTCATTGCTATGTTCAAAGCTGGTAAATCCACCGGACTGTACACCACTTGTGCTCCTGATGAGTCTATTGAGCTTTCTTGTAGTATCAGCATGTTGTTGCTCTGTGATGCATTCGATGCCTAATATCAACAACAAACAAATTTCATTAGCTAAGTAAACCAAGAATCTTGCGGTAATCTTGAAAAAGAGTCAGGCTTTACACGTAGAACCGATATGCAGCATCCGGGATGTGATCCGTTTGCTATGTGAGCCACTTCTTGCACCGGGTTTCCATTTGAAAGAACATCCCACTGAAACAGTTAAGTGACAAATCAAGAACTTGGGGATGATTCTTTACTTGTAAAGATTTTGGATTGTGTGTTGTTGTTGTTACCTGAGGACGTGTTCTTTCGTCTTTGAGGAAGTTGAAGACAGTTTGAAAAGAGTTTGGGAGCCAGAAAGTGGTAGCTGCGCAGAGGATAGTGCCGTTTGGTTCAGGGCTCTTCTGTGCAGTCACACGGACTCCAACCTCGTTCAGTTCCGAAACAACGGTGGAGCGAGTGTTGTTAGATCTGCTGACACTTAAGCAGTAGTTGCTAAACATTCTCTGAGCAAGCCTCATCATGCTTCTCTTCCCTTCTGGAGATGGAACCACTGAAAACAAAATGTTGCTCAAGAATGTTAACATGGAGTTTGATAAAAAATGAGATTAACAATGGAAAGTTCTGTTCTTTTACCTCCACCGAGATCACGAGATGATGATGCTGGTGCCAAGAGAGAAGCAAATCTTTCACACATTCTCTGGAGAGTGGTGACCCAACGTTCAGCTCCAAAAGCAATCCCTTTGTGAATCATCTCTCTGTATAGATCATGGACCGGTTCTTTCTCTTCGGTTTCGACATGTTCAACCCAAGTAACCTGTTTCCACACCCATCCATTTGAGGAAATGCTAACATGAAAACAAAGTTTTAGTACAAAGCAGAAAGAAACAAACCTTGGAATATCCATTAGGCATGTCCTGAATCAAGCAACCAGATGGAAATCTGTAGGACTGAGAATGGGAAGCAAACTGAGGAAGATCATATGAGACATTCACAACTATCCAGCTTCCTTGTTCAATCTGCTGACAGTAACGCAGCTCGCAGAACTCACGCGTTGCTACTAATGGCGAAAGAACCTCTATTTCTTCATACATCTACATAGCCAAGCCAAGCAAATGAGGAAAATCCAAAAATCCAACAGCTTTAAGGAGAAGTTAGTATTCAATATTTACCAAATGCAATGCACCCTCATGGGAACCTCCCATTCCTGGAGAAACCACTGCAAGTGTTTTAGAAGCTGCAACGATTGAAGGAAACAGCTCTGCCCACTTGACCTGAAAAAGAAGAAAGAAACTTTATCAAGAATGGTGTCTACCAAGAACATGATGATGAAGAAGGATGTTCTTGAGGCACTTACACAATCCATGAACATGTCGACAAGTGCCATAGCATTCATGAAAACAATACCAGAAGACCTAGACGCCTCGACTCTAAGGTTATGGTTCTTCACTCGGTTACTTGATCTTGGGAAAAGATTCTCATAGCTTCCAAGATTGAGAACGTCTCTAGAACCATCTGTTCTAGTCCAGAGAGGCTCGTTTGTGTGAAGAAGACGAAGCAGTTCGTCCATAGCAGTCAAAGCAATCTCGTTCATGAGAGGCTTGTCCATGTCAGATATAGCCAAGTTAGGCTGAGACTGAAGATTATTAGTAACGGAAGACATTGAGCTCCCTGGAAGAAGATCAAAATCCAATGAGGAACCTTGACCACAATTGGTTAAACTAGTCATCGACAAATCCAACGGTGAGATGTGCATTGGATGTAGCGTTGAGAGCTGGGAGGAGATTGGTCTTCCCATGTACTTTGATGCAATGGTCGACATTCTCTCAAGCTGTTGCCAAAAAAAAATCAAAACTTTACAATCAATCATGCTGTTGCAAATTAAAGATCAAAACTTTATAATCAAAATGCTGTTTTTGAATTGATTGAGAGGATGCACAAAACAAAAGCCAAACCTCTTCTCTGAGATGTGCATTTTCAATCCGAAGCTTTTGCTCATCAAAGTAAGGATCTTCACTAATAGGAGGACCTCCACAGTTTGGGCATATAGCATGCTTGAGAGCTTCTCTAATGGCTATGTTCTCGCATCGAATCTTATCGTTCTCTGCCTTTAGAGCATTGTTATCTGCTCTCTCATGTTGCGCCTAACAAAAAACAGGAATCAAAATGAAATAAAAATCCATTCTTTTGTTTACTCAGATTACATTTTGAACAGAGAGAGAGAGAGAGAGACAAAAACCTTGAGCTGAGTTCTTCTGTTCTGAAACCAGAACTTGATCTGTCTCGGAGCCAAACCCAATTCACTGCTGAGTTGATTCCTCTGTTTCTCATCTGGATGAGGGCACTCCTTGAAACTCCTGCAAGTACCAATGATTTGTGAGTCAAAATAAGAAAACCAGAGAGAGAGAGAGAGAGAAGAGAGAAGGAAATTACGATTCGAGGCGTTGAATCTGTTGAGCGGTGTGACGGTGGTAACGTTTCTTCTTCCTATCACTTTCAGAGCCGTCGTGATGTTGGCTACCACCACCGTCTCCGCCGCTACCACTTCCGCCGACTCCGACGACGAAACTCATCTTCTCTTGTTAAAGTCGAAAACCAAATAGAAGAAAGCAGTAACCTTTCACCCAAACCAACCACACTGATTCACACAGACCCAGTAGAGAGAGAGAGAGAGAACAGAACAAATAAAGCTTCAAACTTTATTTGCACCCAATGAGAAATTAGATTGAAAAATTCAGTGAAGGGGAGAGATTATAAGAAAACGAAACGGAAGAGAATCTGAAGAAAGATGCAAAGGCATGATTTCGGGAGGTGAAAGAGTTTTGTTTTAGGCAAGAGATTGATATGGAAAACAGATTGTAATTTTTTTTTCTTCAATCATCAAAAAAATAAAACCCCAAAAATTCAGAGTTAATAAGGGAAAAGAAATCGGTTTTTAGCCGTAATTATGGTTCTACAGAGCCACCCTAGAGAGAGGAAAGTGATGATCTTTATTTGCTCTAAGCTTTCACCTCAAAGCCTCACCTAAAGCCGCCATTAGTGCTTTTTCTTCACATTCATTACAGATTCCGAAATCTCTCTCTCTCTGTGTTTCTCTCTCCCAAACCCTTTAGAAATTGCGTAACTGATGGGTTTTTAATGGCGTTTGACAGAGGAGGAAACAAAAAAAGAAGAGAGAGAAAGGGGAGGTTTTAAAGTCTCTTGCTCTTTCCATTACTGCTAAGTAGTACTCTCACCATACTTGGGGGAGAGAGAGAGGACCGAACCAACCTTCTTCTCTCTGTCTCTCTCCACAACTAACTCTCTGTTTCTCTCTCTCTGTCTCTCCAAGTTTCTGAGAGTGATTTTGTTGAATTTTGAGAAATGGGTTTGTCTCCGGGGAAGGTTAATCGACGGAGGTTGGATAAAAGCAGGGGACTTTATCCACTTTCTCCGGCGAATTTCTCACGTCGTATAATGACAAAAATTAACTTTTTATTGGGGTTTTGTGCTGATCTCATCTTTTTCTTTTTAACTTGTTTATTTAATTTTCTCTTTCTCATTTGAGTCATTTCTCAATTTACTAGGCTAAATTTAGGGGGAAAATCCCAGATATTTTTTTTACTTAATTCTCAAATATTTTTTTCCCATTTTGTTCACACTAAATTTAAGTTTATTATAATTATTATTTCAAAAAGTAGATATGAGATAAGCTGTAGTAAGACAAAAGGCTGTATTAAGACAATTTTGTAATTTTTGTCTATATATTTATTATTATTATTATTACAGTTTGATAATTCAGTAAATGACAAGCAAATTAAACAAAATTGCTAAGCACAAAGATTATTTACTGAATGCGTAAACGTTGCACTAATTTATGGTCTTCTGTATCATGTGTTACCTGATTTAATCCCATCTCTATATAGTAATATCACACGTTATTCAATACCTTATCCAATTTTGGGATCTTTATTTTAAAAACTAAATAAATAAAACAATAGTAACATTTGCATCTTTTAACCTTTTATACATAATTATAATTAGCTATTTTCAGAATTTCAGGTCTGTATAAATGTTTTTATTTTTATTTTTTGGCTGTATGTCATTTTTGCCTTTTTGAGTCGTCGATGTCTTGGCTGTTTCCTACTCACAAGCTCTTATTAACTCCGTAACTGTTCGAAGTGTATATCCAAAAAGTCAAACCTGTTTTACTATAAACATAGAAATTAGAAACCTGTGGAAGAAAGAAATATGGTTGAAACTTGGAAACTTGACAACAATGTGAATTTAATATACAAACGTTCATTGGCAAAAAGAATTATTAAGCGTTTTCTGAAAAAAACGACACTCATAAGTTGATAACCTGACTAGGTTGACAAAAAAAGAAAAGATAAACCTGATTCTTAATAGATAATTTTTAAAAATAAATCTCTAAATTAAATTGATTTGAGAGTTCTCTTCTCGGTGTTATGTTTTCATTATTAGATGATATAAAGTATCAAAGGAGGTTTATAAATGCTACAACGCGAAATAACTAGAGCTAGTGTAATGAATTTCGCATGCATCAATTCTTTGTTATTGATGAGATAATCATTAAGGAAGAAAAGTTATCTATTGTACTGGTTATTATGATTAGTCTGTCTTTAATTTACCATCATGTGTTGCTTTATTTCATTCCTCAATATTTACATTAGTCTTGTCAAAAATAAAAGGTACTATATCGACATTAGTCTGAAAAGAAAAGAAACAATTAAATAGACACTTAAAGCATTGGTATAAATTTTCCATCTTACCACATTTATTTTGGGACCTTGAATAAAGTGAAACTTCGCATACAACAGTAGCTGCCTTCGTTTGCTCCATATAGCTATCCCAATTTAATTATCATATGGACCGATTCATTACTTTATTTATTATCTTAAGAAATTAATTGTTATACATGTTCAACAAATGTCCATGATTAATACATGCAGATAGTACATACACGTGGACTTAGAGTTGTCCAATCTCGTAAGCTCATTCACAAAGTTATTTACTCTTAAGTATATAAGTATATAACCATAGAGTTTAATAATTAGTTTTACTTTACATCGATTGTATTTTCATTCATTACATGCATTTACAGCTTTTTCTTGTTTGACTTTTACTCGATCCAAGACTGACTTCTTAATCCTCCTGACCTGAGCTAGAACCAAAGAACCTCTGCTTCAAAATGTATAAGATGTAGAGACAAACCACGACTGTCCAAAACAAGTTTCGAGCAGACGACGAAGCTCCTTGGTTCTGTACTTGTTTCCCGTACGCAATCTTCATCTTCTCTAGCCTCTGTGTCTCTCCTGGAGCATCTAAAACTTTCTTCATCCTCTCTGATTCTTCAGCTGCAAGCAAACCCTTTTTCACCTCTCCTTCTCCGACTTTAACCTCATTTTGTTCTTGACCATCTTTAGTACTTTTTTGTTTCGTCTTCTCGGCTTCTGCGACTTCCTTCTGCTTACTTCCTCCTCCAAGAGATGCTGGTTTCTTGGGAAGGAGGTTGCGAAGTGAAGCCAATCTCAGAGGCATAGGTTTATCTTCCGGGATTGTCACTTTCTTGGTCTGCAAGAAACCAAAGCCATGTAATAGATTAGTTTTTTTCTATCAAGAATAAGTAATCTTCAGATAAAAAACAAAAACTCACCAATTGTTTGAATTGTAAGTTGTAAAACAGTTCAATATATCTCTGCTTCGCCTTCTTCTGATCTTCATTCACATCTCTCCAAAATCCATATAGACTTCCCATTTTCAACAACTTCTCTGCATAAATCTTCCATGTGTAGCTGCAAAAAGACCATTAAAAAAAATGCTAATGTAATGTGATAAATGAAAAAGGTTTGTATTTCAAGCTTATCTTTTTACTTACCACTCGTAGATGCGTTTGAGACCAGCCTTAGAGATATCATCCCAATACAAACTATCTGCACCACACTTACTAAAGAAATCCACAATCTTTGTAACAGATTCATCACCATTGTTGGGATCAATGTGGAAACCAGAGACACCATCAACGATAATCTCAGCTGGTCCACCTTGATTCGTGGCGAAAATCGGTAGTCCACAGTTCATGGCCTCAATAACAGTTAAACCAAAAGCTTCATACAAAGCAGGTTGAACAAAGACTCCTTTTGTATCAGCAACACATCTGTAAAGCTCACTGTTTCTGTATCTATCTGTTTGAGCAGCAATCCATCTGAATTTCCCCTTGAGCTTATATTTTTCAATAAGATCATGCATTTTCTTGATCTCGGCTTTCTCTTCTCTGTCATTAGATTTCGACATGTCAAAGAATCCAGCAACAACCACAAGGTTAGCCATCTCTCTTAGCTTCTTGTCTTTCCCATACCACTCAACCAAACCGGTTATGTTCTTCACAGTGTCAAGTCTCGCCATTGAGAAGATGATTGGTTTTTCTCTGTCCGCAAGATATCCCCTGTTTCCACACAAAACAGAATCATCATTAATCATATGTAAGTGTTTGATCATTTGCAATGAGACTACTACTACTACTTACATGTGTTCATCATTGTCTTTCTCATTGTAAAGAAGTTCTTTGATAGAAGGATGAAAATTGGTGAAACGCTTTTGAGTCTCTGTGTAAGGGAAGTACACAGACTGATCCGCTCCAGGAGCGGCAATGTTAAACTTTGGATCAAACACATCAATGCCAGAGACAACTCTACATAAGCCAGGCATTGTGAAGGCAGTGTGACTCTCATACTGTCCTGGTCTTTCCTTGCTGCAAAATCAAAAGCTCACAGATTTAGTATCTTGATGTTTATATGTTGAGATTCTTGATATGTGAACGAACCTTCCAGCGATTTCTTGATATGTGCTGGTGATGATGAAGTCAGTGGCATTCATTGCGAGTAAATCAGCAGTGAACTGGCATGAGAAATGGTATTTAGGGTCTAGTTCCTTCCACTTTGCATCTGAATCTTCGTACTTTGTCTTCTCCAAGGCGTGAGCAATCGTTCCCTGAGTGACACCGAGTTTTGTAGCCATTAGAGATGCAACCAAGTTCCCATCTGTGTAGTTTCCGATGATGAGGTCAGGCTTGCAGTCAAATCGTTGGAGAATCTTGCTCGTTGCATCCTGTGAACAAGAAGTTTTTAGTTTGCTTTTTTTTTTTGTTTGAGAAAACAAGAAAGATTATTACTTTTACCTGAGTAAATCTCTCAAGATAAGGGTAGATATCGAATCTTGAAACCCATTGACGGAGGATTCCTTTATCTGTAACAAAAGGAACTCTGAGAATATGAGAATGCTTGGTTCCTTCAATGGCTTCTAGTTCTTGATCACACTTTGTTCCTCTTGCTTCTGGGATTAACCTTGTCACCACAAGAATCTGAGGCTTGAAACCTAGGCCTTGTTGGTTGATTCTAATGAGCAGCTCTTCCTCCAAAGCTCTTACTTGATCAAGAATGTAAACAACCTGGCCACCGGTATCTGGTAAGCCGAGCACGTCTTGCTGACCAAAGTAGCCGTGAACAGAGAAGATCACAATGTTGAAGACTGTGGGAAGTCTGCTAAAGAGCAAGTCTAGCTTCACATTGTCTGGTGCTTCAAGAACTTGTGAGAGCATAAGCATTGTTTCTTTCACTCTCTCTGATGTATCTCCCCAACCTTTCTCGAATCCCATCTCCTTCAACCTAATTAAGAAAGTTACTTTTTCAGTTAGACCCTTTTTCTAAAACCTAGAGCAGTTTTTTTTGTTTTTTTTGGTACCTTGGTGCGAAAGTTTCATAAGGAGTGTTTTTAGGGTAAGTTGAGACTACAATCATAGCAAGCATGAGAGATTTTTGGAGCTTTGCAACTGTGTTGAGATCGTCATTGATCATTAGATTCTGCACACATAAAAAAAACCACCATAAGTTGAGAGTTCTAAATAAGATGGTCGATGAAGATGGAAACAAGAAAATGACCTCTCCGTGATGGTTAAGGTGAAGCAAGTAGTTTAACAAAGGCTCTAGTCTACTGGATTGGCTTCCTCCAAGCTTAGAAGATATAAACTTAGAGATGTAATCAGCTCCATTTCCAATCGAAGAAGAAAGACTAAGCCGAGGAGTTGTGAAATCAATGGCTCCAAAGTCTATCTCCAATGCATTTTCATCCTTAGCCCTACAAATATATACATTTCCATGAATATTTCTCTGGTTTTTTGCCAAATTTAGTATGAATATAGATCTTTTACTAACCATGACTCGTCGAAAACAGATTCCTTGAGCTTCAAGTATTCTGTTGCTGTGATTTCATCCACTGTTAAGTCTCCAGAATTGACCTTAACATATTCCCAGAAGCCAGGGTTTGGCCTAGCGGCTAGTGCAACAAACGGTGGAACCACCGCAGCTTCCTGAGTAGTTAAGAAAAATAAATCAAGATTTCTCATAAACGCACAACTAAACCGTGTTTGATGGTAATGAAGATATTTGTTTACCTGAGTACAAGTGAGGATGTAACCAAAGAGTCCTTCCAAGATCTTACTGCGTTCACGGCTATCTTCTATACATTTCTCTATCTCCTTCATCAAATGCTCACGCTTCATTAGTTTCTTTCCTCCTCCAACAAAGCTACATCATTTTTTTCCACACAAAACATATATGAAGGGTCCTAAATGTAGCAAAATGAAAAAGTAATAAGAAGTATGATGTTGAAAGTCTTAAAAACCTGGCGAAACATCTCTTCATATGGTACCGGCTTTGTTTCAATGCATCAGGCATTTTGTCAGCGATGGAATCTGATCTTTGAAGCGTAGTTGGAGATGAAGAAGAAGCCATTTTCTTTTCTTTTTATTACAGAAACAAGAAAATATCAAACTCTCCTCGGAATATTGAAATGATTGAGATGAAGTAGTTTGCTGAAACATGGCAATAATCACAACGCATTTATAATCGATACCATAAGCTATGCTGTGAAGGGGACAGAGTAGAAGGAGAAAGATGGAGGACAAGATTATTCGTTAGGAATAAAAGTTGGAAAAGCTAAGTGTTCAAGTAAACAAAAAATATATAAAAAAAAAAAGGAATATGCATGAGTTTTATCTGTTGAAGCAAAATCAGATTTGTACCTTTTGCTTTTCTTGGGGTTCATGTGAATTAACATAAAAGGTATGAGGCAAAAAGAATGCATTCTTTGATGGATGCTTTACGGGCGTTTTGGGTTGTGGTCCCTGTGGACAAAGATCTGTGTCACTATTTAGATGCATATACATTTTTGTTACTTGTATAGTTGTATAATATGAAATGAGATTTATCTATATTGAAATGAACTTTGTAATCGTAAGAAGAAAGGTTTCTTAGTTATGTTATGGCCTACCAAAATAAAATTTGGAGGATTTGAAAGTTTGTTCTCATCCGGTTAAAATGGTTATACTTATATCAAATAAGCAGAACAGACCCTGATATTTGAAGGGATCCAAACTCAAATAAATTTGTGGCCTCTGTTTATTAAATTCAAAATACAAACCAAAAACAGTGCATTGTTTCTGGATTTAAACCTATTATTTTATACCACCATACCAAAAAAACAAATTACATATCTTAACCCCTAACCAGTATGTATATTTTGAGGCCTCAAGCACATGAATCATGTGTTTGTAAGTTGTACTCAGGACAATCATGTGTTTGTAAGTTGTACTCAGGACCTGGTCTACAAATAAAAGTAAAATATTTGTTTCCAATTTATTTGACAAGATGAAATGAAAGATCCAACTAATACTTCATTGATTCAATTCATGCTCATTTAATACTACCTAACTGCAAATTCTTAAGAATTCATAAATCATAACTGTAGTCTCATTTTGGTTTACAATAAAATTACTAATGAAGCATTTATTGGGCTTTTGAGTTATATACAAACCGGGAGTTGATCACAAGCGCGAAACATACCGGATAACGGACCGAATTCGAGTTAATTAGCTATCCAAATTCGTTAGTGTCTCGAGCTCTATTACCGGTGGCAGAAATCGCCGAAGAAGACGACGGTGGTGGTGGCCATGGAGATCGAAGAGATAGAGACAGCGAAGAAGAGATGCGAATCAGTCATAAGAACAATCCGACATTGACTGCAAACATGGCGTTTGTCAGAGCTGTGTCTCAGTCAGGCATGTCTCTCTCCACCATCGACCATAGCCCTCGAGCTCTTACTGGTGATTAGAGCCAAGTTCAACTTCTACCTATCTGTAATTCTCTAAGTTCTAAAGAGAAAATCACAGAGTGAGATCAAACAGTAAACCACTCATTTCACAAGTTGAATTCGGTTTATTACAGTCCAGTCGGTTTGAGAACATCTATGTGATATACATATACCCACTAATCAAATCCGCTTGAATTAACCAAAATCCAAGTTTAAAATTTCCGGGTTTCTATTTCGGTTTTATATTGCTCTGATTCAAATGAACCGAGCTAAACCGAAAATGGATTAGCCAACCATTGTGAACCGTTAGTGACCGTTTAAATTCAACATGAAATTAAATTATTAGGCTTATTATCGGTGACGGTGAGGCCCATAAAAAATGTAAAGAGTCGGCGAACCGAAAAGTGACCGTTGCTTCTCTTCTTCTTCTTCTCGAAAGCAGAGAATCAGAGTTCAGAGTTTCTTTTTCCGCTCCGTTTCATTTTTTCAAATCAGAGTTACCGTGTTGTTTTCTGCTTCTTCCTTCTCTCCTTATCGTTTTTTTAATCAGACATCGAAGATCAGCAATAATTGTAGCTTGCGAAGGCAAAAAAATGGAGGTAATTAACTCTGTCGAAAATAGGATCAATAGCATTACCTGGATGTCTTTTTAACAATTGGAAAACTCGTTATTTTGTATCTAATGTGACCAATTTGCCATTGTAACCGAGGTTCAGTTCATTCTAGTGCAACTATCGTACAATTTTGTTACATGTGAGTCACGTTGACTCTCTCTTCCTCTGAATCTCCTGCCCAATGCAAACCAAATAATTAAGAAAGGACAATATTTGGTATGGTGATTCTAAAATGTAACCCAAATACGAAGCATAAACTCAATCACCGTTGCTCACAAAATCACGTAAACCCTACTAAACCTAAATGAGATTAACCGAACCGAATTTACAAATGAGCGACGGTGATTGATTCAATTCATGCTCATTTAGTACCTAACTGCAAATTCTTAAGAAATTTTGGTTTACAATTTACATTTACTAATGAATCATTTATTGGGGGCTTTTGAGTTATATACAAACCGGAAACATACCGATAACGGACCCAACCCAATTCGAGTTAATTTAGCTATCCAAATCCGGTTATTCATGTACCGAGTTTAACCTGGTTTACTCTCTTTCGTTAGTGTCTCTATAAAGACGCATTTTTCCGGTGGCAGAAATCGCCGGATAAGACGACGGTGGTGGCCATGGAAACCGAAGAGATAGAGACAGCGAAGAAGAGATGCGAATCAGTCATAAGAACAATCGAGCAGCTTCCTTTATCAACCGCCATCACTCCTTCATGCCGTCGCACTCTCCTCAAGCTCGCTTCCTCCGAGCTCTCCTTCCTCTCTTCCCTCTCCGCCGATCCTTCTCCACAACCTCTCAGTGTCAACATCGGCCACATCGAGTCAGTCGTAAAGCTCGTTCGGCTACCGTCCGTCACCGGCGTTTCGCGCGTCTGCAAACCGGTTCCTCTTCCGATCGGCGGCGTTCACGTCGATCTCGTCTGTACTCTCGGAAAAGCTCCGGTATGGATCATCGTCTCCGATAGAAACCCGAATTACATCTCCTGGAACGGAGACCGCCATGGAGGAAAAGGTTTAAGGTCGAGAATTCAACAGATTCTCGCCGCAGCTCAATCCACAACCACGCTAAAACCTTCTTCTGTGATCCTGTTCTTCGCAAATGGTCTTCCTTCGTCAATTCACGAGAAATTGAAAAACGAATTCGGAGCTAAAGATTTCAACTTCGGCTTGGATTCGGATTTCGATTGCGAGGAGACGACGGAAGGAGATTGGGTTAATGTCGTCCGAACCAGATCGTATAGAGAAGCAGTTTCCGTTGAGATCAAGCTCATGGATCAATGCGATTCTCTTGCCTTTCCTGATCTTGAGGTTTTGGTTAAAACAGAGGTAAGCGAAAAAGATGATTTTTCTTCTGTAATCTCTTCCATGAGACTGCAAGGTGAAGACTTTCTGGTGAATCTCGACACAACGGCTCTTGTAGCTTTCGTATCTGGAATCGCGAACGGATGTGCAGAGAGACTCTTGGAGATGCCTGAGATTGAGTTAGAGGAGAAGTTTAAAGGCAATACCGTTTTTGTGATTGCTCAGGTACACATTAATGATCACTATTCTATCTAAAGATTCAAACTTTTTTTGTCTAAAAATGACAAATTATATGCAGGCGAGATCTGAAATTGAGAATCCAGTTCTTGTGAAAATGGGAAGTGTGCTATCAGGGAAGCGAGGGATTGTATGCAAGAGTGTTGTGACAGAGTTCAAGGAGTTAGTATCAATGTATGGTGGACACAATGAGAAACTCAGAGCTGAGCAGTTGTTACATCGCCTAATGTAATTCGAATCAGATTGTGCTCTGTTTCAACATCAGAGAATCTGAAAAGTTTGATACTTTAACTCGTTATGATTGTGGTTTGGTGACAGGTTGGTGAATGACAATCCCACGGAGCGTGTGATGGGACTTCCAACGAGGAGAAAGTTAGCAATGAAGAACAAGATCGTGTTTGGGACAGGTGATAGATGGAGAGCTCCGACATTGACTGCAAACATGGCGTTTGTCAGAGCTGTGGCTCAGTCAGGCATGTCTCTCTCCACCATCGACCATAGCCCTCGAGCTCTTACTGGTGATTAGAGCCAAGTTCAACTTCTACCTAAATCTGTAATTCTTCTAAAAGAGCAAAGCTTGTATAAACAGAAACCTACCATTTTGCTTTTGTCATGTGTAGATATTTTCCAAGTGTACGCAGAACAATAACTGAAGTTTTTTTGCAGAAAAGATTAGAACTTTAATTGCACTAAACAAACATACAGAATACAAAGATCTTCCCTTTATGTTTTCTATAAACAAATCCAAATCCAGTTTGCTAGTTATCACAAACAGGGGAACTTTAGATGTTATTGACATTTGGAGAATCATAAGGGGTAGTTATAGAGGTATACCATATGTATTTCTATGGCGGGCCACTTGGCTTTTGTAACTCTATAAAGGTAAATAATATGCATATCTATTCACTGATCTATCTTTGGTTGTTGCCCTTCATGTGATTTGATGTGTTTTGTGTCCTTAGATTGTCTTCAGACCATGACGCATCTACTGAAGGAAGTTGGTACTCGTCCGGTTTCAATGCCAAGGCGAAATCAGGAAGTGTAGGTGCCGTCTCCATGATTCTATCATTCACAGCATATACAGACAACAACGATCAGGCTTGTAAAATTCATACCAACGGAAGAGAGAAAGTAAAATGTAACTCACTTTTCATAAGAGTATAGATCACGGTTTATCCTGACTTTACTTGAAGTGTCTTTAGGTATCTTCTCTGATAGATACTTCATTGTTCCAAAAAGCGGTGGAGTCCTGAGGAAAATGTGGATGGATCTTTAATGGTTAGATACAAGGCGGACCATCTACAAACGTCACAGCGTATGGATTTTACCTTGACGTGGGTGAAGAGGTGTTAAACGCCTCACTTGCTTTCTTACTTTCTTTGAAACACTCGTCTGCAGCCTGTAAGGCAGCAACCGCCATGCCGTGAGATTTCTCTGTGTTTCCTTCGTCAAGAATCAAACCGTGGTAGTAGTAAGCTGCAGCCTGGTACAAATACACAGAGATACCAAGTGTCTCAGTGAGAGTTTCTCATTATAACAATCTAATGATGTGAGAAAGAGAGCCAAACAAGTACCTTGGCTTCAACATATTTCCACTTAACAAAGAGTCTATGCTTTTCTCCCCAACCATTTGCCAATGGAAGATTCATTAAGTTGTCTTGAGCCTGATCAATGTCCAATCAAGAAAGTGTTAGAGATCTTTCAACTCGAGAATCACATCATAAAAGCCTATCAATTCTTCCATGAGTTTCAGAGAAGAGGGGCAAAAAGTAGTAAGAAAATCAAGCAAGATTTTCTACTTTCTTTCTAGTTTGGTCTATTCTCTCTTTTCAGTAAAATAAACGAGAAGTAGACAAGAAGAATTAGTGGACGCCTGAAATGGTGATATTTCGTAAATTATGGTACAACTCCTATTTTCCGCCTCAAACATGAGTGATGAGCAGGCACAAGTTAGTGACACTTTTATGATAGTGAAATAACCACTTTCTTCTTTTTGTCCATTAGTTTAAAGTAGAGGATAATACACACTACTTTCCATTAACAAACTATCTTTTTAGCGTCTCACTTCCTTTATTAAAGTGATAAGTGATAACCAAAAAATAAGTTATGCAAGAAAACAAATTTGATAAGGTAAAGTATTTACCTGCTGCCAGTATTTCACCATTTCACATGAAAGTCTTCGTTTCACTGCGAGAGTGGCTTTTGCGCTATCAATCGCCATCCCAAGTTGGATATCAACACCCTAAATCAGAAAAATCAAAACATTTTAGACCATAAACAAGAGGACTGAATATTCTATCAAAATATTAGCAAGTACCATCTAAATAACATGTAGAACATAATAAATAGTTTTACATATCCCAACAAAACGAGGTTATACCTGGCCTAATGCTTGCAAGCAAAGAGCCCTTAGAGCTCCTTCCGCTAAGTCAACTGGTAAAGTTCTCCTGTAGAAAAGAAAAAAAACAAGGGCCATGTCAACAGGGTTGATAAGAAGAATCAACAATTAAAATGGGTTGACATTTGTCAGATATGAACCTAAGCTCGGCTGAAAACTGAGGGAGGACATGCTTGACAGCACAGTCAAGGTATCCAGCTGCCTTCAAGAAGATATCAATCGAAGCTCGTCTGTTTTCTATACAAAGAAGGAAATAAACACATAACGTCACACCTTCAGGATCTTTCCATTACATTTAACACTACAAAAATCCATTGACAAGTGGTTCGTTCACTTTGTCACTAAATCTTGGAAAGAGAAGCTTTCTGAAAGCAAGGCTAGAGAGACTGGACAATACATTCCTTCTACTATTCTACAGTTCTACCATTCCACCATTCTAAATCAAACGAGAAACAATTAAGATGAATGAAGGTCTAACCTTCTGATACTTTTGGGTGGTAGCCATCAGTGGAACCTCTAGGAAGAAGCAGCAAATTGGCTTGTGACATTTGCAGCATTGCCATTAGATGCAAAACCGACAGTATCTCATACCAAACGTTTGCCATGGCTGTTTCCTGGTAGTGGTAAACAAACTTGTCATATACTCAACAATCTCCAATGTAAAAGTCAAAAGTTTAAGAGCACAAATGTAGAGATAAACTGCTTTAATAATTACTGCACCTCTTCCTCATCCTCCTGATTCACCCAAATAAACTGTACTCTGAATTGTAACTGACTACCTGAACACAAAACAAATGCATGTCAGAATACATAGAAACCAAACAGATCTCGATTCTGTAGCACATAAATGGTATTATACCATCTTTAGTTAATCCTAATAGAACAGGTAGATAATCTTCCAGAGCTTGATGGAGATCTGCAAGCGTTGAACCTCCTGCAAGAAACAACTCTATTGAGTTTGAAGAAAGGAAAAGAGAGAAAAAAAGAAACAGAGAATGATATTCTCACATACCATGTTGAGTCTTCCTCCTAGTTCTTGTTATCGTTGGTCCTTCTTGATTTGCCATCACAACTATTCTCGTTCTTAAAGCTGTCAAGCGCTCCACTAGAGTCTTTGGCAATTGATCACCCAGTGACTCAGAAAACTCCACAGGCTTAGGTATCCTTAAACCGGGTACGTATACTGAAACGTCTCCTATGCTCGTTGGCTTTCTTCTGTTTCCACCAGAGTCCTTTGGCGTTGATGCAAAGCATCCCATTTCTACAACCCCAAAGTATAAACAGAGATAAACTAAATTTGATATGATCAAAGCTAAGAGACAAGAGGATGATTCCACAAGGAGACGAAACTAATTAATATTCAACCAAAAAAACAGGAGAACTCCAATCTCGTCCACTAGATTCATAAGATAAAGTTAAACTAGCTCACGAGACATCTGCCACACTATATACAATCTTCATAATTCTACGTGACCAGAAATTTGGAAAATTAAGCTACTTTTAGACCAATGTCCAAGCGGAAACAAACAAGCAGATAGATGTGGTTTTCGAAAACCGAAAATAAACAGGAGGAGAGTTTTGGTTTTCTCACCTACCTCTTGACGTTTATCAGATTTATTGGCTAAAGGACAAATGATTCAAGTGATTGCTGCAAGAAAAGAAAAAAATGGACATGTGACTCAGAGAGAAAGCATGAAACTTTAAAAATGCTTCTGTTCACAATTTTCTTCCACTGTGAAACGAATTCAAAAGCTAAACGAAATTCTGGAAAGAGGCAAACAAAACCCATTAGGAAAAAAAGGATTTTTCAGCTCAAGGAAGCAACTTGACATTGAAAAATGAAGACTTTGAGTGAAGGGTCGTCAAGGATAATGCTAAATTTGTATATGAAAATGTTAAAGATACATCGAGAAAGAGATGCTAACTTCAATCCATGAATAAAGAAAACCCTTAAGCAACATTTTTCTCTGGAACAATAACTAAAGTAAGAGACTTTCAAATCGAGCTCAAATTTGACTCCAGAAGATAAATAGAAACCTCAGAACCCTAAATTCAGACTTATAGCTAGAAGGATGTGAATCCAGAACGATTTTGAATCTGAAAATTTAAAAGGTTAAACCTTTACCTCAGAGACCTTCAAAACTCAAAAGAAAATGCTTTTGCTCTTTCCTCGCAATTGGATATTGCGAAATGGGAAGTAGAGAGAGATGGTGTTGGAAATCAGAATCGGAGCAATGATATAAATCCTGGTGCAAGCGAGAGAAGACGGTAATTAAAGAGGGTGATGGGTGGTGAGAGAGCAGAGGATAAAAATGAGAATGAGGAAGATGAAAGAAAGACTTTTGAGGGCACAAATTTCAACTTTATTAATGCTCTTTCGACTTTTAAGTACCTACACAGTACGGCCCGCTCTCATCGAATTATTAAAATTGTTGAAAAATAATCTGACTAACAATTTCTGAATATGAAGACCTAAATTTTTAACTCAAAGTAAACCATAGAATTCACTAAAACAATGCAAGTATTATTTGTTACAAAGGTACAAATGAAAATGACAATATAAATAGAAATAATATACGTTGTATCACGGTCTATAATGTTTTTTTTGTTTTGTTAAAAAGGTATATAATGTTACCAATCAAAACTATTATCATAAGCGATGTTTTGTCTTTAAACTTATCCATATGTTACAAAACATATCCCTATGTTACAACTTACAAAGTTACAATGTTAGGTAAATAAAAACAAGTGTGAACTTAGCAGTTCAGAAATTGTTATGTATGTGTTATCATACGATTTCATGCTTTTGGTTTAAGAAAAAATACACATGTATCAAAATATAAAAAGTTGGTCATCATTTTCAATTTAAGAGTATGTACACGAACCAAAAAGACAAACTACCTATATAATTTCAAGGTAGATATAAGAAAAATATCTTAACGATAAATAAATGTGTATGGAGGATGATGCCCACCACCATCACCAATACTTATCCTCCAAACATGCATACGCATGGATGTGTGGTTGGTTTTCTGTATTCTAAAATTATTTAATATCGGAAACTCATTCGCGCCATCCTCTCACACTATCATACAAAAGCTTTAATAATCTTATTAAATAAACTAAACTACGTAATTTACTCGTATGTACAGTCAATTGCCTCGTACGTTAGGCTTTATTTAAACATGTACATTGTTTACATCTTGGAGAAAGCAAATGTGAGTATGTAATCATACTCTTCTACAGTGTTAAGAATTGGATCAGTTTGGACTATTTATACTAAGCATACAATACAAGACCGGCTTAAACAGCATAAATTTATGTTACATGACATCAAACGGACCGTCACTCTCTAAATTATCAATGAATCTTTAGATCTTTTGGTTAATATAACACCCAAAAAAATGAGTCACAGACAAAATCCACCGGCCTAGGTACATACTGCATAAGCATCCCACATCCCACGTCCAGTTTTTTGTCCAATAATGTTCTTGACCAAAATAAAACATAATCCTTCTTTTGGAAATAATGTAAATGTAGTAGTGATGTCACATACAGCCCACGTGGCGATAACATGACGTTATTTTGGGCGGGGGAAGTAGAAGATATTTATGGCAAATCCAGTGGGAATGGGACACGTGTTCAGGTTCATGAATCGGTTTCGGTTAGGACTTAGGAGATCACGACTGTATCACCGCCCCCAACGGTATGAAACAAATTTATAAAAAGGTGGCAGGACGGTTGGTGACGACACGTGTCTCCAATCATTCCAGTTAAAATAATGTTGGTCGAAGTTACCCAAACTAAAGGCAAAAGCTATCTTTTTGTGTTCGTTTCGTCTACGGCTTGCTTTCCTTTTATAGAAACTGACTGCTTTTATGTTTTTATATCGTTACAAGTAAACAAAAGGTACTCAAGCTCAATTTTGGTTTGGTCGTTTTGCTAATTTGGCTTAGAAAGGTACTAATAAAGATGTAGTATGAGTTCACATGATACACAGTTTTTGCTTAAATTCATGTTTGTCCATTAATTAGGAATTTTAGTTCCATATGACTTTCGTTTTCTTAAGATAACCAAAACAATTTTGTTATTTGCAACATTTCTTTATCCTCTGAACTGAATCAATTATGTATTGTCATTTCCTTAATTATAATGTCGTGTTCATACTACAATATGAAAATCACACTTTGCGTCAAAATAGCATAATCTCATTTTGGCGCTAAAACTAGTTTAGTTTTCAATAAACGAAACATAATCCATATAATGAAAAGGCCTCAATTAGAAAAAGCCCATTAACGACAACACTTTCAAAGCCTCTCTCTCTCTCTCTTCATCCTCTGTTTCGCTTCTCCTCCCTTCTCTTTCTCTCTCAGTCTCTCTCACTGAAACCCTCGCGAAGGGGCTTAACTTTCCGGTGATCTCTGGATGATGCGAAGGCTAGTGATCTCCTGTATTCGTCGCTCTAGATCCTCCTTGCATCTATCTACAACACCAACAGAAACCTCCGCACTTCACTCTATCCAAATCGGTAAAATCTCCTCCCAATTCATCTTCTCGAAGCATTCATTCTGTTCCGCGACTTCTCCAAACCCAGAAATCGAAATTAGCGGTAGAGATAAGCTTTCCGAAGATCAATCACTCGTTAATTTCAATGGAAATGATAATATCAGAACACAGGGCTCGAATCACGCCGTTGGAGTCCTCCACGAGATCATAACATCGAATCCGAACGCGTACGACGACATGGAGAAAGCCCTAGACGAATCCGGCGTCGATTTAACAACTCCGGTGGTTTGCAAGATCTTACAACGCCTCCAATTCGAGGAAAAAACAGCGTTCCGATTCTTCACCTGGGCTTCACACCAAGAACAACACTACTCACACGAGTCCTCCACTTACAACGAGATGATCGATATATTGTCAAGCACCAAATACAAGGTTAAACAGTTTAGGATTGTGATCGACATGCTCGATTACATGAAGAGGAACCACAAATCCTCCGTCCCCACCGATGTGATGATAGAGATTCTCAGAAAGTACTGCGAGAGGTACTTGACGCATGTGCAGAAATTCGCTAAAAGGAAACGGATTAGAGTGAAGACTCAGCCTGAGATCAACGCTCTCAACATGCTTCTCGACGCAATGTGTAAGTGTGGTTTGGTGAAAGACGCTGAAGCTTTGGTGAAGAAGATGAGGCACAAAGTTAAACCTGATGAGAATACGTACAATGTGTTGTTCTTTGGGTGTTGTAGAGTCAGAGACCCTAAAAAGGCGATGAATTTGCTTGAGGAGATGATTCAAGCTGGTCACAAGCCGGAAAATTTCACTTACTGTGCTGCGATCGATGCGTTTTGCCAAGCGGGGATGGTGGATGAAGCGGCTGAGCTGTTTGAGTTCATGGTGACGAGAGGCTCTGCGGTTTCAGCTCCAACGGCGAAGACTTTCGCTTTGATGATTGTGGCGCTTGCGAAGAATGATAGAGAGGAAGAGTGTTTTGAGCTCGTTGGTCGTATGATGAGTACTGGTTGTCTTCCTGATGTGTCAACGTATAAGGAAGTGGTTGAAGGTATGTGTGTGGCTGGGAAAGTTGAGGAAGCGTATAGGTTCTTGGATGAGATGAGTGATAAAGGTTATCCTCCTGATATAGTGACTTACAATTGCTTTCTTAGAGTGCTCTGTGAGAACAAGAAGAGCGATGAAGCGGTTAAGCTTTATGGGAGGATGGTGGAGACGCGTTGTGTTCCTAGTGTGCAGACGTATAACATGTTGATATCTATGTTTTTCGAGATGGGGGATTATGATGGAGCGTTTAGTATGTGGAGAGAGATGGATGGGAGAGGTTGTGGTCAGGATGTTGAGACGTATTGTGTTATGATTAATGGGCTTTTTGATTGTCATAGAGGTGAAGAGGCGTGTTTTCTTCTGGAGGAGGTTGTGAGGAAAGGGATGAAGCTGCCGTATAGGGCGTTTGATGATTTTTTGGTGCGTTTGTCGGAGGTTGGTGATATTAAGGCGATTCATAAGGTTTCTGAGCATATGAAGAAGTTTTATAATCATAGTATGGCGAGGCGGTTTGCACTTAATGAGAAGCGAAAGAGTACAAGCCTCAGAGGAAAGTAGTGGAACCATAGATGCTAATGTCTTGATGATTCTGTTGCCTCAGAGTGGAGATCTTGATTATGATCTCTGGTGAATTTCAACCATTATTGTATCCAGTTCTGGATCAAGAATGGTGCCTCAGGTTATGTTGTTGCGCATGATATGTCTTGGCGTGTTCATCAAAAGTGTCATTTGTATTGAGTTTTGTGTACATGGAGTGGAATTTTTGTATGAAGCTTTTGAATTCGGTTAATGAACGTGACAGGGCTGTTTTAGCTCATGATTCAATCTTGGTTTATCTGTTTGTGCTCTCTGAATCTTGTGACTTTTTTTGTTAATTTAATTTTCATGTGAGTTTCTTGTGACAATGTGATGCTACAAGTTAGAAAGTTTTGCAGCTCTGGTGAAGAAAATAGTATACCACCGGTTTAGTGTAATCAGGATTCGGTTTATGATAGGTTAGAAACTGAAGAAGGCTTTTTCTCTCCTAACTACCAATGGAACAAAAGAAGTTGGTTATGGTTATTGCTTCCTTCCCAACTAACTCTGAGTTTTATGTTTTTTTCCTACTTAACTTTACCAGCAATTTATCTTGTTTTTTTTTGTTTTATAATAAAATAAAATAAAAAAGACAAATGGGAGAGATTTTGCAAATAATCAAATCCAACCGAAGAGCATTCAATGTAACTAACCGAAGCTGTTTTCAGTCCTGAAAGTACGAAACCTATAAAGTTCTGTTTTGGACAGGAGATAAATTAATGACGTGCTTGCACACCAAATGTTTGACCACTTTTTCTTTCTATTTTTATTATGACTAAATGTTTTGACCACATACGACGCACTGACGCAATGGCAAACACAACAAACAATATTTTTCAATGGTGATATTTGCGGTTTTTTTGTTTGTTAACGAAGAGGGGTTCGGTTTCAATAACATCAAATAAAATAGAGTTACCACTCAAAGATTAGTGTATTATTATCAATTTTAAAGTAACAATTTCACAATGCAATATCTTATCGTATATTGCAACCACAAGACAATTCAGTGGAGTAAGAAAACTCTTTAAGACATCTGCCGCCACGAAAGTCCAGTTCGATGCATTTCTTGTTACAATCTGGAATTCTCGAGCAATTACCTATCCAATAAATGTCTGGACTTGGTAATTCGTCAGCTTCCGTAACTTCTGAAATAATTTGAAAACTTTAATCAATTATCTTAAAGGATACAGTAGATAATAGAATGTATAAATTGAGATATCGTATAGCTTTAAAATGAAAGAAATATTAATTTATTTTGTTGCTTACTAGGGGTCAAGAGAACAACGAGACACAAGAACACAAGAAATAAACATTTGCCTGATGATGCCATTTTTGTTTTGTTTGCCAATGAAATACAATTGAATAGTTGAGTACATATATATAGTACACAATGTGATCCTTCCGTAGTGTATATGTAATTTATAGTAATATTTGAATTCAATTTAATTTATATTGGTCAACTTTTAAGTATTTCCTATAAGTAAATTACAAGATAATGTGGATTCTGTATGACTAACAGTTTCTTAACACATTTGGATACACCTTTTATTATTTGTATTATAGCGTATGAAAAATGTTTTGTAATGCAGCAATGGCAAAACAACAACGTTAAAAACAAACATTGTAAATCTTTTGAAGTGGTGAAAGCACAATATATTTGTTTTGTCGCATTGTAACGTTGCTAATTTTTTTTTATCCAACCTTTATAATTTTAAATTAAAAGAAAAGGTTTAAAATCGTATAATTATTAATTTATTATCTATTTGTATTTTTATCAATATTGGAAAATATATGTCCGAGGATTAGTCCTGTCAGTCTCAGTTTCAATAACATCAAATAAAATAGAGTTACCCCCAAAGATTAGTGTATTATTATCAATTTGAAGTAATCATTTCACAATGCAATATCTTATCGTATATTGCAACCACAAGACAATTCAGTGGAGTAAGAAAACTCTTTCAGACATCTGCCGCTAGGAAAGTCCAATTCGATGCATTTCTTGTTACAATCTGGAATCCTCGAGCAAAGACCTAGAAAATAAATATCTGGCCTTTCTGCCTCAGCTTCCGCAACTTCTGAAATAATTTGAAAATTTTAATCAATTATCTAAAAGCTAAAGTAGATAATATAATGTATAAATTGAGATATCGTATAGCTTTTAAATGAAAAAATATGAATTTCCTATGTTGCATACTAGGGGTCAAGAGAACAACGAGACACAGGAACACAAAAAGGAAACATTTTCCTGATGATGCCATTTTGGTCTTTGTTTTGTTTGCCAATGAAATGCAATTGAATAGTTCAACATAGTTGATCAGTACATATATATTGTACAGAATGTGATCCTTTCGTATATATTTAATTTATAGTAATATTTGAATTCAATTTAATTTAGATTGGTCAACTTTTAACTATATCATATATGTCACAAGATATTATGGGTTCTGTATATATATGTTGACTAATAGTTTCTTACCACATTTGGATACGCATTTTATTATTTGTATCATTTATAGCGTAGGCCGTAGGAGATATGTTTTGTAAATTGTAATGCAGCAATGGCAAAACAACAACAATAAAAACAAACTTTGGAAACAATTTTGAAGGGGTGAAAGCAACAAAATATTTTGTCCATCTTTTATACTATTAAATTAAAAGAAAGGGTGTAAAATCGTATAATTATTAATTTCTTATCTATTTGTATTTTTATTAATATAAAAAAATCTGTCCGAGGATTAGTCCTGTCAGTCTCAGTTGTTAAGGCTTCGGTGTTAGAAACATGAATTAACTTAGCTAGAAAAATTAGTTGTATGATGTCCACGTTGGCATTCTAATTAAGCTAAGGGAAAACGTTGATTAGGTCTGAAAGGTAATCAGAACCTATCCATCAATATTTATATGCGACCTGCCATTTAACCAGAAGTCCACAACATTGTCACCAAACTCTCTTCTTCTTCTCGTGTTTTTTTTTTTTTTTTTTTTTCCGGATTTTATTTCAAAGTTAGCAAACTGATATTTCGAAGTTATCTAAGCATTTAATCAGCATCCCCCAGTAATTAACAAAGGGGACATACGTTAGAATCCACATACTATGGAATAACAAAGATCTCATATCTATCTTATAATGTTTCTAGAAATTACCCATGTATAAAGCTTAGCTCCCTAGCTACATAAATATATTACAACTACACGTGGAAAACACACAAATCAGTTTATGATATCAATATTTTATATTTGTAAATACGTAGGTTGCCCAAGATTACATAAACGTAGATGAGTATTGGTGGCTTGAAGTAGCGGGCGTAGGTTAGAACTTAGAACTTTGAAAAAACCCTTAAATTAATACCACGAAGGGACGTTGAGAGGTTAACGAAATTCAATCCACAGCAAGCAATCTCTAGCCTTAAAGTTCAAATATATTCCATGTATACTATAAACTAATTAATTAAAATTTAAGTCACAAGTTAAAAAAAAAAAAAAACAAAGAAAATATTGATTACTTAAAATGGGTGTTGTGTTGGTTAGGGAAGACGTTGGCATCAGTCGCCGGTGGAGAGGTCCGTCCAAACCCTTCCGACTCACTAACGGATTTTATTTTATTTTTATTTTTATTCATATAAAATTTAACTCTCTAGTCTCTATATTAGACTATATATATGTATACGTGCTGTTGCTCTTCACCTTTCTTCTTGTTCCCACATACCCATCTTCCCCAACCTTTCCCCAAAAAAAAACTTAGGGTTTGCAATTTCTTTATATATAAAATACACGAACATCTGTCTGTTTTCTTTTCTTGTGATAACTTCTCTTTGTTCTTGACTTCTTGTATTGGTTTGGATCGGTATACTGCGTGTTAATAGTAATAGATAGATCGGCGTGACGTAGAAAGGATCATGTGCAGTAGAGGCCATTGGAGACCAGCAGAAGACGAGAAGCTCAAGGATCTTGTCGAACAATATGGTCCTCATAATTGGAACGCCATAGCCCTCAAGCTCCCTGGTCGATCTGGTAATTAGGGTTGGTCCATGTATACTATAGGGTTTGATATTAAATAAAAAGATGTTAATTAACTATGTTGATGTATACATGCAGGGAAGAGTTGTAGATTGAGATGGTTTAATCAGTTAGATCCGAGGATAAACCGAAACCCTTTCTCGGAAGAAGAAGAAGAAAGACTTTTAGCTGCTCATCGGATCCATGGGAACAGATGGTCCATCATTGCAAGGCTTTTCCCTGGAAGAACTGATAACGCGGTCAAGAACCATTGGCACGTCATCATGGCTCGACGCACACGTCAAACCTCCAAGCCTCGTCTTCTTCCCTCGATGACCTCGTCTTCTTCTTTGATGGCGAGTGAACAAATCATGATGAGTACTGGTGGCTATCATAATAGTAAGAACTCCGGTGATCGGAAGAGAATATTACCGGGACATGTTGTTAATTACCCTTACCAGTTCTCTCATATCAATCATCTTCGGTTCCTCAAGGAGTATTTCACCGGAAAAATAGCTTTAAATGCCAAAGGTAAACTCAAAACGATGGAGAATGATCCAAATATTTTTAAATCTGTTTGCATGTTCATCTGAGTCTTACACAGATTATTAATGAAAGAATTACGTCAAAAACCTTTACAAAAGATTTCAGACTTTTTTGTCCATTTACCTGAGTTTTTCATCGCATAATTAAATTTATTTTGATAAATTCAATAATTTTGCGACAAAAATTCTTGTTTTTTCATGTAGTTAAAATTCATGTATATAACTATGATTTTTAGTGGTTAGTTATGATCACTCTGTCTTTATACACGTATAGTATACATAGATAGTTGCAATCCACTTATCCACATTTATATATAATTATACATCTTCTGATTTGTTGACATTCTTATCTATGTGATTGCAGTGGACCAATGTAAAAAACCTATGGAGTTCTACAATTTTCTACAAGTAAACACAGACTCAAACAAGAGCGAGATTATTGATCAAGATTCAGATCAAAGCAACCCCAATGACTCGGACAACAAAAACGAAAGTCGTGTTCCCTTCTTCGACTTTTTGTCTGTTGGAAATTCTGCCTCATAGGGTTAACTTGTTTGCATTATATGTATACTTGTGTAATTCCTAAATTTCTAGCTAGCTTAGCTAATTAGTCCGTATACGTACGTGACTTTAGATCGGTAACATCTAAGTCTGATGTGTAAAACCACAAACTAGTGAGCTCTAATGTGCGCAAAATGTGAAAAAGTAACAATGTTAATGTATCCACACACATTTATCGGGTTGTATGATGAGTTGGGAAATATGTCTAATCATATAATTCTCTGATCAAGAAAAAAAAATCATATAAATCTTACGGCGGCGTTCTTAATTAGTTTGGGAAAACGACTGAAAATGGTCTTTGTGGTTAACTAATCAAAGAGAACAAATTACAAGATGTCGTGTGGTAAAGAAACAAATGTATTTACATCAGCGGACTAATCAAACATATCCTTTACGGTCAAGATCATGCACAAATGAAACTCCTACATTCACCTTGCAAACTATTCATAGTTTTTTGCTAAAAGGTTTAACCATCCATCACTTATGTCAACATATTGGATTATATATATATCTATACAATGACACTGAAATGGTTTCTTACGTACATACTCTACCAGATTTCGTATTAATTTCAAAAGTAAAATTTCAATTTCTAAAGCACTCACTTTCACATATGTTCTGTTACTTCTATATGTCCTAGTTGGCTAAATAGGTTTAGTTTTTCTTATAAGAAAAAAATGTTTGCACGTATACGATGTGATAGTGTACAAAACTACCTACGCTTTGGACTTTTGATGAAGAAAACTTATCCAACTAATTTTTTTAATGGTGAAGTATGATAACGGAAAGACGAACAAAATGGATGTTGGAGTATAGATGTGATTAAGTTGGGCGTAGTTATCAGCCACCAAGAAAGATTTTTAAAGGCAGCAAATAAAACCTTAGTCAAAATAACCAAAAATTATGTAAAAATAATGGGCTGTAGTTGGAGATAAAAAGCACACATTTTGACAGTTGACAGTTGACACGACTTATAACCACATGTTATTTCTTTCCTTAACCACGCCATCTAATTTCAACTTTCAATTTCAATTCATTCATGGATCAGTTTAGTGGATAATCATATTAGAGTTTCTAATCAACAATATAACCATTCAATTATCCAAATACAACGCAAGTAATCATTATATTGCTTTAGACCAAAATTTGGCAAACAAAGTGATATAAGAGGTGACAATTGACAAATCATCATCTCTTTCTTCCTTTCTATACTTTTTGTTATGCTGTGTATACAACAACAAAATTATGCTCCATTTTATTGTATTTATACCTTTTCATGCATATAGTTGAGTTAAATATGTATGTCACGACGTATTTGATTAAAGAGAAGGCGAAATATAGAAGGGAAAGTTTCAATTTAGAAGGTCAGGGGCAAATAGATTTTTGTTAAAGAATTTGAGGACTAACTTGCAATAGCTGACATGAACAAGTGATAATTTTTGCGTAAGTCGACACACGTGTGACATCCTTCCGTCTCTCGCCGTCTCTGAGCCCCTAGATCGCCGGCAAATCTCGTCGCGTGTAATTGCGTTTTGCGTTTTGCGTTTGTTGCGAACGCCAACGCAGAAATGCGTTTCGCTCGAGCGATTTGGTTCAATGTAACTGTAACACCATCTGGATCGCAATTTAACCCAGCAAATGAACACATTTTCAAGTTAAGAGTAAATTTCAAATAAGCACAGATCGTCGTCTTCCTCGTCCAAACGACGAATCAGACTCGAGATTCAGAATCTCCTTACCTCGAACAACCGCCGTAGATATGGCGACGAGGGCGGCTTCGTCGTCTTCCAGTCTCCCCAAATCTGGAGCTATCTCCAAAGGCTACAATTTCGCTTCCACTTGGGAACAGGTAATCGCGAGCTCGAGATTTCAACATTGGATCTAGGAAAATCTATTGATTAGACTAATGTCCGATGTGCCCGGATATGGATCATATGCTCGGATAAAATGGCTGGATCTGGATGATACTCTGTGTGTTTATAATACCAGAGATTCAGTGTTGCCTGATATACGTTTTCGTTTCATATACTGAATTGCAATGTGGTTACTTGTGTTGCAGAGCGCTCCGTTGACAGAGGAGCAGCAAGCAGCTATAGTGTCTTTATCCCACGCAGTCGCTGAGCGGCCATTTCCTGCAAATCTTGTGAGTCTGATGATATCTGTTTTTGCTTTTCTTTTTTGAAAGTTTCCCCATTTTTTGTTTGATGTCAGTGTTAGTTCCTGGTTTTAGGTACATGAGCATGTTCACAGGCCCGAGAATGGCTTGGCTGTATCTGCGGAGGACACAAACTTGATAGATTCTGGAGCAATTGAAGCTGTTTTGGTTAATACGAATCAGGTAATCTCTTGACCTGTGACGTTTGTGGAGATAGACCAAGCTTAGCTGAGCTGATACTATAGGAGTTGCATTTGTATTTGTGGGTATCTCTTTGCTTGCATCTTTCTATGTGTACTTATGCTTCCTCGTTTTTGGCGTATGTTGGTTTAATTACAGTTCTACAAATGGTTTACTGATCTTGAATCAGCGATGAAGTCTGAGGTTAGTGATAGTCATGTTGTTCTTTGGTTTAAAGTTAGGAAACGTTACTTCAATTGTGTCTAAAGGATTTGTTATTTTCTGACTTAGACAGAGGAAAAGTATCGGCACTATGTCAGTACTTTAACTGAGCGTATCCAGACGTGTGATAATATACTTCACCAGGCAAGTTTTGTACAATGTTGTGGCCTTACCTTAGGATATGGCATCTGTTTCTGTATTGACCTTTGGATATCTCCTGTACAGGTTGATGAAACGCTCGACCTATTTAATGAACTGCAGCTTCAACATCAAGCAGTAACAACAAAGACTAAAACTCTTCATGATGCATGCGACCGACTGGTATTATTTTCTCTGTCTTTTATGCAGCCAAATGATTTAATTGTCTCTCTTAAAGTTTTGTATGCTATTTCCTCCTACATGCTATAAAAATTGAAATAAGAAACAAAAGATGCTTAGTGTATCGATCAAGAGTTTCGGACTCGCTATTTGATTGTTGTTATTTGCTTACCTGAGCTCTTTCTTCCACCTTTTCTAGTTAATGGAGAAGCAGAAATTGATGGAGTTTGCGGAAGCACTGAGGAGTAAGCTCAACTATTTTGATGAATTGGAGAATGTAAGATTTAAATTCTGCCTACAAACATAATTTTTCCCATACGTTAAAGCATAAGTGCGGAGTTGCTGGATATAGTGCTTTTGTTTTACTCACGATCTTAATCTACTCAAATTTTGGCCCACAGTGGTACTGTAGTTCATAGTGTATGTTTCTCACTGAATACTGGTTGTCAAATTAGGAGGAAATACCCAACAAGGTGTTAAACTGCTCTAATATCTTCTTTCTCTGCAGATATCCTCCAATTTTTATTCTCCAAATATGAATGTATCAAACTCTAACTTTCTCCCACTACTGAAACGGCTGGATGAGTGCATATCGTAAGTAAATGATGTTTCATTCAATATTATGAAATTTACATTCACTAGTTGGGAATTTTCTAAAAGAGTGCCGCGCTTAATTTCTTCCTGCTCCTTGAAGTGAGTGTAATATGCCACTTTTACCTTGTGTTCTGTAGGTACATCGAAAGTAATCCTCAATATGCGGAGTCTAGTGTTTATTTGCTCAAATTTCGCCAGCTTCAGGTACTACGAAGAGCCCCCACTCCCTTTCTCTCCCCTCCCTATTTCTCTCTCACTGAGAGACGTGTGGGTTTACGGTTATTACGCATGCACAAACTCATACACTGCTCCCAGAATTTTAGGGGAGATATGCATTTTGTAACCTCTATAATGAGAGAAGACTAACATTTATACATTTTACAGTCACGGGCCTTGGGCATGATTCGAACTTACATCCTTGCAGTGCTCAAAACTGCTGCTTCCCAGGTTAGCGTTCATTGTAATTAGTATACAGTCTTGCTACGCAAAGCATGTACATATTTTGTTCTCGTGTCTGTGTATGTACACATACTGTAAATATGGATGTGGTCTGTACATGGAGAATGAATTGTGTAAGTTTCCTTGAGACGATCATGTTAATTTCATTTTCAGGTTCAGGCAGCATTTCGCGGGACAGATGGAAACAAAACATCCGTCTCGGAGGGTGTCGAGGCATCTGTTATATATGTTCGCTTCAAGGCTGCTGCAAGTGAGGTGATACCTTTTTTTCATGTTAGAGCAAAAATGTTGGGTTGCAAAGTCACAATATTTAGATAAGCTAAATTTAGATAACTGAAATTTAGCTTTTGTAGCATTATTTATTGTCAAGTTTGTGAGTTTAGTGTTGAGATTACAACATGGCGACAATTTCTTTGTTTTAACGTTGAAAATCAAAAATATTCTTGTCCAGCTTAAACCTGTATTGGAGGAAATCGAGAGTAGGTCAGCAAGAAAGGAATATGTTCAAATCCTTTCAGAATGCCACAGACTATACTGTGAACAACGGCTTTCTCTTGTGAGTTCCTTTTTCTGCATTACAATGTGGTTTAGTTTCTACCTTCAGGTAACTATAATTGCCTGTCTATTCTTCATTTCACATTATCAGGTCAAAGGCATAGTTCAGCAACGAGTATCTGATTTTTCCAAGAAAGAGGCACTGCCATCTTTGACTAGATCGGGTTGTGCTTATCTGATGCAGGTATATGAAGGAGAATAAAGGAACGGATACCTCTTTTTATTCATGAGGGATACTAGGAGTTATACCAGCTTAGTAAAAAACGACATTGCTATTATCATAGGAGATAGAAATATTTAAGATACATGAGAATGTTATTATAGCTGTTAATCTGTGCGATTTCAAAGGTCTGTTTGAAAGAAACAACGGCCAGAATATCAATATAGCCAGTGAATATTTTAGAGATTGTTAATGGACTTGGTTTAACGCAACATAATTTACTGGATCACATGTCTTAAACCCCATTATCAATCTCAGGTTTGTCACATGGAGCATCAACTATTTACTCATTTCTTTCCAGCATCATCAGAAGAAGTTTCAAGTCTGGCACCTTTAGTGGATCCCTTGTAAGCTTTTATGTGCCGTGCTGTTGATGTTCACCATCTCTGCTTCTGTTCAATTTAATAAAGTGGTTTTTGGCGCCTTTTATACTGAAATATAGACAACTAATACAGATTAAATTAGTTTGAGCCATAAGCATATAATTCATTTACATGATTACTTAGTAGTTGAGAAGTTACAAATTCATTTTCCTTCTCGTTCTCTTCACTCTGTTTGTGTTCATTAAATAGTTCAGAGCAGGGAATTCATCCCATCATTATAGTTAATTGTGATACAGGAACCTACTTTTGCTGGCATTGCCTTGATTTTGTTTAGTACTAGTCTCTTTATCTTGATTAAAAGTTGGGAAGTGGTTATAGCCGGTGGATCCATTACACCATAGTCAACTTTCTTTGAAACTGATTATAACACTGTACTTCAGGATTTTCCTACAATATTCAGAGAATAGGAGTAAGCATTAGTGATCACGTTTTACGTTTCGAGCAAATGTGAACTTTTATGGCTTGTATCTTCCAGATTGTTTACGTTTATTAGATATTATGCGATGCATCATATTTATCGTAATTGCTTGAATCCTGAACAGGTCCACGTACTTGTATGACATTTTACGCCCAAAACTGATTCATGAAGCAAATATTGACCTTCTTTGTGAGCTCGTTCATATCCTTAAAGTTGAAGTCTTGGGGGAGCAGACAGCTAGACAGAGTGAAACCATGGCCGGACTGCGGCCTACATTACAAAGAATTTTAGCCGATGTTAATGAGAGATTGACTTTTCGTGGCAGGACATATATTCGAGATGAGGTGCCATACTTACCTTACCAGCAGATATTTGGATAGTTTTACTACATGTTCATTATTCTCTCTCTCCCGCCTTGGCCTTCAGTTCCATATGCGTGGTCTGCTAATCTTCGTCTGTAGAAATAGTGAAATTTGTATGATGCACCACTTAAGACGAGTCACCTACTTACTGATAAGATGAAATCAACTAGAGAGTTTTGTTATTTTCGTCTGTGTTATCATGTTTTAAGTGTTAGATGACTATGCTTTACATATGCTGTGTTTGAATTCTCATCTCACTTCTGCAGATTGCAAATTATATTCCATTGGATGAAGATCTGGATTACCCTGCAAAGCTGGAGGGATCTCCTAATACAACATCTGAAACTAATCCCGAGGTAGAATGAAAGTTTCCTAGATTATTCCTATGGGTTAGTAATCCTTAATTGTATACAAATATTCTACGGTGCAGGATGATGAAAACGCTGATGTATTTAAGAGTTGGTATCCACCTCTGGAAAAGACTCTCTCTTGTCTATCAAAATTATATCATTGCTTGGAGCCTGCAGTCTTCACTGGACTAGCACAGGCAAGACTGCTCTATCAATAATTTTATTATTCTGTCAAAGAAGAGATATGTTTAGGAAATGTTGTCTAACAAACCATCTCTTCCTTGCTACAGGAAGCTGTAGAAGTTTGCTCTCTGTCAATCCAAGTAAGCAAGCTAAAGAACCATATTTTCCTTGCCGTGACTTCTTTTCCCTTTTCAGCTGTCCTTATTTTCAATTTCACGAATATGTGCCGCCATTTTAATAATAAAAATTTGATTACAAAGCTTTTATATATCCTCCACGTCTGCCATGCTGAGAAGTCCACATTATTTTGTCAAATGTGCAACAGAAAGCGAGCAAGCTTATCATGAAGCGATCAACTACAATGGATGGCCAGCTGTTCCTTATCAAGCACCTCCTTATCTTGAGGGAACAGGTTATGGCTGATCTAACTTTAGTTGGCTTCTTTTGCTACATAGTCAGTGGTTATGTTTTAAACGATACTTCTATTTGTTTCCAGATTGCGCCTTTTGACATAGAATTTTCAGTCACCCACAAAGAGCTTGATTTCTCCCATTTGCTGGTTAGTTCTTCGATACTACTTTGTATGGTAGATCTAAAGCTTTCTTTATCGCCTTTGAGAGGTGCTTATATTCGGTGCAGATTATAGGTATTTTCCACATTCAGTTTCTTTCTTTGCTAACTTTCTCCGATAATTCATGTAAAAATTATGATTAGGACCACGTGAGGAGGATACTTAGAGGCCAAGCGTCACTCTTTGACTGGTCTAGGTCAACCTCCCTAGCAAGGACTCTGTCACCTCGAGTTTTGGAGAGTCAAATAGATGCCAAGAAGGTTGGTGATTTTACTCTTCCATCCACCATCAATAGCAGATTTGCTTCATGTTTACATAAGTTTGCCAATCAGAGGTGTTGAGTTAATTTTACAGTTTAAACCCTGAGCATCTTTCTGCGAGACTGATCTACCAATAATGGGGAAAGATGAAAATCTTTCATACTCTGGTTGCTAGTAGGCTCAAGAGATATGGCCAGTTTTTAGCAGACATGACTCTATGATGTATGCTGGAAACTTGCATTCCTCTACATGAATGGGAATGATGCATGGACCTTTTTTGCAGGAATTGGAAAAATGTCTAAAGACAACTTGTGAAGACTTCATCATGTCAGTCACTAAGCTCGTTGTGGATCCTATGCTTTCATTCGTGACCAAGGTTGGTTTCTCTTTTTCCTCTTTTCTGGGAAAAAAATGCTTTTCAAGTGGTCTTAAGATTCGAAATGTTTTCTAATCTGTTTCATTTTTAATCTCCGTCTGTGCATGACAAAGCATCTTCCATTTGTCTAATACACAACTAATAAGAGGAGTGAATGAGTGATGGTTTATCTTCTAATGGAAAACCGTAATAGTTTTGTTTGTACTTTGTATATGTAGGTCACGGCCATAAAAGTTGCTCTTTCCACTGGAACTCAGAATCAAAAAGTCGATTCTGTCATGTCTAGGCCACTGAAGGAACAGGCTTTTGCTACTCCAGATAAGGTCGCTGAACTTGTTCAGAAGGTACGAGATTCATAAATAATTAATGTACCCTTTGAGTTTATTTCTTTCTTCAAGTTATATCTCAGAAATAGAGAGATGTCAGCTATATCTCAAAACACGATGAAGTTTTGCGTGTTTAAGCTAAATCACACCTCTCCACACAAAGGGAAGTAAATGCTGATTTGTGTGACATATGTACTTGAACCAGGTCTACGCTGCAATACAGCAAGAGTTGCTTCCGATCTTAGCCAAAATGAAACTGTATCTGCAAAACCAATCGACAAGGACCATACTTTTCAAGCCGATCAAGTAAGTCCATTTTTTCGAAATCCTCTGCATCTTTATCGACCATCTAAAGTTTAAAACTATCTTTGGCTTGTTTCATGTGTGCTTGTTCTATTCCCTTGTTACTGAACCCAAATCTCTTGCTAGTTTGAGTACTAAAAATGCATTGATACGATGTATATGTTTTCAGGACAAATATTGTGGAAGCTCATACACAAGTGGAGTCTTTGCTCAAATCTGAGTACTCAGTTGAAGAACAAGCCAATATCAATATGATCTCTATTCAGGATCTGCAAACCCAACTCGACAATTTGATCTAAGGTCATGGCTCAATCAATGATTTTGATGTCCATACTTGGTTTTTTATTTTTATATATAGACTTAAATTTGTTTTTACTACTTATAGCTACTTTACAAGAGTTCATTTTAGAAAATGAGTATCCAAGAACTCATACATCATGGTCTGTACGTTTAATCTATTTACGGTCGGTCAAAGATTTGTGAAGATCTTATGCTTATATACAAACTAGTTGTCGTTGTCAAAAATATATATAAACTAGTTGTCATTTGTCAAGTTATGGTTGGGTTGCTCGCTTCATGGATGACGGTATAATTACAACAAAAATGATCTGTACGATATAATTAAAATCTTATAAAAATAGTAAAATATTATTATTTTCACACAAGAAACAATCGGAGTTTTGGGTATATATATAAACGAATACTGTAAATCAATGTAATTTGGGATTTTATATAGTTTAACATGGTACGCTAATCTCAGGTGCCATTCTGAAGTAAAATTCAAAAAATGGAATGATGTGAGTGTCCACACACACTCTAAAACATGCTAAAGAGAGATTCAGACACGACTTTAGGAGACCACTTTTAGAAAGATTACTAAAGTATTTTTTTAATGAATGCATAGATTTTAAATGTATATCAGCTTATAAGCAAATTTTGAAATCTCTTAAACCGTATTATCATCAGTTTTTTTATTTTTAATTTATTTTATAGTAGTCCGTTCCGGGCCTTCTGGCTTTGAGCATTCCAATTTCAAGCTGTCCATTTTTAACTTCTAGCTGTCCTAATTAATTGAAAGTTAACTCATTTTAGTCCAAACAAAAAACATATTTTCATTACAAAACGAAAAATCATAAATTTTGATTGGAAACAGAAAATGTGTTTAGGAAGAACACATTTTAGATTAGGAGTAAACACATAATTCGAATATCTAGATTTGACTATTTTGTTTTTGCAATACGTACAGTATATGCGTGCGTGCGTATTTTGGCACATATACGCTTACCATAAAGCACATAGAATATTGGAAGAAAGAACCCTAATTTTAAATTTAGGAATTTTTTTTCTTCTAATTTACCAGTGAATGTCTGAAATCATTACATCCATTGAAACCTCAACGTGGCTTCGCCTGCTTCTTCTTCTTCCTTGATCTGTAAGCGCATTTTCATTTCTCCTTGGATCCACTTCCCTTATGCGTCTTCCTCCTCTCTCAATTTTTGAGTTTCTGTCCACCGAGATCTCCAGCTGTTCTTGCAGACTCCTCGATTGCGCGTTTGAGCATGATTCCTGAAGATTTTTAAGGGCTTGCTCGCTTATTGTAGCTCGCATCTGCTTCCTCAATCCGTATGAGCAAACGTGAGTCTTTGCTTGCTCAGCTAATTGGCTTATTCCTGAAAATGTGACTGAAAGTATTCGTTTTGGGGGATTTTGATTCTTTCTAATTTGGTTTGAAACAGAGAAAAGTTTTCATCTTTTCTGTTTTGTTACAGGATTTGTGGAATTTTCTTGCAAGGTCAAAAAATGGCGGAGAAAGGCTCTGTTGATGGGATTCTAGAGTTTCTCAAGAGGAACCGTTTCTCTAAAGCAGAGGAAGCTCTGCGCAATGAGCTGAACAACAGGTCTGACTTAAACGGGTTTCTTAAAAATCTCACCTTGGAGGAGGAAAAAGATTCAGATGAAAGTGGTGCTACTAGTAACAATGAGCTTCGGAGAAGGTCAGGCTCTGGAGATAGTGAAGTCTCCAAGGAGCTGATTGTGAAAGAGATTGACTTTGGAACCGGCACGAACGGGTCTGTTCTCAAATGGGAAAACGGAGGTGAGAAACCTACTAAGAAGGAGACTATTGCATCAAGTGAAACCAGCTTCACATTCTCCAAGAACTCTGGTGATGCTGCTGCTGCTGCTCCTGATGCACGTCCCTATAAGTTTACTTCAGGGAATGGTACCTTGGAGCCTTATCGAAACGTTGATGATGTTGATAAGAAGATAGTGGAAACTGGTGAAGATATTGTCTTCTTTGGGAATAAGAGTACTACTTCTTGGTCTGGAAATGCTGATAAAGGGAACTCAGCAAATGAGATTGATCGGCTGATTGAAAATTTTGGAAAGCAAGAGAGCTTTATGAGTAGTAGCACTCGGTTACGAGGTGAGAATGTTGTGGATACAACGTCAGAGAGCTGGAGAGAGTGTTATGCGTCAACGAGTAACAACAATCTGGTGACCAGCTCGGAGAAAAGAGAAGGGAAGAAGAAGGCAGAGGTTAGTGATGTGAGAGCGGTGATCAAGGAGCAGGAGAGCGAGGTTGCAAGAGCTTTGTTCTTCGGTAAAACTCAGTCTAGTTTTGATGACAAGAGTATAGGTTTCCCGCTTGTTTATGATACTAGGAAGGAAGAGTTTCCTAGGCTGCCTCCTGTTAAGCTCAAGTCTGAAGAGAATAATCCTCTGAGTCTTTACTGTGATGAGAAGTTTGAGCGTGATGGTGGTTCAGGTCCAAGGCTGATCAATGATGACGAGGCCCTTCTCATTGGCTCTTACCTTGACGTTCCCATTGGTCAAGAAATCAGCTCATCAGGTTAGTCATTTTGATATGATAAGTGTGTGTGTGTGGTCTTAATTCATATAGGGACTATTGTGGTCATCACTTTGCTACTAGCTGTAGCTTGTTTTAGTTTTTATGAACTCATGCATTAGAACAATGCATAAAAAAGTTAGTGGCATCAATTAGAACAATGCATAAATGTTTGCCTCATTGTCTTCCTTTTATATAATTCTACTATGCTCTTTGTTTTGAGTTTATTCACTTTCTTGATAGTTTGAGCTTAACCTTATCAATTTGACTTGGCAATGATTCACATATAGGTGGGAAGAAATCTGCTGGAGGAAACTGGCTTTCAGTGAGTCAGGGAATAGCAGAGGATGCGTCAGATCTTGTATCCGGCTTTGCTACCATTGGTGATGGTTTGAGTGAATCTGTAGACTACCGGAATGAGTACTGGGACTCTGACGAGTATGAGGATGATGACGACATTGGTTACGTCAGACAACCTATTGAGGATGAGACATGGTTTCTTGCTCATGAGATTGACTATCCAAGCGATCATGAGAAAGGCACGACCAGGGAAAGTCCTGATCACCGTGAAAGAGATGCAACCAAAGACGAGGATGATCAGTCTTACGCAGAGGAGGCTTCTTATGCTGAGCCTATCTCTTCGGAGAACGACAGAAGACTTACTGTCTCAGAAATCTATCCAGCTAGCAAGAAGAATGATTTAATAGGCCAATATGATGAGGAAGTGCGTGATGAGCCTGTTTGGCAAGGGTTTGTAGCTCAGACGAATGAGCTTCTCATGTTAGGTGATAATAAGAAAGCGCATAGAAAGTCTCATCTTGATGATGTTTGCCTAGAAGATGATCAGCATGACTCGGTCAGGTCGATTGGTGTTGGTATCAACAGTGATGCAGCTGATTTCGGCAGTGAAGTGCGTGAGAGTTTGGCTGGAGGGAGCAGCGAGGGAGATTTCGAATACTCTCGTGATCATGATGGTGTAGTAGCGTCCAGGTTTAAACAGCTTTACTCTGAGCCAGATAAGAAACACAAGAAAGCAAGTAGAAATGATGATTCAGGCGGAAGTTTCCATGTCAAGACTCAAACTGATGGAGGCTTTTCGTTTGGTTCCTCGCAGAAAGATAGGCAGTTGTTGATGCATGCGGAGTCTAGTAAATCATTAGGCAGAGATAAGAATGCTTCAACAGCTACTGATGATATGGTTGCAACTTGGAGACGGAAGAGTAGTGATTCGTCAAGCTCTCAAAGCTCTGTGAAAGAAGATAACGCAACGTCTGTAAAATCTGCAGACTCGTCTCCTTCTTCTCTGTCGAACTATGCTCGCGAGGAGAGAAAGCATGGTGAGAAAGAAGATGACAGAAGTGATAGCAGTGAGAGAGATGATGACCATGTGACAGCACTTGATGATGAAGAGGCAGTGGCTGTGCAAGAGCAAGTAAGACAGATTAAGGCCCAAGAAGAGGAGTTTGAAACCTTTGACCTCAAAATTGTTCATAGAAAAAACAGGTGAGATTACAATGTTGGACTGATCATAGTTTCATATATAGCTGAGTGCTGTTGTCTGATTATATGTTTTGATGTTTGATCAGGACTGGTTTCGAAGAGGAAAAGAACTTCCACGTGGTGTTAAACTCGGTGATTGCTGGGCGTTACCATGTCACTGAGTATCTTGGATCAGCAGCGTTTAGTAAAGCCATACAGGCGCATGACTTGCAGACAGGAATGGACGTTTGTATAAAGATTATAAAGAACAACAAAGACTTCTTCGACCAGAGTCTTGACGAGATAAAACTTTTGAAGTATGTCAACAAGCATGATCCTGCTGACAAGTACCATCTTCTCCGGTTGTATGATTACTTCTACTACCGAGTAAGTGGTCATCTCTCTTTTGCTTAGTTTTAATCTGGCTATAGCATTATCAAAATGGTTTCTCTGGCTGTGTTTTACAGGAGCACTTGCTAATTGTATGTGAACTTCTCAAGGCCAATCTATACGAATTCCACAAATTCAACAGAGAATCAGGTGGTGAGGTTTATTTCACAATGCCGAGATTGCAGGTTTGTCCTCCTTTCTTCATCATTTACCTTTCACCATAGATATAGATATATTGCTGTTTCCTGATTGACCTTTTTTGTACAGTCAATCACTATCCAGTGTCTTGAAGCACTTCAGTTTCTACATGGACTTGGACTTATACACTGTGATTTAAAGCCTGAGAACATATTGGTGAAGAGCTACAGCAGATGTGAAATAAAAGTCATTGACCTCGGAAGTAGCTGTTTCGAGACGGATCATCTATGTTCCTATGTCCAATCAAGGTCATATCGAGCACCAGAAGTCATCTTAGGTCTTCCTTATGATAAAAAGATCGACGTTTGGTCTCTTGGTTGCATTTTGGCTGAACTATGTACAGGCAACGTAAGCTGTGCATTTCCATTGAGTTGGTTCATTTATCTGATGTCATCTTTGGTTGTTTGATTTTGTGGAGTTACTTTTTTTTGCAGGTTCTTTTCCAGAATGATTCTCCAGCTAGTTTGCTTGCAAGGGTTATGGGAATCGTGGGATCTATCGACCATGAAATGCTTACCAAAGGACGTGACTCCCACAAATACTTTACGAAAAACCGAATGCTCTACGAGCGTAACCAGGTGAGTGTTGTCCAGAGACCTACCTTCAAGAAGAAGCTAATAAGAACATTGTTTCTCAAATTTTTTTTTTTTTTTTTGGATTTTTGTTTTGGTTTCAGGAAAGTAGCAGATTGGAGTATTTGATACCTAAAAGGACATCGTTGAGACATAGGCTACCAATGGGAGACCAAGGATTCACAGACTTTGTGGCTCATCTTCTTGAGATTAACCCAAAGAAGCGTCCTTCTGCATCAGAGGCTCTCAAGCATCCTTGGCTTTCATACCCTTACGAGCCAATCTCTGCTTGAAAAACTGTTTGGTAACACAAATTTGGTGATCAAAAGCAGCAGATTATTGGAAAGCTTATAATATCTTCTGTTGTGGCTGTCTTCTTCAGTGGATTAAAAGAAGACGAATTAAGATTCTTGTGGAATTTGAGTAGATGTTATGTAACACTTGTGTTGTCAAAAACTTGTGATTATTATTTATTCTCTTAGAACAGATAAGTAGTGGAAACTTTAATTTTGTATCATCTCCTGATCCTTACTCGTTAGTCCTTTGATTATTATTTATGAATGTTTTTTTTTTTCATTCTTCATGTTATTTTGATTGCTGTAAGAAATAGTAGATGTTTATTTCTGCTATTATTATTTTTTTTTCGCTTTTGTAAAATTGGGAACCATTAAAACTAAACATCCAATCATATCCATTATAATTAAGGTTTTTTCGCAATGTATTTATGAAGATCATCAAATGAATTTGGAAAACATGAAAATTATAAAAAATGGAAAAATAAAAGGAAAACTAGAAGAAAATGAAAGTTTGAGAACAGTTTGTTTCCGTCGCTGAGGAAACCAGAGAGCTAGTAAGTAATTGATTCCGATGACCACTGTATCGGTCGCCGTCGTCTCATCATTTGTAGCTCCTCCGCTTCGTTGCCCATTCTCTCGTCATCATCTGAGTCGAACCAATCTCTCTCTTCAAGTACTATTTTCTCTCTCTCACTCTCTCTCTCTCTCAGTGGGAGTTTTGTTCTGGTTTCATCTTCTAAACTTCGCGTTTCCTCTTCGGTTTCTGATTGTGAAGATTCCTAAATCCGGCTTCCGGAGGAAGCAGATAAGGTTTGCTGTTTCCGCGACGGCGGCGGCAGCTTCGGAATTGCCATCGGAAGGTGGAAGGAAATCAAAGCTTTGTGTTTCATTCGATTTCAATTCCTTCCGTTACATTGCAAATTGTTTACTCTTTTTTTGTGGAATGTTGGGGTTTTGCAGCGACGTATGATCCGGAGCTCCGTTTGGTTTTCGAGCTCGCCACCGATTCTGAATTGTATGAGCTTGAGAACATCCTCTTTGGTCCCAGGTGATAATTTCACAAGCAAATTTAGTGTGCTTAGTGTGATTTTGGTTTTGTGCTTCTGAGTAATGTTTAGTTTTGGGGAATTTATTTTGTTGTTGGTGAGAGCAGCTACTTCAGTCCTCTGCTGAAATCAATCCCAAACAAAGGAGGAGGTGATAAGCTAATGATAGGCCAAGACATTGGAGTGAGAGATGGTTTCATCGAATCTCTTGAATCCAGATTCTTGTTTCTCGCTGCAGATGCTCGCTCAACGCTAAGGTTAGGCTTGCTTGCCTGCTTCTAGCTTTGTTGTTAGGCAATCAATTGCTTCCCTTTTTGGGGACTTCACTAGGATGTAAGGCTAGGGAATTAAGTTTTCAATGAAGTATAGATATCAACCATGATCTCTTCTATTGGTTCTCTTGCAACTTCAGTACTCATCTAGGTGAAAGCTGATCGATTTTGTCTCTCACTATATGCGTTTAAAGAATTTGAGTATGCTTTATGAATCTGCTTCTAAATAGGGGTTGGAGGCCTTCGTATAGAAACGTTTTACTTGCGGTGAGAAACAAGTTGAATGTTCCCTGCTCCACCCAATTGCCAACGGAAGACCTAGAAGCAGAGATCTTTCTTTATCTTGTCGACAATTTCTCGAGGTGACTCATTGGTGCATTCTTTGCACTCTTGTTAACTCTGCAACCTCTAACTTTCTTCCATGTAGTGAAGCATCAGGGACTTTTCCAGGCTTGTGGGAAACTTCTGAAGTATCAGAGGCAAATGGAAGCTTAGAACTCGGGCTTGATAAATGGAAAGTGGAACTACTTGCTGCATTACAAGTGGGTGCTACAGAGGTCCAATCTATGATTCTCAAGGTTGTCTTGTGTTAAAAAGATCTTTCACTATAATGATACCTTGTTTCTTCTCAGGCTTACATGTTGTTTTCTTGGTGCAGGGTGGTGGCATGATCACATTTGCAAAGGCTTATCAGTTGGTATGAACAGTTTGTGTGTGTTTAACTTCTTCTTCCTTGAGAGGCGATGCAAATATGTCTCTTTTGTCTCTGTATTAGTTGGCTAAGAAACTATCGGGTAAAGTATTTCTTGAAGCTGCTAATTACCAGATGAGGAGAGAGCTGCTTAAAAAGGTTTTGCATTTGTATTTCATTTCATCATCAAGTGTCATAAGCGTTACATGTTCGATGTGTTGTTGATACATCAAAAACTTTCTCTACAGGGTGGACAAATAGCCGCCATTAACTTGGAATCTCGAGCAGCTCTGTTAGCAGCAAAGCATGTATAGTTACCGTCTCCATCATTTTACCTTTCATACATAAAAAAAAAAAAAAAAAAAACTATACTTTGCCTTACATTTTCCCTCATTCACAGGGATTTGCAGGAGCTGCATCAAGATACCTTGGCTTAAGAACAGCGATGCAATTACTCGGCCCCATGTAGGATTACACTGGCCTTACCCCAAGATAACATAGCAATTTAGGGTTTTGTTGTTGAGATAATAACTGTGGAATCTGCAGGATGTGGGGGACATTACTGGCTGATCTGGTTATTCAGATGCTTGAGACAGACTACGCCAGAATCTTAAGAGCAATTTACGCGTTTGCACAGGTACGTACTTCTTCAATTTTTCATAGGTGTTACTTGGTTTCAAGATTCAATCAGAGTTTTTAAAAAGGGAATGTTTGTTTTCCAGATTCGGATCACCAGGACATATAGGTTACCTTGTAAATGAAGTTAACAGTTTTTTTTCTCCAGATTCTCAGTCTCAGTGTCTCTACGGATTACTATTATTAAAGAAAAATAAATAAATGTGAAGCCTCTACGGATTATGTCGGTATATAATGTCTATTAACACTCGTATTTATTCGATTGTGGTTGAAATGAAATTAGATGCTACTCGAATAGAAAGAGAGTGGTCCAAGATAGAAGTCGGCGTTTGCAAACGCTGTTTTGGAGCCACGGAAACATGTTTGTTTTTTTTTTAAAGAAAAAAAATATCCGATTCCTTCAGTGGTAACGAACGGATAAGAGACGTGAATGGTTTCTTTATGACATGTGTCTGGTCCGTGACCCTCGAAAGCAACGGCCCTGTCTCTTTCACGACGATAACCCGCCGCGTCTCGCCACGTGGCTTCCTGTCGGAATTTTAGATTTTATTCCATAATTTGTTAAACTTACTTATTTTTATGCAAATAAAATCGTCTGTAGATTAACTGAATTACTAGGTGAAACTTTTTTTTTTGTTGCTAAAGATGATACTCCCTCCGTTTCAGAATGTATGATGTTTTCCGTTTCAGAATGTATGATGTTTTCTTTTCTTCTTGTTTCATAATATATTGATGTTTTAGAATTTTTAAGGTACTTTTATCAATTAATGCTAATAAATTACAAATTTCAATGACTATTGATTAAAAGTAATTGGATTCTTGAATTTCTATTGGTTAATATTTAGTAAAAAGTGGTTTATGTAAGAGAAAGATACATTAATTGTTAAACAATAAATATTTCTTAATTTGTGTAAAAACTCTAAAACATTATACATTCTAAAACAGAGGGAGTAATTATCTAGTAAATTAACTTTTACTAGGTGAAACATTACTTGATAATTATCATTTTTTCACTTTGGATGCTTACTTAGATTTGTATTGATCTCTCCAATTCAACAACGTGATGCAAACATATAGTTAAGTGCTTCTTAATTACTAGGTTGTCTTCAAATCTTTCTGTTAAGTGTGGAGTGAACATGAAAATCCGTATTGATTGTGACAGTTTTGTTTTTGTGGTTCTCATTTTGAAACATGTGTGGTCAATTCATTCGTGGCCGTCGTTGAGAACGAGAGACTTGTCTTTTTTAGAGAGTCTGAAGGCTGAAATAAAATTCAAATTGAAATTTTATATCACGAAATCCCTATTATAATTCATATCGCAATCGTCCAAAATTTTGACGTGACGTACGAGACATGTTTTTCAAAAGCTACAATATCGTTGGATCATATCCAAACCAGACTACTTTGTGTGTGGATTTCTTTTGTAATTCTGAAATAACTTGTTTTTTTCCTAAGTTTTTGTATATTATAAAGATTTGTTTTGCTTTCGTCAGTTCTCATTAATGTTTTAAATTGAGATATATAGAAGGTTGTGTAGAGAATTCATAAAGTTTTGCAAATGAGCTTTTTATAGATAGGAGGACGGTCTTTTAGGGTAATTTCTTGCAGATATTATTTTGAATTTTTGTATAAAATAATCTAGACCTCACACGTGTCAGCTATGCAAGAAGCTCCTCGTCTCTTCTCATATTCTCTCATTTCTCTTTCCCAAAGCTTCGACGACACCTTTACCAAGTTTCCAAATAATAATATTCACAACAATAAAAAAGTAATTAAAAAAAAAAGAAACAAACAAAATACAGTGAATTTGTGTATTTAAAACACACTGTTCATTCGAATTTTTTCTTTATAACATCATCCTCTACAACTACAATCGTTTCACTATCATCTTTTCTTCCTCATAAGCCATTATTACCTTACCTAAGCTCTGTTTTCTTTATAAACAGAGGAATCCCTAAATTTGGATTCTCTATTCAAACTTTTTCCCCATTTTGCTAATTTTGGAAGAAGGAAAAAAAAACGATATTGTTTTCGTTTTCCTTTTTTTCCATTTCTGAATTCCATTTCCTTTGTTTATGATCTGTTCAAGTGAAGGAACGATCTTAATCGCTAGAGAACAAAATTCAATCCCCAGATTAAACGTTAGAGGATCTTCTTCTCCCCCAAATCACGCGAATCGAATCCCGAAAAACCTTCCGATCATCGTCACAACTTACCGGCGATCATCGTCATCGTCAATGGCGGTGGAAACAATGTCAGATTCATCATCAACTTTGATTTTAACGTCAGGAGCTAGCGGTCGCGTCAGGGCGCTTTTCTCGATGCGGGAGCTCAAACGCCTCGTGGCGATCATCCAATCGCTGATTCTCTTCCTCCTCCTCCCGTTTCGCGTCGTCGTTTGGCGGCGGAGGACAGGAGCGGTGGTGATCAGAGAGGATAAACAGGAGAGGAAGGTCTGGGTTACGCCGCAGATCGTGGTGAGGAAGAGGAACGGTACCGGAGAGAGCGGTGCGAGCGGGTGCAGCGTTTCGGTTTCGCCTCCGTCGGTTCCGGCGGCGGTTGTGGATGAGGAGGTTGCGGTTAGAAGGGAGCTCGCGATCAGGCGGGTTTTGGAGGATGACGGCGGCGATGGAAGCTCCGTGAGAGTTTTTTCGCTTTTCGCGACGAAGAGAGGCGATACGTTGTTTACTCAGTCATGGTCACCGGTTTCACCGAATCACAGGTTATTCTCGTTAACATATTTTGATTTATGTAAAATCAATTAATCATTTTATTAATTCAAATTACTGATCTTTCGCCGTTAGTTATATAATTTCAACTGATTACATCCTCTGTTCTTCATCTGTTATGATGTTAACCTCAATTAGTCTAAATCGATTACGAAGTTTAATTGATTAAAAATTCAAAATGGTGGTGGTCAGGCATTTATCTATCTTCCTCGTCTCTGTTAATCTTACAATTAATCAGAAATGTGTGGTAATGGTAAAAAAACTAAATCTAAACGTGTGGTAATACAGTTCTTTGTGATTTTTTGGAAATTAGCTAGTGAGCATGTGATAAACTGGATGTTTCTAGAAATTAGTAGATGAAGAACAAAATCCACAAATGTTTTTTTCAGGGAGATGTGAAATGCTGAAATAAGATATATGAGTTTTTCATTTCCTGGATTTTGTATTCAAGTGGTACCAATAGATATTTTTTATAAAAAAATATTGAAATGGATCCCTTAGATATTTGAGAAAGTTGGCTTTTAGCATTTGCTATGTTTAATATTGAAGTGGATCCCTTAGATATTTGTTGGTTCAACTAGTTTGCTTAAACCAGAGAGTGTCACAATTTTTGTTGAGCTAAACATTGATAATGATTATAATATGCGGATTCAGTATCGGGACTAGATTTAGTTGGTGGCAAGCATTGCTTATGATTCATTAAGAGAAGATCAAGCAGATTAGCTGGGAATAATGTAGGAAAATATGGTGTCTTGTGTATATTATAGTTAAGAGAAGACTTTGTCAATGACTCAATAGTAACCTGTACGGTGTAGATTCCTTCTAAACAAAAGACAGATAATTTGGTCTAGTGTCTTTCATGCCTCTGATTTTGCAAGCTAATTTGTGTGTTTTTTTTTAATAGAAGTCAATAGATTGGTAATCTTTCATCATTTTCTTGTCTGGTTTCTTATATTTCGATATTTTTTTATTGCAGGGGACTTGTTGTTCTATTACATGGATTAAACGAGCACAGGTTTTAGCCTATTTCTTTAGCTGCAACATTTGCTTAATAATTTTTTTTTGGCACTTGGAAGCTTAATATTTTTAGTTATATTTTCAGTGGGAGGTATAGCGATTTTGCAAAGCAGCTAAATGCTAATGGGTTCAAGGTCTATGGAATTGATTGGATAGGTAATCTCACTTCCTCTTTCACCTTTTTGTTTTGTTTTTGTCAACACTCTTTCACCATTTGTTAGCCTGTTGATATTCATCATATATAGCTAAAGGAGTTTATCTAGACTATAAGAAGCATTTACTTATGTCCTCGTCTCCCATGCATTTGTCTGCTAAGTCAAATAGATTTGAAAGTAAACAAAAATTACTAAAGCATAGCCCTGAACTTGATGATATTCAAGCTGTTGGGTTGTGACAAAGTAGCCATGATTTTGAATATTTTTTCTGGTGTACTTGAAACACGCTCTGTTTCATAGGCTAGAAAAAATACAAACTCTTCAACCATACCTCTCTGTGTTTGGATGTCGCAGGTAAAAATAGTGATTTTTGTGTTGAGGGTGGTGCCCTAATTCGTGTGGAAAGGTGACACATGAACCTCATCTTTAGCTTTACAGTGCCAAACAACTTAGGGACTGTGATTTCTAATACCTGCAAAACAAAATAGAACTTATAGCCTAGCATCTCCCTCAATGATAACTTCCACAACCTATGAATTTGACTCTCGAGTTTCAATTTCTTGTTTTGATCTAACAGGTCACGGTGGAAGCGATGGACTTCACGCTTATGTTCCTTCCCTTGACTACGCTGTCTCAGATTTGGTATGTAGTTGCAAGCTTGTAGCTTCTGTATCAGCTTTCTTGTTGCTCAAACAACCTCACTCACACCATCTTCATCTTTGCAGAAATCATTTCTTGAGAAGGTATTCGCAGAGAATCCAGGACTCCCCTGTTTCTGCATTGGACACTCTACAGGAGGAGCAATCATCCTCAAGGTTACACATCTCTAGACCCATTAATCAACATCCAAATGTACACTACAAAAAACCTAAAGAAATGTTTATAAAAACTAAGTGCAGGCTATGCTGGATCCAAAGATTGAATCTCGAGTTTCAGGCATTGTATTGACTTCACCAGCTGTTGGAGTCCAACCATCCCATCCAATCTTCACTGTAAGTTACTTAAACCCAAACAAAGTCATATAAAATGTTCTCAACAATCTGATCATTTCTCTCTGTGTTGTTTGCAACAGGTTCTTGCTCCAATCGTTGCGTTTCTCTTGCCAAGGTACCAATTCAGTGCAGCGAACAAGAAAGGCATGCCGGTTTCTCGAGATCCGCAAGCTCTCGTCACCAAATACTCTGACCCTTTAGTCTTCACCGGATCCATCAGGGTCAAAACCGGCTACGAGATCCTCAGAATCGCTTCTCACTTGCAGCAAAACCTGAACAAAGTGAAAGTTCCTTTTCTTGTCATGCACGGCACAGCTGACACAGTGACTGATCCCAACGCCTCTAAGAGGCTCTACGACGAAGCTTCTTCGTCAGACAAATCGATCAAGCTCTTCGACGGGTTGTTGCACGATCTCCTCTTCGAACCTGAGAGAGAAATCATCGCTGGAGACATAGTAGATTGGCTAAACCAGCGGGTTTAGCTCTCTTTCAAAAACCAACAAATTACTTACTATCACATCGAATCAAGACTTTCTTAATATTATGATTTTGCGGAATTTTCTGAGTAAATCGACTGAGAAACGTGAGGAGGAAAGAGATTAAAGGAGTTCTTGGTCAATTTGGCAACTTCTTGGTTGGATTTTTTCTCAACTCAGAAGTAGAAAAAGAAAACAACAAAAAAGGAGACTCCAGAACTTGGTTTCTCTTGTTATTCATTGGTCTCTCTCAGAACATTTTGACGTTGGTATATTGTCATAAATCAATAATAATTTTGTAACTTCTGGAGTTTAATTACAACTTTGTCTGTCTACTAAAATTTTAGTTCGTGTTTATATGAAACCTATATGAGATTTTGCTTGTTTCGATTGTTTTCCCTTGTAAATATTTTTCATTTGTTGTGTAAATTAAGCATTTTTTTGTTTGTCCAAGAACAAAAGATAATTATTTGGTGCTCATTGTGGGGGTCACTCGTTACGAAAAGTCAACTTGTATGTTATTTGTCTTTTTATGGCGAGTTTGACTGCCTCAGTTAATGACTTTATGTCCTGTACGTACATTTGTAACCTAACTCACTGGATAAAGTGTACTTGGATTTCCATTTTGGTCAGTTCCAGTATATTCTGAAAAGTAAAAAGTAGTGAGTTCATTGTTTTTACTCTATGTCTACATTTAAAAATACAGACAAATCACAAATATTTGGAACAAACTGTATTATATAATAATATATGAAAAGTATTTATCAATCAACCAAATTGTACTTATTACCAAAAAAATAGATAGTCGTGCACAAATATAAACGAAAAAAACAATTCAAGTGGAATAAAACAGAGAAATGAAACCCAATAACAGTAATCGTAAAACCAAATTGTAGAACTCTGTTTCACACTTGGCCATATACAACAACTATGTCACAGGTCGAGGGTGAGTCTTTTTTCTTTGTTACTCTCAAGAGTGACACACTTATGGACTTTTCTTCTTCTTTGTGATTCATCAATGCTAACGTAAGGCAGTTCGTCATCATGTCAATTTCATATTTGTTACAAATTTAGTGATTTAAGTAGAAAAAAAACAAGAAAATAACAAAGTGGTTGTTATCAACTCTTCCACTAGCTAAAACCTCCGAATCTTCGACGAACATACAATCTAAAGAGAGAGATTTGCTTCAAGCAAGTGGAAACCAAAATTAATATATTTTTCCTTGCACAAGTGGCAAGCAACTGAAAATTTAAACTTCGACTGCGCAGCCCTTATCTTCTTTTTTTAAGAACGTGCATTTTTGTTTTTGATTTTCCACGCAAGATAAACTAAATCACTAACGTAATGATCTACACATACTATTATTTGGATATCTTAGGTCTTTACTGTCCTAAATCATGTCAATGAGTTTCGTTATTTCTTCTAGTTCTACCATATTGACTTAGTCTAATAAAGCATCGCTGTTTGAGTAATTTCTAATATCAAAATGGCGATGAGAATCTGAAGATATTTTTATAATTTGAAGATAATTTTGAGGGATTTTTCAATGCAAAAAAAATGATTTTCATGGGCCAACAAACATGAACTATAAATTAAAAGAATGGATAATGACTTCCCATGATACAACATTTTACAATGAATGAAAGATACAGTATCTATGTCTTTTACAAATAAAATAATACATACCAGTAAGAATTATCTGATTTCTATGTAAATGTTTTAGATAAAGAGTATGTATTAGTACTGGTTGTTAATGTCATGTTCGTATACAGTAATGTAACTCCAGAAAGATTGAAGAAAAATAGTTTTATCATTGAAAGGATAATATACGTTTTATGCTATTGCTAGCTCGATTTTCCCTAAAATCTGGAGTATATGTATGTACAAAAAATTACGATCATAATATATCTCCAGAATCTAACCGAAATTCTAAAAACAAATAAAATAATTGTAAATTCGATATTTGATCAGAATCTAAAGATTCCAAAAGATCAATTTTCGTTCTTCACAAGGAATCGAATCAAACATCTTCCCGGAGAAAAGGATGGCCGAGAAGCTGCGGCGCCGTCCATCTCTTACTCGAATCCTTACGGAGACAGCAGTCGACGAAACCCCGGAACTCCTCGGAGCACCCCTCCGGCGCTCTCGGAGGTTCTCCGAAACACACGGCGCACATTAGCGTCGCCCAGTCCGGTCTCTGTCCCGGCGGGAGTAACGGAAAGTGGCCGACGAGAAGCTCAAGCATCATCAATCCGAAACTCCATACATCTCCGGCGTACACGTCGCCGGAGCTTCCTCCGGCCGATTCCGAATCGAATCTCTCCGGGCTCATGTAAGCGCAAGTCCCGACGTACGAATTGCAGTAGTCCAACGATCGGACTAAGATTTTGCTGACTCCGAAATCGGCGATTTTGACCTCGTTCTTCGAATTGAGGAGGAGATTCGCCGGTTTGATGTCTCTGTGAACGATTTTGAGAGCGTGCAAATAGCTCAATCCTTTTAAGATCTGTCTAGCGAATCCGGCGAGTCTCTGCTCCGTTACGGCGCCGCGGAGAGATTCTAAGGTTCCTCCGTCCATATACTCCATGAGAATCGATACTTCGCCGACGACCGGTTTCTCGAAGATTCCGTGACACCGGACTACGTACGGAGAGTCCGTGCGGCGGAGGATCTCCATCTCGCGCATCAATTGCCTGGTTAAAACCGGATCCATGTCGCCGTTGACTGTTTTCAGTGCGTAGAGCTCCGCCGTGTTCTTGTGACGGACTTTGTAGACAATCCCGCCGTTTCCGCATCCGAGAACGTTGAGTTTATCGAGATCGGCGGCGGAGATGCCGTTACAGGCAGCAGCAGAGGTCGCGACGGTGGTGGTGGCGGAGGTAGCAGAGAAGCGGCGGTCGGGAATCGGAGGAAGAGGAAGACGGAGATTTAGCTGACGACGTTCACGAACCAAAGCCATGGGAGAAATTTAGAATGGTGAAGCTAATGGGGAGAAGAAACTGAGAGAGAAGCTTCAGATTTTATATGGTTTTTTGAGTCGCAGCAAGTGTGAAGGAGACAACGAGGAAGGTGAAGATGACCTAATTACCCCTTTTATTTATTATATTTAATTTTAATTTAATTACTTCTTATCTTAAAATGGCGAGGCAGTTTTTTTTCCTATGAATATCGTTAAAAATGCAACTTGTGTGAGTGTTTGATTACACACGTGGTTAAATGCATCAGACTGTAATTCACTAATTTGTCCAAATTATATCATGGAAAATGACTAATCAGTTTAGTTTTTTTTTTGTCTTCGTAGTAATCATTTCAATTTGTATATGCTAAAAACCGATAAGGTATCTAAAAAGTTATGGGTATTGATTGATTTTGGGCGGCTTTCGGATTAGGACTATCAACTATGTGTAATGTATATATATTCCCCTCTCTTGCAGGATGATGTATAATGTTTTAGAATTTTTACAGAATTTAAGAAATATTTATTGTTTAATAATTAATACAAAATTTTCTTACACAAATCAATTTTTAATAAGTTTAAACCAATAGAAGTTCAAGAATTCAACTACTTGTAATAAATAGTTTCTTGAAATTTGTAGTTTGCTAATATTGATTGATCAAAAGTACCTTAAACATTCTAAAACATCAAATATTATGGAACAAGTAAAAAATCTATAACATTATACATTGTGGAACGAGGAAGTACTATATAGTGTAAGAAAATAACAGTAATATAACCATTAGCACTAAATAAATGATATGAGATTATTTCTTGCCAACTACTAATAAATGATATTACTTTACAGTCACGGAAAAAAAGGAAATAACACATTTTGGGTGTTTGTGTGAAGGTTCGATGAACCAAAGGAGGCTAAAGGACGAGGAACTTAATGACTAGTGAGGTATGAGAACGACTAATAAAGAGCATTAACATTTTTCATGCCAACGTGGAAAAGCTTGTAACAGCCATCTGTTTGTTAGATTTCTTAGGCCATCGCAATCAAATGTTGCCTAATTTACAAATCTTTTATTTGTATACAAATTCAGATAAGATTTTGTGGACACGTACATAAGACTATACAAGGTTATGTGTTTTTGCTCTCTTTCGAAAAGTCTAGTCGCTTGTTTATAATCGCCGGTCATATAGATTTCTTATGTTATATGGTTCTTGTTCACTTTTTCTTCTTTCTCTAATGGTATTTTATCTACTGTTTTTGTTCAAATTGTAGAAGGTATTCCAATTAGAGTATATGACTTACGCGATATATGGATAGTTGTTTTCTGTCGACATTTGAATTGTATTTTTCTTCGTTTTTTTGTTATTATATTTGAATTTTTTTTTTCAGTCCAAACATTTCTTTCTTTGGGTTTCAATGTGTTGCATATAGCCATTTAGAGTTTTGTAAGAACACGTTTTATTTTATTGGTCCACCATTCCACTAAAAAAAAGGTTAACGTCTTTCTAACATAAGAAAGAAAAAAAAGACCACATATTAACATCTTTCTAATTTAAGCATTTCGCATGTGTTATGTGTGCACAGTGCACATGCCTATTGTTTGATTGTAACATATGTGGGTGGTTATGTTTTGTTAGAATAATAAGTATGTCTAACAAATTAAATGTCGAAAGAATCCTAATCGAAAACTAATGTTTTCCATAAAAATAATAGAGATTGACAACTATATATAACTGATTAACTCACATAAACATGCTGAATTTGTTGATATATATATGGCGATAAAAATAAAGAAAATAGTATAAGACCGAAAGAAAAAAAAATGATCGAGTAAAGAAAAAACTCAAAGAGAGTAGGAATTGGGGAGGATCGAGTTCGAATTTGAATAACACCATATATGTTGGTGCATGTTTCATGACACAATAATTTTATTCTTGCCATCTTTCAGCATGTGTCAATTGTCATATATGTATTTATTATGCGCATGTTCACTGTTGTTTAATTGTAGAGAACGTTTGATACTAAATAATTATTAAAGTATTAATTAGACATCAGTACTACTCGTGTCGACACATATTATATGCGATCGTATGCTGTAATGCTGACGTACGCCATTTTGTTAGAGTTTTAAAAAGGAACCACAAGTAGAATTGATGATTTGCTGGTCAATAAGAATGAAACAAGCGTTGTTGGCTGATGATTGAGAATCTTCAAATAATGAAAAAAAACTCTTAACAAGGTTTAGAGTTGAGAAAGACTTGTCTTGTAGAGAGAAAGACACAATTCGAAAATGATCACTATTGGTCCAGTAGATAAATCCATTGACGTGAACCTGAGAAGAGAGTTGTAGTAGAGAGGGACATGGTCTATGCAAGGGTGTACTTTAAGACGACCATCTTCCACACTATCCGTATTCAATACCTCAAGCTTGAGATTAACTTTCTGCCAATTCATGATGAGGCCACTAGGGAATCTTCTTCTTCTTGTATACGATCTTCGTCCAAGTCGTGAGGCCACTTGACGACTTTGTAGTTTGTACTGCTTCATGGTGTCAAAATATCCAAAGTAGACGAGACACTCGTGATAACAAAATGGAGACATTCTGATTCTACGGCCTTGTTAATCACAATGAAATTGTATCTTTCTTATATGAAACATTCAAAAAACTCCACTACAACGGAATCTTGATTTCTCTGGAATCTCCACAACAAATTCACTTGGCAGAGAACACATAGGCCATTGTGATTACGACAGGCTCTTCATTTGGTTTTGGTGCTTTAGGCGTGTGCCTTTGCAATCCCATTCAAGATATTATGAAATAATCAAAAATGTAAAATAACTATATAATGCTACTGAAAATTAATGGGAAACAGAAACATTATTTCTCATATAAATGTAGATGAAAATGATCAACAAGATCACTCTAGTAGATGTTTGTTCCACAATGTAAACAATATTAAGAAAAAGGAAGCAATTAATTGTAAGAATTAGGAGAGAACATGTCTTCGATGTAGCCACCAAGCCATGGATCCATTGCCTCTGACCTAATCTCCCATGTTGGATCAAACGCTTCCCATGGCAAAGCCTTGAGATCTTCCACCCAAACACCCAACTCCTCAAACGTCACGTGTCCGTTTCCATCGCCGTTTTCACTCTCGTCCTCGGTCAAATCAATGAAACTACTCTCATGATGACTAGTCGATGAGAATGATCTCTCATCGTCCTTCTTCTTCTGGAGAACATCAGTATAAGAATGATCTACTCTTGGTTCATCATCATTGTCCTTTGGTTTCGGTAAACCATTGACCACGACACTTAGTTCGTTGACGACTTCAGCTTCGTCCCACCAAGACCCTAATCTCGGCTTCTTCATCTCCTTCTTCGACTCTAGGGTTTCACCTTTGTATTTACCACCGATGGTGATGGTTGCACCAGTAGATTGTGGTGGTCTCAATAATCTGGATGTCGGAGGAACGACGAAGCATAGTTCGTCGGAGGTCGTCTGACTTGAACGTTGCGACTCTTGGTTCTCTATCGCCATTTTTTTTTGTTTCGTACCAAAACTCAAAAAGAAAAAAAAAGTATTAATTAAAGAAGAGATTTGGAGTAGAAACAAAATCGAATTGAGAACCAATGAAGCAAATTGTTGTGATGGATCATTATATAAAGGATTAGAGTTTAGGAGAGATCCTCTCGGAAAAGGAAAACCTAACAAAAAATATTTGGAAAACTGTTATCTTCCGAAATAATAGGGGAAAAAATAAACTTATTTTATATCGAAACGGCACATAGAGACAAACATACCAACTATTGAAAAAAACAAAATTATTGACTAGACTATGACCTAAATTAATTAATTTCAACTAAAATACTCTAATCATTTACAGTAATTAAATAGTAAATCCGTATGCTTAAACTGATTGAAAATAGAAACATTAAATCTTTCATGTAAGATTAATATATATGATTAGTACAAGATCACTCTAGAAAACGTTGCTTAATACACAAGCAAATTAAGAACAGAGCATGTCTTGGACGAAGCCACCAAGCCATGGATCCATTGTCTTTGACCTAATCTCCCATGCCGGATCAAACGCTTCCCATGGCATACTCTTAAGATCTTCCACCGAAACACCAAACTCATCAAGTGACACGTGTCGAACGCCCTTAGTACTCTCAGCGACTGTCTTGTCCTCGCTCAAATCAATGAAACTCTTATCATGATGAGTTGATGATAACGATCTTTCATCAACCTTCTTCTTCTTCGTCTCCGGCTCGTGTGGAGAAGAAAAACAGGATGACTCCACTCTCGATAACCCCTTAACCACGCTACTAAGTTCGTCAAAGACTCCAACGTCAAGACAGCAAGACCCTAATCCCCTCTTCTTGCTATTAATCTTCTGCTCTTCCACCGTAACACCCAACTCCTCAAGTGACACGTGTCCAATACCCTTATTACTACCGACACTCTCGGCATCGCTCAGATCAATGAAATTAACATGATGAGTTGATGATGATGATCTCTCACCGTCCTTCTTCTTCTCCTGAAGATCAGTAGAAGAAGAGAAGCAAGAATCTACTCTGGATTCAGGTTCAGTGTCCTTCGGTTTTGGTAAACCCTTGACCACGATACTTAGTTCGTCGAAGGCATCATCGTTGTCCCACCAAGAACCTAATCTTGGCTTCTTCTTCTTCGGCTCTAGGGTTTCGCACTTGTCTTTTTCGTCGTCGATGATGATGATTGCATCAGCGGAAGGTAGTGAGGTCGAGGAGTTAAGTCTCGGAGGGATCATGACGTCGTCTGTCTTCTTATCTTTCGAATCTAGGGTTTCATCATCCTCATCATCATCGTCGATGGTGATGATTGAGACCGTCGTAGACTGTTTTGATCCCGAGGATCCGAATGACGGAGGAATCTTGAGGTGGTCGTCTGTCTTCTTCGAAACTAGGGTTTCATCCTCGTCGTCGTCGATGGTGATGATTGAGACCGTCGTAGAGTGAGGAACGAGGAAGCAGAGTTCTTCGGAGGACTGACGCGAGCGTTTCTTGGTGAATCCGATCTGCGAATCTTGTTTCTCTCTCGCCATGTTTCGTTTCGTACAAATTATTCAACGAAAGATGAATTAGAGAAGAGGATTTGGAGGAGAGAAACAGAATTGAATTGAGAAAACGATGAAGCAGAGTTCTGATGAATCTGGCTTTTGGTGGTTTAAGTGTATGCACTCTTTAGTATATATAGTTGAGGAGTGATCCTTCGTGGAAAAGAAAAGCGTAACCCAAATAAAAAATGGAAAACTGTTTTTCTCCGAAAAAAGGAAATAAGGATACTTCTTTGATATTGTTACAATCATCTTACCATATATATACGTAGAGTCAACACAACAAAACTAACTTATTAAATCAACATAATTATTTTTATGTTGGACCAAAAGTTCCTGGTGATGATTATAAGGTCGTCACCAGATATAACATTTTAATGGAAATGTATTCAAATTAAGTTTGACTAAAAAAGTTGGTTTTCGTTTTGGTATCTACATTACCATAATTAATGTCAATATTTTTATGTTTGTATTTTAAACTAAATTCTGGAAAAAATAGTATTTTTATTTTTGGAATTACTAAGAAGAAACCAATTATGTATGAGTCAAGAAAACTAATAAAAACATTATATGGCTGTACTTCTTTTTTTTTTCTGTTAAAACTTGGCTGTAGTTGACAGCTTATTAGTTTTGTAACAGTCGGGAAAAGGCCGTCCAATATTTTTTTGGGTGAAAGTGATTCAGTTTTCTTCAACTGTTCATCGAGTAGTTTGTTGCAATAATAACAAAATCCTTATAATCTTTTCATATTTCTTAAGACGTGAAACTAATTTCTAGTCACTTTGGCAAGAAAACAGTAAAATAACAATGAGATATCAACATTTTAGTAAGATACACCCACTACAAGAAATAAGGGATTTGGCGTTACTTTTAAATATGGTTAACGTCATTTTTTAAATGACTTTAACAACTTAAAGTCATTTGCAAAAGTAATACAACACTCAATGATGTTAAGTTTATTAACATCACTTAAATAAAACATACAAAATTTAACATCATTTAAGTAACATCACTTACAAAAATCACACAAATTTTCACATCACTTAAAAAAAAAACACAAACTTTAATATCACTTAAACACACAAACTTTAAAGTCACTTTTAAAGCTTTATAACAAAGTAATGTTAGATCCAAAACTTTATATATCAATAATTAGTTCTCATAAACTGAAACAAACTTTATATATCATCTTAAACATATAATCTCTTCTTTGTTTATAATGAAAATATAACTTTGGTATAAGTATTCACCAATCCGAAGCCAAAGAATTGTTGCATCTTCTTCTTCTTCAAAGAATTGTACCTGAAACAAACAAGCAACCAAATTGACCTGAAGTCAGAACATAACAAGTTATATCCAAAAACAGAACATAACCTAACTGTTTTGCTTGTAAACAAAACTGCAAAGCAAACAAATCTCAAATAACAGAGCATAACCTAACTCTCTAGTCCATAAAATTCTCTATCTCTCTCCTAACAAATCGCAAATAACAGAGCATAACCTAACTCTCCAGTTCATCAGATAACCTAATTGATTGTTTATCTAATGACATAAACAATGCTTTAATTTGTTCATCAGATACCCTAATTGTTTCATACAAAGACTAAGATCAATCATAATAACAAACATAAAGAGGAACATACCAGTTTCAAGAGGAACATGAAGTCAAATTCCAGTTTTTGAAGTGCCACTTTCCTGAAAATATAGATAGATCACAAAGTTTAATTATCTATCAAGCAGAAGATACATATCAAAGTATTATACCAATCACTACTGTTTATTACCTGGTCACTGTTTTTACTAGATGATCGATGAAGATTTGATGATCAATGAAGATTTCTTTTAGGCTTTTTGCTCTCAGCTCTTGCACTCACCTGTAAGAAAATCACTCGTAAGATATATATCCGAGATCACAAGGAAAATCACAAGAAAATCACTCGTATTATACATAAATGACTCCAAGATCACAAGGCAATTACCTGGAACCGATCTTGAACTTTTGATTCAACAAGTTTACAAAGAGCATCAGTCACAATATCTAGTTTCTCTTCAAGATCTTTCACTCGGTCCTTCAAATGTTTAACCTCAGTAGTAGACGAAGAGCTCAACACCATATCTAGTTTATCTTCAAGATCTTTCACTCGGCCCTTCAAATGTTTAACCTCAGCAGTAGACGAAGTGCATTCCAAATTAGAGAAATACTTGGATGGGGTAGGGCCACGTCCTACACAACGAACTCGTCCTGAATTCTCAGGACCAAATACTTGTTCATATGCCTCATGTGCTTCACTTTGAATAGAACTTTCAGTCATTACTTCTTTCAGCTTATCCTAAAAGTGATCACAAACATAAAAACTTATAAGACTTCCATCAAACATAAAAAAAGATATTGATAGAGATGGAAAACTTACCGCACAGATTCTTGCATCCTCACAAACAAAAGTTCCATCAGATCTAGAACGTGATGCGATAAAAAGTTCACCTCTATTTGGTTCTCTACCTGTTTCCTCTTCCTAAGAACGAAATATATGCAGACTTCAGCAAGATAAAGAGAGCAAAATAATTAAAGAGAACAGTAAGTACTTTTTTCACTAAATTTTGTACTTATAACTTACTATCTCATCAGCCTTTCTTGCTAAACTTTTTTTTCCAAGGGCATGTGGCATCTTACGTTTGCTTCGGCTACTAATTGTATTACGCTCTCTTGTTTTCTGAAACCAGTACACAAGGTGATATTTGTAGGTTTCGGTGATATATATGAAACGTTTCGGTTATAGAAGTATTACCTTAGCCTTATCAGTGAATTGCATTTCCACAAACCCTTTCCATTGATCTTCTGGAACTAGACCTGGTCGTGCATCAAATGATTCTTGTAGAGTGTTTCGTCTATAAGTCCTCCAAATACGTTGCTTTAAGTCTCTGCATCTGCATCCTAAGATAGATAGAACATATTTCTTCCTCTTTCTTGGGTCATCAAAGCAGAATTTTTTCTGTATCAAAATGTAAACAATTAAGAGTTAACAATGGAAACATACTACCTGTTTTCACTTGATCTTGAATGATTAGAACATATTACCTGAATTACTTTCCAAGCCATCTCTTTCCTATACGTGGGAACTTTCCTCCAGTCCGTGTAGTCTATGGGTAGCATATTCAGATCATTGCTTAGTGAGCCTAACCACGAACCAAACAAACCTCCAGAATCCTTGATAATCTGTCCTTTTCTATTGAAATCAACCATAACACGTCGGTTTCGCATGCTCCACACTTCTTTTCCGGAAACCAGTTCCTCTGTAATCCTTGCATCACCATCTTGAAATACAAAAAAACATCATCATAGTCAGAAAATAACACGAACTCTCCATTTTTCAAGGTTATATTGAATTGGAACCAGAAGATAAATAACAAACCTATCACACGAACTCTCCATTTTCCACTTGTTAATTCTGGTCCAAGAGGAGGTGCCGCAGTGAAATCTTCTGCTCCATACATATTATACTTGAAAAAGTAATAAAAAGACTGTTAAGATAAGACTCAAAGTCATAACCATCAATAAATATGAATCAAGTAAGTAAATTTCAGAGTCATAACCTCCATATTATCATATGAATCACACGAAATCTGAGAATTTTCAATATCTTCTAGCTGTCTCACTAATCTAATGTTTGGAAAATTATCAGATAAAGTAGTTTAAACAGGAGGGTCTTCAATCTCTTATGAAATAGTGGGATCACCCATGTCATACAAGTCTCTTGGTTGGACATGTACAACAACACTCCATCCTTTCTCATTTGGATCTTCAACGTAATAAACTAACCTTGACTGAGAAGCCAACACATAAGGTTCGACCTCCTCACCATTTCCAGTGTGTATCAAACGGGAAACGTTTACCAAAGTGTGACCAAGATCATCCTTCTTATATCCTCGAGCATCACGAGTATCGGCCCATTTACACTTGAACAACACAACTCTAAACGAATCGTAGTAGTTCAACTCTATGATTTCAATCAATTTCCCATAGTAAGATACATCCCCAGCTCTAGGATTAAGATCCCGAGTACTTGCATAACGCATCGTTTCAGCTGAAACATAAACTCCACTATTATGAGTTTTTAAATCATGATCCCTTTCTAAAGTTCTAAACTTAAAACCATTGATATTATATGCTGAAAACTTTAAAATCTTATCAGATGGACCAAATGCAAGACAACGGATATCATCAGAAATACCATCAAAGACCATTCTTTCTACTTTCTTCTTCAGCCATAAACTGAAATTTAGATGCACATTTCGATCTATATCTATCATAGATCCTCTTTTCCGACGTCGTGATTGTGATCTTCTTAGTTCACTCCTAAATAACCTACATAACATAATAAAAACCAAATATTTAAAATCTTAAGAACACAACATAAAAACCTACATAACAAACAGCAGGCTGAAGTAGAAATCTTACTCTCGATAGTCATCTAAAAATGAACTATTTACTAGGATATATCTATGGGCCTGCTGAAGTTCAAAGGGACTAAGTGTGGAAAACGCAGAAGCACCAATTGGTTTGCCAAGTGAAGGAAAGATAACAGGAATCTGCGAATCAGAACCAAGTTCATGTCCTGCCACAGGTTGATCATCCACTCTCCCAATACGATTAAAACGTGTTTCCACTCCTTCAAGATACTTGGAGCAGAAGGTAATGCATTCATCGACAACATATTGCAGACATATAGAACTCTCAGGTTGAGCTCTATTTCTAACATATGATTTAAAACGTCCCAAGATCCTATTAAAAAAGAGACTCAATCAATAGTTGCACAGTTAAAATGTTAAAATGTTAATAGACTCAATCAAAAATAGACTCAATCAATTAAAATGTTACCTTTCAACTGGATACATCCACCGAAAGTGAACTGGTCCACCTAGTTTCGCTTCTTCTGTTAGATGGACAGTTAAATGCACCATTACCGTGAAGAAAGATGGAGGAAAAACCATTTCTAAATGGCACAATGTCACTGCTATATGTTCTTGTAACTTATCTAAATCCTTGATGTCAAGTACCTTTGAACTAATTTCGCGAAAAAACATACACAACTTTGTTATAACAAATGACACCTCTCTTGGTAAAACATTTCGCAAGCTAATAGACAACAAGTGACACATTAATATGTGGCAATCATGACTCTTTAAACCCACCATTTTTCGTTGATTCATGTCAATACACCTCGAAATATTTGAAGAATATCCATCTGGCAGCTTTACAGTCTTCAAGATATTAAGAAAAATCTCTTTCTCATGTGTTGTCATTGTAAAACAAGCAGGCAGATACTTACCATTTGCATCAGACCATAACTCATTACGTATACCAAGTTCTTCCAAATCTTTTCTTGCATTGAGATTGTCTTTTGACTTGCCTTTGTCATCCAGTAATGTGAAAATCAGATTATCAAACACATTCTTCTCTATGTGCATCACATCCAGATTGTGACGCAAGAGAAGATGCTTCCAATAAGGTAACAAAAAAAATGCTTCTCTTTCTCCATTGAAATTACATCTTCCCGGCGCCTTTTTCCAGCAGCATCTATCTTCTTCCCCAAAGTAACATCCACATTCTGAATTTGTTGGAGAATAACACTTCCTGATGGTGTAATGGGAGAATCTCTTGTTTCAATAAGACCATCAAATTGCTGCTTATCTTTTCGGAAAACATGATTTTCAGGAAGAAACCGCCTATGTCCCATGTAACAATTCTTCTTCCCATGGCGTAAACGAAGATCTTTAGCATCATAGTTGCAAGATGGACAAGCTAATCCAGTGTGTACGTTCCACCCAGATAAGTTTCCTAAACCTGGAAAATCACTAATAGTCCATAGCAAAATCGCACGCATTGTAAATGTCTCTTTTAAAGATGCATCAAATGTTGGAACTCCATCAGACCATAACTCTTTAATTCTTTGATAAGGGCTGTAGATATATGTCAATATCATTACCCAGGCATCTGTTTCCCAGGGATAATCATTGACAAAATTGTTGATGTTTGCTTCATTGACATCCACGGAGGAAAGGTTATAAGGGAATAAAAGCACCGGCCATACACTATAGCTTGTGCTCACCGAACCAAACGGATTAAAGCCATCGGTTGCTAATCCTAGCCTGACATTCCTTGGGTCTGATGCGAAGTCTGGAAATTGCTGATTGAATGTTCTCCAAGCCTTTCCATCTCTCGGATGTCTTAACTTGCCATCTAGATTCTCAGAATTAGCATGCCACCTCATACTTTCAGCCGTTTTTGAAGACATGAATAGACGTTGTAGACGTGGTTTCAAAGGAAAATATCTCAGGACTTTAGCAGCTTGTTGCTTCTTTTTCTTCTTCTTTTCAGGTCCATCATCATCAACAACAACTGCAGCCGTCTTTGTCTTCTTCCATCTAGAACTTTCACAAACTTTGCATGTGTGCCTAGATGCATCATCTCCCCAATACAGCATGCAATCATTAGGACACGCATAAATGGTCTCATAAGTGAACCCTAACTTACGAATAATCATCTTCATGCTGTTGAAAGAATCCGGCAGCTTTGCATGGTCAAATGCTTCTTTCAAGAGGTCAATGATCATGGACATTCCTTTGTCACTGATCTTAGTCAAACACTTGATGTGATGCAACTTAAACATGAATGACAGCTTGCTGAAACTTTGACATCCTTCATAAAGCACTTCATTACAATCTGAAAGCAAATCATCAATGGTCTCCTTCTGCTTCTGATGATCCTCTACGGGGCTAGCAGCTTCAGAGCTATTATTCAGACTTGGAAAAACATCTTCAAGCAGATTCCTAGTAGGCTCTTGAGTATAATCTATAGAAGATTTAGGCTCTAATCCAACTGTGTCCTCATCTGACTCTAATTCTTCACCATGTAGATGCCAATTTGTATACGTTGGAAGAAAACCATGACAGAATAAATCACCCTCAACCTCGACCCTACCCTTGAATCTAATAAGGCAGCAACGTTGACAAGGACATTTGATCATGTCTGTCTTCATGTGAAGAAAAGCAAAGTCTAAAAACCCATTGACTCCATTAATATAGTCTTGAGATAACCGATGTTTGGTTATCCAAGACTTGTCCATTTTGAAATCAATCTACGAATAAACCATACCAATTATCACAAATCAATTCTATCATAGTCACATTCTAACACCATTACAACCACACACAGAGCAGAGAGAGAGCAATGACACACAAAGCAGAGAGAGAGCAATGACACACAGAGCAGAGAGAGAGCTATCACACACAGAGCCAATTCAGTCATTTTGTAGTATAATCACAAAGATTATAACATTCTAAACACCAATAAGCTTGTTTAACATTCAAACATATATAACATTCAAACATATATAACATTCCAACACCAATAAGCTTGTTTAACATTCAAACATTCTAAACGTGTTTAACCCATTTGAAATTCAAACATTCTAAACGAGTTTAACCCATTTGAAATTCAAACATTCTAAACACACAAAAAGTTGTGAAAGTTTACCTGTAAAAAGTTGCGTATTAGCTCTGTGATTTCTCCTTTCTCTGATGACAAGCCTTGCTCTGTAATTTCTCCTTTCTCCTTTCACAAAACATAGAAAACGTTTAGAACATGAAGCATAAACAGAATATCAAAGTATAGTGTATTCATTACTTGATCCAGATTGAAGCGGAATCATTTTATAAATAGAAACAAGCAAATCGAACTCAGATTGAAGCAAACTCAGATCTAGCAAATCGAACTCAGGTCAAGCAATTTTCAAGCTCAAAACAAGCAAATCGAGCTCAGAACAGGTAAATAGAAGTCATATCAAGCAAATCGAGCTCGGATCAAGCAATTTTCGAGATCAGATCAAGCAATTTTCGAGCTTAGAACAATCAATTTTTTAGCTCAAAACAAGCAATTTTCGAGCTCAAAACCCTACGAATTGTTTCACTAACCTTTTTGGTGGAGCTATTTCGCGAAAGTAGACTATGATTTCGCGAAGTGATGTTGAAGAATTGAAGATCAGAAACAAAGGATTTGAAATTTCATCACGAGTATCAGAAAATTTCACTGTGAAGATTACGTACGTGGTCACATCATTTTGGCTTTTGTTTTCTGTACAAACTAAAAAAAAAAAAAAAATCTATCAAATTAGGAAAAGAAGAAATGGGCTTTTCTTAATGGGTTTTTGCATCAGATATTAGAGTCATTTAAAAAATTGATGCTAAAATCCTTCAAACTAGGCCTGGGAATTTAAACCGAACCGAACTTACCGAACCGATGTTTGAGTAGTTCGGTTTGTGTTGGTTACAGGTTGTTAACCGATCGGCAACAAATATAATTATATTCGGTTATCGGTTACTTCGGTTCGGTTCACATGAACCGAACGGTTAACCGAATTAAAAACACAGATTTAACTAAACCTAAATTATAATTATAGTCTAAACCTATGTGCCGCCACAGACACATCTCAATCTCTCGACACCCTCTTCATCCTTCTCTAGTTCTCTACTTCATCTCTTTCTTCATATCATCCTTGCCTTGTCTCTTCGATCCTAATTCATTTCATCTCACTCTTCATCTCGTTTTCGTCTTCCAATCTCTCGACACCCTCTTTCAATTTCGTCTCAGGTAAACTGATTTTCTAGTCCTCGTTATTTTTCTTGTTTGTTTCTAAATCTTAAGTCTTAACAATCCAATCTACTCAAAGTATAGTAGATTTTATTTAGAAATGGGTCTAATTTTTACAGAGCGTCTATATTGTTTGGTACTCAATGGTTGTTTTGATTTTAAATAAATTATATGGACTTGATTCTTCTTCTCAATTTGGGTGTTTGGTTTTTGCAGATGGCTTCTTCTCACGATGAGAATGAGGACATATTTGATGATGAGATGGCAGGAGAAGAAGCTTCAGAACCGCCTCCTGTGAACAAAAGAAAAAACAGTGGGAAATCAAGTTCTTCTGTACCACCAAAACCAAGGAAAAGGATTGCTCATAGAGCAGAGGTATGGAAATTATTTCTTCATAACCGTCCTGATGATCCGATGTGCTTTTGCCGTTCCTGTGATGTAGAGATAGCTTGTGATTCAAAAGTGAATGGAACAAGTGCTATGAAAAGTCACATAGCACATTGCAAGTTGTATAAGGCTTCTCAAGAGAGTGGTACTCAACAAGTGTTGAGAGCAGACAGTAGTGGTGTAGTAACGGCTCTTAGGTTTGATAAAGGAATTTTTAGGAGATCGGTGAATGAGATGATTGTACTTAATGAGCTGCCGTTTTCTTTTGTGGAATCAGAGGGCTTTAGGCGTTTTTGTCACAATGTTATTCCTATGTACACGGTTCATTGTAGAAAGACAGCTACGGAAGACATTTTTAAAATGTTTTTGCAAGAGAAAGCTTCGTTGAAGAAGTTGTTTAGCTGTGATAAGAAGAGAGTGTCGCTCACAACAGATATATGGGTTGCTCCAACTACCTCCATTAGTTATATGGTTGTGACATCTCACTGGATTGACGTAAACTGGGATTTGCAGAAAAGGATCCTCAGCTTTAAGCCTATCACAGATCATAAAGGAGATACAATTTCTGCACATCTCATATCTTGCTTAGAAGAATGGGGAATTGAGAAAGTCTTCACAGTCACAGTTGATAATGCTAAGGGAAATGACAAGGCGCTGAAGGTATTCACGGATTGTTTAAGGCTGAAGGGAGATAAAGCTTTAGTTAAAGATGGTGCATATTTGCATATGCGTTGCTGTGCTCACATCTTAAACTTGATTGTCAGAGATGGTTTAGCACATGTGAGACAGAGTATAATAGCTATACGCAATGGAGTGAAGTATGTGAGGTCATCACCTGATAGATTGAAAACCTTTGAAATAAGGTTAGATGCAGGAAAGGTTTCTCGAGACAGCTTGTCCATGGATTGCATCACACGCTGGAACTCTACATATCTTATGTTGACAGCTGCAATCAAGCTAAGAGTTGGTTTTGAGAACATGAGGGCAAATGAAATTCCTTATAATAAATACTTTGAAGAAGAGGAAGAGAATGGAGAGGAACGGGTTGGACCACCAACTGAATCTAGTTGGGATGAAGTGGAGAGGTTTGTGAAGTTCCTGAGAATCTTTTTCAATTCTACTTTGCGGTTTTCAGCATCTAAGACAGTAACTTCTACCATATGTTACGAAGAGGTTGTCAACATTGAAAGAAATCTGATCCTTTTAAGTAACAACAAAGATGTACAAGTAAGGCAGGAAGCAACGACTATGAGACTGAAGTTTGAGAAGTATTGGGATGGTCTTATAAATATGAATCCACTAGTTATTATTGCTTGTGTTTTTGATCCAAGGAACAAAATGAGGTTTGCTACACGCTGCTTTGACAGCCTTTATGGTAAAGATAGTTTTGAAAGTAAACTTCTTAAAACCTCTATTAAGAAGGTTATGCGTGATCTGTATGAGGAGTATGTATTGGAAAACAAACATCTTCACGGTGAAGAAGCTGTTGTAAATGGAAGTGAGAATGCTGAAGAGCCAAGTGTTGCTTTTGATTTATCAGATGATGAGTATGAGAGGATGGATTCCTTGTATTCTGATATGGATGATGAGGATGACAATGAGGAAGTAAGCAGTGAGTTAGACATATATTTGATGGAAAAACAGGAGCCTCGAGATAAAAAAAACAGTTTAGGATTGAATTATAATGTTTTATCATGGTGGAAGCGTAACAGTGCTAAGTATCTTATCTTATCGGAGCTAGCTAAGGACGTCCTTGCTATTCAAGTTTCTTCTGTGGCTTCTGAATCAGCATTTAGCACTAGTGGTAGAATATTGGATCCTTACAGAAGTTGTTTGTCACCTCACATGGTTGAATCTTTGATATGTTCACAACAATGGCTGCGAAATTCCATACATTCTGAGGCAAAACTTGCTTCCTTAGCGCAAATGCTTGAAGAACTTGATTTCCATGAATCATTAGAGAAAGGTACAACAAGTATAGTCATTTTGTCTTTCTGGTTTTAAGTTTTTTAGTTTCAGTCATGTTTTCTTGTCCACTAATGTATGTTCTTTGTGAATTTTCAGCAACAGAGACGTAGAGATTGCATCAGAAATGAGTCTTTGATTGCAGCTGATCTTAGAAGTGGCATCTTAACCTCTCTATATCTTTGTTTCTCTATGGCTTTATCTTACTTTCTGTGTTTTTGTTGTTCTTTTGGTGTTGGAAGACTTTATCCCTTGGATTTTGTAAACATTCGATCATGCATGTACAAATGTACTGGTTGCAATGTTATGCATTAAGACACTATAAGACAAGTTTAAATTGATGATGACTGTCTGCTTTAGTTGTCTTTTTTTTGCTGCGGTTTATGACAGGTTTGTAATTTAGGTTGTGCCTAGAGAGATGTTTGATGTTATGATGTTGTCCAGAACTTTTAGTTACAGTTTAGGACAGTGTTAGAGGGATGATGGTGTCTTGTTTCTTTTGATCTTATCGCACAAAAATCATTTTAGTTGCTGGAGTCTTTTGGTTTAGATTGTTTAGTTGCAGAATATCATTTTAGCTGCTGGAAATCATGTAATATGGTCCATTGTAGCTAGTTACGTAAATGCAATGTCACTTTCAAAGCATTATTTGGATAAAGTTGATTACTTTCAATTCGTTGTTGTCTTAATGCTCTTCAGGTCATGATGAAAACAGAGCATGGTTTTTTTTTTAAAAACAGAGCATATTTTAAAAAGTTTAACCGAGAAAACCGAACTAACCGAAAATAACCGGTGATAACCGAAATAACCAAATTTAACCGAAAATAATCGAAATTAACAACATTTTCAGAAAACTTCGGTTTAATTCAGTAGAATTTAGAAAAACCGAACTAACCGATCACCGAACCGAACCGAACCGAACCGAAATCTTGTTCGGTTAATTTTGGTAGAATTTTTGTTAACCGAACAACCGAATTAATCGCAGTAACCGAAGTCGCAGGCCTACTTCAAACTATAACACTTAACGTCATTTGTCAAAATGACTTTAATAAAATGATGCCAAATCCCTTGTTTCTTGTAGTGACCAAATCTGTATGCCAAAAATAGAAAGAAACATAACAAGTTTGTCACCGTCTCCTATATTAATTAAAGCTTCGATGATTCCTTCATGTTTTACTCACACAACAATCTCAGTTTTTTTTATAAATAAATAATTCGAGTTACTTCTTATCCTAACTCAATAAAAAAAGAGAAGATATGGGTATGTCTAAAAAGTTAATTAAGGCTGTTATTGTATACATGGCTCTTGTAATGGTGTTCTTCACGCTTGCAACAATCAAGACCAGTGCAGAAGATGCCTGGATCAGCAACGAAGCACTCGCTACAAATCATGCATGGGGATGTAATCCAAAGTATCCGTGGACATGTCAGAAAGAAGTGGCCAATCCCTAGATTTAAAAATGCGAATTTGATCTGAACTGCGACATGGTTATAATATGTTTTCTAATGTTTTATGTTTTTTTAATACCATCGTGCATTATTAACCCACCACATAATCTGATGTTCTTGAAATATCCCTGTAATAGATACTTCATATAAGAGATTATAAATTTTCCTACAAAGATTTTTACTCTCAACCAACATCATAAAAACATTCTAAAGCAGCCAAAACACTTCCCGCCTAAGAATCACATGTCATGCAGTTTCTCCGTAACCTATTTTTTCGAGTCAATTGTTGATTAATGTTGGAGGATCTGGTACGCTGATCAAGTCAGTTCGCTATGCAAGCATAATCTCTTTCACAATCTTTTAATATTTTTCACAATTATTGTTCAAAAACTCGGACTCATGTCGCACTAAATGTAACTCAAGGTTCTCGTTTGAATAATTTTTCAATTAAAAAAACAAGTGTTTTTAGTGAGAAATTGGTCACAAAGTTTTCACCATTTTTTTACTGAGATTATTAATTGCCAATATTTTGCGTCTCATCATCAACACTAAATACGTAAATCACAAAAGGAATAGGTAAAGCCTAATTTTGATTTGACGTTTTTAATCATTAACTAATTTTGGGAGTAAATATTTATTCTTGGAACATGGAAAACAAAAACATTAGTACCAAGTGTAACTAAAAACTACATGTACCGAAAACCATGTAGTCTTTGTTTTGAAAGATATACAGTAGTATATTGCAATTTTACTTGAGATGAATTACTTTTTACTTTTACATAAGCAAATCAAGAAGCGATTAACGAACAAAAAAAACACAGAAGAAAAAAGGCAAATTAAGCGAGGAAACTAAACGCTTCCAATGGCACTTTCTTGAGATCTTCCACTGAAACACCCAAATTGGCCCTTAGCACTCAAATCAAAGATTTCACGTTGAGTTGATACGGATATTGATCTCTCATCGTCGCTCTTCTTCTTCTTCTCCTTCCTCTCAATAGGAGAAAAGCGCCAATCCACTGTTGATGATAAAGCATCATCCTCGTCCTTCAACTTCGGTAACGCCTTGAACACGCTACTTACTTCTTCGTCGCCGTCGTCATCTTCGTCGCCGAGGATGATGATTACATAGCTAGGAGCGTAAAATAAGCAGATTTCTTCGCCGGTGGTCTTCTTGTAGTGACTACGTTGCTCGGAGAACAAGGTGTTTAAGCTCTGATACCATTGACCATCATACTCTTGTTTCTGTGTCGCCATGTTTTGTTTGACCTAGAGATAATCTGGCTTTTGATGGTTTAAGCGTATGCCCTCTACTCTTTAATTTATAGAAAGATTAGAGGTCTCGGAAAAGGAAAAACGTAACCTAAACAACAAAAAAAGGAAAATTGTTTCCTCCGAAATAAAGGAAACTTCGTTGATATTATGACATCATAAACATACTTGAAAGCCAAAAAAAAAATGGAAATTGTTTTTCAGATAAGAAAAAAAAGTGAAACTAATTTGAAACCTGACTTGTGTTTTAAAACAATGATATATAGAGTTTAGATTGTTTCCCTTAGGAAATTTTGGTAGGAGTTAACCAGTGAATCCATTGTATAATCTTTAAACTAGATTCAAAATCTTACAGAGATACAGTATTGAATACAAAAAACCAAAACAAAACACTACCACGAGCGAAAGGTGCGAGGTTTGGATTGAGATCTTTCGATATGAGGTCTTGGTTTAGCTCTTTGTAAATCTGATTTTGGTTTAGCTTCCTCCACGAATATAACTCTTCCATCCAAAAACTGCATCAAAACCAAATCAGAGTTTTCAAAAAGATGGAAATTTTGATTTTGCTATTTAACACATTTCTTTGTTCTCAAACAATTTAAGAATCAAGAAGACAAGCGTGTGATGTTTGAGCTAAGTACCTTTCCGTGCATCCCTTCAATAGCTTTCACAGACTCTTCCTCTGTTTCATACTTCAAGAACGCAAAACCTCTCGGTCTATTAGCTACTTTATCCATCACCAAGTTAACTACACACGAAGGGAAACCAAACAAATCAAGAACATGAATTACATTTTGTAAGAAATCTTAATTATCTTACAAAGGAGAGAGGCTTATAATTTACCAAGAGTAAGCTTGCCAAACTGTTCAAAAGCATTTCTTAAGGTATCTTCAGTTGTCCTGAAAGAAAGCCCTGTGCCAAAAATCAAGTCCATCATAAGGAGAGACGAAAGAAGCATCACAAAAGGTTACAGAAAGTTAGCAAGTGAAAGATAACAAAAAACTACCATAGAAGAGCATTAACACTAGTTCCTCTTTCGGACATGTCTAGCAATTTAATTCACAAAGAACAAAGCTTCTGCTGCAACAAAACGTTTAAAACAACCACACTTCAGCAAGAAAGATACATGTTCCAAATTCACGCACATAATACAACAACCAAAGCAACTCCATGCCTTAACAACGAATTAAAGCTGTTATAAACCACAAGGTTTAACATTTGACATTGTTTAACTATAAAATTGGTGACAAATGTGACTGCTTTACAAGAAATTAGCGACGGTTGGTCCAAAATGTATCCACAGTGAGAACAGCTATAACTAATTGCATAATACTCGAAGAAACAGTAAAGAATCATATCGCCTGTAACAACCACGGAGGTGATTCACGAATTGGGATAAGCAGATGATGAATTGAAAACAGAAACAGCTAAGAAAAGAAGAAGAAGAAGGAGGAGCAAAGAGAGAGAAAGGAAGGGACTTTACCACTGACATAGAGTTTCGTCTTCGACCCAGAAGAAGACGACGATGGAGGAGGAGCAGAAGAAGAGGAAGCCGGAGAGAGACAACCAGAAATTACAAATCCGCCAAAGTCACGGTGTCGCCTTCCCGAAATTACGCCAGTTTCGACATTGATACCTCCGCGCCGCCACTGGGAATAAGAAGACGAAGAGACGCTGCAGATAGCCGAGAAGTTAGGTCTGAAGAGACGATCTCCAGAACACGACGGAACGACGACTATCCCTGAGCTAATCGCCATTGTTTTCTCTCCTTCCTTCTTCTTCCTCTTGAAAACTTCCCGACCCTATCGCAAAACTCTGTTCCTGATTTGTTGAGGGTCAAATTGGTACCTTCACATTTTACCTATTTTCTTTCACAATTTAACCTTTTTTTTACTGTAAGATTTGGCAAACAAAAGTGAAAACATTATCCATCAGTGCCTAATCTGCAGTCTGTGATATCTGAACGCACTGAGACAGGTCAATTTAAGCTGTAAAGGATCAAACTTTATATATACATAATTACAGGTTACGAAACCAAACATTCATAGTGTGTTTTGAATGAGTCAGGTCGATTTTAAGCTGTAAAGCATCAAACCACTTTATATACAAGATTACGAAGCCAAACATTCCATACAAATTAGTGGGTTTTGAATGAGTCTACCTTACAATATCATACAAATGAATGAATCAAATCACAAAGACTAAAACTTTTTTTATCTCCTTCTTCAAAGCCTTGTTATATCTAATTAACCTCATGCTTCACCAACTTTTTACATTTGTTTCATTTGCTGGCTGCATTATCTTTGGCATTTCCTATTGATGAACGCTTCCAAAGCTTCTCTCATCCACCCATTCTGACACAACTCCATCCCTTCCGACAAACTAACCCACCTCCTTTGTCTGAACTCCGATTCAGGCCACTGCTCGAACTCCTGATCAACGAGCAGAGGAAACATGTAACCGTCGTGGATCATGGTGTGTCTTTTGCTCTTGTACTGCCATTTCCCAAGCGTCTCCTCGAGCTTACCCGTAACACCAGCTTCCTCTATTGTCTCTCTCAAAGCAGCTTCTTCCATTGATTCGTCAATCTCCCAACCTCCTTTTGGCAACAACATCCCTTTCCCTTCCTTCTGTGCACTTATTAGCAAAACCTCAATCTCTCCACATCCATGTTTCTTGTATCTATACGGTACACATCTGCAAGAAATTTTCCCGGAAAAAAAAAATCAGATTTTAAGAAATCCCCAATTCAATTAAACCCTAGAAATCAGAAATTCGCCCCCAAAATTAGTTTTTTTTTGCAATTGGGGACGTACCCGACGACTTGACGGTACCCAGCGGTATCGTAACGCTGCAGATCTCGTCCGGTTCGAGAGACTAGAGAGATAGCGTTCTCAATCGTCGGCGTCGGTGCGATCTTCGACGGGAGGTTGTCAAAGTGCGATGCGACGTTTGAATAGCTTGAGATGAATAGAGACACGTAGAGTTGCGTCATTTCTTTTGTTGTTGTTATCGTCTTCTTCTTCTTTCTCCGCCGAAATTTTTTCGATTGAGAAAGAGAAAACGATTTGATGAGATTGGAAGAAGATGAAGAAAAGGTGTTAGTTTGAGAAGAGGATTGGGTTTAGGGAAAGTGTATTTATAAGGAGAATCTCACGCGCTTAAAAGTGTTTAATTAATTTTTGGTTTTGGTCAAGTAGCTTCCTGTATCTGACTGAGATTAGTTCGGTTTAAGGAAAATCGAAATACCGGCCGTTTCGGTTAATTGAATTGACTTATTTCGGTTTTTTCGGTTATTCAAACCTTATTACAACTTCTATCTTCTGTTCTGTCTTTTTATTTTATTTTGAGATAGATTCAACGTGACAACTCTTCCAATCTTTTTAACAAAAATGAAAAATCAGATAAGAACTGTGTTTAATAATAATCTCACTTCATCATCTTCTAGATTCATTTTCCACCGAATAAAAATCAACGAACCGAAGTCCAAGTCCCCACGAACGCGGATATTATATTGAAGAGAGTGTGGGTGACGCGCTTCAAAAGGCGCGTGTATAAACAATCAAGTGGGTGACATTAATATGAACACGAACACGGTTTTTTACCGTGTATTTAGCATTGACTTATACTAATCTCTCTACATCTAAATATAATATTCCAACATAGATTATTTTTTGCATTTCTTTTGATTACTGGATCCTTTGGTCGAACCCCAAATGCCCAAACTAATCAAATCTCTTACCTCTTGTGAAAAACCGGGGCGCATATTAGATCCCAAAAATCAGTATCCATGAACTTTTTGTATCGAATGTTCATTTATTTTTTATTTTTTTGTAAAGTGGCAACGCATATATTCAAACACAAATCCGATTCATGAGATGATGGCAAAACATTAACAAAAAAAAAAATACAAACCATTATATTACATAATTGAGTCAACAAGTGATGGTAATTTGAAAAAGAAATGTTTTTAAAAACGTAAAATGTTTCAAATTTTGCTTTGAAGGAGAATCAGAATCCTATAAAAGCAGAAATGAAGCTAAATCCCAAAATGCTGAGTAGAGCTGCATTTTTCGCGGTGCCGACGGAAGAGCTCCCTGATTTAATTAAGATTAAGATTGTAATCGTCACTATATTACATGAATAATGATAAAATGTAAATCCAAAATTGAAAGCTTGATATAAGAGAAAGTAAGTGCATACCGCTGGTTGTAGATCCCGTCGACGAAGAATCTTCATTAAGAAAACAAACATATACTATATTAGAGCGGCATAGAATTACTTAAACGATGGTCGATGAAGTGTGTTTAATTATAAAACTCGTAATATAATCTACACACTAATATATAAGCTTAGATGAAAGAGAACTCACAAGCCGCGGATTTAGTACAAAGCGAGGCGTCATGCTTGACTCCACATGAGTTAAGGAGATTAAGAGCGTTCTCTTTCGTGAGACTAATGAAACTGAGCATGCCCGGATGGTTGAAGACAGCGCAAAGACACGTTACGTGTTTCTCGGCGATCTCTTTCATCGGATCACAACACCACGGCGGCGGAGGAATATCCGAGTGAATGTACGGATGACACGGCAATAGTTTGTCCACGCATCGCATTGCCTCTTGAACTACTCCGAATTGTGCTGTGACTTGAGTGGAGTAGAGAGTGACGAAGACGGTAACTACGCCGAGGAATCTGTTCATGTCCATTTTTCTTTTTCTTTATATTTGTTATGCACTTTTTTTATTTTGGTTCTTCCTATGCTTAATTGGTTTGATGTACATACTTTCTTTTCATATATATATATAGAGAAATGGAGGGTCGATTTATTTTATTTCTAGAAGGTCAAACTATGGAGGTGAGTTTTGTTTATGAATCTGGTAGATTTATAATTACCATATTTGTTCGGATAATACTAAAATGATTTGTGCAGTTTGACTGAATATTAATTACTCGGTCTAGTGCATCATGTAACAGGTTACACCGTTTCCTTATAAAATGTTGTTTGGGTATCCATTGAAAAAAGTAAAATGTAAAGTATTTGATGTTTGACCAAAAGAAAACGGTTTTATGTTACAAATCTCACATTCAGTAATATACCTACTTAGCTCTAGTATACAAAAGAACCTGAGTCATTTAGTTATAGTCAACTGATTATACAAGTTAAGAATTTATTATTTTTTATTTATATTGTATCAGAATTATCATTTTGAAGAACTAATACATGTACCAAATCATTCTTTGCCAATTGAGTTGGATGTAAATTTTGGTACGAGATAAATAGATAAAAATAACTATCTAATTTGAAGACCCATATAAGTTAATTTACGATCTAAGTAACGCCTACTTTAGTTTGTGATTTCTCATTGGTGATGGCACACAAGAGGAAGACAAAAATGAATCTAAAAGATTTTACATTTTTGCATAAGAACTATTGTTTTCAAAAAACAATATATAGTTTAGAGATTTAAATTAGGTTAATCATTTTCTTCTTAATGCAAATCAGAGATATACAAAAGTTTATCCGTTTTTGTGAGGACCATTTAGTGTGTGTTTTTGTCTTTTCTATACACCGATTTACATAAATGAAACTAGCAAAAACAAATTAACAGTACTCTAGTAGACTTTTGTTATGCCAATTATAGATGCCATGGGTGAATAATGACCAACGGTGCGGAGGTGGCTTTGCACTGGACTTTGAGGACGGTGGGAAAAGTGTTCAAGCACGAGGTTTATATCTCTCTCATAAACTCTATGATCCCAAACTGGCTAGCATCTCAGGCTAACCTATTTGGATCGACTTTTGTTTTAAATTTTGGCATACAAACATCACCTTTTTCAAGTTATACATATGAATCTTTTGTCGTATGTTTTTGTTTATCGATGCAATCACATTTTTCGCGTGTATAAGCTTTTCCTTGAATATGATTTTAACACAATGGCAGTCGAATGTCTCATGAATCACGATAATAGCCGGATGGTTGATGCTAATGTGATGGACACTTTGGCACTATCTTTTAAATATGTTGGTGATTCTGAGATAGGCCAAAACTTGAGTTTTTTTCAATAAGTCATATCTAGGCTCCTCGTTTTTGCCAGCATCAAGGCTTATGCAAATCCAAAATAGAACCAAGATTTAGAATCCAAATACGCAATAAATATATAAAAATGAAAAACTAACAGTGCTTAGACACAATCATACAAAAGGATGACAGAAAACAGACATGAAACAAAGGGATGACATAATCAAAAGATTGTTGCCACCAAAGCATACACAAAGCTAAGTCCGATGAAGCTGATAGCTGGAACGGAAGAACCACCTGTGAAATGAGAATGTCACATCAATTAGTTTTACAAATGAAAACCGAAATAAGTCACTCCAATCTTTTTACGACTGCAAATACAATATCTAGATTAAAATTGTTTTAATTAGCTCCATTTCTCCAAAACTATTGTATCCGTTCATATGTCTTAAGTCTAGTTTAAAATATAACTGCAGTTTCGAAATAAAATATGAAGTGCATACCGTTGGTTGTTGGTCCAGGCGCCGCAACTGGTGAAGAAGCTTCATTAACAAGAGAGAAAATATCATGAAAACAGCGTCACATACATACTTTGATAAGATGTTTGATTAAATTAAATATATCGATGGGATAATATTATTTGATGATTAATAATAACTCACAAGTGACTTTGCTACAGACTGAGACGGCGTCAGGATTAACTCCACAGGCTTTGGGAAGATCAAGAGCGTTTTCTTTGGTGAGGTTTAGGGTTTTAAGGATCGTTGGGTTGTTGAAAACGGTGCATAGACACTGCGCGTCTTTCTCCACGAGCTGTTTCATCGGCCCGCAACACGTCGCCGGAGGTGGCGGATTCACCGAATGTAAGTATGGCTGACACGGCAGCAGCTTTTGTAAGCAGCCCGCAATCGGAGTAGAGTCCCCTTGTGCTGTAGCCTGGACGGAGTAGAGGACAATGACGGAGACAACTAGGGCGAGAATTTTGCAAATCCCCATTCTTTTGTTTTGTTCTTGTCTTGTTGTTCCTTTGTCTTTTTCTTAGAATATGTTTTTTTCTTCTGAATAGAGGAAAATGTGGAATTGTGAAGATGAGATTCGTTTTATAAATAGGGGAAAATGGGGAATTATGAAGATTATATTCGTTTATGAATTTCAGAAAATGATTTTTTATTTATTGTTAAATTAAGAAGGTGAGATTTGTTTATAAATTTCATGGATACATTACCTGATTTGACTGATTTTGTTCTAAACTTCTAATTGAAGATTAAATGTGGGATTAGTGCAAATTTTAAAATACCTTCCTGGTGCATGTAGATGTACCAATGAAATCCTTTCCTTATTCTGTTTCTATGTTGAACCGAGTCAGAAGATTATAATTAAACATGTGTATAACAATTTTCTAACATCTAAGATTTAGTAAGTAAGTTATAATATGAGAAAATAATCCATGAAATCTCATTAGATGGTAATGAAATATATACGCATTTCAAACCTTAGTGTCTATGCGACAGTTGTAACAGAAAAAAAAAAAAAACACTTATGTTTACTCACTAATTTACGTGATTACTTGGAGGAGTGATAATATTCCACGTGGCAACTTAATTAAGTGGAGTGTGCAAAATTACGTCATCACCCTCACCTCCATTGTTTCGTCGAGCCTTTCTCAAAATCATTTTTGCCGATACACCGAGAAACTGCAAAGACGAAGAAATGAGACTCTCAGGTCACAGGATCATAGCTCTGTCTCTCGTCATACTCTTTCTCTACATTCATCGCGTTGAAGCCCGTCCCTTCGTTCTCGTTCTATCCAAGGACGATCTCAACAGCGGCTACGATGATAACGGCGCATACGAGTCTTCTGATTTCGATGACTTCGGGGAATCCGAATCCAAATCCGAGGAGGAGCTCGATCCCGGCTCCTGGCGTCCAATTCTCGACCCAAACGCTTCCACCGTCCACGCGGCATCGCCGCAGTATTACTCCGGACTCCACAAGATCCTCGCTGCAGCGAGTGAGGGAAACACTGTTTTGATGGAAGAGGCGGTTTCAGAGATAGATTCCTCCGCCTCGTCCGGAGATCCGCACGCGCAATCGGTGATGGGGTTCGTGTACGGGATTGGGATGATGCGAGAAACGAGCCGAGCCAAATCGATTCTCCATCACCATTTCGCAGCTGAAGGAGGAAACACGCAGTCCAAAATGGCACTTGCTTTCAGGTATCTTCGACAAAACGTAAGCAATCAAACCCAAACATTCAAATTCGAAACTTCTTGAATTTCCAGTTTTTTGTTCTTTAGAGAATGAGCTCTTGTGATTCCTTTTTTCCCAGATGTATGACAAAGCCGTAGAATTATATGCTGAATTAGCAGAGACAGCAGTCAATAGCTTTCTGATCTCAAAGGAATCTCCGGTGGTAGAGCCGATTAGAATCCATATCGGAACAGAGGAGAACAAAGAAGCACTGAGGAAGTCCCGTGGGGAAGATGATGAGGATTTTCAGATATTGGAGTACCAGGCACAGAAAGGGAGCCCTGCTGCAATGTACAACATGGGGCTGTTGTACTACTTTGGCCTCAAAGGATTAAGGCGTGACCACGCCAAGGCATTGTACTGGTTCTCGAAAGCGGTAGAGAAAGGAGAGCCAATGTCAATGGAGCTTTTGGGGGAGATTTATGCTAGAGGAGCTGGTGTTGAGAGAGATTATGATAAAGCTCTTGAATGTCTTACACTAGCAGCAAAGGGAGGTCTCTATTCGGCGTTTAATGGCCTTGGTTACTTGTATGTCAAAGGCTATGGAGTAGACAAGAGAAACTACACTAAGGTAAGGCTTGAGAGCACTACTTTTGGTCAATGACCTAAATAAGTTCCACTGAAATTTCACTTGAAGTGCAGGCGAGAGAGTGTTTTGAGAAGGCTGCTGATAATGAAGACCCGAGCGGGCATTATAACCTTGGAGTGTTGTATCTTAAAGGCATTGGAGTGAAGAGGGATGTGAGGCTGGCAACGAAATACTTCTTAGTTGCTGCAAATGCTGGCCAACCAAAAGCCTTTTATCAAATCGGGAAGATGTTTCATACTGGCGTTGGGCTTAAAAAGAACCTGGAAATGGTAACTAATCACCACCCATTCTTTAAGGGTTTTCGTACTTTGATTAGCTTGTTTATGTTGCTAGCATATTTGGTTGCAGGCCACAGTGTTTTATAAGTTAGTAGCAGAGAGAGGACCATGGAGTTCTCTCTCTAGATACGCTCTTGAAGCTTACTTGAAAGGTGATGTGGGGAAGGCTTTTATACTGTATTCAAGAATGTCAGAGCTTGGCTATGAAGCAGCACAGAGTAACGCTGCCTGGATCCTTGATAAGTACGGTGAGAGAAGCATGTGTATGGGAGTGTATGGGTTTTGTACAGATAAAGAAAGGCACGACCGGGCTCATTCTTTGTGGTGGCGTGCCTCTGAACAGGGAAACGAACACGCCGCATTGCTTATCGGAGATGCATACTACTACGGTCGAGTAAGCTTTATTTGGTTTGAAGTTCAAGAATTGCTCAGTTGATTTCTGCGAGAGTCTTAACGCATGTTTCTCAGGGTACGGAGAGGGATTTTGGGCGTGCAGCAGAGGCATACATGTATGCGAAATCTCAATCAAACGCACAAGCCATGTTCAACCTCGGTTACATGCACGAGCATGGAGAAGGTCTTCCCTTTGACCTCCACCTTGCGAAACGTTACTACGATCAAGCCCTCCAGAGCGACGCTGCTGCCAAATTACCCGTCACGCTTGCTCTTGCGAGTTTATGGGTTCGCAGAAACTACGCTGGTACCGCCATGGTAAGGCAGAGACAGAGAGAGAGAGAGAGAGTGATGATTTCTTGGTTTGGTGTGAAACAGAATGAGCAAGACCTCACATTGTTTTAACGTGATGGTGATGCAGGTGCAAGTATTGGATTCTTTACCAGAAGTGTATCCAAAAGTGGAGGAATGGGTGGAGAATGTGGTGTTGGAAGAAGGTAATGCGACCATACTAACTCTCATCCTCTGTCTTATCACCGTTTTATATCTCCGAGGGAGACGGCGTGGAGAGGTGGTTTTGGATCCTGTCGGCGCTGACGTGGCACAGCCCATTGCTGCTGGAGCAGTAGCCTTTCCCCACTAATCGCCGAACCAAGAGATAGAAAATGACCGGTCACTATGTACAGGTTCTAACTTAGTCGGCCATAGCAGATTCTATTTTTATTCCCTTTGCCTTTAGGTTAAAGCATTTTGGTATTCAGTTTTGTAGGTTTCTTTGTTGTTGGGAACAATAATACTAGTTACACTTGCACATATGGCGTTTTAAATGTTAAAACATTTGGGCTTACACAGACTACACAGTGAAGAGAATCGAAATAGTTAGATACTTTTTTAAACAACACTGTAGTTAGTAACTTTTGATGTCAACAAAAAACAAGGTTTGTAGAATATTGTACTTGTTCATGACTTGCATGTCTATTTTTCTTCTTTCTTAAATCTAATCCACGAACATTAACAATCGTCCGTTGAATAGTTCACTTTATTTTATTCGTTTATGTATGAAATAATACGAACTCCACTAACTTGCGTTTACGCGGTCCTCACGTTCAGCTAATATGATAATTATAATTTATAATCCAATCTCCTTATAGTTACATTTGTTTGGAAGTAGTAAGCCACATTTTCATTTTCGTTTGTCTGAATCATCATTTTAATCATCGTCGGAGAAAGATGTCGCTGATGGATAATCTTTTAGGAATCCTCCGCGTTCGTGTCAAACGTGGCGTTAACCTCGCCGTCCGTGACGTCTCCAGCAGCGATCCTTACGTCGTCCTCAAGCTTGGTCGTCAGGTTCTCTCTCAAAAACACTTCTTCAACGACGATGATTGTTTCACCGACTTACGATTTTTCAAATTCTTTTGCAGAAACTCAAAACTCGAGTAGTGAAGAAGAACGTAAACCCACAATGGGAAGAAGATTTAACATTCACAGTAACCGACCCGGATCTCCCGCTTAACCTGGTAAAAAAAAATTCCCACTTTTAACCATGTAAACCGGACCGGTTTTTTCAAATCTCATAACTCGTTTTCGTTTAAATTCGAAAACAGATTGTGTACGACCACGACTTCTTCAGCAAGGACGATAAAATGGGAGACGCAGAGATCGATTTGAAACCGTACATCGAAGCTCTGCGAATGGAGCTTTCCGGTTTACCGGAAGGAACCATCATAGCGACGATCAATCCTAACCGCAAAAACTGTTTAGCAGAGGAGAGCTACGTCCGTTGGATCAACGACCGAATCGTTCAGAGCATTTGTCTCCGTCTCCGTAACGTCGAGCGTGGCGAAGTCGAGATCGAGCTCCAGTGGATTGATCTTCCCGGTTCTAAAGGCTTGTAAATAAAAAGTGAGCTCCCTTATTGGGCCTTTTCTTCTTTTAATTGGGCTTAATTTATAGCCCATTTTATAATACGAACATAAATCTAAAGCTGATAATTATTTTTGAATAAAACAGTTTAAATAAAAATAATATCATTTGGGTCTGCCCAAGACGGCACGAATTTTAGTGAATGATGTTTAGTTTAAAGGAATCGTCACGTTAGAGCAACCGCATTGGCTCTACAGCTCAAAAATAAAGAAAAACGAAATTAATTATACATGTGGCGAGGCCCAGGCCCAGAGTCGACTCTGGCGGAAGAGTTTTCAGAACCGCCTCTACTCTACACATATTGCCAGCAGAAAGCAACGCAAGATTTTTTTTTTTCGCCCTTTTGTCTTAATTTTTTTTTTCTCCTTTCTCTTCGATCTTCTTTTCCTTCTTATTCTTCTCACTTGTAATTACTCCACAAGTCTCTCATGTTATTCTTCCCCTCCTCACCAACAATCCTTTTTCGCATCCAAATTTTTCAAATCCGAAATCCCTAATTTACAAATTTTTCAAATCCTAGAATTGAAGAAAAAAAAACGTAAGAGTCTATCCACAAAGAAATCGATGGAGAAAAACGTGAGCTCTACTGCTTCTGGTAAATCATCCATTTGGATCTCCAAAGGAAAACCTTCTCTCCGACTCTGATTGTCGCTTTCCATTTCAGTTTTCTCATAATATTTTATGTTTCTTATTCTATCTCATGGAAAATATCCAAAACAGGAAACTCAATCAACTCGAAATTCAGATTTCTCAGGTTCTTCAGTACTATTGTACCAAGAAGGTACTATACATAACTCTCGATTTTCGATTTCAATCACCAGAATTATATGCTTAGATAGAGCATATGTTAAATTTTCTGGAAACAACTCAGATAGGGAAGCCTTTTAATCGAACTTGCTCCTCAAATGTGAGACGATGTGTGAAAGATTTTACTTTGTGCGTTGGTTATAATTGGGCTTTACTGTTTGCATGCAGCTGCCGATATTTACTGTGGAGGAACAAGAAGGTATTTGGTGGAGTATTTGGTGTTGCAACTACGTCTTGGATCGTATTTGAGCTGATGGAAAATTAACTCCTCACATTTCTCTGTCACTTTTCGATTCTTGCTCTTGCCTCATTGTTCTTGTGGTCTAATGCTTGTACCTTCGTCCACAAGTAAGTTTTTCAAATATCCTTTACATGTTGAGTCTTATGAATGAGAGAATGATGCATCAATTGTGTGATAAACTGATTGCATCTTCTCAGAGCATCTCCTCACATCCCGGAAGTACATATCCCTGAGGATTATGTTCTTTAACTGGCCTTTGGATTAAGGATTGAAGCTAACTGTGCCTTACGTTCTTAGGAGTATTGCATTAGGAAGAGATCTCAAGAAATTTGTCTTGGTATGTTCCTTGTTTTCTAACTCAATGCAAAACATTGTTTTTTGGAGAAGTAAAACACTAACACATGCTTGCACATCTTGTAGGTAGTTGCTGGCTTGTGAGTTTTGTCTATTATTGGCAGGCAGCTGCTGCAACTTCACGACATTGTTTTATATTTGTAATGATTTACACGCTTTTTAACTTGCTCAATCGACAGAAATCACACTAGTATTATTTGATAGTTAGCAAACGTGTTTATGGAGCAAAAAAAATTAAAGAACCCCACAAATGGTTCTTCAATGCGGAGCAAAAATTTTGAAAATCTATACAAAAACTCTATACTTAAAATACTAATATTTTTATTATTTAAAATTGTTAAAGAGGAGTTCTCCAATGCGGGTGCTTTTATCGTGAGGGACAAAGATATTTCGACTTCGTATATTCTTTTTTCTTTTAACGAAGCTAAAAAAAAAAGATGAAAAAGATACTTTCTTGCAGCTATTGCAGCTTTTGAGGAACACAATTTTTATTTTTAGAGAGAAAGTAGGTAAATTTTCAGATCCTTTTAAATATTCTCTGTTCTATTTCTATGTTATTCTTTAATAGGTTCAGCCTTTTAGAGAACCCAAAACCGTGCAAACGAACAAAAAAGTAAATTTGTTTAAAGAAAGGTTTTGTGAAAGCATATTGTAGTATGCTTTTTCCATTGATTCGCAGCCGTAGATCGGTATTTGGTCTCATGTTTTCTTTTGGTCGGGGAAAATATTCAAAATTGTAAAACAGACCCTTTTATTCTTGATTCTTATCTTAAACATCCCAAGATTTTGTAATTCAATAATTTACAACAGGATAGAAACAAAAACAATTAGTTCGAGCTTGGGAGGTTAATGAAGGTGACAAATGCCACGCCTCTAGTTATAGTTTCCGATTTTATCCTTACCCCATCATTAACTTGTAGTCTTTTACGTCCGCATGCCCTCCTGATTCTGTCTCTACTCTTTTCTTGAATAATTATGTTTTCTTCGCTTTTATAACTATCTGTAGATTTTATTATTTCACTTAAATTTAGCAACAAAAAGAGCAGAATCAGTGAAGAAAGACGTACACATTATCGTCATTGGATTTGTTATTATATTCGTATTCGTCCTGGTAAAAAAGTGGAGTTGTTTCCCAATGAAGATCCAGAATTAGTATATGGAATCCGATAGAGTAAGTTCGAAATTTTACCTCTGCATTGTAAAACATAGAAATGACCATCTATTTGTATTTATTCAGAAAAACGTAAAACATTTCAGATCAAACACGAATCTTCATTAGTCATCATCAGTTTATTAGTGGAATTATCTGACTTGATTACATTTAGAAGACTTGCTTTAGCGAAGCGTGCTAAAGCATAAAGGCATGTACTAGGCATGGGCATTTTTATCCGGATCCGAAATACCGAACCGAACCCGACCCGAAATAAGTGGAACCGAACCGAACCGGAACCGACACAAATACCCGAATGGGTCCAAAATTTCTATACCCGAAAGAACCGGAACCGAACCGAAAACCTGTGGATACCCGCAATATTCAAAATATAACTATATATCCAAAAATATTAGTTATATTTAGACTTAAAATAACCAAAATATATAAAATTATAATTATAAATCTAATATAATAGTTATATTTAGAAAACAATAACCAAAATATTCAAAGAAATCCGAAAATCTTTATTTATGTTGTTAATATTCAATATTTTTTTCCGAAATTTTGTTAAATTTCGTATAAGTTAAACAGTTTTTATTTTTATTTTATATTTTTTTAACAAAAGTTTGAATATCCGGAACCGATCCGAACCCGGGCGGAACCGAACCGGACCCGACCCGAAAATAAAAAATACCCGAATGGTTCTAAATTTTCTAGAACCGAAAGACTCGAAACCCGAAAGGAACCGACCCGAACCCGACCCGAATAACCGAACGCCCAGGCCTAGCATGTACCATGCACGAGAAGTGTATGCATTATGCATAGACAGTAACTTTGTAAGAAAATCATGTAGTTGTTTTTTTACGGATCTTATGCGTTCAGATTGATAAATTTGTGATTCATATTATTATTACCCATTTAAATTTTTATTATTCGAACATTTATTTAAATATTTATTTCTACAACAATTTTTTTACCAATGAGACTGGTAATACTTTTTATAAGTGAAAAATACGACTGTAGCTTTCATAAAATGGTAAAGAAAAATACTATCTAATCTATTGTAATCTTTTACCGCGTGAGAAAGATGTATAAAGTGAATAACTTACCTTTTCAAATACAACGGCTAGCTAGGCATTTCTTTATTTACTTATTACATATTTATATTTCACCCCACAGATATTTTATTTTTTGAGAAAGGGCCAACCCCATAAACTGTTACACAAGATTATTTAGGTTTTGGAAAATAATCTGATTAGAAACAAAGCATACTAGGAGACAAATAAAAAACAGAGCATAATTTTGATGTATCATATTCCCATTGAGATTAGTTTCTTTGATTCTTAGGATCAGCCCATCAGGCCCACTTGATTTATGTATGTATGTTTAAAACAAGTCAAAATAGGCTCTAAAGTGTCAATTAGTCAAAAATTTGCTTTACGAAGCCTAATTATCTTTACTGACTGCGACTCTCTTTTCCATTTTTCCCGTTTCAAGTGTTTGCTAAAAGGTCATTCATAAATAGAAACGGTGCAGATATAGCTGTAACTTGTAACCAAGAAAAGCATTAATTTGAGTTCAGTATCACACGAAGTCGCATTTTTAACGAGGAATTAGGCATTTTGAAACTATTGAACCTGAGTTTGGAGTTTGGACACAACATGAAGTGTATGAATACACATAGTTCTAAAACTATTTGAATGTTAAAACTATTTTGTTTATTCCGATTGCAAATAAACACTTTTTTGTGTTTCAGCGGGACATTGTCTCTTGGCACAAGAAACATCGAGGAAACTGGATTATAATATTGTGGTTAAACAAAAGCTGATAAACATTGGGAAAATAAAAAGCTGGGAAATAAAAAAATAAAGAAGAGTTGTGTGTTTGGATGGGATAATGAGAAAATACGAAGATCAGAATTCAGCAGGCTATTGATGGAATATTGTGTTTCCTCAAATCTAAGCAGTCCTCATTATATCAACCGATTGCTTTTGTACGGACTTTTATAATACGATAAAAACATTTTTGAATATCGAAGGAAAAATATAACAAAACCAAACACATAAAAGAACCCATCAGAGTGATTTCTGTGCTCAAACCAAAACCACCCTCTTTCAGCATTTTCTTTTCAATTTATTTTCAGTACTGTACGTACATTTTTTTAACATTCTTTTAAGTTTTTTTTTTTTTTTTTTTTTGTTTCTGCTAACTTTATTACCAGCAAATTATATCTTAAATCCAGTATCATCCTATTACTTACAATTTTTTTTTTTATCAACCCAAAGATAAAGATGCCATCATTCGACATCGAAGATATATTTTTTTTGTGTGTTTATATTATGATTGTAGTATTAGTGTATTACCAATCAATAGACCTAAAGTTAGAAACTTTAGTACTAATATCAAGGGGTAAATAAATTTATAAACCAAATAGATAACACATAAAAAAAGGAAGTAAAAAACAGAGCCTTTGGTTGAACCAATAAAACAAAACAGAGCCTCTGCTTTGGACTACGCAAAGCGCACAAGGCCGCCTCTCTTCACTATCCCCAAAGCTCCACCACGAACCCAACAAACTACTTTATTTCACTTTTGTTACATTCAATTTTTTTTTTTGTTAAAGACACTCAATTTCTTTTGCGATTTCCTTTACCATCATTTAATATTTTATCACTATTAAATGAAGCTTGTTGTAAAAGAAAAAATAGAGAGAAAAACCATATAACTCGAAAGCCAAAAATAAAACAGAAACAATAACGAATCCAGTATATTATGTTAAAAAAGAATATAGAAATGTAATATTTTCTCAACGGATAAAAAAAAAACAAAAAAGAATATAAAAATGTGGTCTCTTCTCAACACTCTCCTTTACTCTTTTTCTCCTCTCCACCACTTTCTCTCTGAACTAAACACAACTTCTCCTTCTTCCTCTTCATTCACTCTCTCCCTCTCTCTCTAGACTACACGATGATAACGGCGACGGACTTCTACCACGTCATGACGGCGATGGTTCCGTTATACGTAGCCATGGTCCTCGCTTACGGCTCAGTCAAATGGTGGAAAATCTTCACACCGGACCAGTGCTCCGGCATCAACCGCTTCGTCGCTCTCTTCGCCGTCCCTCTCCTCTCTTTCCACTTCATCGCCGCCAACAACCCTTACAAGATGAACCTCCGTTTCCTCGCCGCCGACTCCCTCCAGAAAATCATCGTCCTCTCTCTCCTCTTCCTCTGGTGCAAGCTCAGCCGCAACGGCTCCCTAGACTGGACCATCACTCTCTTCTCCCTCTCCACTCTCCCCAACACGCTCGTCATGGGGATTCCTCTCCTCAAAGGCATGTACGGCGACTTCTCCGGCGACCTCATGGTCCAAATCGTCGTCCTCCAGTGCATCATCTGGTACACGCTCATGCTCTTCCTCTTCGAGTACCGCGGCGCGAAACTCTTGATCTCCGAGCAGTTTCCCGACACGGCTGGATCTATTGTCTCGATCCACGTCGATTCCGACATTATGTCGTTGGACGGTCGGCAACCGCTTGAGACCGAGGCTGAGATTAAAGAAGACGGGAAGCTCCACGTCACTGTCCGTCGCTCCAACGCCTCGAGGTCTGATATCTACTCGAGAAGGTCTCAGGGCTTATCAGCGACTCCTCGGCCTTCGAATCTCACCAACGCGGAGATTTATTCGCTGCAGAGCTCGAGAAACCCGACGCCACGTGGCTCGAGCTTTAACCATACCGATTTTTACTCGATGATGGCCGCTGGTGGAGGACGGAGCTCAAACTTCGGTCCCGGAGAAGCTGTTTTCGGTTCCAAGGGACCAACTCCTCGGCCGTCTAACTTCGAGGAAGACGGTGGCGCTAAACCGACTTCTGCCGGAACCGCCGCTGGAGCTGGGAGGTTTCATTATCAGTCCGGAGGAGGGAGTGGTGGTGGTGGAGCAGCGCATTATCCGGCGCCGAATCCAGGGATGTTCTCTCCGCAGACAGGCGGCGGAGGTACGGCGGCGAAAGGAAACTCTCCGGTGGTCGGTGGGAAGAGAGGGAACGGGCAAGACGGAAACGGGAGAGATCTTCATATGTTTGTGTGGAGCTCAAGCGCTTCTCCGGTCTCAGACGTGTACGGCGGAGGAGCAGGAAACCACCACAACGACTACGCCGCCGCTACGAACGATCAGCATAAAGACGTTAAGATCTCTGTACCCCAGGGGAATAGTAACGGTATGGTCCCCCAACAACTTTACTGTTTCGTTTTCTGCTACTCCAATTTGTTTTCTTTACAAAAATAACCCCGTAATTACACATTTTGTTGGTTTAGTTCAGATTTGGGATTTGATTAGTCTTTAATTATTGAAAAATGTTTAATCTTGATTTTCAGACAACCAATACGTGGAGAGGGAAGAGTTTAGTTTCGGTAACAAAGATGATGATAGCAAAGTTTTGGCTACGGATGGTGGAAACAACATAAGCAACAAGACGCAGCAGCAGCAGGCAAAGGTTATGCCACCAACGAGTGTAATGACAAGACTCATTCTCATTATGGTCTGGAGGAAACTCATCCGTAACCCAAACTCTTACTCCAGTTTATTCGGCATCACCTGGTCACTTATTTCCTTCAGGTACTGTTTCCAACAACTCTAGTTTTATTTTGTATTTTATTCAAAAAATTTAATAAATTTTCTTGATAGTCTTGAATGCGTCGTCTATGGTTAAAAGTTTGTGATGTGGAGTAGTGAAAAAAGATTTGAGAAAGATCTTTTGATTTGGGGAATTAAATTGATGTGGTCTGTGCAGGTGGAACATTGAAATGCCAGCTCTTATAGCAAAGTCTATCTCCATACTCTCAGATGCAGGTCTAGGCATGGCTATGTTCAGTCTTGGTCAGTTCCTTTATTTTTTTTTACCGATTTACATTTATTATATAATTAATACGATAAAACAGTCAATTGTTCTCTTTACTCTGACCTTCATTCTTTAATAATAGATTTAAAAAAAAATAAAAACCAGATCATGTGAATGCATGATTCTCTCTGCCTTTTCCTTTTGAAGTTTAATTCAAAATTGCTAAAAAACATGTTTGTATCAAAAAAGCAAACAAAACTGGCTTTCACAGCAGAAAGCATGCTCTCCACAGTTCTCTTCTTATCATCATAACATGTCTCTCTCTTGGAGGAAACTATTTTTTTTTTACTCTGAGTTCATTATTTAATGTTTGAAAAAATGTTTTTTTTTTACAGTCGAATTTTCCATCAACCGATTATTAAAAATATATTTACTTTTTAGGAAAATGAATATAAGTTGATGATGATGATGGTATGGTGGTGTGGAACAGTGGGTGTAATGATTATCTTTTTATATCACTCTTTTGCAGCTAATCTGCTAAAAGCGTAGTAATTTAAATTTACCCAAAAAGCAAAACAATGTTTAGATTATTTGTGTAATTTTGTGGCTGTGTTGAATGTTTGCAGGGTTGTTCATGGCGTTAAACCCAAGAATCATAGCGTGTGGAAACAGGAGAGCAGCTTTTGCGGCGGGGATGAGATTTCTTGCCGGACCTGCTGTCATGACCGTTGCTTCTTACGCCGTCGGCCTCCGTGGTGTCCTCCTCCGCGTCGCCATCATCCAGGTACCTTTTAATATATTTGTATTCGTCATGTCTATAGTATAAGTAAAATAATATTTTTATGTATACACTTTTTTCTATCGCTTGTGTTGTATAGTTGTGTTGTCCTTCTGAGTTATTGTCTTTATTTAATAGAATTATTTATTGATGTAAACAGGCAGCTTTGCCGCAAGGAATTGTACCTTTTGTGTTCGCGAAGGAGTACAATGTGCATCCGGACATTCTTAGCACTGCGTAAGTTTATTCATGTGTATATATATGATTGTCTACTATTTTGCTTGGACTTTGGATTTGATTAGGGTATTTTTGTTAACGTTTTTGTGATTTAATGATTTTTGTTGCAGTGTGATATTTGGGATGCTGATAGCGTTGCCCATAACTTTGCTCTACTACATTCTCTTGGGGCTATGATGAGACCAAGCATGAAGAAAACACAGGAACCCTTTTTTTTAATCTTTTGGGGGGTTATGAAATGTGAAAAGAAATATGCCCTTTTTGTTGAATCCTGTTTCTTTTGGTAGGTGTTAGGAATTTGTAAAAGTGTTGCTACTTTTAGTGAATTTAAAAACGTTAACATCGAAAACTCAAAACTCTAATTCTCAGGTGATTTTTGTGCATATGCCAAGTATGTAATCTCATTCACAAAAATTAAAAGAAATTTGCCATTTCACAAAATAATCAAATAGCCGAACATTTTTCATTTGCCATTGCGTTAATCAATACGAACTTAATTGGGAAAGAAGATTACACACACAATACGTTCGAGAAAGGGACTTCACCGGGAGATTGGGGTGTGAAATAATGAACTTGAAGGATATTATAAGCTTTGTAATATTTTACGTGAGAGGTGTGAAGTTATAGCCCTGGGCATTTCGGGACGGAAATCCCGTTCTCATCCTTATCCGCTTAAAATTTCCCGAATTTTTCGGGAATGGGAATTTGCATTTTCCCGTTTGGGAATATTTATTTTATTCAAACGGGTAAGGGAAGGATAAGGAAAGGGTAAGGAATTTCCCGATTTTCCCGTTTATAAAATAAAAAATTAAAAATCATATTTTTTTTCTTAAATATCCCTGTTTTTCCTATATTTTCCCGAATTTTCCTATAATTTTCTGTATTTTCCCATATTTTCCCATATTTTCCCGTATTTTCCTGTACTTTCTCTTATTTTTCCCGTACTTTTCCATAGTATCTTCAATTTTCCCGATTTATTAAGACTTTGGGTATTATTTTTTGATTCTCAAAATTCCCATTCCCTTCCCATTCCCGTGGTTTCCCGTCCCGTTATAATAAGAGAATGCTTCGAGAATCATATTTGGTTTCCCGAATTTCCCATTCCCGTCTCATATCCGTCAATTCCCGTCCCAAAACCCGAAATGCCCAGAGCTATGAAGTTATATAGCTTTGTGGTTGTAACAAAAACAGAGGAATTTGGATTCAAAAGAACACTCGATTTAAATGTAGAAAGATTGATGGAGCACTTCAAGATATTTGGTGTGGACATATGCACTTGGTGCATGCGTATCTCGGTCAAGATTCCTCTTCACTGCGTTTGTGGAATCTTGAAAGATTCGTTTTAGGATTGTGTCTCCTTTTTCTGATTCTTCTCAGAATCATTACATACCACTTAGTTGCTGATGCTTTGAAGGGTTTTTAACTTTTAGTATGTCAAGGATTAGAATGAAAACAAATAAAATCATCGTTTTGATAAGTTATACGACGATCTTATGTAACGATACATTTTTGGCCACTACTTCTTTAATTTAGTCTACATAAGATTCCTATATTCAACTTTGATACATCAAATGCATATACAGTTAAATGTACTGTTTTACGGTGAAGAAATTTCATTTGCTATAATAATATAGATATATGGAATGATTCGAAGCTGAATAGATCTATTTCATGCTAAAATCGATTTTTAGCTTTAGTTGGTAATACTGTCTATAAAATAATGGCTAAACTAGAAAAAAGATGTGGAATGGCGAAATTTGTTTGTTTATATATGTCCCTAATTAAAAAATTTAACAGGTAAAAAATGACTATTTGATAGCTAAATATGTGAAGGTGTAATAATTAGAAGAGAAGAAAATAGTTAAAGAAACCGACCCTCAATTTATGGCACGCCTTATGTAAAAATCAATCATTTTTTCTGCATGAGACGGCTATAGCCGCCGTTGCAAATTTCAACTTTTAACAATTAATACGTAAAACTTATAATATTAATCCTTAGATTTCACATTGTTCATATTCAAATTATAAAGAACAAAAAAATTGGCTGAAAAAAGAAAGAAGAATGAGACAAAAGAGAAGAAGACGACGCCGTGTCACTTCGCTTTCTTATTGCCACTCAACACACAAACATTTTTCAGAAGCTTCCATTTCTGTGTTTCATTCTCTGCTCTCTCAAAATGTAAATTCACCATTTATTGAAAATATTACATTGAATCCAAAATTCAGAAGTGGGTAGTAGTTGAAAATTACCTGAATACCTATATGTACTACTACTCTAAAGTCAAAATTGAATACTCCACCTTTTATTTTCCATCAAATGAGATTTACATGAGGGATTGAAAGGACCGAGGATGCCATAAAGAAGTTAATCTCCTCACGGAAAAGATTTTTCGTATTTATTCGAGATTTTTGTTGTCTTTAAAGACAAAACATAAAACAATTACAAGAGGATGACGTGGATAAGTAGAAGGGTATAAACGTCATTTCGACAGGCCATAGTTGCAGATGTTAGTGTCTGCCTGCCACTAGACGGTGTTGGGTCGGCCGTCGACCAGACAGAGCTTTGAGAGCTTTTTGTCATTTGTCTTTCTCTCTTCCTTTTCTCAATTTCTATTTTCTTTCGTATTTTTGTATTTATTTTCTTTCTCAATTTCTATTTATTTAGTTTTCAGTTTTCACTCGTACGGGAGTATTTATGTATGTTATGAAGATCAAATAAAAACCTGATTACTTTTTATGGGACAGAATATGCCAATTGCCATGATAATACATACTCTCATCGAATATAATCAAAGTTCTAACAAAACGGCTGAAACTTTCCTCCGTATTGACCAAATATGTTCAAAAGTCAAATAAATTTCGTCTGATATGTTCAAAATATGAGTCAGATTAAGCGTTACCATAAACATTAGGACTTTAGGTAACCTTATAAATATTTATTAGGACTTAGAAGGCATAAAAGTTGCTTAAAGCAATTGAAATTTGGACATGGCCAACTCTAATAAGATATTGTTGGGTTATTGTAATAAGACAAAGTGAATTCTATTGGTGATCTATTGTAAGTTGTAACATTAGATAACTAAATTTGAGATATCGTTTTTATTATCATTAAATTTAATTGTTTTCGTTATTGATAGTCATTCAATAATTGTCAATCACACACACCCAACTTTTTAAAAATGAAAAAATGAAAAATCAAAGGAAGTTTTTTGTTGTTACGTCCCCTCAACTTTTAAGGATCTGTTTTTCGATCTATATATTCTATTTTTTTTCAGATGTATGAAATTATACACGTATAGTATCACGTATGACAACAATATATAAATTATATGTTTGAATGACTATCATTCCTTTTGTCGCGTTTAGAATATAATGTTGGCTGCACGTGAAACTTACTTCGAGTTTCTAAAACCGCTAAGGATTTAGTAAAATAGAGTTATCTCATCTTATCTGTCTCTAAAAACTAATGTAATTTTTATTAACCAACAAATATAGACAAATGCGGCTTTGTATTCGAGGAACAAGCACGCCTACACAACACTACTCTACACTACACATATTCCTATATCCTTATCGAAATAATGTAAGCAATATAACAGTAAAATACAAATTCTCAAATAGATGTGTTCATGTGATGATGCTGTTGCTGGCACTTTGTGGATCTTTGTACTTTTAACAGTTGACAAAAGTTTCAACCAAATTTGGGCCTGTTTTACATTAAAAATCCAGAATCTTACATCTCTTTAGCCCGTTTACATTAATCCACCAGTATAACTTTGTTCGGAAGAGTAATCTGGTCATCAAAAAGGTTAACGGGCTCATCATATTCTTGTAGGGTTTGTACAAGGAGCTCTATGATTCTCTAAAGATTATAAAAACATAATAAGATATCTTCCATGTCATTATTTTAGAGTGTACGTCGCATGTCACCGGCCAAATGTAGTTTGCCGTAAACATTTTAATTGCGTTTTCTAAGACCAACAAGTGATCTTCTAAATTTATTCGTGTGAATTAAGAAACAGTGTTTCATGTTTTCTAATTTGATCATACATATAACTATACCGCTATCTTAAATTCTCTGGATAAGGATAACATGTTTTTGATTCAAGACTTTGAATATGAAATGACTTTGTCGACAACCAGCTCATTAGCTCTTTGTAGATGTTGTTAACGGGATCACCAATAGGCTACAAGAGCGCACTACAGATGTATATTATTTCTCTAGGTACTAAAATCCCATATTTTGTTTTCTCAAGAAGCTAATAGTCACCAATACATGAAGTTGTAAAAACTCGAACAATATTGTATACTAACCCCTTAAACATAAACAACTTTACATGGTGTCACCCTCGGAAAAAAAAACTTTAACAACTACAAATGTTGAAATGTTTGAAACTATGATTGAACCACAATATGAAAAGATAGTCGTCAAGATGTTGACGAGATGACGCCAATAGAGTTTTCTTTCAAGGTAAAACTAAAATCCACTTTATATTTACAAAAAAAAAAATCCACTTAATCCTTCGAATCTTATTTGTAAGTCACTGTAGCTTACTTATGGACCTGATGTATAATGAGAATCTTTTTTAATAAGAAAAAAAAAAGAAATGATTGGAGGGGGGGGGGGGGGGACCAGAAGAGGTTCTTAATTAGGAACAATACCAACAATAACCAATTATACAGTTATCTAATTAACCGTATATCATCGGGTGAAAAAACAAGGTCCCATCACAAAGTTTATATAATTATGCATAGCCCATTTGTAGAATTCTTAACTAATATCTACTGTCCTTTGCCAATACAAACTATAACATAATCGCATATGACCAGCTTAAGTATTTTATATAAACAATGACCAGGGCAAGTAGGCAAATCAAAATAACATAATTGAAATGGAGTCGAGGCGCATTATTCATCAGAACTCAGAAGTTCAGAACCGCATACTTTATCTATACAAGTGGTGAGTTTTTTTTATGGTCGTTGTCATCAACTATAGTACTTTTAAATTGACTTGCAATGTATATGTCGTGTCCGGTTTGTTTAGTGATACTGATTCTATTTGATCACATTATGATGAAGCCTAAAACTAATATGAAGTTATGTCCGATTCACGTAGAAATTAACTTTTTGATTAACATAGACTACTTAACTGAAAGAAACAAAACTCAGGTTATAGAAATACCAAAAATCAAAATGTTTTGATAAACTATGGTTTTCAAAGTAAATTCACGTTTTCTCATGAAAAACTAAGAATTGACGAATAAAATGTGAATGATGATTGATGGTTTTTGCGGTTGAACTGGTACAATCACAGCAATTTCATATGAACACTATTCGAGAAAAATAACACAGTATTATTGCGGCAATTACATTTGTTTACATTCATTGTGTACGATCATTCCGTTTATTTAAATTAGTTCCTAAAACGAAAAAAAATCAACCAAGTTGTGGTCCAAGGAAATATAGTAGACACACTAATTTTCCACTATATGGATCTTAGTAGTGTCAAGTGGCATGCTTAATTTCCTTTCCTTTTCCCCATCTTTTTCTCTAACCTTTTGTCTGTTTTTTTTTTTTAAAATATAATTTATTTATCATAAAACTGATGATATTATTCAGTATCTGGCCAAAAACAAAGACATGTAGGTCGGAATCATGAATATTCAGATTTTTTATATAAAATAAAGCTGATGATACCATTGAAATCATTGTTGGTCATGGAAAAATGAATATTTTAACAACTGTTTTTCCAACTAGGGCAACCGTTCCTAGGGTATGCGTAGAACATTTATTTAAGTTAATCAACTAGCTAATTTTTTGGTTAAAATCAGTTATAAGTAAATTTGATATGGTACGAATCTTGACTCCGAAGTGTAGTGAGAAAATTAATACTCCAGTATATTATAAGACTTTGCCAACTGATAATGATGATAAAACTATTTTTTTTGTAGACATATAACATATTTATCATAAAACTTAGTTACGATTAATATATAAGATGATAAAACCATTATTTTAAGAGATACTTGTTTTAATTTGTCTCGCCAAATAACATAACCGCAATGCATTATTTGATTTTTATGTGGTTGCTAGCTATTTCCAATCGTAGATTAGTATAGTTAAACTTTTACTATGTCTTCAGTGATTACATAAGGCTTTTTTTTTTTTTTTTTTTTGTGATTACATAAGGTTTAGTAGTATTTCTATCATAATCATACAAATAAAAATGTTTTCTGTAAATGAGAGAGGACAGGGAGTGAAAACGAAGGAGGATGTGGCTGTGAGCCATTGGATATAAAAGATTCATTTCAAAAGTTGGCCATTCGGAGCATCTTGGGATCACTGTCTGTTCGCTACTTCTCAAAGACCATTAACTGTTGACTTACTTTCGCTAACAGTGTTTAATTTCATATTTACCTTTATACCCCATCACATATAAACCAACTAAACATGTTTAAAGTTGAGCCATCGTAATCACTGAATCCAACTTGAACAAAGAAAACGAATCTCTGAGTCTAAGCAATCTAGAATCTATCAAACTATAATCTGTTTGTACCAATCAAAATGATATGTTCCTCAGCTCCACTCAACGATTAAATTTAAGTTGTTATGCACTCTATATATTGGTTGGTTGATATTGTATCTTCTTTTTTTTGATAAAGAAGGTTGATATTGTATCTCTTTTTATAACGGTCATAGATTTTTTTTAGTATTAGTTCTGCTGCTATCATAATTTTGTTTGGGCAAAATACTATAAAGAAGCTGTGTATGTATGTATATATCTAAAGAAATACTCCATCATTTCATATTAGTTATTGTTTTGAGAAAATGTATATGTATGTATTTAGATGTGTTTTGAGTTCAATACATCCAAACATATTGCATATACATTTTCTCAAAATAATAAAACGAAGAGAGTAATACACATATAGTCACAAAAGAAACTTGAAATCTTAAATTAAATGTTCTTCAAATCCTATGTCCACAAAGCGTAGATGATTTTCTTATAACATCCACCTTGTTGACCATTAGGTAGATATATACTGCAGATTGCCTTTTCTTCCTGTCAGTTATGAAAATGTTGTGTCCAAACATACTTACAGTATTGAAATTTTAGTATAATAAAATAGAAATAGTAAATGAAGGATTTCTTTCTCTAACTAGAAGAAAATAAAAATACACGAAAAAATTAAAATAATCATGTTTTTCTCTATATAATGAGAAGAAGATCAGGAAGAACAACACAAAGAACCACAACACACAAGAAACCCTAAACCACTGGTTTTTTCTTATTCTTGTCAATAGTCAATGGCTCACAGTACTCACACTAATGGCCACATGATCTCTTCTCCTTTCTCCAAAAACTCATGTAAGTTTACTCTTCAATTTAACTCTACTGTTAATTTCTCTCAATATTGTTCATTAGAAATCCCACAATATCCTCATTTTTTCTGAAAGTACAGCGATTAGAGTCCCCAGTTTTATCCAACACACAAATCATTTTAATTATGCGTTTACCATTCACATATTATGTTTTGTACCTATGCACTAGTTTCGCCATTACTAGTTATGCTCTTTCTTCGTTTTTTTCCATTATTTTCTATGTACATGATCTTGTAAACTGATAACATCTTTTTTTCCTGGAAAATTGCTGAAACATGAAATGTGTATATATTGACAGTCTTATTTTTGTTTTTAACATTAACTGTTATTCTAGTCGTAATTTTAAGCTATTTTAGATCTTCTACTATAGTACGACTTGCTATAGTTTAAGTTAGATACCTATAAAATCATTAGAGAGGAAAGATTCACCTATCTCTCTTTCTCTCTATCTACTCTCCAGTACCTCTTTTAAAATCCACCACGTGATGTAATTAAATTGATTTTTTTTTCTTATTTTTGGTTTATTGTATAATTTAGCCTCTGCTCTGATAGCGAGTGGACAAAATAATTTCATTATCATAAAACATAAATACAGAAAACTGGAGTTTTTACTTTCTAAAGCACAATTTCTGATTATAGGGCGTTAGAAATAAGCTTTGCTTAGTACGTAATTCTACATACACGACGTTGCATAAGATTCCCTGGAGTTTTTTTTTGGTTAAAACATAAAAATAGACGAATCTTCACAAGAATTAATCTAATATCTAAGATTGTCTTCATTTTTTCAAAAAAAAAATATCCGTCTGTGCTGCGGAAATAAATGTATCTTTCATTATTTTGTTTTGTCACAAAATTATGTGTAGATGTCTAGATGATAGTTTCTTCTTCTAATTATGGAAAAACATGAAACCAAACACGAAACTTTTTATGTAAAATGTTAGGCTAGTAACAATTCCGTGGGACACACTCCTTTTATGCCTTTACCACGTGAACAGCCGAATCGGGCGGTCTAGGAGATGCCACGTTTATTATCGATATGTCAAACTAGATTCTCCTAACGGCCGTTCCCTCACCGTTATTTTCCCGGGATTAGAGAAAATGTTTTCGGGTTCGGTTGATTATTAACCGATCAAGAACCGGAAAAACAGAAAAGCATGTAAACCGAAATCGGATGTAACCGCTTCGTGTTCCGTTCTTCACACTTGACAGTGTGCTCCGGCGAACAGACTTTAGCCCAGAAAGAAGCAGAAAAGCGAAATTCGAGAAATCGATTTCGAGAAATTTGGATCTGCGAGAGTCGATGCAGCCGAAGGGTAGATTTCACAACCGTAGATCCAGAAGCTTTTCTAGATCTAGACTCGCCATCGAAGGATCATAGCCATAGTTTCGTTGTTCCTTTTTCCTTCATTCATATCTCCGTCTCGAATTTTCTTCTCGAATTTCATCATTCTCGAGAAGAAATCGTTCCCTTCTCTACTCTCACGGAAAATGGCCCCCTATGGTGAGTTTCTGGCGTAAATCGTCATGAAACTGTTCAGGATTCCGACGCGCTATTACTTTCCGATACGTTTCTAGATCGATTCGTTGAGCATTGATCTGATTTTGGCAAATGTTTTCATTGATTTTGATGAGTTTGGATCGTTTTTGTTCCTTCTTCTCAGTTTCAGGGGAAGAGCGTGAAATCCAGAAGAACTACTGGAAAGAGCACTCTGTTGGATTGAGCGTTGAGGCCATGATGCTCGATTCCAAAGCTGCCGACCTCGACAAAGAAGAACGACCTGAGGTTAAAATCTCTCCTTAATCTTAAAGTTATAATCTTTGTTTTGAGTTTGAGTCTCAAGCCTTTGAACCAAATTGAAAACATTTTCCTCTGTTCACATTGTGTGTGTGTGTGTGTGTGTGTGTGTGTCAGATTCTTGCGCTACTTCCACCGATTGAAGGTAAAACGGTGCTGGAGTTTGGAGCTGGCATTGGCCGTTTCACTACTGAATTAGCTCAGAAGGCCGGCCACGTCATTGCGGTTGATTTCATTGACAGTGTCATCAAAAAGGTTGGATCTGATCTCACTCACGTCCATGCTCTCTTCTTTCTAGCTACTTAATAACACCATCCCTCATGTTGAGTCTTCTTCCTCTGCAGAACGAAGAGATTAATGGACACTACAAGAACGTCAAGTTTATGTGCGCTGATGTCACATCCCCGGATATGAAGTTCTCAAATGACTCCATGGATCTTATCTTCTCCAACTGGCTCCTTATGTATCTCTCTGACAAAGAGGTAACTAATTTAACTTCTTACCGCAAGAACCACTTGAGAACAGTACAAATTTGGACTAAGTATGTGTAGTGATGCAAAGATTTGCACTTTGTGACTATTATGTTATACAAAGACCATACGGCAAATAGTTGCTATTATTTCTTGGCCTTTCTAATGACAAAGCTGCACAAAAAACCATCTTAGCTTCACTCTAATAGTGGCTTTAATCTTCAAATAGTCAGGTCATATATGTCCCTTGACAAAGTTTATGTGTTTTGATGAAACTGCAGGTTAAAGATTTGGCGAAAAAGATGATACAGTGGACGAAGGTTGGGGGTTATATTTTCTTCAGGGAGTCTTGCTTCCATCGGTCTGGTGATAACAAGCGCAAGTACAACCCAACACACTACCGCGAACCAAAATTTTACACAAAGGTGTGCTACTGCTACCTTTATATCCCTCCATTCCTCTGTTTCTAGACAAATATATATTGAATCCTGGGTCATGAACTCCTTTCAGCTTTTCAAAGAATGCCATATGGATGATGATCTTGGGAACTCGTACGAGCTCTCTTTGGTTAGCTGTAAGTGCATTGGGGCTTATGTGAGAAACAAAAAGAACCAAAACCAGGTAATCATTTAGGCCTCTTCATTCATGTTTTAGCCACACTTATGATGGTATTTATACTTTCTACAAATTTTCAGATATGCTGGCTCTGGCAGAAAGTCAGTTCCGATAATGATAGAGGCTTCCAACGCTTCTTGGACAATGTCCAGTATAAGTCTAGTGGTATCTTACGCTACGAGCGTGTCTTTGGACAAGGGTTTGTGAGCACTGGGGGTCTCGGTATGCTCTTTAGTCATTGAGCTTGTATCAACTTATCAGTGTTGATTACGGTTCTGTATGTTTACTTGTATTTGACCTTTGGATGTAGAGACGACAAAGGAGTTTGTGGATAAGCTGGATCTGAAACCAGGCCAGAAAGTTCTTGACGTTGGCTGTGGAATTGGAGGAGGAGACTTCTACATGGCTGAGAACTTTGACGTGGATGTTGTGGGGATTGATTTATCTGTGAACATGATCTCTTTCGCACTGGAACACGCGATAGGACTCGAATGCTCTGTAGAGTTCGAAGTAGCTGATTGCACCAAGAAGGAGTATCCAGATAACACCTTTGATGTTATTTACAGCAGAGACACCATTCTCCACATCCAAGTACTGTATAAATTTTCGCTTTTTTCTTCTTTTCTTATGGCTTCATTGAGTAGCTTTGTTTTTTGCTAAGGTCTCTCTTATCTTACTCTTATCAGGACAAGCCAGCATTGTTCAGAACATTCTACAAATGGTTGAAGCCAGGAGGGAAAGTTCTCATAACGGATTACTGCAGAAGCCCTAAAGCTCCATCTCCAGATTTTGCAAACTACATTAAGCAAAGAGGTTATGATCTTCATGATGTACAAGCATACGGTCAGGTATATATACAAAGATATATAAACATTCTCTTCTTCTACTTAGAAATGACCTAAACTTGGTTACTTGTTTCGACAGATGCTGAAAGATGCTGGATTCGATGAGGTAATCGCAGAGGATAGAACTGATCAGGTGAGAAAACGCTTCTCTATGTAAAACTCTATGCTTAAAGAAAAGAAGTTGAAAGTTAGAAACGATTGAGTTGCTCTGTTGATGAATCACAGTTCATGAAAGTCCTGAAACGGGAGCTGGACGCTGTGGAGAAGGAGAAGGAAGGATTCATCAGTGACTTCTCGAGAGAGGATTACGAGGATATCGTTGGTGGATGGAAGTCAAAGCTACTCAGGAGCTCAAGTGGTGAGCAGAAGTGGGGTTTGTTCATCGCCAAGAGAAACTGATTACTATATATGGATGCCATTCTTATTATAATCAAGCAAAGTTAATAAATAAATCTGGTTATGCATTTGTATGTAGATCATCAAAATCCAGTTCCCTCCTATTATCTCTTCAAGCTATATATGTTGCTTTCTCACTCCTTGTGAGCTTCTGTAATCATTTATATATATTTGAAATCCTGTCCAGTTTGGTATGTATAATGTGATATTAATTTGTATTTCGGATTGATTAAGTTTGACATAGAAAAGCTCACACTCCTCGTTATTGGATAGAAACAGAGACAGTGAACCAGAGTTTCTATATATTAATATATGTTTTACTATCTCAAAATAGCGTAGTAATTCACTTGGCCACCATGGAAATTACATAGCAGAGGAGATTATTTTGCTGGTTTTTTCACCAAAGTGGGATCATCTTTCAAAGAGAGTCGGTTTTAGAGAAGGACAACAGCTCGACTTCAACTTTGAGAGAGTCTCGTTGACATGAGATTTCAAGGGTATTGGAATGTGAAGATAAGTAAAAGACAATGAAGTAACACCACAGCTTGCTAATCTATTCTCTGTGCTGAAATAGCTCAAGTAGAGACTGGATAAGATCAGATCTTGAGGGCATTGGAATGTGGAGAAAAGGCAGTTGATTTTTCACAAGTTTTAAAGGTTGGAGGTGAATTATAAACTGGAGAGACATGAAGAGGTTGACACAAAACTAGTGTTGTTACTGAGAGACCTTCTTCTTCTTTCTTATTCACCTTTCTTGTTGTAAATGCCGTAACTCTACATTAGAATTTTAAGTGTACAATATAGAGCAAAATCAAAATGTGCTCACAAGAGGTCTAGAATGAGTAGTGCTTTCATAAAAGGATCTTGAAAGACTAATTGTAGTTTGTATAAACCACGTAAATGCCGTAACTCTACATTAAAATTTAAGTGTACAAATATAGAGCAAATCAAAATATACTCACAAGAGGTCTAGAATGAGTAGTGCTTTCATAAAATGGTAGAGTAAGGAGTGGCCCCAAAGCGGAATTGAACGGGGTGCTTGGTAAAGGATCTTGAAAGACTAATTGTAGTTTGTATAAACCACGTGATGTCATTAAATTTTTTTTTTCTTGTTTTTGATTTATTGTATAATTTTGATAGCGAGTGGACAAAAAAAATTCATTATCATCTTATTCTATAAAGTTAGATGCGACATGGTTGTGACACGTAAGATTTTTATTATTTACAAGATCTCAACATGTGTCACTTTTAGTTTCATGGCTGTTAAGATAATGACATGTGTCATGAATTATTTATTTTTAAAAATGTTATTTTTTTTTTTTTTTTTTTTTATCAATTATAATAAAAGGAAAAAATATATATTTATCATATCGTAATTGGAAAAGGTTTTCTATTAATCAAATTTATACTATCCAAATATATATTAAATTTAAGTAAACAAAATCCTATTAATGCATGAAATAGGTAAATACATATTAAATTCAATTAAACAAAATCTTATTAGTACATTACATTAACTAATCTTAATAAGTACTAAATAAAATCATATATGGAATATGTTACGTGAACCCCCTATTATAGATTATCGCTACATGTGATAACTTTAATTTTACTCATATTAAGACTTTGACATGTGTTTCGGAAAAAAAGAAAAAAACTATTTAAAAAAGAAAACTGTACATATTATAACGAAAAAAGTATTTTTGCAATATTCTAACGGAAAAATGTTCCATGTTATAAAGGAAGAAGGAAAAAGTATTTTTGCATACCTGATATTCTAAAATAAAAGAAATGAAAAAGGTATATTTCCATATTTTAATTGAAAAATATTCATATTCTAACAGAATATAAAATATATATTTTACATGCATTATATTCTAAGATATAAGAGTCCATATTCTAACGAAAAAAGTTAACATAAACATAAATACATAATTTAAGTTTTCATGCATCTTATGTATTCATAGATTTCTTATCGGGTTCTCAATATTATTTTACTTATTTGTAAGAATACTCATATTTTGTTTAATAAATTTTTGGTAATTTGTTTTAAAAAAATTTACAATAAACCCGCGTATACACATGATTTTATTTAGTAAAACATAAATATAGAAAACTGGAGTTTTTACTTTCTAAAGCACAATTTCTGATTATAGGGCATTAGAAATAAGCTTTGCTTAGTACGCTTTGCATGAGATTTCTTGGATTTTTTTTTCTTGTTAAAGGAATCCAAGGAATCAAAGAACTTTCGACTCCTTGGAATCTATATCTATATATATATATATAAATAAAATTCATGCAATTCTGTTCTGGTGGGGACACCTCAACTAAAGAAAGTGCTTATAAATTCAGCATTTCGCCATGTCAGCATTCTCTACACTCCATTTGATTTCTTTTATTTGCTTTTATTATATTTTAATTGTCATAATAATTACAATGTATTATATATATTAAATTTAACAAAAATTTGAAAAGTTTTTATAAAACAAGAATCATATTAATTGATTTACATAAATAAAAATTTAACGATTTTAGTTTTGTTAAAACTAATTATATATTTTTATAATAAAAATTAAACGAGATGGGATGGAACCTGAAGAAACATGGTGGAAAATAACGTGAAAGAACGGAATGGGAAAAATGAGACGGGACAGAGAGGGACAAGAAGTAATACGAAGAAACGGGAAAGAACGAGTCGGAATGGGAAAGAGAGAGACGGAAAGAGGAGGAACTAGGCAGAAGGGAAAATATCGAAATGGGATGAAACCGGACATGACGAGAAGCAACAGGACAAAACGGAATGAAATGGAAAGGAATGAGACGGGAAAAAAACATGATGAGACATGAGAAGACATGATAAGAAGGAAAGGTTGGACGGGATGGGATGAAAAGAAACAAAATGAGACGGGATTGGACGGGACAAGATGGAAATGGACATAATGGGATGAGATGAGAATTTCGCTTACCCCTAATTATATTTAGAGACGGGACAGAGACATGACAAAATGGAAAGGAACATAATAGGATAAGATTGGACTAGATGGGGCGTACATGACGAACGGGACATGATTAAAACGAACATAATGAGATGAGATAGAGTTAGACGGAAATTTGCCTAACCCTAATTATATATAATTAATTAATATGTGTATAATATTTTTTGAAACAATAATAAACTATAGAAATAATTTCAATATTCGAAATAAAATAAAATTAACATAACAATATTAATTCCCGCGTGAAGCGCGGCCACCCCCTAGTCTATATATATAAAGTTCATGCAATTCTATTCTGGTGCTGCCACATCAGCAGAAGATGTTGCCTCTAAATTCATTAATTCGCCATGTCAGCATTGTATTTATTAATTTTAATTTATTATATTTTTTCTTCTTATATTTTAATTCTTTGTGATCATTTATTAATATAATAATCATTAGATAATACAATAGTTTTTGTAAGAATTTGAAAAGTCATTTTTATAAAAGAAAAATATTATGTATAAATCTTAAAAAACTATTATTTAATAATAATAATAATAATATAATATTAATATTACAAAGTACACTGTTTTTTTTATAGTATTTTTGGAAGAAAAATGACGAGATTGAATATGACGAGACGAAAAAAAAAATCGGAGAAGAATGAAATTTTGTTTAGTCCTTATGATATAAAGTGACGAGACGAGAACTAAAGGAACGGAAGAGAACGATATAGAACAAGACGGAAATCTCGTAGGGGTGGAACAGAAAAAACATAAAAAACATGATGAGAGAGGAGAAGACAGAAATGTTGGACAAGACAAAATGAAAAGAAATGGAATATGATGGGATTAGACAGGACAAGATGAAAAAGGACATAATGGGACAGGTCGGAAATTTTGCCTACCCCTAATTATATTTAGAGACGAGATATTGGTAAGACAAAATGGAAATGAACATAATAATATATGATGACACTCGATGGGGCGGACAAAACAAACGGAATGGAAAGAACATGACAAGATAAAAAGGAACGAAATGGGATAGAATTATGTCTACCCCTACTTATATTTAGGGAACGAGACGATAATAAACAAAATGGAAAGAATCATAATGAGATAGGATATGACTGAACGGGACGGGACATACAAGACGAACGAGACGGGAAAGACACATAGTGAAAATGAACGAAATGGGGTGAGATGAAACAAGATGGTACACATTTTTTGCATAACTCTAATTATATTAAAGTAATATGTATATAATATCTTTGAAACAATATTAAATTTGCGGATAAACAATAAAACTAACCCAATCCGCGCGTAGCGCTGATCACCCCTAGTTTAAAACATAAAAATAAACGAATCTTCACAATAATTAATCTTCAATTTTTTTTTTATAAAAAAAATATCGGATATTTGTATAGGTCTGTGATGCAGAAATAAATGTATTTTTCATTATTTTGTTTTTGTGACAAATTTATGTGTAGATGATAGTTTCTTCTTCTGATTATGGAAAAACATGAAATCAAACACGAAACCTGTAAAGGTTAGGTCACAATTCCGTGGGATACACTCCTATTATGCCTTTTCCACGTGAACAATATACATTGGAGGCTTTTACACTAAAAAACTGAACAAAGACCGTTTCTGTACCAACAGAGGCAAATGCTAAATCGTAAAATTTTAGTCTGAAATGGTATCTTCCATATTCTTCACCTTGTCCAACATTATTTTGGAATCTTCCACTCTTTTGATTGCTCGCTCCTCCAGGTAAGAGTAGTCATCTAGGAAATCGTACTCCACTTCGTTCTTATGTGGCAGCTTCTCAATCTCATCTTTGACTTCCCTTAAATGATTCAAGTCACTAGTGCAAATATCAAACTCCTTTTGTGCATCTTCTAGACTTGGTAGGATGAGAGATTTTGTCAACTTTGAAAGCCCAAGCTTTGCCTCCCTCAATGCTATCAACGCTGCTTCCTCGTGTATCAGTAGACGAGAGAGTTTGAACAATTCTGTCGGAGACGTTACGTCGATGGTCATCTCGAAATCAATTCTTGCTTGCACAGCACGTTTCACACCCTTCATCTTCTCCTCTGAGAGACTCCACGCCTTGTCAAGAGTGAGGGAATCAACTTCTTCTTGATCTGCTCCTGTCTCCTCCAGCAACGAACTGACTTCGGCGTCCAGAATTTCTTTATTCGGCGGAGGCGACAGTACCCATCCCAACATGATTCTAAGCAGCATCAGGTTTTCAACCAGTGACCTTTCCCATTCCAGGGTGAACAGTATAGCCTGCAAATCATCCACATCGTTAAGGTCCAGAGAGCTCACGTGTTCTGATCTCACAGATATGATGGATTTCAGCGTTTTAGTCTCCTCGTCCACCCTGCGGAGAAGAGATTTCAACAGGATCCCAGCTGGATTGAAATTGTATTCCTCATCTCCAGTTTTTGCTTTGATAACAGCGATCCGACGACTAGTTTTGAGGGCAAAACCACGTTTAGTGCGGTGCGTAACCATTCCGATTTGTTTAATGCCGTTGTTTTGAGCGCATGACTGATACGTAACCACGTTGTTTTGCAGTCCGGAGAGGAGAAGTGAAGACTTAACGCTATACATGGCCTAACAAAGAATAATACAAAATATCAGTCATCATCATCAATCAACAGCAATCAAGCTTTCTTATTTAGACATTGGCAATCACGACTACTTCCTTTGGCAATCATGCATCCAATAGTTGCTAACTTAGTGCGATTACTAAAGAACCATTCCGCTTTTTGATTCAAGGTTCGATGAGTGTTAGATATAATTAAATCTGAATTTCAATCATTATTCGGAAAGAGAAATTGGAATCGGAAAGTAGAGAGAAAGAAGAAGAAGAAGAAGAAGAAGAAGAAGAAGAAGAAGAGATTAAAAGAATAGGGTTCACCTTGAGTACAGAAAACGCGACGGAAATTTCGCCGGGATTTGGAGAATCCTCCGCTAACAGTATCTTCGGATGACTTTAGAGCTGAAGAAGATAACAGTATCTACGATAGTTAAATCCGAATATCGAGCATGAAGAGAGATTAAAAGAATAGAGTTACCTTGAATTAAGAAAACGCGACGGTAATGTCGTCGGGATTTGGAGAATCCGCCGGTAACAGAATCTTCCGATGAATCTAGCGCTAAAAGAGATGAACACAACCGTGAGAACGGTGAGTACGATCGTTAAATCCGAAACGGAAACGGAAAGTAGAGAGGAAAAGGAAGAAGAAGATGTTACCTTGAGCTAAGAAAGCACGACGGAGAACTTCGCCGGGATTTGGAGAATCCTCCGGTAACAGAATCTTCCGATGACTCTAGCGCTGAAGGAGATGAACATAACGGTGAGTACGATCGTTAAATCCGAAACGGAAACGGAAAGTAGAGAGGAAAAGGAAGAAGAAGATAGAGTTACCTTGACTTAAGAAAGCACGACGGAGAACTTCGCCGGGATTTCGAGAATCCACCGGTAACGGAACTTTCCGATGACTGAAGCGCGGGAGGAAGAAGATGAAGATACAGTGAGTACGATAGTTAAATCCGAATTTCGAGCATGATTCAGAAAGAGAAACGGAAACCGAAAGTAGAGAAGAAGAAGAATAGAGTTCACATTGAATTAAGAAAACGCGACGGTGAATTCGCCGGGATTTCAAGGATCCGCCGGTAACATTATCTTCCGATGACTCTAGCGCTGAAGGAGATGAACATAACGGTATCGTTAAATCCGAAACGGAAACGGAAAGTAGAGAGGAAAAGGAAGAAGAAGATAGAGTTACCTTGACTTAAGAAAGCACGACGGAGAACTTCGCCGGGATTTCGAGAATCCACCGGTAACGGAACTTTCCGATGACTCGAGCGCGGGACGAAGAAGATGAAGATTCGGTTAGAAATGGTGGGACCAGCCAGGTTGTTACGCCGGGTAAGTACGATATATCATGCTGCTTAATGGGCCCTTAATTCGGATTTGGCCCAATCCTCTATTTTATTAACCAAATTAAGATTTTTTTTTTTTTTTTTTTGTGCAAAACCAAATTAAGATTCTATTTTTGAAAAACTGTATATCTCCTAGTTCGATGAGTGTTACGAGAGAAACACCAAATTTTCAGGGGATTTTCGAATTTTGGAACTTGAAATTGACATTGATGAAGAAGATTTGTAAAGGATCTGGAGTCAGAATAGAAGCAAATGGCCAAGAAGATTCCGGGTCGGATCTAATGTTATGGTTTTGAAACATTATAACGAACCGACCTGACATAATAACCGAACGGTTCAAGCCTAGTAAAATAAACCGACCCGAATTGCACACTTTCGGTTCAACGCCATAAACCTTAAGAACTACGCGCCGTTTTAAGACCCAACGAAACGTCACGCAGTCCTTTCATTCTTTTATCTCTGATCGGAGAGGAAGAGGAAGAGATCGAGAGCTCCAATGGCGGAATTCGATGAAGGTGATGATGCAGCAGAGGCAATCATCGCAAGAATCGAAACCAAATCACGGAAGATCGAAAGCTTACTCAAACAGTTTAAAACCCTAAAAACTCCATTTTTGCTCTTTACTTGTCAAATAAGCTTACGATCTCAGGTACAAACACGTGGAAGCTCTGAAAACAGCTCTCGAAGTTTCTCATCCGAAAACTCGCGATGAACGCTGCAAGGTAAAATTTCCTCCGAATATTTCGACATTCTCATGAAATAGGTCTTGTTTTGTCTGGATCAATTGTAATCTCTGGTATAAAGCTTGAATTGGCCTCTTTGAATGGTGTGGACAGGTACTTGTACAGAGGGTTATCTACGGGTGACCGACCGACATGCGATCAGTGTTTGAAGATTCACGAGCTGGTCTCGGTTGCATTCTTCGTTGTCTTACTGGTACCATCAACACCGTTTGATACATTTTCCTTGAATGATATGTACATTCTCCTTATGTAATTCCCACAATGCTGCAGACTTGAATATGATTTTAGAACCAATACATTGTGTTTGTTTCGTTTTGTTTTCAACGAAACATTTGAGCATTTGACAGGTTAGACCTGTGTGGGAACTATGTTGGAGAGTGGTAGTAAGTAGTAGCAGGTCATTAACGGCTTTTTTTTTTTGGTTACGGATAAAACTGTTTGTTGTGGATATATTAATGCAAATGTACAGTCTCAAAGCAGTCATCAAATTTAGCTCTTCAAATTGATATGACTCAAGAGGCATTTTATCAGCGTATATATATGAATTGTATCGTAGGAGGGTGGAAGTCAAAGCAACTGAGGAGCTCAAGTGGTGAGCAGAAGTGGGATTTGTTCATCGCCAAGAGAAACTTTGGTTGAAAACACTTGTTTATTAAATAACTTTGGTTATGTATTGTATTATAGATCATAAAAAATCCAGTTCCCTACTATTATATCTTCAATACATAACCAAAGTTATTTGATTGAAAACACTTGTTTTGTTTTGTCTCAAATGAGCCTAAAATATTCTATATTACTAGTGGAGGATGATGAGAAATCAAACCTTGTTTTTCCGCATGGGTGGAATTGGATCTGATCAATAACTCGTAACTTGGCTTTCACGTAACCTTTTTCGTTTGACGAGTGACAACGAATTACCCGTTGCTGGCCCAACTCAATTACCCGTTTACGCGTTACTTCACATAATAATATGTGTGGGTGCCCTCAGAGAGAGACGTGACGCTTATTTATAAAGCCACCAATTTTTTTTTTTTTTTGTTTCGCTTCGATCCTGATCATGGCGTCCTCTTTCACTTGGAATTCCATTCTCGGATCATCCACCAAATCCCGTTCCTCTTCTTCTTCTCTTCCCTCGGACCTCCGTCGTCTCTCCTCTCCCCCCGTTCAGATCTCAATCCGATCCCAGTCCAGGAAGAATTTCCGTGAGTTTTCTCCTCCTTCTCGGCTCCTTTCGAGAAAATGGTTGTAATTTTGAATCTTTAGGGAGTGAGAATCATACCCTTGTGGTAGATAAATTATTGTCGTTGATTTTCAAATTTATAAATTGTTGGAGATAACGATTCCTTGTACTGTAGAGTGCTTTTTATTGATTTCCCATTTATTCCCCCCAGAGATACAAGCTACTGGAAGCTCATATGGGACTCATTTTAGAGTTACCACATTTGGAGAATCACATGGAGGAGGAGTTGGTTGTACAATTGATGGATGTCCTCCTCGTATTCCACTCTCTGAATCCGATTTGCAATTCGATCTTGATAGGAGGTGTGTTTTTGCCAGCAAGAAAGCCTCTCTTTATTTACAACTTGTGTTTTCTCTTTGAAGATTTTTGTATTTGCTTTATCAGGAGACCCGGTCAGAGCCGGATCACCACTCCTAGGAAAGAGACTGATACTTGCCAGATACTTTCTGGTGTCTTCGAAGGTGGTCTAGTTTTATAATTCCTCTTCCCACAGAATTGAATTTCTCAACCTTGTTCTAATTGTTTTTTTGACGTCAATAAAATGTAGGCATGACGACGGGAACACCGATCCATGTGCTTGTGCCTAACACAGATCAGAGAGGACTTGTAAGTTAGCGCCTAAAGCAGAATCAAATGAGAAAGCTTGGAGGTTTTGACTTTGAGAGACTCAAATTGGATTTTTCAGGATTACAGTGAAATGTCGCTTGCCCATAGGCCATCGCACGCGGATGCAACTTATGACATGAAGTATGGTGTAAGATCAGTACAGGTAACAGCTTCCTTTCTTTGGCTTAACCTATATTTATATGATAAATTTTATTATATAGTTTCTAGGGCATTATTCGGCTCAACTTACTTTATTTGTTTCAAGGGTGGTGGGAGATCTTCAGCAAGAGAGACCATAGGAAGAGTTGCTCCTGGAGCTTTGGCCAAGAAGATTTTGAAGCAATTTTCAGGAACTGAGGTGTGTTTACTTTCGAAAAACGTTTGGTTTGTTTTTCATTTCTCTGTTTTGGTTAGTATACAATATGATGTCTCGTAGTATTTTCACAAATTTCTACAGATTCCACATAACACATTCATGTTTGCTTTTGACTTGCTTACGTTGGGTCTCTGGTTTTTTGTTCTTTGCGTCTCCAGATTCTTGCCTACGTGTCGCAAGTCCACCAGGTTGTACTTCCAGAGGAATTAGTAGACCACGAGACTTTGACACTCGAACAGGTAGGGATGATAAAATTACACTTTGTTTTGTGAGTTTCATACTTAAAAACCACCCAAGGAAAACTCATTTTATCCACCACTATATTCGTTGCCACTTGCTATTAAGGTTGTTCTAGTTACATTGTTGCCTCATTTTTTCCAGATAGAAGATAACATTGTCAGGTGCCCTAATCCTGAGTATGCAGAAAAGATGATAGCTGCGATTGATGCTGTCAGGACAAAAGGGAACTCTGTCGGTGGTGTTGTGACCTGCATTGTTCGGAATGCTCCACGTGTATGAACTCACTCTACGATCGAATTAGTTTAATCGCTACATAGAATGTTACTGAAACTAGTATGATACGCGCGCAGGGGCTTGGAACACCGGTTTTCGATAAACTTGAAGCAGAACTGGCGAAAGCTTGCATGTCGTTACCTGCAACAAAGGGCTTTGAGTTTGGAAGTGGCTTCTCAGGTATATATAAAATTTCAAAATTTGCTCTTCTTTTAGCTCTAATTAAAACCCTTGTTGAGCAGTAAAGATCATCATCCTGCAGGTACCTTTCTGACTGGTCTTGAACACAATGATGAGTTCTATACCGATGAGAATGGAAGAATACGGACTAAAACAAACCGATCCGGTGGAATTCAGGTTTGGTTAAGTCTTGTGTTTTTATAAAACCACCTTCCTCATCATGATTACTGATGTTGGTCAATTTTGCCTAGGGAGGAATATCAAATGGTGAGATAATAAATATGAGAATAGCCTTCAAGCCAACATCTACAATTGGAGTAAGTTTGTGTGATAGTATATTAAAAAAAAAGTTAAGCTTTATCAATCAATCATCAATGAAGACCATTGATGTTGTATTTGCAATGCGCAGAAGAGGCAGAATACCGTAACCAGAGATAAGAAAGAAACCGAAATGATTGCTCGTGGTCGTCATGATCCTTGTGTTGTTCCACGAGGTTTACTTATATAATAAACACGAATCCACTGAACTGATTTACTGTTTATGAATCCGGATTTTGATTTTTTGTTTTTTTTTTTCCGTTGTAGCTGTGCCTATGGTGGAAGCAATGGTGGCTCTAGTTCTTGTGGATCAATTGATGGCGCAATATGCACAGTGCCATTTGTTCCCGATAAATCCAGATTTGCAGGAACCTCTTTGATGGAAGCAATCACAAGGACATCAAACCGGACAAGGAAACCAAACCGGTTCATGTCTGCAATTGTTTTTATTTGTTTCAGCATTTTGCTTCAGTTAAAACTGTTTTTTTTTTTCCAAGTAGAAGCTTTTCAGCATACATATGCAATGGCCATAGAACAAACGCACACTCTCTCGCCCACAAGCAATCCACCAATTAATAGACAATATACATTGGAGGCTTTTACACTATAAATCGTAAAATTTGAAAAGAATGTAACAACTGAGAAATTTTGAAAAAAAGGAGGAAATTCATCTATAATACATAATGTCCAGTTTGGTATGTAATGCATGTGATATTAATTTGTAATCGGATTTGATCAAGTTTGTCGACATAGAAAAGCTCCAACTCTTCATTATTTGACAGAAACATAAAAACAGTGAACCAGAGTGATAGTAATTCACTTTGGACACAGGTGGAATTACATAGAAGAGATCTGTCGGCCTTTTGACCTGTTACATACAACAACACACAAGTGATGATTTTGGGATCATCTAAACAGAGAAGAAGTCGGTTTTGGAGAAGGACAAGATCTCGACTTCAACTTTGAGAGTATCGTTGACGAGGAAACCTTTGGTTGCGTTTTTGATATCTGCAAGTGGTACAAACTTGTCGTAACCCCAACCATTTTCTGTTGTTGCATTGGGCCATCCCTCCACTGCAGGAACAAATCAAAAATTATTGCTCATTTGGTTTAGATTAGTAGTAAATGGCGATAAAGGGCATGTAGAGTGAAAACACAGACCTTGCTTCTCCAAATGGGTAAACCGGATCTGGTCAAGCACTCGTAACTTGGCTTGCACGTAATGAGTTTCATTCGAAGCACTCAACAAATAGAGTGACAAATGATTACCCGTTGCATGTCCAGCTCCATTTGGATACACTTTCAACACCCTAAACACCCATCACATGTGTTATTACAATAGACACTGTGTATATATATCTCTATGCAGAGAGAGAGTTAGAGAGACTTACCAGTCTCTTCCTCCGGAAGAAAACGAACCAGAAGTGTAAGAGTCACGATAGCGGGTAGAAAATAGGGGGAGATTCCAATCCAAAAAAGGGTCACGAATGTTCTCTTCGTTAGAGAAAACTTCCCAATTCTTAAAGGGTGGAGTAACGAAGACGTCAACCCCAAACACACTTTGTCCACCGTTGAAAACGAATCCATTTTGCGGCGCTAGGAAAGTCGGAAGATGGTACAAGTTTGGCATTCCCCATTCCGGGTTAGTTATCATATGAAATCTCTTTGGCACATTGTCTGCAAACTCCCATAAAATTCATTAGTCTCATGAAACCCTAAAGATTAACTAATCATTAGTTAATAACTTATTATACACGTTACGTTACTTATACGTACCCACGAGTGTATTGTACTTGTCTTGAGTTTTACTGTAGAAGAAGAACTTGATCTCTGCATACACATCACTGGTCGTGAGGCTTGAGTTATGGATTCTCACGTAAGCCGACATGTATCCAGCAGGCGCGCGGTCTTGCTTGTTCCCGTTAGGATATAGTAGAAGCGACCTTACAACGTTTTAAGCAAAAAGGGTCAAATTATATATACTGAAAATAAAAACACAAAATTGAGATTGAGGGCGTACCAAGTGTGTCCGCCGACGGAGAAAGGGCGTGACTCGTACTTGCCATCATTGACCTGTTTCATCATGGTCGCAAAAGACTCGAACTTTACGCAGTAAGAAGTTGGAGGAAGCTCTCTGTAGACCCACGCCGGTGCAGTGAGCTTCTCGTGATTATGAGCAGGATCCGAGACAGAGCGAGATCTCGAGGACTGACATGGTGGTTTCCCTGAGTTCTTCACATCAAAGAATCCTTCTTCTACCACTGCTTCTGCCTCCATTAGGTTTTGCCTAAGGTTATCGTAAGGTTTTGCGAATCTCACGATCCCCACAACCAAAACAACACAGAAGAAGCAGTACACAAAGATTGATCCATAACTTCTTCTTTTATTATTTTCCTCCTCGACAAACATTTTTCTCTCTCTCTTTTTTGTTTTTAGTCTTATCTTAGATTCTTCATATTTTGTGTGTATATATATATATAGAGATATTAATTATTGTAGCGAGTCTTTAATACATGTCACGAGGCAAACGTTTCAAAAACCAGTATAAATTGTTCGTTACTTATACCTAAAAGGCCAAAATTGTACCCACTTCTACTTTAATTGTCACGAGGCAATCTACTTTTTCGGTGCTACAATGGTGGAGTCTCCAAAGGAAAAAGTGTTTGATATTTTAGCCAAAGGAAAAAAATCATTTACGAACAGATTTGTAAATTATATTCGTTTATCCAAAAGTTATCTATCTAATTTATGTTGATTTAAAAAAAAGGAATTGTTGATCTGTGTCCATTTTTATTTAAAAAAAAGGAAAAAAGGCAAAACCTAATGGAGGCAGAAGCTATATGTTTTTATTTTCTCAAACAAAGCTATATGTTGCTTTCTCCCTCACTGTTAATCATCACTTCTATTTTAGATCCGGTATAGTATGATATATTAGTATTTATTATTTAATGTGATAAAATATAAAATCGGATTGATCAAGTTTGACATGGGAAAGCCAAACTCGTTATTATTAAACAGAAACAACTACAGTGATGAGTGAACCAGAGTGATAGTGATTCACTTGGCCATCGTGAAAATTACATAGCGGAGGAGATTTATTAGCGCTCGTGGTTTTTCACCAACGTACGTACTATCTCCAAGAAAAACAACAAAAGCGATCAGCTTTTACATTATTAAACAGAAGCAAAAACAGTGAACCAGAGTGATAGTGATTCACTTGACCACCGTGGAATTACATTGCGGAGGAGACTAGTCTGCTGGCTTTTCACCAGCGAACTTACTATCTCCAATTGAAAATAGGAAAAAAACAACAGAAGCGGTGATTAACGTGGGATCATCTTTTAAAGAGAGTCGGTCTTGGAGAAAGACAAGATCTCGACTTCAACTTTGAGGGTATCGAAAACTAGGAAACCTTTGGATGTGTCTTTGATATCTACAAGTGGTATAAACTTCTCATAACCCCATCCGTTCTCTGTTGCGTTGGGCCATCCATCCACTACACGAACAAATCAAAAGTTGATTATATATAAGCGCTTCTAAATTAGTAGCAGAGGATCATGAGAATGGATCAGACCGAGACACTAACCTTGTTTCTCCACATGAGAAGATCCTTTCTGGTCAATAACTCGTAACTTGGCTTTCACGTAACCCTTCTCGTTTGACGCACTCAACAAATAGAGTGACAACGAATTACCCGTTGCAGCTCCAACTCCATTTGGATACACTTTCAATACCCTACCCATCACATAGATTTAGCACATACTCTTTCTCATATATATGTAGATAGAGAAGAGAGAGGGAGAGAGAGAGAGGATCACCACCACTCACCAGTTTCTTCCTCCGGAAGAAAACGGTTCAGAAGTGTAAGAGTCAAGATTGCGTGTAGAGAATCTGGTGAGTTTCCAATCGGTAATAGGGTCACGAATGTTTTCATCGTAAGAGAAAACTTCCCACTCCTTAAAGGGATCAGAAACCAAGATATCAACGCCAAACACACTTTGTCCGCCGTTGAAAATGTATCCAGCAGTACTAGGATTTTTGTAATAAGCAATCTCAAGAAATAGTAGCTGTCCCCACTCTTGTCTAAACAAATGAAATCTCTGCGCATCGGTCTCTGCAAACCGGAAAAAAAAAAAAAAAAACTAATTACCCTAAATAAACCAAAAAATAAGTATATACTAAGCAAATCTTTGTACTGGATTAATTAGTATAGTACCTTGAAGAAAATGCCACTTGTCTGTAGTGCTTCTATAGGTCAAGAATGTGATCTCTGCATACACATCTCTTGGATTGGCGATGAGGGTTGAGTTATCTATTCTTACATACATGGAAACGAATCCACCCGAGCCCACTGGCTTGTTCTGGTTTGGGTAGATTATTAACGTCCTAGTAACATTTTAAGCAAACAGAGAGGTCAAATTTTATATAGTTTAAAACATATACAAATTAAAATCTTGATGAGGTTAATTTAGTGGAATGTGTTAAATATAATATATAAGCTTCTAAACTCATTGCTAATTGGTTTTAAGTTGGTGAAAGTCCCAACGTGTACGTACCAATTGTATCCACCGACGGAGAAAGGACGTGACTCGTACTTGTCACCGTTGTTTGTGACTAGTTTTGCCATAGTCTCGAAAGACTCGAACTTCACGCAGTATGAAGATGGAGGACGAGTTCTGTCCTCTCGCCTTATTAGTCCCGTGAGCTTCTCGTGATTCCGAGCAGGAACAACGGAGGCAGATCTGCGAGATCTCATGGAGTGACATGGTGGAAGTACCCCTGATTGCTCCACGTCCACGAATCCTTCTTCTACGACTGGTGTTCCTGTCTCCATTAGGTTTTGAAGGTTGTTGTAATAAGGTTTTGCGAGTCTTGCGACTTCCACGACGAGTACGAAACAGAAGACGCAGTACACAAAGATTGATCCATAATTTGTTTTTTCCTTCTTTTCCTCTTTAAACATTTTTCCTTTTTCCATTTTCTAGTATGTTTGTATGTAATATTTTGTTTTGTTGTGTGTGTATATATAGACATAAATGGTATTAATTGTTCGTTACCGAACTCGAAATTTAGACCGATATCTGTATGCTTCGTATCAAATGCTCAGGACCCATACATACCTATTTTTTTTTTTTTCTCTTTACTGATAAAGGACCACTTACATATCTTATCTTTTACTATCCAATCAATCTGTTTTATCTTTTGAATCATTAATTAATACACCAATCTATTCATATTGTGGTTATACTACTACATAAGTTGGATATGGGCTTGAAAAGCCCTACAATAGAAAACATGAATAAATTTGGTTATGTAGAATCATCAATAAACATGGGAAAGCTCAAACTCGTTATTATTAAACAGAAACAACAAGAGTACAACGAGAGTGATAGTGTGATTCACTTGGCCAACCGTGGAATTACATAGCATATGAGATTATTAGTTTGCTGGCCTTTACACCAAAGGTACGTGCTATATCCAATTAACATAAGAAAAAACAACAACAAAAGGGGTGATTTATGTGGGATCATCTTAAGGAGAGTCGGTTTTAGAGAAGGACAAGAGCTCGACTTCAACTTTGAGAGTATCGTTCACGAGGAAACCTTTGGCTGAGTCTTTGATATCTGCTAGTGGTATAAATTTCACATAACCCCATCCGTTCTCTGTTGCGTTGGGCCATCCATCCACTACAGAAACAAAACCAAAAGCAGATTAAAAACTCTTCCTTTTTTGTTTAGCAGGTTTCCAAAATAACATTTTTTTTAGTTTTTATTCCAAACATAATTCCAATAGCACAAATTCAACACCAAACTGATCCAAAACTTTTTCATGGAAGAAATCTAAACTCTAAATCAGAAAAAATAAATGTTTTAGTTTCATGTGTAGTTTATCTAAAATAAACAAGTTTTCACAAAACTATTTGTGCTACTTTTGGAAAATTTTAATTTAGTGTTTGGAACAAAAGTTACAAAACCTATTTATTGCTGTTTTAAGATATATATCCCTCTTTCTTTCTTTTTCCCTTTTCACTTGAGCCTAACTGTATACTACTATTAGAGGATGCTGAGAACAGAGATATATGAATATATCAAATCAAACCTTGTTTCTCCACATGGGTTGATCGGATCTGGTCAATAACACGTAACTTGGCTTTCACGTAACCCTTTTCGTTTGACGCACTCAACAAAAAGAGTGACAAGGAATTACCCGTTGCATGCCCAACTCCATTTGGATACACTTTCAATACCCTACACAGTACATACACAACAATCACATTATTTAACACATCTTGTATATCTCTATCTAGAGATAGAAAGAGCGAGAGAGTCAACACTCACCAGTCTCTTCCTCCGGAAGAAAACGGTTCAGAAGTGTAAGAGTCAAGATTGCGAGTAGAGAATTTGGTGAGTTTCCAATCGATAATAGGGTCACGAATGTTTTCTTCGTAAGAGAAAACTTCCCATTCCTTAAAGGGATCAGCAACCAAGATGTCAACGCCAAACACACTTTGTCCACCGTCGAAAATGAATCCATATGCCGGATTTTGGTAATACCCAATCTCAAGAAAGTTTAGCTGTCCCCATTGTTGTTTAAACAAATGAAATCGCTGCGCATCAGTCTCTGCAAACCGATCAAAGTTAATCAGTCTGAACAAAACCACCAAATATTAATCAAATCTTTCTTCATCATCTCTTAGATTAATAACTTAATTAGTACCCTGAAGAAAATGGTACTTGTCTATAGTGCTTTTATAGGTCATGAATGTGATCTCTGCATACACATCTCTTGGATTGGCGATGAGGGTTGAGTTATCGATTCTCACGTACATCGAAACGTATCCACCCGATCCCTCTGGCTTGTTCTGGTTTGGGTAGATTAGTAACGTCCTAGTAACATTTTAAGCAAAAAGATAGGTCAAATTCTATAGAGTTAGAACATGTTCATATTAGAATCGTCATGAGAGTTAGAGCCATGTGTTAAAATACATATATGATATATTAACACTAATACTTATAAGATATGGTTTTGAGTTGGAAGATCCCAATGTGTATGTACCAGTTGTATCCACCGACGGAGAAAGGACGTGACTCGTACTTGTCACCGTTGTCTTTGACTAGTTTCGCCATAGTGGCAAAAGACTGGAACTTCACGCAGTAGGAAGATGGAGGACGAGCTCTATCTTCTCGCCTTACTAGTCCCGTGAGCTTCTCGTGGTTCCGAGCAGGAACGGAGGCAGATCTGCGAGATCTCATGGAGTGACATGGTGGATGTGTCCCTGATTGCTCCACGTCCACGAATCCTTCTTCTACGACTAATGCTCCTGCCTCCATTAGGTTTTGAAGGTTGTTGTAATAAGGTTTTGCGAATCTTGCGACTTCCACGACGAGTACGAAACAGAAGAAGCAGTAGAGAAAGATTGTTCCATACTTTCTGTTTTTCTTCTTTTCCTCTGTAAACATTTTTCTTTTCCTTTATTTGTGTGAGTATGTAACATTTTGTGTGTATATATAGACATAGATGATTTTACTGAACCATTGTCACGGGATACACGTTTCACAAACTGGTATGTATAAATTGTTCGTTATACCGAACTCGAAAATTGGAGTGATCTCTCTGATATTTGTAGATTTCTTATCGGATGCTCGGGCCCATATCTTATCTTTTACTATCCAATTCCAATCAATCTATTTTATCTTGTTGATCATTTTAATACACCAAGCTCTTCATATTGTGACACGTTTCATGAAGGACACCGATTGGGAGTAGTTATTGTCGTTTATTGTGATACATCAACTTCTTTTTTTCATTCCATTACAAATCATTTCAATTGTTTACCTATCTTAAACAATATTTAAACAATTCTTTTTCATTACCAAAAATCTATAGTGAACTGGTTCGTGTGAATATAGTCGTTATGCTCGATGGTAGAATAGTCTTTCTCATAGGAAAATCAGAGATCGTCCGATGAGGAGGATTGGTCGGTGAGTTATGGAGATCCGGTCGTCGACTCTGTATTCCTTCAACGTAACGAGTGAAACTTGTGTTGTGTCGTGTGTTGTTTCCATATATTGATTTTGAAGTGGTAGTAGCTTATTCCATTGTGTTGGTGAGTGTATCAGAGCGATATATATATTGGTGACAGATCAGGTGAAAGATTTCCAAAACTACATCACTAAACTAAACTAAACCACATCATACACAATAAATTAAGTATTACGTTTTACCAAATGGAAATAACACAAGAGTTTTACCTCATTATGACATTAAATATTTGTAAATGATAAAAAAAAAAACTAAACCAAATCCAAACCGAAATCTGAATTGAACATCCGTCCGTATTTACAAATATCCTGAAAATATATGAACTATCATCACAAGTTGAATTTAGTGATTTGTAAGGCTTACTACATCACGTGTATACCTTTGTGAAATATTTCACGATTGTCAGATTTATTAATGCTATTGTCAATTACTCTTCAGAGTGCCTTCAAAAACACCGTTTTCGTGGAGCATCTTTTTATGTCGATTGTGATAATACTGAAATAAAGTAATGTTCTTTATTACAGTTTTTGTTCTTTTGTAAAAACAAAACTCTAGATTTAAATCTCACTGCTCCATAGCTGGATTCCTTTGCTTGTCACATGAATCCAAAACCTCACGTGAATTTTGGTGTTAAAGTAGTCCCACGACCATTTCGAGAAATGTAGCGTACTTTGAATAACTTTAGTAATTGGTTGTACGTTTTAACATATCCATATCAGTTCGTATCGAATTAATGATACTAGTATTTAGAATTAGCTGAATGTGTGAAATGTTTAACTATTTGATTTATTGCTTATGATACCTCTTATGACTATAGCAATATGGAGAAGACAAAATATAATTTTTTTACGTCACATTTCTTTTTCAACCGAGAACAAAATATGTAGATTACTCATAGTTTAAAGGGAAATTATAATGTATAGCCTTGGATAATACATTAATTAAGTGATCAAAAAGCTGTTGTTCTGACATTAACTAGTCATTAATAAAAATCCATTTTACCCTTGTACTTTCAATCTAATTACAGTATTCTTTCTCTCTCATCACACAATACTCCGGCGAAAGAAAATAAAAGCGATGGTAACTCTGACAACAGATGATAACAATATTGTTAGCAACGGTAATTCTAGTGTCGGTTATGTTATTATCAAAATAACTTATAAAGTTAACTTATAATGACAGTATTAGTACTGTTATCATGTTAATTTCTAATTTTGATTGGTAAATATATGTTTATGTTAGACGTTAACATGAGTATTATAGGTATATTTATATTAGTTAACATGATAATCGAATAGTTATCATGGTACTATAATAGTTACCATGGTAACTAGATAGTTATCTCGATATCATATTAGTTAACATGGTAATCGAATAGTTATCTCGATATCATATTAGTTAGCATGATAATTAAATAGTTATTTTGAGTTTTCAGGCCATAAACAGTATAATCAGTTTGTATTTGATGAACAGTGTTTCCGATATATAACATCAGAAAACAGGTTTTAGATCAATGGCATTACATGTAAATAAATTAAAATTAAAGGATATTTTGGGTGTAAACAATAAATCATCTCTCCTCAAAAACTAATTATCTATTAATCTCTCCAAATTTTTAATTGTCAGATTATTGGAGGATATTGGCTAAATTCACCCTAGTTTAAAACACTATATTGACTTATGCCGCTTCTGACAGCCTCTGAGCCTCGAGAGATGAGATAAGTTTTGTCATTATTACATTTCCCAAACACACATATCCTTTCTTTAACACCGTTCATCAACAGTAATTCTGTTCATATGTACATTTTTCTTGAAACTAATGAATCAGATTGATAATCAAGTGGTAGTCTGCATCTACGAAATTATTCAGCATGTATATAAATTGCGGTTGCATAAATTTTTTTGTTTTTCTATATAAATACACTTTTTGTTGAAACAAAATGTTCAAATTAATGGTAACAGTTCGAAAGTAAAACTAATAACATCCAACTTTTTTTTTGTTTTAATGCATGTTTCCATAGAAAATTAGTAGTAATAATTTAACAGTATTTGGAACAATTAATTTTATACCTCTTCAAACTAGTTTTCAGCTACCAGTATTAATATTTCCTCTCCTAATTTGTTACAACATTTCCTCTTAACTTCACACTTTTACAAGTTTTGAATATTTTAATAGACCCTACAGAAAAATAAATAAAAAAAGGGACACCGTCATTTTCTCTCTATAAAGAGAAAATAAAATCCCCAAAAGCAACGAAAATGAGAAGCTGCTTCACAGTCTTCGTCTTCTACTCGACTTGAAACCAACCAAAAGAACCATAAATGGCTTCTTCAATATCCATCTTCCTCCTCCCTCTCCTTCTCCTTCTCTCCCACGCTTCAGGTACTCTTCCTCTTACTCAGTTTTAGTTTCAGGCATTTTCATTTAAACTTATTAATAATCGCATCAAAATGAAAATAAATGACATTAGTGTTAATTTTACTTTATGTGTGATGTTAAGCTTCAACGGTAATATTCTACAACAAATGCACGTACACAGTCTGGCCTGGGATCCAACCTAGCTCCGGCCAAATGCTTCTTGCCGGCGGCGGATTTAAACTCTTGCCAAAGAGATCTTACACCCTCAACCTTCCACCGCTTTGGTCCGGTCGCTTCTGGGGACGCCACGGTTGCTCCTTCGACAGATCTGGCCGTGGTCGCTGCGTCACCGGAGACTGCGGTGGTTCTCTCCTCTGTAACGGAGCCGGCGGTGTACCTCCGGCTACACTCGCTGAGATCACCCTCGGTCATGAGCAAGACTTTTATGACGTCAGTCTAGTTGATGGGTATGTCTCATTTAAACCTTTTTTTTAATTGGTTCGGTTTTAACTTTTGATTTGTGGTCTTTAGACCTAACCGAACCTAACTGACTCGATTATAGTCTTCATGAATCAAACCAAACCCAATAAACTGATTTTCATTAAAACTATATAGTTTTAATCATATTTTAGAGAGGTGATATAAATTAAATCATCATTTTAATTAGTATACTTTCAGTTTATTATTTTACTAAACCGAACCGAATTGGTAATGAACCAAACTGAATTTTCATTAAACTAAACCGAGCCAAACCGAACTGTTTTTCTCTAGTATGGAGAATTTAAAAGCATTTTTGTTTGCCTTCATTTACTAATTTTCTTGTTAATTTGGACAGATATAACTTGGCGATGTCGATAATGCCGGTGAAAGGTACGGGGAGGTGCACCTACGCTGGTTGTGTGAGCGACCTGAACCGTATGTGTCCGGTTGGTCTACAAGTCCGTTCACGTGACGGGAAACAGGTAGTAGCCTGTAAAAGCGCGTGTTCTGCCTTCAGTTCACCACAGTACTGTTGTACCGGCTTGTTCGGTAGCCCACAGTCGTGCAGGCCCACGGCTTACTCCAAGATCTTCAAAGTGGCTTGCCCTAAGGCCTATTCCTACGCCTACGATGACCCAACTAGCATTGCTACATGCACTAAAGCTAATTACGTCGTCACTTTTTGCCCCCACCGTGGCCGTTGATTTATGAAAATCTCACTTTTAATATATAAGAATAATTTACGTGATAATTTTTGTACGTTTTCGTGTTATCGAGACTTTTTATTGCTTGGTCGCTGAATGAGGGAGTTCAGTGTTTTCCAATTTTTACTAGCTCTTGTTCGATCATAAGATTGGATATGGTTTAAGTATAAATCTTGTTCTTAATCCATGCATGACCAAGACTTCAAGAACAAGATTTATACTCAATCTAAAAACTATTAAAGTCCCCAAAATAAATAAGATTGGATAACCTCTAGTAAATTCCATGATTAATTAATATTAACATTAATTAACTTAGTTTGATTATGCGAGTTTGACTTAATTACCATCGTGAAGCGAACAATAAAATCTCAAAGTAATTGTTTTACGTGCATATATAGAAATGGAAACCTTTGACAGCGACAAGACCAAAAAATAAATAAGGAACAAATAAAAAACAAAAGCAGTAAGATCAAGATTCAAGAAGATGGCTTCACATTTTTGGGGAGATGTATTAAAGGTGATAATACTGGCTGGGTTTATAAATCATTGGGTTAATCTGTCTTTCGCTAATCGGAATTTCAACCTACGGGAGTGTGCGAACTGTGCGATCAGCTATCTTTGAAGATAAGAAATTCGATTTTGTGGGCGATATAACTAGTGTCATGTTTAATGCTTGTGCCTCCATTTTTTTCTTCACCGTCTCCTACAACTGCTTCAAACAAGCATTTATTCGTTTCCGACATTCGACACACACACAGATCCCCTCATGATTTTCATTACTCTTTCTAGTAACACATGTATCCTAACTAATACTCTCATACTTTTACCAAAAAAACTAATACTCTCATATGGATTTTACGTTAAAATAACAGTTTTTATATATAAAAAAACCTGCATGGAAGGAGTAAACTGTCATTGTTTTGTTTTTGAATGTAAACTGTCAATATATATATATTATATTCCTATATTATCATTCGGGATTGTTTTGAAAATATTACTCAGATGTCACATCTTGTACCGGGAATGTCTTTCTCTCCCACTTGTAGTTTCAGATTCCCCGTAGAGGCAGAGATCGACGTGTACGTAACTAAGAACATATTCCTAATCATTTTAATTCCCACTAGGCCATTATGCAGTCGAATAATTTGCATACTGAAAATTGATTTAACAAGGGAGAATGTTATATAATCATACATTTTAAAAAAAAAAATGTATGATCAAAGCATAACGATTTATCCTTTGTTGTTACATGAAATATTGGTTTCTTCATACTCTTTCCGTTTCAAATTATTTGTCGTTTTGACAAAATGTATCTGGAATTATTCGGATGTATTCAACTCAAAATACATCTAAATACATTAGCCAGATTATATAAAAAAAAGTATCTATACACTATTTAATAAAAATAGAAACAAATATTTTTAGCTAATAAAAAAAAAAAACGCGAAGGGTAGCGAAAGAAAAGCCATCGAGCATCGTTCAAAAGAAAAGAAAAAAAAACAAGCATCGAGCGAAAGTCTATAAAATCGTCAAAAACCAGAAGTTACAATCACAACACAACCCAAAACTACAAACGAACATGGCAAGCGCAAACCCTGAATTAACCAACAAATCAACAACTCCGGCGACGGACTTGGAGCTAAAGAAGGTCTTCGACCAGTTCGACGCCAACGGCGATGGGAAGATCTCTGTCTCGGAGCTCGGAAACGTTTTCAAATCGATGGGAACGTCGTACACGGAGGCGGAGGTAAACAAAGTATTGGACGATATCGACATCGATCGCGACGGTTACATCAACCTGGAGGAGTTCGGCGCCATCTGCCGCTCATCCTCCTCCGCCGCAGAGGTCCGTGAGGCTTTCGATCTATACGATCAGAACAAGAACGGTTTGATCTCATCCACCGAGATCCACAAGGTTCTCAATCATCTCGGTATGACTTGTTCCCTCGAAGACTGCGTGAGGATGATTGCGCATGTGGATTCGGACGGCGACGGTAACGTCAATTTCGAGGAGTTTCAGAAGATGATGTCTTCGCCTGAGCTACTCAACAGCAAATGATCCGCCTAGGGTTTCGATGAACAGCTTTGTTTTGCGTAATGATTACGTAATTAATATAAGCATTGGATACGCATATTTAAACTTCTGTTTTTCTTTCATTGCGTTTTCTCAGGTTTGTATTAGAATTATGAATCAGTTTCTGATGAGTAATATAATTTGAATTTGGATGAATGTTTTGTAGAAAGAAGCAGATAAACAATCTGCTTATAATTAAAACTATAGGAAAAAAATAATTCTCAAAATTCAGTGGCAATTCTCATTGTCATAAAAGTCATAAGCAAAAATATTGGTTTGTTTGTTGAACGAATGAGAATTGTTTTCTAATGGAACTGGTAAACACTAAACAAAGATGCTATTTGTGTGGCAAACTTGTTCAAAGGAGATTTTTTGTATGAAAGAATATTTAATATTGCAATTGATTTTTCTTTTTTGAGAATTAATGGAAATTGGAATCTGATTCTTTTGTTTCTTTTTTGTGGTCTGAAAATTTTGGAATTGATTTCCTTTTTTTTTTTAAAGCAATAATTGACATGTTAAAACTTAAAATCGAGTGAAAGGGCTCAAATCACGCCAATGACTCGAGTTGCTCTAATATGGGCCAACAAGTAACGCTTTAGTTTATTTTCACCTTAAACATTAACCAATCTCTATAAGACATTAATTAAGACTACATGTTCTCATAGTAACATCTAATATATTATTTGCAAAGTAAAAATTTCGTAAAATTTCGTTTAGAGCCACTACGTTGATTCTCAGCTGGTTGATTACCCAGTTACCTTAATGAAAATTCTATTTTTAAAATCTTCATAATTTCTTTTTTTTAATTTCACGAATTATATTAGTAAATAAAAATATTTTATGATAATAATTCTAATTACCATATTAGGCACCACAATTTTGGAAGAAATTTAAAAATTGGAAAGATAAAAAAGGAAAACCTAGGTTTCTCAACCGACTTTGTTATATAAATAGATAGCAACTTGCAAAATCAACACAGTTTACGATTCTTTTTTCTAGACGTATGATAATATTTCGGAGTCCATATTTCATCTTTTTGTCATGTAGGTTTATTGTTTTTGTTGGATCTTAGTGTTATTAGCTCTAATGATTAACTGATTATTCATTATTTTTCTTTAAATTTTATGCAAAGATTCGGATCTAACTTCTAATTCTTTTACCTTCGTAACAGTAAATTCATGCTTTGTTAACTAATGAAATCAAGAAGATCAAATATGGTACCAACTCAAAACAGTTCTTCCACGAAATATGTGGTATGTACATCTTTCCTTTTTTAAACAACTTAAATCTCATAAAACCCTAATTCGACTAAGCTTATCTAAAAGGATTTTCAATATTCGTTTAAGATCCATCATATTAGTTTCATATTTCATAGTAAATCGTAAGTGATTATTTTATCAGTTTCATATTTCAAGATGAAAAAACATAAATAAAGAAAAATGAAAAGGAAGCCGAAATTGATAAATAAGATACTGAAAAAAAAGATTGATAATAAAAAATGACAATGAATATAATATGAAATAAGAAGAAAAACCTGAATAATAGTAAGGGAAAGATGAAAGTTGGAAGACAAAGACGAAAAAAAAAACAGAAGAAGAAAAGAACTGAAGAATATGTGAACAACAAAGAAGTTGGAAAAATCAAAAGATAAAAAAAACGAAGTTTAAGAACACAAAGCCAAATGAAAAACAAATTGTAAATAAAATGAAGAAAACGAATAAAAATCAGGAAATAAAAAGATGATAATGAAGAGAGAAAAATAAAAAGAGAATAGAAAGTTTGGTAAGAATAAGAAAAAATGGTAGAAAATGAAGGAAAAAATTTATAAGTAAAAGAAGAAGATAATATGCGGTTGGAGTTTATGATGTACCGTTATAATGTGGGGTTTAAATTTAGGGTGTAGGGTTGCTTTGAGGGGGGGGGTTGTTACACTATAGGGTTTGGGTTTAGGGTGGGGTGGTGTTACACTATGGGGCTTGGGTTTAGGATGTAGGGTTTATATTGATGGGTGTAGGGTTTAGTTTTTGGTGCATTTTTAAACATTTGAATGGAAGAATATCGTAAATAAAAATCATTGATTATAAAGTTATATCCACCTTTCTAAATTACATTCACAAATAGAAAAATTAACAAATTAAAGCAAATCCATAGTGGAAAGATAACAAAACCATGATAGATTTTTAAAAGATCTCGACTATATAAAGAATTGGAGAAGAATAAAAGAGAACAAAATTAGAAGTGTGAAATCTTTTGTATCTCCTAAACGAATGAAAAAGAATATTATATAGAAGAACGAGAAAGAGAAAATAAAAATAAGACACATCAAAATATAGAAATAAGAAGTTAGCGAAAACAAAAAATTAGTATAATCAAAAATTATACTACTTATATTATTAAAATCTTTATTTAATTAATTTATTAAAAAATATTGTACCCGCACAAGGTGCGGGACAACCACCTTGTTTGTTAAGTATACACTATGTTCAAAATCTTGCTTCTCGCTTACCGTTCGGTCGGACAGCGATAAGCAGTTTTTGAAAAAATCGCTAATAATTTGGGGATTAACCGGGGCGAAATTTTAGGTTTATTTTAATATATTTTAAAATTATAATTATATAAAACATTAATAATACAAAAGATGAAACAAAACTTTTAACATTTTATTTTTTCTAATTCACAAACATTTCTAATACAAAAAATAACAGTTCCATTCATAAATATTACAAAAGAGATATTATCTTGATCATATTAAGAACATACAAAAGATATATAAAAGTTAAATAAAAGATAGTAATAGATAATGTGAGCTTAATTTCTAAAAATATGGACCTCAATATCAAATTCAAAAATTCTGACCCCAAACGGTTTTACAATTTCTCGGACGGTTATCAGAATTTCACGGTTTAACCACTCAAATCACGGTTGACCGGTTTTCGACACTGATTTCACGTATCGCTACGGTTCTCTCCCGGTTTAGGATAAACCGCCTGTAATCGTCCCTTATCGCCGAGATTTGGAACATAGAGTATACATGAGAGGTGAGACATGGTGGGGGTCCGGATATGAAACACGTGAAATGTCACTTTCGTAGTTCGTAATTCTAATGGTACAAAGATCCGATGTCTCCATCTCACCATATTTTTATAATTGGTTGAGAGATTTCGTTTTTCTGAAACATGTTTTCGTGTTTCCTTAGTTATGTAACTTGCATTCAACTCAATATATAAAAAGTAAGTAATCCTTTTGACCACCTCATAATCTTGAACAAATTGATCCCATCCATTATTTATGGTTTTACGTAAGTATAACTTCACATTTGCAATTTTTATATTGAAAAAAGTTGTTTAACACGTAAATATTAAAAGTTAAAAACATGGTAGTATTGTTCTTATCATGAAATTCTTTTAACAAAAATGTAACAACATAATACGCGTCAAGTAGAACTTGGTGTGAAAAATAAGTTTTAAAGCGTGTGAAGTTAAGTGAGCATGTCAACGGCAATAAGAAACAATAATGATTGGTTATTGAACATCATGATGATATTTAAAAATGAAGCAAGTGCAGTAATATTTCGTTACACGATGTGAATGATGATAACATGACTTTGTAACTATTTGTTAATTTGTAATCCCAACTAAAAGCAATCATAAAAGGAAGATCAACATTATCATTATGTTGTAATCCATGATTTCACATGCTAACAGCTGCACTTATATATGTTTATGAGCCCTCTATTACAAATCTTAAAACCTAATCAACAAATACATAATTAATTATAATTATAACCCCAAATTCTCGATTCTATTTGATTCAATAACATTATTACAATCTCTTTGAAGCCATCTTTATGTGATCCTATATCTTCTCCCAACCCAAATTTTATTTTCCTCTTTTCTTTCTAAATAAGAGCACTACATAAAACACTATACCACTATTCTCAAATGATTTGACTACAAAAACAATATTAAATCCGATTTTCAACCAAAAGCCAAATTCAGCGGAGAAACTGTCTTTTTCATTTCTTCCTTTTCTTTTTAGTTTTCAGATTTTATACTTCACCTTTCTCCTTTCTTCGTCCTAACAAAATAGCTATCATAAATCCCTAACCAAAAAAAGAGAAAGCTGTTATCACAATATTATGGCCGAGGATTCGTACGACGAAGAGTGCGACTACCTTTTCAAGGCGGTGTTGATCGGAGACTCAGCCGTCGGAAAATCAAACCTCTTGTCAAGATTTTCAAAAGACGAGTTCCGGTTCGACTCTAAACCAACCATCGGAGTTGAGTTCGCTTACCGGAATGTTCACGTCAAAGATAAAATCATCAAAGCTCAGATTTGGGACACCGCAGGCCAAGAAAGGTACTAATCACTATAACACTCTATAAGGCTTGAATATTCTGATGTTCAAAAAAATAAAAAAAGGCTTGAATATTCTTTGCGTTTGCGTTTGAACCGCAAATGCATACAAACGCAAACGCATTAAACTATTCTAAAATTTATGTAAAATGAAATCTTTGTGAGCATTCAAACTCACGGACCTGATCTTGCGACCTCGTGACTCTTCTACTCTGTTCCTTATTTTGTATCTTTTCTTTTGATCTTTAATTTCGACATAATCTTGTAATATACAGAACAGAGGAAATAAATTACGTAAAAAACAAATAAAAACCTAATTAATACAATGGAATGTTTCTCTAACTTTTTATATTTTTTTTGTTTTTATGAGTAAAGATTTAGAGCAATTACGAGTTCGTACTACCGTGGAGCATTAGGAGCATTACTGATTTACGACATCACAAGAAGAACAACTTTTGACAACATCAAGAAATGGCTTTTGGAGCTCAGAGGCTTCGCCAATCCCGACACCGTCGTGGTCCTCGTCGGCAACAAATCCGATCTCCGACAATCAAGAGAAGTCGACGAAGAGGAGGGTAAGACTCTAGCTGAATCAGAAGGTCTCTACTTCCTCGAGACTTCTGCTTTAGAGAACGTTAACGTGGAAGAAGCGTTTCTCGTGATGATCGGACGGATACATGAGGTTGTTAGCCAGAGGATCGGTTTGGACAACAAATCCAACGGCGTCGCGAAAGCTCAAGATAACGGTAACGTTAACGGCACGGTTCTTCTTCCCGTCGGTAAAGAGATTGTCAATATTCACGAAGTTACCGCTACTCAACCGTTGAGCTCTTCCTCCAAATGCTGTTTCCAGTAATTACCAATTATGCTTCTTTTTTTTACGTTAACATTTTGGAATACACTTTGCTGATGTTATTATTTTCATAATTTTGTATTCATGAAAATTTTAATCATACAATCAAATATCCAAAACATGCATGAAAAATCACAAACTAAGTTTCTTACAAGCAATGATGTGTTACATAATTTCATCACAAAGAGAGAAATGTAAGAACAGAAACTAAGGATGAGTTATTTTTTTAGTTGATTACTTTCTCTTTGCCGTTCTTGGAGATTCCTCTAACTTTCTTGCACGTAAGACACGCAAAAACCAAACTCAGTACACACACACATGCAACAAGCTACAAAAAGAGATGAAACTAGTGTGTGTAGAGGTACTTACGAAACAGTAACTTCTTCTTTAGGGAGATTTCGACTGTAAAATGGAAGCTCCAAGAGAAAGACTGCCTTGAACCATCCTGGTAAATTCCCATACACTCCTCTCGGTAACAGAAACAGAGGACTAAAAAATCAAATCCAAGAAAAGAGAAAACAAATTAGCTATATAATAAATAAACACATCTTCAAGGATTACTAAACAGTATCTATAGCATTAAACCTTGTTGTCTTCTTGTAGAATCTGTAAGCTCCCAAGTGTCCATGCTTCTTATCAGATGATGCCTGTTTATATTCAAAACCAGCCATCAGTGATTCTGAAACTGTCTCAAGTAGAGAAAGAGAGAGAGAGAAAAAAAGAGACAGAACCTCAAGTAATGGTATGCCACTGACGAACAGAAGTAGCAAAGTGAGAAAGACTGGTCCAAAGACTACAAGATACTCTGCACCTTCTAGAGCCGGCGATGCAGCTATAAAGATTCCCCACCACAGTAATATCTGATGAACAATATCATTAACGATTACCATTTTTACGCCAAAAGTTTCAAGACTTTCTTGTTGTATGTATATGAAATAGTACTAATACTAACCTCGCCAAGGTAGTTTGGGTGTCTTGAATACTTCCAGACACCAGCATCACACCATTTGCCTCTGTTCTCTGGAGAGTTTTTGAAAGTGAGCTTCTGTTGATCAGCTGCAGCTTCAATCAAGAAACCGAAAACCCACATCGTCCAACCGATAACATCAGTGGGTTTGAGAGATCCTCCACCGTCACTTGCGTTAACTACAGTTAGAGGTAAGCTCACAGTCCAAACCCACACAGCCTACCATAGAAGAGAAAGCAAAAGTTTTTAACTTCCAATAAAAGAAGATAATGCAAAAGGAGTGTTAATAATAGTTTTACCTGAAGAGTCCAGAAAACTATTAGTTTCGCCAACTTTCCACGCATTTCATCAAAGCGACGATCTTCTCCCCATTGCAAGATCCTACAAAACGTTTTCATCAAAGTTTTATTTTATTTATAATCAAGAAAGTAGGGAGCAATTTTGTGGATCTTGGTAGAGACCTCATTAGAAGGAATATTCCCAAGCGAAGTCCCCATACTACAACTAGCAAACTCAAGACTATCTGTGAAGGAGACCAAGACAAAATATAATCTCAGTGAAACAGAGAAAAACTCAAAATACCAAAAGAAAAATAGAGAGGGGAATTAAGACAAGAAGAGATGGGAGTTGTTTACCTGTCGGAAATGCCAAGTGGCTTTAAGAACAAGAGTCAAGACAGCAAGTATCACGAAGTTTGTGCTTCCTGAAAACATACACCAAGTTTTAAACTTTATTTAATGAAATGAGAAAAAAAAAAACAAAGCTTTTGACTCCTATGTGACAAAACTGAAACAGAAGCATAAAGTGAGCAAATTTGGGTATTAAAGGACTCACCTGCAAAATCAGTGACTTGATCGAATTTGAAAACATATGTGATTACGAAGAAAATGAACTGGTAAGCCACCTGCAAAATCATGGCATCGAGAAAAATTGCGAAAACCCATCACTAAACACACCAAATCAGGTAAACCCATCTCGTAATTTCGCCATAAACGAAGATTCAAAACGGCAGAGAACTTACAGTAACAATGGCAGTGAGAGCCAGGAAATGCGAATCGAGAACCGTTCCCATTCTATCCAACGTGAGGAAACTGAAAAACAGAGCAATATCCGACGAATAGTCTTTATTTTCTTACGCTGAAGCAAAGAATAAAATTCTGATAGAAGAGAAAGACAATTCGTTATCCTTTTGTTATTTCCGTCTATCGGAAAATTAAGAAGAAAAAAAAACGAGAAAAGTCGCCATTTGATTGGTGTATGGCTTAGACTCCAGTGGATTTTTGTGGCTACAAACCAAACACCGTGCCGTTTTTTATTTAGTACACCAGAAATGACTCCATTTATAAAAAAAATGTTCGACTTTAATACACATGTTATTTGCATCATAATCTTTCTCATACAAGAGTTTGGAAACAGTAGACAGTATCAACTTGGATGATATACTCAAGTGTTGAAGAAGGAGGAATCTTCAAACCCGGTTCAAATTCGACATTCTTGTCTCCAAACCCTAAGGACGGTGGAATGATCACTCTACGTTTACCTCCGGCTTTCATTGACCTCAGAACATACTCTATGCCTTGGCAAAGTCCTTTGCTGTATGGTCTTGAGTCCATGACCATCGACACTGACTTCTTCTTGCTTCCAAATGTGTCGAGAAACACTTGTTCTGTTCCATGTACTTGTCCTTTTACATCAAACACTACCATGTATCCTGTGCTTGGACTAGCTCCCCTTCCTACTTGTACATCATTGTACCTACCACGTTTCAAATTCCAGAGGTTAAATAAGCTTTGAGTTTGTGATGAATGTTATGGTGTAAATCAACATTATTGATGAGAGTGTTACCTTATGCCGTTTGGTAAGACTATCTCTTCTTGCTTTTCAAAATCTCTGCCAAATCAAGAAAGTACAAAAAAAAACATATCAAGACCTAATTCAAGCCAATGTAAAGACAAATCCCAAGTTTATGTACTTAATTGCGAACATTCACTTAATTCAAGGATTAAGATGTAAAATTCGAAGTTATTGGTGTGGAACCTTGTGTTAGCGTTTTCTTGGAACACATCGAGTTGTTGTGACTTCATCTGCTTGGAGACAACGTCGAAAGCAAGAAAACCGGCCAAGGTAAATCCGGCGCCGATTCCGAACCGTCGTGTCACCGGAGGAGCCACCCAATCCGTCATCTGCTGCTGCAATGCGACTGCAGCCGGTGCAGGATGCTCAGTGAAGGCGACGCTTAGCGGCTGAGATGGAAGATTTTGCTTCGGATGTTGGGAAGGAGAGACGAGACGGTGGTGGGAAGGAGCTGTTGCAGTGAAGAGAGTCGCCATTTTCAGAGGAGTTTCAGAAACAATTTTGAAGGTAATAGACTTTGATTCATATAGCAAACCTTATCTTGTTCGTGTGATGATTATGAAGACAAGACACAAGAGTGCTCAGTCTTTTGTTCCTTTTTTTTTGCCAACGTGGTTTTTTTTTAAAATTATTTTTTCCTAAAACTTTTTACAGTGTCAATTTTGTAAAACAAAACAGAGGAAATTACACATGAACTCATGAACATCACTGGCAAGAAACACAACACATGAACATAATGCTTCACCTTCTTCAATCTTCATCTTCCATATATTTGCTTTTAATAGCTCTCTAATCAATCACAAGCCGTTGAAACACTGAAGCTGTGCCAAAAACCAGGAAAAAAGGAAAATCTGTAGCTTTTTCCCTTTAAACAGATTGAATCCATCAAAAAAAATGTTTGCCACTTTGGCCTTCTTCATCTTCTTCTTGTTCTGTTATCAATCCTTTTGTTCTTGTTCAGTCGTCAATGAAGAAGAAGAAGTGGGGACTGGTCTTGGAATGTTGGAACCTGTCAGAGGTTTCTGTAACCGCTTTAGAGAAGCCATTATCTCTGCAAAACTTGGCCTTAACTTTGAATCCCTAAACACATACAAAACCACAAGATAAATCAGCCAAATCATAAGAACAAGATAGCTTAGAAACCCAATTGCCAAGCTTTGTTACAGAGCTATAAACCGTAAAAGATTCAAGAAACTGTTTAACTCACGTTTGCCAGCATTTACTGATGAGATCTGCAATAGCTGGATCGACAAAGTCAGGAATGTCAAGACGCCGATGCTGAAACCCAACTGCCCCAACAACTTGCATCGGATTCATCTTTCCCCATGGTTGCTGTAACGTAAAGAGCTCCCATAGTATCACACCGTAGCTGTACACATCGCACCTGTTATCACATATCATTGTGCCATGACATTAAGCCTACTTCTTAATATGAAACAGAACATAACTTTTATGAGCAGAGTGAGAAGAGAAAGAAAAAAATGAAAACCATACTTCTCATCAGCAGGTTCGTTTCTAAGCACTTCTGGAGCCATCCATTCAGCCTGAAAGATACCAACACAGATTCAAGCCTTAACTTAGTTAGATTAACAAACAGGCAAAGATGACTAAGACAGTGAAGATGGTAGCTTCCTTCTTGCAGCTTACCGTGCCTGCTGTTGACTTTGAGGAGAGGTATGTGCTGTGTTTCATTCTAGATAAACCGAAATCACACACCTGATATATATGAAGAGCCACTATTATTATGCACACTAATTTCTGTTACATTGTGGTGAGAAAGAACAGAGTTTATGGAGAGAAATGTTCACCTTCACAACCCAGTTTTTGTCAACTAGAAGGTTTGGGGACTTGAGATCACGGTGGACAATCATCGGACTACAGCTATGCAAATAATTCATTCCACGAGCCTGAGAGATGTTGAAAGAATCGAGAAGTTATAAACAGATGACAGAGATCAAAAGGAGTGAGAATGGAAGAGAAAAAGAGTAATACAGCATCAAGAGCCATCCTTAGACGCCTCCTCTCGTCTAATTGATTATTAGGCCGATGGATTAACCTATACAAGCTCCCTCTGCACAAGTTTGGGAAAAAGACTACTGTAAAGACATTGTAGACATGAGAATCATTTGGTATCAAGTTAAGTATTCGTGCAAAGATCATAGTGTGTTACCTAGGAAGAAACTCTGTGATAATTGAGAGATTCGGTGGACGAGTCACAGCTCCCATGAAGAGAACAATGTTGGGGTGTCTAAGCTTTTTCATGATTCGGACCTTGAATCAGATTAAGAAGTATAAAATGTTACATTATTCTATAACATGATTTTGTTAGAGAACAGGAATATAACATCATAAGAATAAGGTTAGAAGAAAGTCTCACACCTCACTTCTGAATTCCTCCAATGCTTCTCCTGTAACATCTTGATCAAGGAACTTCTTGACCGCCACTTCCTACCAAGTCCAAGAGTTTCATAAGTCTTTCAACATCAGATTCCATGAAACCAAGTTCACAGTACAAAGTAAAAAGCAAGTAACTAACTCACAGTTCCATGCCAATCTCCACGATACACTTCTCCATAAGATCCTGTATCAAAAGAGGTAAACTATTTTAGTATTTCTACTTTGTAGAACAAGTTACACCAAAGCAGATAACAGATGATAAGTCAAGTACCGAGTCCAATGCGTTCCCCAACAGTAATTTCTTCACACAAAATCTCACAGTCAGATACATCATCAAGTGCAGCATCAGACTTTGAACTTTCGTTGCCAGTAGACCTGTCAGATATTCTTTCACCTCCTGAACTTGGCCCATGATGAGACTCCCCACTACCACCTTGAGGCTCATGTCCACCAGAACCAGCATCCCCATCGCTGTTCGAGCCTAGTTCAAGCTGCCTGGACACGGCTGCAGCTGTTGCCACAACTGCAGCAGCAGTGGCCGTGGCCGCAGCTGCAGCAGGAATTTCTAAAGTGGAGGAGTCTGAGTTTGCAGACTTGGCAGCAGCTGCAGCAACCATTGAAGATGCAACCACAGCCGCTGCAGCTACAGCAGCAGGAACGGTTCTTGCATACTCTGTAGAAGATGCTTCAGAATGTGAAGAATCAGACTGACTAACAACTTTGCCATGATCATTTGTAATTGCTTTAGGTTGCACTCTTGGTAATGGAGGCAGAAACCGCACTTGATCGGAATCGTTTTGGTGTCTTTCTTGCTGAGCTGTCTCTAAATCTTTCCCTTTCTCTTTCTTGGCTTCAGCCGGAGTTTTCATTTCAATGTTTGCCTCCAACTGCTGAGGATAGACTTCGGAGAATAAATTAGGCGGAGCTACAACTCCGCTTTCAAGTAACACATCATGAAGCTTCTGAGCTAACCGTGGATTCTCTTTGGCAGCATCAATCATATACTGTGAGACATCTTTGACTTTCATCCTCCTCGCAGCTGGGGAGCTAACTCCTTCAGTCCAAGAAGGTGATCTCATATGTGTGAAAGAATGAATAGGCTTGCTAGAGAGATTTTGAAGTTGATCCTTCTCAACATTCGTCTCATTCTTCACATCTTCCTTAGAAATATTTGGATGAACAATGAGATCGCCTCCACCTCCGGATTGGTTTCTCTCCCTTGTCCGAGACTCTACATTCTCTTTCAATGAGCTCTCAGTCCCATTGCTGGAAGAAGCTACTTGAAACGAAACGTTCTCTCCTGGACCAGCGGAGTAGACAGATTCATCATAGTCTATTTGAAGTCCAGCTGCATCAGCTGGAATAAGCGTCCCTGGATCTCCCATGAGATCAACAATATACTCCCTGAAATCCAAATTTTAAAATTGTATTGCATATAACTCAAAAGCTTCTTTCATCAAGCCTCAGAACTAGCTTCAGGAGGAGCAGATAACATAGCAAAGACCATATACTGAATCTATACATAATACCTGAAGTTAGTGTGATGATTACCTGCCATCATCAGTCTTGATAAAGTTCATTGCCACATCTTCCGAGCCTGTGTATTGCTGTCCTTTGACTATCCGGCAAGGAACACCAACGCTATCACATAAAACCTATAAAGAAAATGGATCACAAACAATCTACAACTGTGATGAGTTTCAAAAGAAGGAAGAGAAGCTATAGTACATACTTTGAATAGCAAGGCACGGTGACGAGCCAATCCAATAGTGAGAGAACCAAGTGGCAAAACCATGCTTCCAAGAGTTGCTTTCAAACTGTAGCTAAGACTCCTCCAAGCTCTCAACATACTATCCGGATCCACCACTCGTCCACCCATGTAATCTCCAACCAGAACAGCCAGTTTCTTCACCAACTCACTGTTCACAAAGCCAGAGCAAGAAACCGTCTTCGACTTCGCTTCAATCTCAAGAGCCGTCTGTTCAAGCCTCAGCAGATTAGCATCCCCACTCCTGTTCACAAGAACAGCTTCCCACGCCACACCTTCCGAGACAGGCGTCCCTTGAAGATCCAGCAGAGGAGGTATTCTCTCCGATGATGATCCATTCAACACTCCATACAAGTCATAAAAACCATCCAAGATCTTATCATCATAGCCAAGACAGTTGTAATTCTGTAAATTCAACAAACCAAAACCATCCAAATACTGTAAAGTCAAGACCTTTTGTAATTTCTTGGGAGCAATTAGAGAACTTGAATCAAATACTAACTTACCCAGTAGCGATAAGCAATAAGTTCCGCTGGAGAATTCTCAGGAGCACAAGAGCCTAAGCTGAATTGCTTCATAGCCTCAATCTGAGCAGCTTCAGGATCTTCTCTGGCACTCAACTCTAAAGCCAGCTGTATCTGATACTCTTCTACAACCTCCGGATCTTGCTGTTCCTCCACAGATTCCGACCCAGTAACAGCAACGGGGTCATCACCACCATGTTCAATAGCCTCTCTGTTCTTGGCATTGAACGAATTTGGTGGACTGTGGGTTTTCCGATGACCAACGGAGCTTAACCAGTTTGATAAACCGGAAAAGGGTTTGACTTCGGGGCTATGGTGACTCGTCCTCGACGAATCCGGCGGCGATGGTACGTCGTTCGATTTGTTATTGCTCCGAGCTGTTGAAATCGATCCTTCAGCTTCGTCTGATTGGTTCGGAGTGATGTGCAGTTTCTTCAGAAAGTTCTTCATGTTCATCTTCATAGTACTACGAATGCCGGAAAAGTGATCATCGGGTCTTAAAACAGCTCCATAGCCTGAATTCAAAGCTAAAGTTTCCTCCTTTACTTTCATAAAACCCTAATTCCTCACCGGAGATCCGGCAAAAACAGAGTTTTTTCAGTCGACGGCGTTGGAACTTTCACCGGAATTCAAATAGAGCGAAGGTTTCAAAAAGATACTATTTTTCTGGATTTCGAAACTGGAAAATCAAAGAGCGTGACCTGTAAACAGCAAAAATTTACAGAGCTCTTCAACGAGTGAAGCTCAGAAGCTAAAAAAAACAGAGGAATTTTCGCAACCACTCAACTCGTTTTTTGATAAATCACGAAAATAGTTAAAAGCACCACAAACCCACTCAGATGAAAAATTTAAAGTAGCCAAGAAAAAAAAGCATGTAACTGACAAAATCTCCGTACAATGAACTTGTATCTCTATCTCTCTCTCTCTCGGCCAAAAAAGCTTACGCCACTAAGTAAAGAGTCGGACAAAGAAGTGGAGAGTGGCTCTTCTCTGGAAGGAAAAAAATCAATTTTTTGTTTTGTTTCTTTGTGGATTTATTGAGAAATGAAAGAGAGAGTTTAGTGTGACATGCAAAACAAAAGAAGAAGGAAGAAGAAGAGAGGCGTATCTTTTTCACCAAGCGTGAACCTGAAAAGATGACGAAGGAAAAAGATATAACGGGATAATTAAATTGCACAGAGACAAGCTTCACGTTAATTGTGGCATTTAAAACTGTTGCTTTTTGTTTCTATAAAAAAACATAAGAATCTACACCAATTTAATTTTCCATTTCAAATATTGTGTATGGCATAGAAACAAATAAGAATTGCATAATAGACCACCAATAAAAAATTGCACCTAACAAAAATTTCAAAAGGCTTTTTGGTCCAAATAATTTTATAGAAATGTGTTTTTCTTTCAGGATTATTGAATATATCGCTTGGATTAGTATCTCTTTTGGGGATAAAGGAATAACCATTAATATCACAGCAAACTAAGACCAAGAACTTTCTATATTGAGAATGACTGAAAATGGCGTTTTGTTTATGTAAGCTGTCAATTTTCTGAGGACGAAAAAAAGAGAATTTAACTGAATATTCCCGTGAAAAAATAATTCTATTATGCACGTGATCAAATGCATAACGCAGACATGCAGATTCCGGTGAGCCTTACATGATAATATAGGTAAGGTCGATTAACTAACGAGCAAGATAATTTTATATTTTTTCTCATAGAAAGAAGAAGATAAGTGTATACTAATAACAGCTAGTAAAAGCATTATATAAATTCACAACATGTGCCCCATACTATAAATTTATCGCCCCTAGAGAGTATATTTTCTCTTACATTTATGAATTATGAGTAATGTCTATCATATAAACGATCTTCATAGCATAACGCATTTAGTAATAAAAAAGTATAAATTAGTACAGCTTTTCTTTTTGTTTCAGGCTATGTTTAGTGATGTATTTTGAAAGATTTATTTTTGTATGAGATAACTTTCTTAACATTAAAAAAAAAAAAAAAAAAAAAAAATCTTAACATTAAAACCAAAACAAAACTTTCTTTTGTGGTTGTAAAACAGGTTGATTTTGATTGGTAAGAAAAAAAATGTACCACTTGAATGGTAAACCGTAAACCTATGTCTGATGTTTCTGTCTATATGTAAACTTTACATAATATCATATATATCAATCATTTATGATGAATGTGTATAGTGGTTATACAGGATTCAAACAAAAATAGTGACATGTCGAATGTACGACCACACGAATGCAACTACGCATCAGCATGTACCATTATATATGTGATTTACATAAGGCAATCATTGTATTGAACAGCGTGAGCTGTGAGCCAATAGTCGACCAACACATCCACTTCACATTTGATTATTTGAAACTACTAGTATTATTTATATTATTTTATAAGTGTTGGTAATTCCGAATTTTTCTCAGAATTTTATTATATAAAGCTGGTTCGACAGGTCAACTCCATGGTGTCCACACGATTGTGAGGTTTTAGAAACCATACACTTTTTTTTGGTAAAATATGGGGAGTTTGCATTTGTTCAGTTGTTCTCCACCATAAATGGTTATTTGTCAAACAATAGCTAAATGTTAAATGTTTATTTGCTGTAATTAATCAATGATAGATGCAGTAAGTAAAAAACGTGATTTTCGTATTCATCTCCCCTTCGATTCTATGTATCGATACCTAAATACGTACTCTGTTCATTCGACTTACAATTGATAATATTATAATGAATTTGTATTTCATAAGAAATAAAAGGAGAACGACTGGAGAGTTTAAATGCTGAAGGGTAGTTGGCCAACAATTAATTTTTGGGTGGCTTGAGATTTGTCCGAAAACTAAAATAAATATTTTATGGCCACAATATTTCTTCTTTTGCCCACTCCATGTACATTTTATTAGAGATAAATATCCCACATGGAAAATTGGAAGGAATCTCAAGTAGTATATAAAGTATGTGAGTTTCTCCACTCATTGCCAATTGGTTTTGAGTTGGAAATCGATGTAACTCAAAACCAATTGGCAAATCATCTTTGTCATTTGGTCTGCTTCTGATTTCGTCGACACCTTCCACCCTCCTATAGGTGGGTCCGGACGAAGGTCCATAGGCAATAAAACTTTGCGACACCATGTCTTTGTCGTAGTGCTTCAGCGATGCATCAATATACGCTCTCAACATTTCAACTCAAATCTATAATTTAACACATTTCATGTCATCACTCAACCTCTTGTTTATAATAAACTCAATATTTTTGGCATAAACATAACAAAACCGCAAAACGCGTAATGTGAGAACTTTAGGGTATTTTGCCGTAGTATATGAACAGAAAACTTACCAAGAAAGCTCAATTAAATAGTAAAGCAGTAATTAGTAAATCACTACACGTTACGCTTGGTTTAAGCCAATTAAAAAAAAGCGTTTACGTAATTACAAAAACTATTGAATGGTAGTCAGGTAGTGAGTTAAAGTTTAGTGACGTAATCATAGTTATCCAATACGAAAAAGCTAATCTTTTACGGTCTCTCTGTTTGCGTAATAAAGAAAAGGGAAAAATAAACGAAATCGGTGCTTTCCAATTGGTGCCAGCCACACATTTTTTTTGGGTGCTGGGGACCACTTCTCCACCTATCACTTTTATCCTCTTTGGCTCTTCCTCTCTACTTTTTTTTTTGTTCCCTTTGCTAAGAAAACGTTAAAATCATTTTTATATTTTTCAGCTGATGTATTATAAAATCTTAATTAATTAAAAGTATATTTATGTATGGTGCCATTGTGTATTAGGAATTTTATGATGTCATTTATTAGAGGTCTATCGTCAATTTGACTAGTTAATTTGTGTTAGTATTAGTTCCGGTTTATGCGTAGAATGTGAATCTTGTAAATTTGTTCCATTTTGGTTTTGTCATGTTAAATGTGCTAAATCTTCTAGATGGATTTAGCCCTTGTATTCAAATGGGCTAAGGCCATTTTGTATCTTATTCATGAACAATCAAGATACCGGTTTAGCTAACCGAGCTGTTACCCAAAACTGAAACCGATTTGGTCAACGATTAATTTCGTCTCCAATAATTTGACTCATCTCCTTCGTCTCTTGCGCGCCCCAGATTTCAACTGGAACAAGTAGGAAAATAAATAAAACAAAGAAAAAAGAAATCTCTGTTTTCAACTCTTCGGAAAAAAACATGTTTTCTCGAGAAAAGCGGCGAATAATGTGGAACCATTGACGTAATAACGCTTGGCTGAGAGTGAAATCGGAAACGCCAATCATTACTCTCAAATCTTCATTTTGATCATCAAATGCCCGGTGGTGGTTTAAATCTCGTCGACGGTGTTCGTCGCTGGCTTTTTTCTCAACGTCGTTCTTCTCCTCCTTCTTCTTCTTCCTCCAATAATCACGATCAGATTCACAATCCCGATAAATTACTCGACGACGACGGCGATTCAAAAGAAGTCACCGGTATCGTAGATTTCGATCCGTCTAAGCTAAAAAAAATCAAGGTCCCAAAACGACATCGTTTACCAATGGATTCTCAAAAGAAGGTAAATTTTTGTTTGTAAATTTCACCTTTTAAAAAATCAAATTTATAAAATCTGTTTTTTTTTTCAGGTGATTATACCAAATGACGATTTCTTCACCGAGTATGGAGAAGCAAACAGGTATCAGATTCAAGAAGTGATCGGCAAAGGAAGCTATGGAGTTGTTGGCTCTGCGATAGACACACACACAGGAGAAAGAGTTGCGATCAAGAAGATAAACGATGTCTTTGACCACATCTCCGACGCGACTAGGATCTTGAGAGAGATCAAGTTGCTTCGTCTGCTTCTTCATCCAGATGTTGTGGAGATCAAACATATAATGCTCCCACCTTGTCGGAGAGAGTTTAGAGATGTTTACGTTGTGTTTGAGTTGATGGAATCTGATCTTCATCAGGTGATTAAAGCGAACGATGATTTGACTCCAGAGCATCATCGGTTCTTCTTGTACCAGCTTCTTCGTGGTTTGAAGTATGTTCATGCTGGTGAGTTTTGTTTTTTTTTACTCAACACTTGTGTGTTTTGTAATAATAAGATTATGTTCATGTCTCTGTTGTGTTTGGTTGCAGCGAATGTGTTTCATAGGGATTTGAAACCAAAGAACATTTTAGCTAATGCTGATTGTAAATTGAAGATATGTGACTTTGGTCTTGCTCGTGTTTCTTTTAACGATGCACCATCTGCTATTTTTTGGACTGTGAGTCATTATTCAATCTATCACAAAGATTGTGAAAACATATTCTGTTTTAGTCACACTTACTCTGTTTTTCTTTTTCTTTTATAGGATTATGTTGCTACTCGGTGGTATCGTGCTCCTGAACTCTGTGGATCTTTTTTCTCCAAAGTAAGCTTATTATATTTCTTGTTCATAAATGACTTTTAGGTCTACACTAATTGTAAATGATGTCAAGAGTTCTTTGAAACAGAGTTTTTTTCTCGCATTTGCTCTTGTATTAGAGTCTCTTATACAAGAAATAGTAAGTAGAGCACTCTTCATCTAAGATAAATGATTTATCATGTTTTCTTTTAGAATGTTATGTATGCCTTTTTGTATCGCTATCTACATGCATGCAGGATATATAAGGTTTAATTACAATTCTCATGTTGACTCTATGTTTGCTAAATACAGTATACACCTGCGATTGATATTTGGAGCGTTGGTTGCATATTTGCTGAGATGCTTTTAGGGAAGCCATTGTTCCCTGGAAAAAACGTAGTTCACCAATTGGATATCATGACTGATTTTCTTGGCACTCCACCTCCAGAAGCAATATCAAAGGTCAGTTTATTCTTCTTTTTCTTCTTTTGTGGAAGAACAAGAAAAAAAACTATTTTGATCAAACATGTTTTATCTTACTTAAAAAAATGACAGATTAGAAATGATAAGGCGAGGAGATATCTTGGCAACATGAAGAAAAAACAACCAGTCCCATTTTCTAAAAAATTCCCTAAAGCTGATCCTTTGGCACTCCGCATATTGCAACGCCTGATTGCTTTCGATCCAAAAGATCGTCCATCCGCTGAAGAAGTAAGCACAATTATATATGAGAACTTGAAAGATGGTTAAATTTCAAAGAAGAAAAAAACTGAGGTTCTATGTTCAGTTGTTCACTGTTTTGATCTTTTGTTGGTTATAGGCACTAGCTGATCCGTACTTCAATGGTCTGTCTAGTTCAGAGAAGGAACCATCGACACAGCCGATTTCAAAGCTTGAGTTTGACTTTGAGAGAAAGAAGTTATCAACAGATGATGTCAGAGAGTTGATCTACCGAGAGGTTTTTGAGCCTTCTTACATTACATCTCTTCTTTGGTTTGTTTGTTTTCTCTCCTCTTCATGATTCCTAATGGATTATATATCTTGGAAAAACATATATAGATACTGGAGTATCATCCTCAGATGCTTGAGGAGTACCTTAGTGGTGGCAATGAGCTCAGCTTCATGTACCCAAGGTTGGTTTTCTAGTGGAAAATGTTGTTAATGAAAGGAACAAAAGTGTCAAGTTAAAAAGTTACTGTTCTGGTTTCAAGAAGACTAAATGGTTTGAGAAACTTTCTTTTGTTGATACAGTGGGGTAGATAGATTTAGGAGGCAGTTTGCTTACCTTGAAGAAAACCAAGGTCAGGGAGGAAGAAGTAAGGCACTTCATCATCATGCTTCTTTACCAAGGTACACAAATAGGTTTTTTTATTAAAAAATATCTGTTTCTATCATTTATTGATGTTCTTGCATTGCATTTTTAAGAGAGCGAGTTCCTGTATCCAAGAATGATGAGACAGTGGAAGAAAGCAGCAATAATATTCTCACTAAAATATCAGCTGCTGTAGCTTCGACCTTAGGCAGTTCCAATTCTTCACAACAACCTGAAGATACAGATAATGGAGGAGGAGGGTACAGTGCGCGTAACCTGACGAAAAGCAATAGCATCAGTGGTTCTAAATGTATTGGTGTCCAATCTAATATCAATATTGAGGTATAATATATTAAGAGAAACCACCACAGTTCTTTAGATGATCAAGATACTGTTCTGCAATATTTGTAAATAACTCTTATTGTGTTGGGCTTACCTTGCAGGACGCCATTGCAGAGGTCCAGGATGAGACAGTTGAAGAGAAAGTTGCATCTACACAATAATTAGTTTTTTAAAGTGAAATGAAAATAATTTTTAATTTAAACTTAGTTAGCTATGTAATTTCTGAGGGTGGAAATGAAAAAAGACAGCCAAAAAAGAAAGACAAGAAAAAACAGTTGAAGACTAATGTTTAAGTTCTAGATTGAGAAATTAAGGGTAATGGTTTTACAAACCAAACAAACTAATTACTGACTAAAAACCTCTTCTACCTCATGATTTATTCATTATGTACTATTTTACACAACTCCACATCCACCAAAAAAGATAAAACCACAAGGAACCAAACCACATAACACTTATAGACATGTGCCACGTGACAGACATCCAACGGCTTATGGCGCGGGTCGGAGGTACAAAGGAAGCCAATTGGCTGGGTTGGGATCTGAGCTCCAGACAGAGAAAGCACTTGAACATCGCATCCACTTGTTCGTCATGCCCGGGAAGTGTCTGTCTATTACATCCTTTAACGTCTCTGTAGTATTAACCCACTCTAACCCTTCTTTAGTGTACGTCTTCTCGTTGAAATTCGTCGTGAAAAACCTATCCGCTTCTAACCTCCTAATTAAGTAAAAGTTAAAGCATGAGTAAGTTTCGTTCCTTGTGATGCAAGAAAAGCCTCTGTTTTATGAAAAAGAATGTAGTGTAATTGAAAACCTGGAGGCAACGAGGAGGAAGATGAAGAAAGCAGTTTCGCTAATGGCGAATCCTTTGATCTTCTTCTCTGCGTGCAGTCCCACGTTAAGATCAAGCTTATCTAAATCGTCTCCATACACTTCTCTTAAAGCATCAATAGCTTCTTGATCATCGGTCAGATCTTCCCATTTGCTTATCGGACTCATCAACAGATTCTTCCTGAATTCGTTGTATCGAGGAACTCCTCTCTCCCGATCTCTATAAACTGAAGGGAAAAAAGAAATCAAATCAATGAGTTTTTTGGTCAATCAAATTAAGAATTGGTGACTGGTTTTGACTTACTCTCCAAGGCAGCCATGTCTATCAGGTGAGGTCTATCTTCTCCATCGATATCTTGAGCCACAAGGTTCCTCATCCAATTAGGGTAATTCCACAATGTCAACGCACCGCAAGATTGGTGTCCCATTGAAACCAGTAGCTGCTCAAACCCTATCTTCGAACCCTTTTTTCCACTTTCTTTACCGATCAATTCCGTCATCGGAACCCTGTTAACAAAAACATCTTCCTAGGTTAACAAAAACAACCATTTAGTCTTTCTACACTGTGTACCAAACTTTTTATATCTTACTCTCGTTCGATTTCAGGGTTTGTTTTGTCTTCAGATCTCATATCTCGGAGGAGAAGTGTGTCTGGTAGAAGACAATGCATCCTGTAGACACTAACGAACTCTTCTGTGAGAGAATAAGGAACTCCATGATCTTTCGGTTTCTTCAGACCAACTAATCCGCTAAATATGGGACCAAATCTTGACCCAATCGTGTCTTTCACTTTCTTCCCTAAAAACCCATACCAATTGATCCTCATTCCAGCAGTAAGTGTGTCTGTCTTCAAAAGCTCTATTGTCCAATCGATCGTATGAACCTTGGCAATAACCGCTGCAGTCACCAATCTAGCTGTCCGGTAGAGTTTCTCATCATCAAAATCCGGATATTTTTCCTGGAAAAAAGGTTACTGATTCAGTATAAACAGAGAGGATGCTTGCAACACAAGAAAGAGGCTAGACCTAATTAAGGGGAGTACTTACTTTGAGCATTTCACAGACAGAGTTGTGTTCTTTGACAAAGAGAGCTTGTAACAGAGAGAAACCTGACCAGCTGTTTCTTATGTCACCGGAGATCGGAACACCTCTCTCGTCTCGCTCCAACAAGCCATCAACTGATATCTTTAGCTTCCCGTCCTTGAAAACCCTTACTCTTCTCATTCCGGGCTCATCATTTCCATATATTACACTCCCGTCCCTATTTATCCAAATACTTATTGTATAACACTGAACTTGGATAATGATAAAACAAACAATGAAGCAGTGACTAAGCACGGATTGGATTGCAAATACGTACCACCAAGGTGTTCTAGTGTTGACAGCGCCAGATTTGTGGTGATCACCGGAGAGAACTTTCTTTGTTTTGAAGAACCTGAATGACTTCAATGGACATCCACTTGCTACTTCTTCTGGAGCTTTAAGCTCAATCTGGTTGAAGTTTTAATTATTAGTATATAATCGAAAATCGAGGGAAAGAACTATCAAATTTTGATATATTAGGGTTAAATTCAAAAGAGTAGAAACCTGATCAGTGTCTTCTAAATGATCAACCCAGTCATGGATCATGAACTGAATCCAAGAACAAGCAATAACGTTGAATTGGTCCCCATTGTCTATGAATCTTTTTCTCGCTAACAACTTTGTAGCCACTACACTTGGGTGTGGATCCAAAATCTGTAGCAAATCATAATTTATCCCAAAAAAATATTAGTGATGTCATAAACTATCAGCCGTTTTGCATTTATACAGAATAATACTAACCTTGGAAAAGCAAAAAAATCACATTTCACAACAAACAAAAACTTTATTCCGTGAATAGATATGTAAAGATAAAGCAAAAGAATATTCATGCATCATGATTTCAACCACCGATGAGAGAAGATCGAAACAAATTGCGTCACAAAATTTGGTTAAACTGTTTGATTCCGCTAATATTATGGTGTGTTTGCTATTACAAATACTTAAAGTTATACAGCCTCTAATTTTAATTTGCATGTTCTGTAAAAGTGATTGTGAATGTGAAAGAGGAAGAAAGAACAACTTACGCCGTACTGAGAAGTACAAGGAGGCATATTCCGACCAATAAAGGAGCCTTGGCTACCGATGGAGTCATCGGAAGGATGATTACACTTGCCATCAGCCGTACGATAAGAGAACTCCTCGGTGTCATAATTCTGACCGTTGATTCCTCCGACACATACGAGGTTGTAACGTTGATGGAGATGTCTTCGCATCCCCAAGTAAGCTACTCCCAGTAACACTGGCAATCTATGCCATAGTCCTAGTTTGTCTACAAAGTGCACAATCTACACAAAATTAAAAAGAAAAAATCGAATTAACAACATATAATTAGAAAAAAATCATCAAAAATTTTTGATTATCAAATTAATAATTTTCTTAAGAGAGGAAGAAAGATGGAGAGAAACCCATTTTGCTTCTTGTGTGTAGATGGAGAGAGAGAGATTTGCTTACATAGAACAAGAAGGAATCAAAGAAAGACATCTTGGAAACAACATGATGAAGCTCAGGATGAAGAAACCAAGAAGAGGATGGAGAGAAACCCATTTTGCTTTGTTTTTTTCCTTTGTTTGGATTATTTGTTTTGCTTTATGCTTTGAATGTTGGTCACACAAATGTAATGGTTGTATTCACACGATTACTCACAGTGTATATTTATATAGACCAACACGCATACTTTTACATATATGTATCTACGTATGTAAAATGAATTTTGATTATTGTCGTTTTATTAAACAAGTCAACGAGTCGTGGTTGAGCATTATCTTCACTGATTTAAGATATTTTACCAAGATTTCATTCCTAAACCAGATTTGAAATTATCAGAATAATATAAAAATGGAATAGTATCTGCAATGAAATGATTCACATATATACTAATCTTAATTAACAGTTGTAAAAATAGCTGTCAAATTATTGATGTTTCATTCCCTGTTTGATCAACCTTCCTTATCTTGCCTATAACTTCTATATGGACGAAAAAAGAGACTAGTTGGCTAAGAAATTATGGTGAATTCATGCACTGTTGTTTTAAGAACACACAAAAAGTAATATTTCATATCTTATCTTGACCCATCTTTTTTGTTTTGCGTTATTGTAATTTATTAAAAGAGAATCTACAGTATTGGCAAATAAATTATTCATATTGATTATTGAATATTAATACTGTTGAATCATAGTCATACATTATTGATACTAGATAGCATATGTACCGGGCCAAGTTGTTCTAAAATTTTATAAGATATGCTTTCTTCTTCTTTTTTTACAACAACCTAGATGTACTTTTTTTATAATAATGTTATATTTTCTATTATGTTGAAGCATTTCAATCAAAATTTGTAACATTTTCTCATAATTGTTTTTTTTTAAGGGCCTTTTCTCATAATTTCTTTGATAGCAATTTATTAAACAAGTCAACTTGATGAACCTTTCTCGCATTTATGTAAAGTTCTCCTAGTTTGACTTATCTTCTAAACCTCAACTAGATATAAATTTATTTCTAACTATATATATAAACAGTGTAACGTATTTGGATCAAGCAAGAATTAGATAACGTATTTGGAGTATATACACATGATTAATTGGTATGAAAACATTCGGAGTGAAGAGATCAGGGATATGATAAAAGGGATCGGCGTTAAAAGCAAAGTTTTATAGAGTTATACAAAGATGTCAAACTGTTTTGTAATCTTACATTTTCTTAAGTTATTGGAAAAACTATTCGCATGCAGTGCTGCTCAAAATTCGAGAAATGAATTTAAGTCGGTCGCGTAACGACCACCAGTATCGTTAATAAATACTTGTATTTTTATTGTTATACGTAACCATTTTTACGTTTTCTTAAGGTTCTTTTTTTTTTAAAGAGAGGATTTGTTTGATTGTTTACAGATTAAAAAAGAAAGAGCTGTATGGATTACTTTTCTTTAGTGGTCTTGGTTCAGTCCATAGAAATATCTTAAACTTTAGTGATCACATGAATCCTGGTTTAAAATTTTCTACTCTGATATATATGATCCCAACTCCAAAGTATATAGTTAGATGGATATATAATCCAGTCACAGCTGTGTCAGTTTTTTATTTCCTTCACTCATTTATTAATAATAGGAAATTTTGATAATACGGAATGTTTATTTTTTCCGATTGAAAAATATGAAAAAATACTCTAATATTTTTTGGTCTCGTAGTTTCTGGTCCGTATACGTATCAAATTATAAGGGATGGGGACAAGCAAAAAGCATATTTTATTGCTTGACCAGAAAAATATATAAATTCTTATGACATGTGTAATTGATTCAGTGTACTATGATGATACTGATACAAAGTAAAAACGTAGCATACTGCAATGATACAAGTACAACTAGTTCTTACACGTGGCTCTTCTTGCTACTTCAAATTTTGTCTAGGTAAAGAAACTTGCCACATTTAGATGCTAGCTATGGGTGAAGCACCGTCCTATCTTCGAGCTTCTTTATCAAAACTAACCCATCGTCCTATACATTAGCTAAAAGTCTAAAGCGATAAATCTGAAATGCTGTCGAACTTTCCAGTACGATCCATTTCGACGGTTGAAATGTTTTAGCTATGTGTACGTCGTTTTAAAACAGGTCTTCAAGCTTTATATGTAGTAGTTTTAGTGTTTTGTATCGTATATCGTCTAGCGACTAGAATGTGGTTTTGTTGTCTGTCGGAATCAGGATTTAAGATGCAAGTTGACTACAGTTTTGTCCATGTATACAGAGAAATATACATATTTTAAGACACAGCAGCACTAGATTATACCTGCTTGGACTCGAATCACAAAACCGAGATGAAATAATATATTTTAAGACACGACAAGTGTACTGATGTGTGATAGTGGTGTGTCGTATGGGTTGACTTATTAAGGAGGAGTGAGAGTGAACAGTTCGTGAACTAATAAATGTGTAGTAGATAAGCTCTAACTAATAATTCGACAGTTATCCGTTTTTGTGCTTGAATCTCGATTTATAGATAAAAAAAAAGTACAAAGCAGATTCAATACATATGCCACTCTAAATTTATCACAATATTTGGCTGATTTCATTAATAAGTAATTGTTAAATCTGAGTACTGAATATATTTCTAATTCTAGTACTTGTATGTTTAGTAACGCAATCAGATTATGTAGATGATCGTGACAAGACAGCAATACTTATAAGAAGAAAAAAAACCCAATGTTGTTAAAATTTAATATATGAACTAACCATCTTCGATTTTTATGAAAAAAAAAAGTATCAACTTGAACGTAGCACACACATAACACATAACACATGGTTTTGATCTTACGCAATTTGATTTCCATTTAAAGTAAATTAGCCCAGCTACCAATCTACCATTCACGGGATTTTAGGAAGAGTTAATTTATTTAACAATTAATGTAATTCGTCTGGCAGCCAATCTTTCTCGCCAAAAGCTCTGCTTTACAAGAAAGCCTAAACGTGACTGCATGCCAAGCTTAACTTCAGTTTTATATTCATTAAAGACATCAAAAATATGTTTATTAATTAATATTAACTCAATTAGAAACATAAGTATATACAAGCTTTGTTCATGTCAATGCAACATGCTTGGAGTAAAAGTTAAAGAAAACAAAAAGTAACATGCTTGGGGTAGAGAATATAAACCATCTGGTGATCTTTGAAGGAGACTGTAAAGTTCTTAACAATCTCGTTAACGGAATTGAGAAGAACAATAGAGCTCACAACTTAATTCAATTGGGTGGGAAAGAATATTTGAATATGTCAAGTTTCAATGGACCCCATCATGGGAAGCAAACAAGGCTTTAAGCATCATTGTTCACCATTTTACGTTCCCAAATCCCAAGCCCATTGTTGAATGTCTTCCTAAAGATCATTGTATAACCTTTCAAAGTAAAAAAGGCTTATTATACTCTCTGCCCAAAACCAGACACACCAAGGTATCAACATAAACATATACTCTTGAGGAATTAACATATACAATACCAAAAGTCTAAAACCCAACTTTTTTAGTTGATTTAAACAACATTTTGCTGAAGGCACGCACACAAATATGGAATTATTTTTGGAGAAGGTCTTTCAAATCCTGCATTTCTCTGATGTGATTCCACAATATCGGTCAAGGTGCATAATCTAGTAAGGTTTCAGAAATAGGTTTTGAGGCCTATTTCAAACTCCACTACCTCTGAAATTTAAGGGAACTTTCACATTGAAAGCTGATCGCTCCCGCATGAAGGTAACAACAGTTCTGGACTTAGGCAGGCACGCTGTGCGCGAACAACGCTACCTAGCTACAAGGTGTCTTGTTTTCTAACTTTGAGGTGTACATGTGCCACATATGAGCTCCAATAACCGCAAAAGCATCATTACATTTACAAAAATATACTGCATATCAGCATACATTGTTCTCTGTGAGAAATAGTCTATTTGAAAAATTAGAAAAATAACATAGGAAAAGTTAATAATATTTTGCAACAACAGAAATACATACCCAACCATGCTCAAGTATCAGAGATGAGATGCAAAAATTAGGTTTGAAACATGCTGTATAATCATCTACTGTTGTCAAATTTGATACTACTGTTGTCATAATCTTCATTACAGTGTCATTTGTTTTCAATGTATTCTTACCATCTTAGAAATTGTGTTTTAACATTAATGTTTAGTATATATACTGTATGTGTCATTCGTGCCCTGACGGAAGCTAAGTTTAAACGAAATTATAATCATATTATTCATATCTGAATGTTGTTTTGTGGAACTGCATTCAAATATCTATCTCGAAATAAAACATGGGAATGGGATTACTCTTTGCATTTTTCGGCTTCTGGGTGAAAAACTTTGTGTAGAACCAAGCAAAAGAAGTATCATTACCGGCCAGGGCACAACTGTATTTAAGGCTTCTCTTGTTCAGACTGTTTGGATTTTATAAATTATTTTTATTATTTATTATGTTAATGTTATAAAAATCCAGATTTAATTTTACTTTCGGCAAATTACTTATGATCCAAACAATTTGAACCCAGATAAAAACCTAGAAAACAAGTCAACCAAATTTGATTCAATATTTTGCAACAATTCGAAAATATAAATAGATAAATATTTGGTAAAGAAATATATATTTATTTATATTTTAAAATTTGGCAGAGAAATATTTAACCAGATTGGTCAAATATGATCCAAGTTTTCCATATTCAACAATGATTTTCTGCAAAACCTAGAAAACAACTCAACCAAATTTGATTTAATATTTTACAACAATTTGAAAATATAAATAGATAAATATTTGACAAATAAATATATATTTATTTATATTTTCAAATTTGGCAGAGAATATTCAACCAGTTTGGTCAAATATGATCCAAGTTTTCCATATTCAACAATTATTTTCTGCAAATGACAAGTGAAATCTTTCAAATAAATTAATGTATACATTATAACAAATCCGATATTAAATTTTGACTGACGCAATTTAAGAACTGAACTAAGAAAGCATAATAATATGTCAATACGATAGTCAATGCATCTGGTAACAAGACTGAAAAAATTCAGAAAGTTACAATTAACTATGGATCTCTCAACTCTGCATATACCGAGAGAATTACGAAAACCCTAATTTCCACCAAGCGAAAAAAAAAATCATTTTAACAATCAAAACCACCACCAGAATACTGCAGACTCATAATTGCCAGTACATTGTAATCAAAATATCACAATAAATCATTGTATGAGATACAGAAATTATTCGATTTTATAATTTGAAGTTACAAGAAGATGTAGAGCTCCCTTCAATCCAAAGAAGAGTAAAAGCAATTAAAGGGCAAGTTAAAGCTCCTGAGATATGCAAGCCATATAACCAAATCCATTTTCTTTATATAAGGATTAGGGCTTATGGTATCCATAGCTTAGCAGCTTTTCTTTACCCTACTAAACTCTCGTTTGAACTTAAAGGAGCTCTACTTCCATCTTTTTAATGATCTCGAGAAAATCATTTTGGTAAGAAGCAGATCTATCGAGAGACAAAGTAAACTTTTGAAGCAAGAACTAAATATGTTTTAGATCTGGAAACCTTAAATATTATAATCAAAACAATAAACAAGTTTTCTGTTAAATCTGAACAAACAGACAAGAAGACTAGAAGTTAGATCCTAAAAGACGTAAGAACTAGACGAGAAAAAGGATAGAGATCTTAAAACACAGTTTCTATAGACACAAGAAAGGAAAACTCTCTGAAGAAAGAGATGAATAACCCTAAACAGATTTATAGAGAGAGAAGAAGACAAGTCAAGTTTATGAAGAAACGATAGACAGAGAGTTGTAATTATAGTGGTTTAGATATTCGTTATTGGAAAGAAAGAGAAGATAAGATCGTAAGAAAATGGAAAATATAAAAATTAAACAGGTGGGTGCATCTGAAAAGACATGGGAAGGGTCTGACATTGTTTAGTGTTAGATTCCCTACGCGTCACATGCGTCCTTCTTGGCTTTTGTGCTCTTCTCTTTTTTTCTTTTTTTTCCCAAGATTTGTTATTTATGATTACCATTTACAACCACTAGTCTCCTGCCACATTTACACTGTTAAGATCTAACTTTGAAATTTTATTTGGCCTACCTAACTCTTTTTTAAAGTGTTTCCCTTGTACTCCACTGTTAACCCTAATACTCGATGTGCGGTCATGAATAGTTCTGATAATGTGTGGTACGAAAGCAGACAATTATTACTCTGTACGAGAATCTATGGTTAGATTTCCCATTTTTTACAACGAACTTGTCTTATTATTACCTCACGAGTCTGGTCTCTATCACAATTCACGCCGATGTTTTAACTCTTTTTTTTTTTTTTTTTTTTACTTAAAATGTTGAACTTATTTTTCAAGAAATGTTTAAACTTTCTCACCTTGTTTGTTTAACTATAATATTATGCCTATAGTTAAACTTAAACATGAAATGGTTCTATGTGCGGTCATGATTAATTAGTTCGGGTAAGTTTCAGTCACCTTAAGTCCTTAACGAACTAATATTTATAGAAAACACAGAAAACGATTATCAAAGATTCAAAGTATACAGAAATTTATGTTTCCGAAACAAGAAACGTATCTAAAACGAAAATTTTCATGCAACTTATAATTTATATACATACACTCATATGGTTCATGAAAATTCCCACATTTTAAGCACTTGAGAAGTAAAAATGAAACGGGCTAATTAATTTCATCGTGTCAAGTGTAAACATTCCGTGCTGTTAAGAAAACAATGCTTGGGCCGTATTGTTGGGCTTTGGCCCTGTCTTAACCAAATCTCAAACCGATGAAACTTGGCGAGTAAACCGAACAAATTCGTTTATCGATTTTATTTAACAAACCAAAAACGACGTCGTAAGGACGCTTCCAGCTTTTCTTTTTGTTTTCCAGCTTTAGAGCGTTCTCTTTCCTTTTCCGTCTTCTTTCCCAATATTTTTTTTCCCTCAAATGTCGATTTCCTCTCTAAATCATCCAACGGCTACTTTTCATCCGGAGCCGGAGCTCCCTTCATAAACACAACTATAAGAACAACGACAAAATTTCGGCAATTCCGATTGTAATCTTGTAATCACAGCACTGTAAAATTCCGGAGATGGATCAGCCGAAGAAAGTCGCCGATAGATATCTGAAGCGAGAAGTTCTCGGACAAGGCACTTATGGAGTCGTCTTCAAAGCTACTGATACTAAGGTCATTCCTCAATCCATTCCTCAATATCTATTGCGATCCCAATGAAACTAGGGTTCAATTACCGTCGATGATTCGTAATTAAAACTGAAGCTTTTGATCTACAAAGCTACGATTTTTACATAGTTTTTTGCTTTGATGTGTTGTTTAAAGGCCAATTTCGAAAATTTCTTATGGATATGCAGTATGGGCAGTGATTGTTTGAATCAATTTTGAAGCTTTTAGCATTAGATGAATGGAAACTGATTGTTTTATATTTGGGGGAGATCTGCAGAATGGACAAACAGTAGCGATAAAGAAGATAAGACTTGGTAAAGAGAAAGAAGGTGTGAACATAACAGCTCTGAGAGAGATCAAGTTGCTTAGAGAGCTTCAGCATCCTCATATAATCGAGCTGATTGATGCGTTTCCTCACAAGGAGAACTTGCATATCGTGTTTGAGTTCATGGAGACTGACCTCGAAGCAGTGATCCGTGATCCTAATCTCTTCCTTTCTCCCGCTGATGTCAAATCTTACCTGCAAATGACTTTGAAAGGTCTTGAGTATTGCCATGACAAATGGGTTTTGCACAGGTACTCTAAAACAACTTGCTTTCTCTCTTCAATAAGGTCTGTTTGAGATTTACACTAACGTTTAATGTGTGTTCAGAGATATGAAGCCGAACAACTTGCTTATAGGACCCAATGGACAGCTGAAGCTTGCAGATTTCGGTTTAGCTCGTATATTTGGTAGTCCAGGTCGTAAATTCACTCACCAGGTATGCTTTTATCTGTGTGTGGCAATGCTGTTGTTACCCTTTAATCTTCCATATCTTTGAGATTTGATCCAAATCTTTCAATAGGTGTTTGCTAGATGGTACAGAGCACCTGAGCTTTTGTTTGGTGCAAAACAATATGGTCCTGCTGTTGATGTTTGGGCTGCTGGTTGCATTTTCGCTGAGCTTCTCTTACGCAGACCATTTCTTCAGGTGAATCTCCATTTTCTTGACTCTTGATCACACTTCGTCTGTGTTCTTGATTACTCACTTTGTTCCATCTCCAGGGAAACAGTGATATAGACCAACTAAGCAAGATCTTTGCCGCGTTAGGGACTCCAAAAGCAGAACAATGGCCTGATATGTTATGTCTTCCTGACTATGTGGAGTATCAGATTGTTCCTGCACCTTCTCTACGTTCTTTGTTCCCAACGGTTAGCGAGGATGCTCTAGATCTGTTGTCAAAGATGTTCACTTACGACCCCAAGTCAAGAATATCGATCCAGCAGGCTCTACAACACAGGTACTTCGCATCTGCACCATCTCCTACTGATCCTTTGAAGCTAGCAAGACCGATTCGGAAGCAGGACGCTAAATCGTCTGATAGTAGTAAACTCAAAACCTTCAAGAAAACGTTATCACCTTCACATAAGCTTAGAAGAGTGATCCCTGACAGAGGAAAGTCTGGTTATGGTTTAAAGGACCAGAGCGTTGATGTGATGAAACAAGCTAGTCATGATGGTCAAGCTCCAATGTCTTTAGATTTCACCGTCTTAGCCGAGCGGCCACCAAACCGACCAACCATCACCAGGTAAAAAGAAAATTAGTTTTAGTCTTTTTGCAGTCAGTTTCTAGATCAGCTCTAAGGAACCATTCTTGATTTTTTTTGGTTTTGCAGCGCTGATAGATCTCATCTGAAGAGGAAACTTGATTTGGAGTTCCTATAGGATATATTAACGTAACAGGCTTCTTCTTGACAACATCCTTCTCAGGTGTCCATTGGCTCTTACTAGTTGATATTGTTTTACCAACTCCTGAATTTTTGGTTTACAATAAAGTAAAAGAAAAAGCACAGAAACCTTGAATTGATAGATGATTAACTAATCATCATGTACACCTATCATTGAAAAAAATCTTTGTCAATGTAAGAATTTTTTACATGTTCTATGAAAAACTTTACATATGATCGTCTCCAAGTTACAAAGTTTACATGTTCTCAATTGCTCTCGGAATATACAAATAACACTCCAAATATACTTACTAACACGTCTCTAAGTTACAAAATCTATCCACTTAATGCATGAGTTTTTACTAAATAAACAAAAAATAAAACGAACTGCTCGTTTTCTGAAAACCAATCAATGTAAGGCCATTTCATTATATCAAGTAGAAAATCACCACAATAAGTTCAAATGGAGGCTGAAAGAATAAAATACTCATTTATTCATTAAGTTTTGCTCATTTGCTAAGTCCAGTTGCTTGTCCTCATACTTGGAATTTGATCACTCGACGTCACCATCTTTGTCATCTGAAGACCCAACTCTGTTTGTTGCTTTTTTGGCCTATCCGTATAAGAGAACGTAACAACCATAATCACATCATGCACAGTTTCAAATTTTGCTTAAATATATGACAAGTTAAAAAAGTGTTTACCTCTTTATCCCAGTTTGTAAATATAGTGACCAAGGAGAGACACAACACTTGAACAGCCAATGCTGTTACGATTCCAAGCCAAAGTCCCTAATAGATAATATAACACCACAACATTTTATAGTTGTTATAGTTATTCTTGGCCTCTTTGGTTCTAACTTGACAATGAGAAAACTGAGTTTTAAAGATTATTACCCGACCACCGATGTGGAAATGGAAACCAAGTAACAAACCTAATGGAACTCCAACAAGATAATATGATCCAAGATTCACACACGCTCCAATTTTCTGCCATCCACATCCTCTAGCAACCCCTATGACACCATAAATCAAAATCAGTTTTAAACAATCTTTCTCATCCCAAAATGTTATGGTAAGTGTTCAGAACCTGAGAGAACGCATTGTAGGCCATCAAGGAAGTTTCCACATGCGACAATCGGTATCATTGATGCAGCATATGATATGATTTTCGGGTCACTGCTAAAAGCGTGACCAAGAATCTTCCTAATCGATATCAAAACCGTGACCACCACAATACCCTGAGCAACTGCTATGCCTACAATGACATACACTGCTAGTTTTGCCACTTGTGGATTCCCTGCTCCTAACTCATTCGAGACCCTTATGCTGCAAGTTAACACATAAACACACAAGTGAGATAGGTTGGTTTCTTAAAGATTCTTTTATGTGTTCTTTGAATGTTAATAATGTACTAACCTCGCAGCTCCACCAAGACCAACCGAGATTTGCCAAATTGTTAGTGAAGTATTTAGACTGAAAAGTTTCACAAATTTGGTTGATCAGTATATAACAAAGAAGTACAAATTCTCATAATAACAATGATAACCGAAGCTTACCATATTGAAAGAACAGAAGTTTCTAAAACCGGGTTAGGAAGAAGCCCTGAGGCAAGAACAAGAAGCTCAAACGACCACAACTCCAAACTGTTACAAAACATAACTGATCAAATCATCAAGACACTAGACATTAACAATGCATCGTTTTTTGTTTTTGTTTTATATCACTTACCAGACCATGACTGCTGAAGGAAAAGCAATTTTAGAAAAATCATAAAGCTCTTGAAAAGCCTCCTTCGAAAACCCTGTCCAGCTTTGTGAGCAAGAAGACGAGAACTTGACGTAACACGAGAGGAGAATGACGTTAAACCAGTAAGAGACCGAAATCGCCAGAGCAGCTCCTCTGTATCCTAAACCAGTCTTCAACACAAACAACCAACACAGAAGCAAATGAAGACAAGTTGTGACACCAGAGCAGACAAACACAGGGAACACATTGTTCTGCGCTTGCAAAAACCTGTTGATGCATTGTAAGAGTCCGTACGCGAAGAGGCTAGGGATCATGTATCTCGCGTACGAGCCAGCGACACTTGCAATGGACTTGTCTTGGTGTACAAGTACGAGTATCCGCTCTGTGTTAGCCCAAATGATGGAGAGAGGAACAGAGAGTATAAGAAGAACAAACATTGCTCTCTGCATCTGTATGCCTAACTTTCCATACAGCTTTGCTCCGTATGCTTGACCACATAGTGTCTCCAACGCACTTGCTGTTCCCAACTGTTACACACACACAAAATGAGACAAACAATGCAATCTTAGATTCAGAGAGAAGGGGGTGAAGGAAACGTAACGAGGAAGGTGAAGCCGGTGACGGAGGCGAAGGAGGTGGCGATGTAGGCGGCGGAGAGAGGAAGAGATCCGAGATGGCCGACGAACATGACGGAGATGACTTGGAGAGAGTATTGAAGGAGGCTTACACCAATGAGCGGAGCAGAAAGCCATAGCTGTTTCTTTACTTCCTCCTTCACACGAATCGTTGGTGTCTCTCTTTCTGTCATCAGAAGAGGAGGCGTCACACCATCTTCCATCTTCTCTTATCTCTCTCTTTGTTAGAAAGAAAAAAGAGTAAAATAATTAGAGAAATAGAATAACAAACTCTCTCTGTGTTTTCCTAGTTTTTAGGGCTTTTGTGAAGCCGTCGTTGATATTTATGTTTTGTCACGGTTTTTAAGTTTCAGGGTTTGTGGCCAATGTTGGAGTACATACTTGGAAACAAATCGTGATTTTTGTTTTAATAATTTGATTCTTATTATACTACTACTCCTGATTAGGCAAATTATTTATTATTAACGATTTTACAATATTACGCATTGACTCTGACAATTATAATCGAAAAAAATTGATGCAACTTGGAGACAATGAACTATTTTTTTATAGTTCTTGGCTTCTTGCTGCTCACTTGTTTTGAAATATTATTATAAATGAAGTTGGTCGTGGGATTCATAAACACTACAATAGGCATTAGTGTCTAGTGATTAGGATCATACTTATTTGTAACGACATTGATGATGACACAAAAACAGTTAATGGTTTGAGACTGTCCTCAGAATAATGGTTTTAATTTCTCGTTAATTAATTTTGTTGTTGCGAGTAGATGTTTCTTTAGATTATACCAGACAAAATAGTTAAGTCCACGATGGTTCAGTATGAAATTTTTGGCTCTGTTCAATCAATCTTGAAGATAAAGTTATTTATGAAATGAACAAATCCTTACTCAATAGTCTGAATGTCGTATGAAATTGAAACAGTTGAATATTCAAAGTTAAAACTTTGAAAGAAAGATAAAATAATAACGCCCACAATATGCTTGATGAACAAGACGACAAGATCCAAAGGAGACACTCTTGTCTAAAATTTCTATGAAAGAGTTTGACAATGAAGTACAATTTATAATTCCCCGAGCAAGTAAAAGAAAAGTAAAAGGAGAGAGAACATAGTTTTGAAAGAATGGAGCAAAATTAGAGCAGAGCGACTTAACCCTCTCGCTCCCTATTTCAATTACAACAGTATTCATAACACCTCTCGTTCCACACATCTTTTACATATCGCATCTCTTTCAGTTCAGAATCCTCATCCTAAAGTTGCCTTCATTGTCGGGAAAGTTAGCACCTCCTGCCAAAAAATTCACAACTCAGCCCTTTGTTAATCACAATGAAAATGTGTCAACATTTCGATCGAGAGAAAAAGAAACTGGCCTTGATGTTAATGGAATCTGTGAGGATCATAGTGAGTCTGTCGATGTCGATACCTCAACCAGCTGTTGGTGGCAATCTATGTTCCAACACCACACAGAAAGACTCATCCAGTTCATGAGCTTCTTCATCTCCAGCTTTCCTATCTAAGATGAGTTGCTTGAATCGCTCTCTCTAGACCATCGGGTTGTTCAACTATGTGTACGCATTGCACAGCTGCAAATTCGTGACCAAAACATCAAAACCAAAACAAAACCAGCAAAATTGTTCAATTGTGTTCAAACCAAAACAAAAATCTATGTATGTTTTTACTTGCTTCTTGTTTCACTATGTAGAGCTCAAACTGTTCGGTCACATTCTCATCTAAAAAGTGCTCTTTTGCAAAGGGGATCATTATCACTGGATGGTGAATAATGAATGTGGGATTCACACAATCTCCTTCGATGTATTTTCCAACCAGCTGCCAAAAGAACAAAACGCTATATTTAACTAAAACATTTCAATTCAATATAAATTTTAAAAGACAAGCACAAAGAAATTTAACTTATCCAGAAGTCGATTTGTTGTATGGAGATAAAAGGACAGCTCACATTGAGTCCTTTACATGCTTCAATAAGAAATTATTTTGCTTCGTGGCTGGCAAAATCATCAGGGATCTCAATACCAGTAGCTGTCTTCAAAGACTGGATCATGTCGACTATGTTGAATGGAGGGGTGAAAAATTCGATAAATAAAAGATATCTCCACAAAGTTTTTGTTTGTGAAGTAAGATCTGATGAAATTAGTGATCACTATGATAAATGTGATTGATCTAAAGTTAAGAAAAACTAAAATAATGCTCAGTCAGCACAAAACCTGTACATCAAATACTACTAAGAAGATAACTCGAATAAATATAAAAGATGTACAAAATTTAATCAAAATTCTCTAGAAAAATAAATGAAATTCGTGTATCAGATTTACAGAAGTAATATTATATATGGCTTGGCTTGGACGAGTACTAATGTGGAGTTTATAAGGACTTTATTTCTTCTTGTAATGATTATGAGAAGTGGTTATCGGTATATTGACCTAGCTTTTGGGTGATTTACAGGTTTTAAAATCGCAATTTATAGTTATTTACTTTTGGTCATTGTAATTGTAAAAGAAAACGAAAAAACATATTCACTCCTCGTCTCTCAAAGAGTACTCAAGAGTCTCTCTAAATTGCTTAGTAACTCGAAACGAGTTTCAACCGGAGTCATTAGATTACAATTACACAAGTATACCCGGATTAATCCCCACCAGTATCATTAAATTACAATTCAAGCATTCGAAGGGATTTTCTCCAAGAAAATTGAACTATCTTTTCTTGTAAAATGTAGCCAACTCAACGTAACTTTCGAACCCCAATAAAAATATCGCATATATAAATCTCTTGAACGAACTATTTTTTTTTCAGACAACGAAAGTCAGAAAACATAAGATTTACAAGATGGGATTTTTGGACTTGGTTTTTACGGCATTAAGCGTTTGTACTGCGGTTACGGCCGTAGGTGCTGCAGCAACCTCCGTGGGTGTTGTTTCTACGGTCGTTGCCGTTGCCGGAGCTGTCAGGGCCGTCGCAGATGTGGCACAGATATTATGGAAATGAAAGATGGTGATCTCCAGACGGAACAAGGTTTTTGTAGGGGCGACTGAGTAATGTTTTGGATATTTTATTTTCAATCATTTTATCAATTTTGTAAGATCAAATTTTAATTGTTTTTATCCTCTAATCTCTATCACTATCTCTATTTTAATTTTAATCGTTTCTACCTGCGGAGTTGCATTCTACTTGAGTTGAACCAAGAAACGTATTACCACAACCTGGCTTTTGGCGTTCGCATTAAGAAGAAGTCCTTAGTTTCTGTATAAAATTTTAACATTAGATCAATAAGAGCCATCAATACATTAGTACAGAAAGTATCATGAAGCAAAAAATAAGATGACCTTCACAAGACAGAAACCATCTCCCGGTAATATCTTTCTCACCAAGGCAACAACCTTCACAAGCTTCTTTGATAACTCAACAACCACTGGATTTTGAATTAAACCGCTTAATTTCTCTAAATGCAAATTTTCAAACCCAAGCCCAGGCCCAATCATTTCACAAATTACCCGTTAATCGCGTTTCACCACGCGCCGATCATTTTCGCACTTCTCTGTATTGATTACTGTAAAAATGCAAATTTGCAGAGGAGGAGGATGAGAGAGCTCTTCAAAACCCGTAAAGCCTTAAGATTTATATCTCTGAGCAATAGAGAGAGTCATGCTTCGTCACTACTCTTCCTCCACAGATGTACCTTCTTCTTCCTCTTCCTCCTACTTGAGTTACAGAGCTAGGGTTTCTCCAGCTCCTCCTCTTCTCTGGAACTTCTCCCCTAGAGTTTCTTTCCGGTTCCGACTCCACTGCTCCTCCTCTTCTTCTCCACCTCGATTCTCTAAACCCAATCCCACCTCTCGCAACCGCAGATACGGCGGCGTAATCCCATCGATTCTCCGATCTCTCGACTCCTCCACCGACATTGAAACAACCCTCGCTTCTCTCCGTCTCAATCTAAGCCCCAAAGAGCAAACCGTTCTCCTCAAGGAGCAGACTCGCTGGGACAGAGCTCTTCGCCTCTTCCGATTCTTCCAATCCCACAAAGACTACGTCCCCAACGTGATTCACTACAACATCGTGCTGCGAGCCCTAGGGAGAGCTGGGAAATGGGACGAATTGAGGCTTTGCTGGATCGAGATGGCTCACAACGGCGTCTTGCCGACGAACAATACCTATGGGATGCTCGTTGATGTCTACGGCAAAGCGGGGCTCGTAAAGGAAGCTCTTTTATGGATCAAACACATGATGCAGAGGATGCATTTCCCAGATGAGGTCACCATGGCTACCGTCGTTAGGGTTTTCAAAAACTCCGGTGAGTTCGATCGCGCTGATAGATTCTTTAAAGGTTGGTGTGATGGTAGAGTAGATTTGGATGATCTTGATTTGGATTCGATTGATGATGATTCTCGCTCTGTAAGCTTGAAGCAGTTCCTGTCCATGGAGCTTTTCAAGGTCGGTGCGAGGAAGCCCGTTGAGAAAAGCTCCGACTTTGCAACGGATTCGTCGTCTCCGAGGAAGCCGAGGCTGACTTCGACTTTCAACACTCTGATTGATTTGTACGGGAAGGCGGGTAGGTTAAGCGACGCGGCTAGTCTCTTCTCTGAGATGTTGAAATCCGGAGTTGCTATAGATACGGTGACGTTTAACACGATGATACATACTTGTGGAAGTCATGGGCGTTTGTGTGAGGCTGAGTCTTTGTTGAGGAAGATGGAAGAGAAAGGGATAAATCCTGATACTAAGACTTATAACATTCTTCTGTCTCTTCTTGCTGATGCTGGAGACATTGAGGCAGCTATTGGATACTATAGGAAGATAAGGAAAGTTGGACTTTTTCCAGATACTGTGACTCATAGAGCTGTTCTTCATGTATTATGCCAGAGGAAAATGATTGGAGAAGTTGAAGCTGTGTTGGGAGAGATGGAGAGGAATGGTGTTAGGATTGATGAGCATTCTGTTCCTGTGATTATGCAGATGTATGTTGATGAAGGTTTGATTAGAAAGGCCAAGGCTTTGTACGAGAGGTTTCAGTTGGATTGTGTGCTTTCGTCGACGACTTTTGCTGCGGTGATTGATGTCTATGGTGAGAAGGGACTGTGGGTTGAAGCGGAGGCTGTGTTCTACGGGAAGAGAAACATGACAGGTCAGAGGAATGATGTGTTGGAGTACAATGTGATGATTAAAGCTTATGGTAAAGCCAAGCTTCATGAGAAAGCGCTTTCTCTCTTCAAAGCGATGAAGAATCAAGGGACTTGGCCTGATGAGTGCACTTATAACTCTCTTGTGCAGATGCTTGCTGGGGTTGACTTAGTGGACGAGGGACAGAGGATCTTGGCTGAGATGACGGATTCAGGATGTAAACCGGGGTGCAAGACGTTTGCTGCTTTGATTGCTAGCTACGTGCGGCTTGGTTTGCTGTCTGATGCGGTTGATCTCTACGAGGCAATGAAGCAACGAGGAGTGAAACCGAACGAGGTTGTGTATGGTTCCTTGATTAACGGATTTGCTGAGAGTGGTATGGTGGAAGAAGCTATTCAGTACTTTAGGATGATGGAGGAACATGGTGTGCATCCCAATCAGATCGTTATGACTTCTCTTATCAAGGCTTATAGCAAAGTAGGGTGTCTAGAAGAAGCTAGGAGAGTGTATGACAAGATGAAGGAATCAGAAGGTGGACCAGATGTTGCTGCATCAAACAGCATGTTAAGTCTCTGTGCAGATCTTGGGATGGTTTCCGAAGCAGAAACCATCTTCAATGATCTGAGAGAGAAAGGAACATGCGATGTGATTTCGTTTGCGACGATGATGTACTTGTACAAAGGAATGGGGATGCTTGATGAAGCTATTGAAGTAGCTGAAGAGATGAGAGAGTCTGGTTTGCTAAGTGACTGTACTTCTTTCAACCAGGTCATGGCGTGTTACGCTGCTGATGGACAGTTACGTGAGTGCTGCGAGCTGTTTCATGAGATGTTGGTTGAGAGAAAGCTCTTGCTGGATTGGGGAACGTTTAAAACGGTCTTCACGCTGTTGAAGAAAGGTGGTGTGCCGAGTGAAGCTGTTGCGCAGCTACAAGCCGCGTACAACGAAGGTAAGCCATTGGCAACAGAAGCAATCACTGCAACACTGTTCTCTGCGATGGGTTTGTATGCGTATGCGTTGGATTCATGCAAGGAGGTCACAAAGGATGAGATCCCTTTAGAGCATTTCGCATACAATGCGGTGATATACAGTTATGGTGCGTCAGGAGATATTGACATGGCACTGAAGACGTATATGAGGATGCAGGAGAAGGGGTTGGAGCAAGATGTTGTCACGCAGGCTTACCTTGTTGGGGTATATGGGAAAGCTGGAATGGTGGAGGGTGTGAAGAGGGTACATAGTAGGATTACGTTTGGGGAGCTTGAAGGAAACCAGTCGTTGTTTAGAGCTGTGAGGGATGCTTATGTGAGTGCAAATAGACAGGATTTGGCTGATGTGGTGAAGAAAGAGATGAGCATTGCTTTTGAAGAGGAAAGGGATGAGGGAGAGGAAGAGGAGTATAGTTGGAGATCTGGAGAGGAAACGGAAGAAGACGAGGCGTTTTGAAGTGTAGCCATTGATGTGTGTGTATGAAAAGGTTGTAGAATTTAGGATTTAGTGGGAAAATGGACTGTATAGTTTCACACAAAGCCAAAGGAAAATATGCATACTTTGAGTCTCGTCTTGATTCTCAGGTAATGAAATGTGAATCTTATGAACTGTTATAGAAAGAAAAAGAAAAAAGTTTCAGTCTTTATCAGTTGCAGTTTCTAAAGTCTTTCCCTTTAAATTGCAGTTGTCCTCTCCCCTGTATCTCTCTCAGTATCTGTGTAAAAAGGAAATATTCAAAGATAAAGCAAATCCCAAAAAATAAGGAAAGAAGAGGAAGAAGATAGATACGAAAAGTTTTCATATTGCAAAAAGGAATTGTATGTAGAAAGGAACCGACCTCTTTCAAAGATTCATTCCAAAAATTCTCGAGAGCTCTCTGAGACGAGGCACAGTACGCTTAAAGCTCCACAACCAGATCAAGAGCCCTGTAGAAGCCACCATGGCCTCTGTAACCTATCTGCCGAGTGAGCTTGTTATGGAGATTATGTCCCGAGTTCCAGGAAAATCCGTAGCGAGATTCCGATCAGTGTCAAAGCAATTTAGGTCTCTCCTCTCTGATTCTTGTTTGCTCCGCCTCCACCACACCCGTTCACGTGATTCCCTTTTTACTGTAAGGGCAGTCAATGATATAAGGCCACTCAAGGATGTATGTGGTGGATTTGGACACTCATTTGATACTTATACCACATACTATTTCTCTGTGACCAACAAGGCCAATGGCCTCGTCCACGAGTTCACGTTAAACTTTTACAGCCCTCGTGTCAGAATGTTAACTTGTTACCACCAGCTCTTATGCTTTACTTGTGAAACTGACATTTATCTTTGCGACCCCTTGAACAAGGAGTTGAAGAAACTACCCGGCTCCACTGTCTCTAAACGGTGCTTTGACGAATCCAAAGACAATGAATGTCTCGTCTCCTTTGGCTTTGTCGACGGCGCTAAGAAGCAATACAAAGTCGTCAAGTGGCCTCGCGACTTGGACGAGAACCGTACAAGAAGGTTGCCAAGTGGCCTCATCACGACTTGGAAGAAATTCGATCTCATGTTTGAGATATTGAACGTCAACATTCTGGAACATGGTCGGCTTAAAGTATCCGGTTGGAGCAGGCATAGCAGACCATGTCCCTATCTGCTACAACTCTCTTCTCAGGTTCACGTCAATGGAGTTATCTACTGGACCACTAGTGATTTTCAGATTGTTTCCTTCTCTCTAGAAGACGAGACTTTCTCAACCCTAGACGCTAAACCTCCGTGCTTCCGTGGACCACAAGAAACACGGTCTTTCACGTTATCTGGAACCCACGGAAGCTTATGGATGATCATGTTAGACTATAGTGTCCCGCCGTCTCGAATCATGGAGGTTTGGAAGATGGAAGATAGTGGTTGGGCCAGGATTCATGCGGTCCACCTTGGAGGAAGCCATCATCCAGCAGACAAAGACTTAGGGAAAGTGGAGATGCTAGATATTGGGTCAGACCAAGTCTTGTTCAAGCTATCCTCCCCGTCCTCCCGGGGCCCGTTCATATGGTGTTATGACGCCAAGACAAACACACTCGAGAACTACGGGAGTATGTCTTACGACTGTCAGCTATGTCACTCCATCGATGGACTCTTGTCTCTACGCGACATTGATATGTCTGGTTCTTTAACACCTTCTACTAAATCTCCTTCTTTTGGGTCTTTCTCAGATACACATATAATCCGTAAGACGTTATCTTTATTAATGCTTGGTAGAAAATCTTAGGAAAGTTCAAAACATATAATCAAATTTCATTTACGCAATCATACATTGAGCTACTCGACATGTTGTCTACGGTTTATGTCTCTCAATTTCGACCATACAAAAGAAAAAACACAATTGTTTCACTCTATACATAAAAATAAATGCGATACACATCTCCACATCTTAAAGATATGAATGTTTTTTTTTGGTTTTAAAGATATGAATGTTTTGCATTGGGATGGTCTGATTTCAGCCAAAGGACAATAATATGCATACTTTTTGAGTCTCAGATAGTCAGATTGATTCTCTGGTAGTGAAATGTGAATCCTGAGCTGTTATAGAAAGAAAAGGAAAAAAAAGTTTCAAAAGGGTCTGATTTGTATCAGTGTGTATCTCTGTGTTTGTAAAATGTTTTTGGACTGTTAAAAGTTATTTTATGAATTTACAAAGGAGCACCCAGAGTTTCTGAAAATTCAATTATAACCGGACTCTTATAACCGCTCGCTTCCTTTTATCTTTGATTTTTACCATTGAACTAAAAGAAAATTACAGCCAAAGGCACTTTGGCAAAGTCTAATAACAGTCAAAGGCACTTTCTACTCCAAAGGGACTTTGGCTTGTCTTTGGCTTGTTTTGGAGTGCATAATATGACACTTCTACCCTTAATGAGAGATTTTTACCAAAAGCATAAAAATTGTTTCGACGTCGACGCCGATCAATGTACACCATCACATCTTTGATAAATATTAATAATCTGAGTTAAAATGCAGTGATTAATTTTCCGAAGCTCTGAGTTTTGTTGATTTTCATTGATGGTTAGGAGATTGTACAACATATGCGTCGTTGTCAACGAGAAGGCGTTTAACGATGGTCGTGATTTGTTGGATTCAAATGAGAAGAGGTTGTTAGTCAGCGTTTATGGGTTGGAGATCTGTGCTTCTTTTCTTTGAGTGTGGAGAAGATGAATAAAGCTGATTTTAGTTTCGTTGAAGTTTGGAGAAGATGAATCTGGGTTAACTCGCGATCATGTCCAGATTTAGATGTCCACGCAGTTGTGTCCACATTGTCATGTGTCCATCTGGACGTCTTTGTTTGGATAATTCTTTCGGAATATGAATGGATATAACATGACTCAAACATGACAATGACCTATATATAACTTCATTTATACAAACCTATATATACAAACTCATCCACACAAATGTATCCATAATATGTGTGTGGATGATCTGTTAAGTGAAACCATGTTTTTAGATCCTGTGTAGATGATTTAATTTGCAATGAAACTTTTAGCCATCTTTATTACTAATGATCTTAATTAGATGTTTATAGACTTTATATGAATGATTTGTTGACAGTTCTAATTATTTTAAATATGAACAATTTGTTTATGAAAAACAGTTACTTTGAGTGAATGACCTCTTATACCAATGCAATAGCTAAAGCTTGAATAAGATGTGTGTGTGGATATGTTTACGTGTACATGACTTTGTGGACAAGAAGATGATTAACAACTGAGTGAGTTTTTGTTGAGTTATTGTTTATCGCCTAGACTGTTCCATGGAACCGTATCCATATGATTGTGATTATACTTCGATATCCATATAGATATATAACACCTATGTCCATATCAAAGTGTAAACATAGTTCTGAAATTGGTTCACAGTGGACATAAAGTCGTGGACATGCTATTGTACTTTCTCGTATGGAGGATATATAATGCCTCCTTGCATTAAACCACCGAGGTTATACAAAGTGTCATACCACACAAATATGTTAAGAAAAACTACAACTTTTGTCGTACACAGTGATTTTCTTCTCCTTACGTTCAATCGTGTACAACTATGCATATCAATAGCCACATGAAGTTGTGGATATGATAGTGTAGACATGAAGTCGTGGACAAGACAACATGTACATATTTAGCTCTCTCATTATCTTGGTCTTTCTAGAGAATTACTCTCTCTCTTTGAGTTTTGCTCATAACTATTTGTATTACCTTTGAATATTTTTTTGTTTAAGAGCTTTCGAAACATCAAATTCTTTTTATCTCCACTATATAGATTTAATTTGATTAAGACACAATAGAAAATAAAGTTATAAGGATAAGTAAGATAACTTATATGTTTCAAGCACATAATACCGTAATAATGTTTTCCAATAAAAAAAATCCTCCTTTATAAGAGGTAGTCATGATAGTATCATACTATCGATAGCTGAGTTTGGATAGGCTACACATCATATTAATTACGTTCTCGACAAACACTCAAAAAGCAATTCTAATGATGGATATCCTTATGTACAGCTTCACTTGGACGGTAATTTTTGGTCGAATTTCATCAATTAATACATAGTCAATCTTACAAACATGGTGTAAAATGGATGGAGGTAGGTGAATAGTTATGAATGTAATAAGTTTATATCCACCATCTACAGTACATAATACTATATTGTTCCCCTTCAAATCATAACATTTTAGGTGGATAGCCATACATGGACTGTTGTACATTTTGATCACAAATCTCATCTACATTGACCTGATCAAATGTTTAAGTCTGGTCTCTACCACCTGCAATGCAGTCTATATAAATCCCATTTTTGGTGTTAGTTGGACGGAGATCTCTGTACGGGACGACATCTCTGTGCAGAAATCCTTTCATGGTTGGACATCCTCCGCCATGGATTGCTCTCAGTTCGAGTCATGCAACTCATCCATGTTTGCTTGTCCAAATGAATTAACAGCCTGTAAAAATTGGACGGGGATCTCTGTACGGAATGATATCTCTGTGCAGGCATCCTTTGGTGGTTGGATGTCCTCTCCCATTAATTGCTTCCAGTTCAAATCATGCAACCTATCCACGTTTGCTTGTCCAAGTGGATTAACAGCTCTCATCTCTACGCTTGTCCAAGTGGATTAACAGCTCTCGTCTCTTCAACAGGGTGTAAGATTACAATTACTTTCCATGAATTTTTCAGAAGAGACGACGAAATCGTCTAACAATCCTTTAAAATGAGAAGGAGAGGGAGGGCGAGGCGGAGAATAAGGTTAGTGTGAGGGAGCGATTGAAATCCGTAAATATTTGATGCAATGGTACCAGCGGAGGGCGAGTCGAAGAAGAATGTCGGTGTTTCTGGGGTTTTTTTTTAATTCTCGCCTTTTGATTCTCTGGAGGAGAAGAGAAGAAGGTGAAAAGTTTTATTATGTGTAAAAACAAAAAATCACGCTGTAAAAGAAAAAGGGTGTTTTTTGTAATTGCAACACTTCAAAGTCACCTAGGAGTAATAAATGCCTTTATTGTAAGTTTGAAAGTCTAAAGTCTATAACTCCAATTAACCCAATTAAAACTCCACCGCGACTGCTCGACTCTTGCCTTCTTTGCGTCTCCGGCGAAAAACTCAATACGACTGACTATGGCGCTCGAAATCGAAGCTCGAGAGTAAGATTTTGCTGTTTTTTCGATACCCTACTAGTACTTTTCAGTTACTAATTGTGCTCAAAGGTTCACGAATGCTCAAACGGATCTTAGGTTTCTTCCTGGCATTCAAATTTGTGATTTTTTAAATTAATTTACCCAGATTTTGGTTTTCTTAAGCTAATGCATACTCCTTCTAACTTCTTCTAAATATTCTGACTCTCCCGTTTCAATTGACGTATCTTATGAAATTTTGGTGGAGATAATTGCACTTAATTCTCGTCTCGGATTTAAAAAACCAATTTTTGCAAAACTTCACTAGCTTTTCTAGTGAAGAACAATATGTCTCAATTTTGGTGGAGATAATTGAACTTAATTCTCGTCTCGGATTTAAAAAACATATTTTTTGCAAAAATTCGCTAGCTTTTCTAGTGAATTTTGGTGAAGAACAATATGATGCTCTCAATTTTGGTTACTAGGATTTTGCTACTAAATGTCAACTCAAATAGAGCTTTATTGTGTGTTTATGTATCTCAGTGTGATAAAGATTATGCTTCAGTTCTGCAAAGAGAACTCCTTGAACCAGACGTTCCAGGCATTGCAGAGCGAGTGCCAGGTTTCTCTTAATACAGTGGACAGCGTTGAGACGTTTGTTTCTGATATCAATAATGGAAGATGGGACTCGGTACTGCCTCAAGTTTCTCAGCTTAAGCTTCCCAGGAATAAACTAGAAGACCTTTATGAACAGGTTTTTTTTTTTCTTTACTTGTTTTGGAATGTACAAGTGTGTGTATATAAACTAGTGATTGTCACTGTGATTTTTGTTGAAGGCATCTATCATTCTACTGCTAAGTGAGTCTCACAGGAATTGATTTATTTATTCAGATTGTATTGGAGATGATAGAGCTTCGAGAATTGGACACAGCCCGAGCTGTTTTGAAACAAACTCAGGTGATGGGTGTCATGAAGCAGGAGCAACCAACAAGATATTTGAAAATGGAGCATCTTCTAGTCAGAAGCTATTTTGATCCACATGAGGTATGGAAGCTAAGCTATACTATGCTTGACTGACTATTCAGTATTTCTTATGTGGTTGGTTTCTTATGTGTCTGACTATTTTGATACACAATGTTGGTATATCTTCTAGAAATTGTTGTTTTTCTGTGCCCTGATTTGATTTAGTATGTGCAACTGTTGATATTCTTTAACGTCTTAAGTAGAACCCGTGAGCTTAGCATAGGTTCGATATGAAGTTGTTTTTGGATGAGGGTCTTAAACTACAACACACATTCCGTGTTTGTGAGAACGAAAGTATCTTTACATTGAACATGTTGATGGATTTGACTTTTCTATCCGATTAGTCTTTCGAGGTGCATGGTCTCCTAGTTATTATTGTTCATGTTATGCATACAAGGCGGTTGCTTTCATGTAATCATTTCCTTGTGTGTTTGAAAATCATGTTTTGCTGATATTATAAATGTTTTGAAGGCTTATGGAGACTCAACTAAAGAAAGAAAACGTGCCCAAATTGCTCAAGGTTAGCCATTTCTTCTTTTTTTTCTAAGAGAACATCATATCTTCACTTATGTACTTAACGTTTACTAATTAGTTTTTCTCCTAATCTGTTAGCTGTGGCTGCCGAAGTTACTGTGGTACCACCTTCACGGTTAATGGCTTTGGTAGGCCAGGCTCTAAAATGGCAACAACATCAAGGTGAGCATCTAAGGAACTGTTTCTATTTTTTTTGTCAACGTTTTTTAATGTATCAATGGAATCAACATATGAACTCTCATTCGTCTTTTAATAATTTACATACACTTGTGTGTTTGTGTCAGGCCTGCTCCCTCCAGGAACTCAGTTTGACCTCTTTCGTGGAACAGCAGCTATGAAACAGGATGTAGAAGACACATATCCTACTGTTCTTAATCATACGATAAAGGTTCATATTCATCACATCAACTTGCTTGTTTAGCTTAGTGGCCTATAACCTATCATTCATAAGTTGATTTGGCTTTACTCGCCAGTTAAGTTCTTTTCTAATTTGCACATCTCGTTCCTTGTGCCGGTGCAGTTTGGTACAAAGAGTCATGCCGAATGCGCTAGGTTTTCACCAGATGGACAGTTTCTTGTATCCAGTTCTGTTGATGGTTTTATCGAGGTGAGTTGATGTTGAATCTGTCTGTATGAATATATATCTTAAAAGTCTTAAGAGACTCATCTTGTGATCAGGATTGCTCAGACTTGAAAAAACATTACAGGTATGGGATTACATTAGTGGGAAGCTGAAGAAGGATTTGCAATATCAAGCTGATGTAAGCTCTCGTGTCCACTTTTCACTTTTTATCCTAAGTTGTAACTTCTAAGTCACTCATATGAGCTTATTAGTGCATTTGAAACGAATGAAAAAATCATTGCTACATATGATTGTTGAATGGGTGAAAAGTCATTGAGAATGATACGGTGGATTACTTTTTGTTTTAGTTCCAAAAATGTTCGCCCACAAAATTCCTGGATATAAAGTAGTCATTCCATCCTCATTGCTTATAATGATTACTTTGACAGGAAACTTTCATGATGCATGAGGATCCTGTCCTCTGTATAGACTTTAGCAGAGATTCAGAGGTGCTTGCATCTGGGTCACAAGATGGAAAGATTAAGGTCAGTTCCAGCTGCAAATGTTTTCTTGAAGTTCAGTTTTCATGCCAGGGATCTCTTTCCTCATTATAGTGTTTTCTGTCTACAGACAGACTATTACAGCAGCTTAGTATATATTTCTTCTTCTATTTGATTGGTCCCATATGCATGTCACTTTTACAGGTCTGGCGTATAAGGACTGGTCTATGCTTTCGTCGTCTTGAGCGTGCACATTCCCAAGGAGTTACAAGTCTTTCCTTCTCTCGGGACGGAAGCCAGTTACTGAGTACCTCCTTCGACAGCACTGCAAGGTATTAATAGTTATATCTTTTTCTGTTGCGTTTGCAACATAAACTTTTCCTTTCATCTGGTAGTTATGCTAGTACTAGATACTGGTTTGTAGAGCATCTGATTGAGTGTAATATCAAATTCATATTTTATGCAGAATCCATGGTTTGAAATCTGGGAAACTGTTGAAAGAATTCCGCGGACATACCTCTTATGTAAATAATGCCATCTTTACAAGTGATGGAAGCCGTGTAATCACTGCCTCCAGTGATTGCACAGTGAAGGTACATTGTTTCCGTATATTCATGGGTTTTGGCTGTCTACTGTGGGCAGTATCAGTGTTTACCATTTAGACTCTGCCTTCTCCTGTGTAACAGTCTTGTTTCCTTGCACAGGTCTGGGATTCAAAGACGACAGATTGTCTACAAACATTCAAGCCACCACCTCCATTAAGGGTATCTTTCCTCTTACAGATTCATGTTATGCTCTTTCTTATCTTCTGTGACTAAGTCAGCTCTTTTGTTTCCAAAACTGTAATATGAAATCTAGGGAGGTGAGGCCTCAGTCAATTCTGTTCATCTGTTCCCCAAAAACACAGAACACATTGTTGTGTGCAACAAGACATCATCTGTATACATCATGACTCTCCAGGGACAGGTGAATTCCAGCACTAGTCTACTGCAAAACCAGTTTAATCTGTCATGGCAAAATCTTAAGTCAGTTCACACTTGAAAATCCTTTTGCAGGTTGTGAAGAGTTTCTCAACCGGTAAGAAAGAAGGAGGAGATTTTGTAGCAGCGTGTGTATCCACAAAAGGAGATTGGATATACTGCATCGGTGAAGACAAGTATTACTTTAACCTCTTATCAATTTTCTTTTGTGGTTTCATCCTCTGCTTTTGGATGCTCCTAACACTTGGTCTCCACTAACCTACAGGAAATTGTACTGCTTCAGCTATCAAACCGGTGGACTTGAGCACTTTATGACGGTAAGTTTATAAAACCAATAGATTCTAAGTGGTTGTTGAAATCTGAATGTTGTTGCATTTGACCCTTTGTGTTTTGTGCGTGTAAGATACAATATTTTCTGCATTTTAGATTTCAGATTGTCATCCAAAGTCTCTCTTGATTCTGATAAGTGTATGCTTATGACAGGTGCATGAGAAGGATGTGATAGGCGTAACACACCACCCACATAGAAACCTCCTCGCTACATATAGTGAAGATTGTACCATGAAGTTGTGGAAGCCCTGAGTTAATCTTTTTTTTTTTGTATGATTAAATATCTGACATTTTTTTATTTGCAACTGAAACTGCATCAAGAGACTTGTTGCTCTCAGGGTATAACTAGTGTAAGTTTGATACAAATATGAAACTAGGGATTTCTGAATGATTTTGGGAATTTTAGGTCTCAATATTTTGATAGGTTATCAAGGTTCAATCTCAGAATCAAAGTAGAGAGATTGGAGCCTTTTAATATTCAAGTCAAGACCCAATAAGGAAATATTCAAAGATAAAGCAAATCCCAAAAAATAAGGAAAGAGAGGAAGATAGATACGAAGTTTTCATATTGCAAAAAGGAATTGTATGTACAAGGAACCAACCTCTTTGTGTGTACAAAGAGAGAACAAAGGGCACAGTACGCTTAAAGCTCCATAACCAGATCAAGAGCCTGTAGAAACAACCATGGCCTCTGTAACGTGTCTGCCAAGTGAGCTTGTTATGGAGATTATGTCCCGAGTTCCAGGAAAATCCGTAGCGAGATTCCGATCAGTGTCAAAGCAGTTTAGGTCTATCCTCTCTGATTCTTGTTTGCTCCGCCTCCACCACAAGCGTTCACGTGATTCCCTTTTCACTCTCAGGGCACTCAAGGTCAAGGAAGTACGTGGTCGATTTGGTTACTATTGCTCTGTGAGCAACAAGGCCAATGGCCTCGTCCACGAGTTCAAGTTAAACTTGTACAGCCCTCGTGTCAGAATGTTAACTTGTTACCACCAGCTCTTATGCTTTACTTGTGAAACTGACATTTATCTTTGCGACCCCTTGAACAAGGAGTTGAAGAAACTACCCGGCTCCACTGTCTCTAAACGGTGCTTTGACGAATCCAAAGACAATGAATGTCTCGTCTCCTTTGGCTTTGTCGACGGCGCTAAGAAGCAATACAAAGTCGTCAAGTGGCCTCGCGACTTGGACGAGAACCGTACAAGAAGGTTGCCAAGTGGCCTCATCACGACTTGGAAGAAATTCGATCTCATGTTTGAGATATTGAACGTCAACATTCTGGAACATGGTCGGCTTAAAGTATCCGGTTGGAGCAGGCATAGCAGACCATGTCCCTATCTGCTACAACTCTCTTCTCAGGTTCACGTCAATGGAGTTATCTACTGGACCACTAGTGATTTTCAGATTGTTTCCTTCTCTCTAGAAGACGAGACTTTCTCAACCCTAGACGCTAAACCTCCGTGCTTCCGTGGACCACAAGAAACACGGTCTTTCACGTTATCTGGAACCCACGGAAGCTTATGGATGATAGACTATAGCGTCCCGTCTCTAATCATGGAGGTTTGGAAGATGGAAGATAGTGGTTGGGCCAGGATTCATGTGATCGACCTCGGAGGAAGCCATCATCTAGCAGACAAAGACTTAGGGAAAGTGGAGTGCTAGATATTGGGTCAGACCAAGTCTTGTTCAAGCTATTCTTCCCCGTACACCCGGGGGCGGTTGATATACTGTTATGACGCCAAGACAAACACCCTCGAGAACTACGGGAGTGAGTCTTACGACTTTCAGCTATGTCACTCCATCGATGGACTCTTGTCTCTACACGACATTGATATGTCTGATTCTTTTCCAGTTTCTTTTGGGTCTTTCTCGGACACACAGATCCGTAAGAAATTATCTCTATTAACGCTTGGTAGAAAATCTTAGGAAAGTTCAAAACATATATCAAAAATCTTAGGAAAGTTCAAAACATATATCAAACTTATGTTTTTTTTTTGTTTTTAATTACCATTGTTGATGAGTTTAATTTATCTTACATTTAAAGGTTTTCAATTATGAGTTTATTTGATGACTTTAATTATCACTAGGAATATTACAAGAACTTGAAACTGGAACAAGATAAAAAGTATGATTCTCTTAATATGATGAATTACTCACAAGTTAATTTACAAAAGATACACTGACTGCTTTCCCTGGAGAACATTACAACGGGAAAAAAGCAGAGTGCCTGGCAAATTATTCAAAAGAAGAAAAAAAACTGTTTCTCTCAACAAAATCTAAGAACATAAGAAAAGGAAGAATGAAAATCAGCAAGATACAATGTAAATGTACTAGCCACACTATTGCCATGTACCTTTGAACCTGCAACAACACAACAGTTCAAAAAAGATAAGCCAATACCCAAAATTTTATAAACTAAGAGACATAAATATATTAAGATGGTGCGTTGTGAGACTTACCATGTAAACTCCCAACAAAACTGTTAAGAAACTAAGCTCCAAACCATGAGTAATCTTCATCAAATGCACCATACGAATCAAACCCAGAGTAAAAGGTGTTACTATCAAACGCCAAGTCATCAAACGGGGAGAGAATGCTACTGTCCAAGAGCTTCTCTTGTTCACTCTGAAAATGAGAAGGCAAACCAGTCGTCGTCCCTGCAACACCATCTTCGTTTCCATGGGGTTGAAGCACTCCTCCTGGATCCTCAAATCCGTTGCTGTGAGGTGGTGGTGCTTGCGCATTATTGATAATGCCATCTTCCTCATTATGCACAAACACTGCAGAGGGATTATAGAAGTTATAACCTGACCCAAACTGCAGCTCTTGGTTATGGTTTGGTCCGTAAAGCATTGGCCTTTCGTCTAGAGGCATCACAGCTTGTCCATTGACAGGTGGAAGGTAGCCATAGCTGTTGTTATCAAACTCAGGAACCACAAACTCCAGACCATTCTCCTCTGGTGGTCCTAAGGCAATGTTTTGGTCCAAAACATCTTCCACATGATTATTACCGTTGATGTTGTATTCAATCATAGGTACATCAACATGATTCATATCAGGTAAAACATTCCTCTGCTCAGCTTGTGCTTGCTCCTCCTCCTCCTGTCTATTAACAGCTCCGGATTTGATTCTAAGTCTTTTCCTCCTCCGGTGCTTCTCTGCTTTATCTTGTTCCCTCACTGTTAGTTGTTGTTCTTTTCTTCTTCTATTGTCTTTAGATGAAACTGAACCTGAAGCATCCTCTGTCGTCCCATCAACATCATAGTCACTATCACTGTTGACCACAGTCTTCCTCCTATCAGCATTGTTCCCTCTCCGATGCGTCTCGGTTACATTAGACGTCCCATTGTCACTACTAGGCTGCTGGATAAGAGACTCCTCCTGGTTCAAAACCGCCAACCAAATCGCGCTCTCTTTCGCAGTCATCTTGTCCTGCAAACACTTGGACTGCCTCACATGCCTCTTGATCTTCGCAATATCAGGCGACATGTGGTTAATCACAGCCGTCAAAACCCCAACTTTCCACATCTTCTTGAGATCATGAGGCTTCCTATAAGGAGGGCTCTGGCTTTCCGGCAAACCGAGTCTCACCCACCACTCTTCGTTCCCCGTTGGCCACCAAGGCGGTGGAGTCCCTTTCTCCAACGGATACTTCCTCTGCGGAGGATCACAATGCTGCATCAAAGAAGACAACAAAGACCCTAAAGTAGCATCTTGCAAGTCTTGCAAAACAAACTGAGAGTTTCTATTCCCATCTGACTTCCCAAACGCTAAACACTCTTCCTCATACTTCGCAATCGCAGCTGGACCGTTCTTGTCGAACTTCACCTTCTCCTTCCACCAAGCTCTTACATTGTCAGACGAACCGCTCACCGGCTTCCCTTTCTCCGGTATGATACCGTACACAAAGCCTCGGACTTTGCAGACTTCCATCAGCTTCAACATGTATTTGAGTATACCATCTTGAGCTCTTGACATCTTCTTCCTCTGTGCTTGTTCAGAGATTGTCTTAGGCGTCTCCTTCGTTAGAGCTAACTGAGAAGCTCCTTTTTGTCTCTCTTTCATTCTTTTGAGCCTCACACGATCTTTCCACATCCGTCTCTCTAAATCCTCTGCTTCGATCTCTTCGTCACTCACATCGATCTCCACCACATTATCACTAGCCAAGTCTTCAGGCTCATTCTCCATCCTACACCAATACATTCACAATACTCAAGCCAATCAATTTACATCAAAAAAACTTTAACTTTGAGCAACATAAACAATACATCATCGTCTTCTTCTCTTAGGAGATTAAAGGAACCACTTTTGCTGTGAAAAGTATTTCAATTTACAGGAAAAAACGATCTGGGCAATTCAATTTTTCATTGATCCGTCAATTTCGATTGAGATTGAAGATAAGGCCGTCATGTAAAACTCAATTCAATGCAAAATCAATCTCTGCGGATTGAAAGTTGAAAGCTTGTGGGGATTCTGTTATCAGTTCGAATCAATCTCAAATTAAAAACCTCTAAATTTCCTAAATTCACAGCATGGAATCGGAAAATTTGCAAAATCAATGAAATTAAATCCAATAATCCTCACCTGATGTCTGCTACGACGGCCAAGGCAAGATCGCCCATATGAACAAATCTATTCGAAAATGATCAAATCCTTTCAGAAAAATGAAGAGATTTAGGGTTTTCTCTCCTGAGGTTTGATGTGGGAAGAGCGAATTGAGAAGAGGCAACGATTAGGGGCTGGGGGACCAAAGTATTGTGGCAAAAACCCAAAGGCCAGATTTGTTATTATTATTTGTTTTTTTTTTTTTTAATTTCGTAACCAGATTTGTTTTACGTTTTTGTTGCGAAACTCAAGTTGTTCTTCTTCTGTTCTGTTATAATTGTAAAATATTTTCTTACTTTATCTAGCTCTTGTTTTTGTCTGCCAACAATTTCTCTTTTTATTGCAAAGAATATTCTTCTGATTTTTTTACCCGAAATAATCGGTGGACTTAAGACAGACACTCATGACTTTGACTGACAAATATAGGTAGAACATTTAAAAGAAAGATATATGCGTGGATCGTAATGTAATTATCTACTTTTTTGGGTTTTATTGTGTTATAGAATTTTCTTAAAATGGGCGCTTTCAGCAAAACTACATTGTTCTTGGTAATGCATGTGACACTAGTGATGAATTAGCAAGTTTCAGGATCACTGGGACCAGTTTTGCATTTAAGACCACAAAGACCTACCTACATACCACAACATGATTTTCGCATGGTGCAAAATCACGTTATGCGGAAGAATAAAACAAGTGCTTCAAGTCCTGTACGGCGTCCATTGTATATTGATTTATTAATAGTGTAGATACATCTCATCTAGTCATTCGTAGATCAAAGAGGTTATCTTCCTACTAAATTCAGCATAATATGCGGTTGGTACGTGCTTCGATACAATAAAATTAAATTAATGAAGCGTATAAACAAAGAAACAAAAAGGACCCAAAGCCTATTTGGCTTCTCAGTGGAAAGAGTCACAGAGATAGATAGAACCTATCAACCTAGTTAGTTCTGAACTTCCGATGAGATTGAGATTGAGTTAGAGTTAAAGCACTTGTTTTTTTTTTGGAGAACATGATTTTTTAGAACGAAAATAGTTGGACAGGTTTTACCTTTACCAAACAAAAACAAATTTAGTTGGACAGATCGAAATTGATGATATATGTCACATACATTATTATAAGTTTCTCAAACCTTGGAGCCGTCTATTTCATTCGTTTAATAAAAGAAACAGAAATTGGTCTTCTTTAAACAAATCAGCAAGGAATAATAAAATAGATGATATACATATGGGAAATTGTAATGTATAGCCTTGGATAATACATTAATTAAGTGATCAAAAAGTTGTTGTTCTGACATTAACTAGTCATTAATAAAAATCCATTTTACTCTTGTATTTTCAATCTAATTACAGTATTCTTTCTCTCTCATCACACAATACTCCGGCGAAAGAAAATAAAAGCCGATGGTAACTCTAACAACATTACTCTTGTATTTTCAATCTAATTACAGTATTCTTTCTCTCTCATCACACAATACTCCGGCGAAAGAAAATAAAAGCCGATGGTAACTCTAACAACAGATGATAACAATATTGTTAGCAACGGTAATTCTAGTGTTGGTTATGTTATTATCAAAATAACTTATAAAGTTAACTTATAATGACAATATTAGTACTGTTATCATGCTAATTTCTAATTTTGATTGGTAAATATATGTTTATGTTAGACGTTAACATGAGTATTATAGGTATATTTATATTAGTTAACATGATAATCAAATAGTTATCATGGTATTATAATAGTTACCATGGTAACTAGATAGTTATCTCGATATCATATTAGTTAACATGGTAATCGAATAGTTATCTCGATATCATATTAGTTAGCATGATAATTAAATAGTTATTTTGAGTTTTCAGGCCATAAACAGTATAATCAGTTTGTATTTGATGAACAGTGTTTCCGATATATAACATCAGAAAACAAGTTTTAGATCAATGGTATTACATGTAAATAAATTAAAATTAAAGGATATTTTGGGTGTAAACAATAAATCATCTCTCCTCAAAAACTAATTATCTATTAATCTCTCCAAATTTTTAATTATCAAATTATTGGAGGATATTGGCTAAATTCACCCTATACATATTTGGTCTTAATCTACATATTCACCTTTAACAATTGAATTTGATCATCCCTCAATAGTTTTTGTTATATTTTCCCATTTTTTATCATTTTTTTTTTCCTTTTCCCCTTATTTCTTAATTTTGACTTTTGACTTCCGATGTAAGTATTAGAAGCTTAATATTCGCTCTATTCTATATTATAAGTAGTTTTAACATAATGTATCTATAATTTTTTTATGTATCTGGATGGAAAATTACAAATATATTATATCAAAACTTTTTATAATATGAGACAGATGGAATAATTGAATAAAAGTGGTTTAGTTTAGAGTAACTAACAGCATATATTAATAGCAATATTTCCCTCGTGGCAACAAAGAAAGTACAAAGAAGTTGACTTTTCTATCGCGACAAACTTTGACTATACCGACAAGAAAAAACTTTAAGATAGATGATCTTCAGTTCTACACTAAGATCGCGTCTCCGATCATCTTCTTCAAATTTAATTAGTTATTTTGATTCTTACTAAGATCGCGTCTCCGATCATCTTCTTCCTCACTACACTACTGATTCTTTCTCGTTGCATTTCTCACCCATTCCAAGCTTCTCGGGACATTTAAATTCATTTCATTTATTCTTCGAATTATTCAGCATCGTCTTCTACCCAAATGTCGCAGTGACATTTTGACTTCGAAGCTTCTCCCTTTTGTCTCTTCCAGCTTCGTCTCGTGATATCTCCCATGGCGATCACAACCTTTCTCTCTCAAAGTTTACCATTTTACCCTTCAACCAAACTCGTTCCGAGTCGACTCACTCTTTCCTCCTCCTCTTCCTCCGTTTGCTGTCTCTCACTACAACCCCGAAAAAACCATCCTTCTACCGCCTCCGCCGCAGAGAACGACGAAACTTCCGCCTTACGAGTCGTCATGTCCGCCGGAGGCACCGCCGGACACATCTCTTCGGCTCTCGCGATCGGAGACGAGCTGAAATCCGCCGACCCACTCACTCAGATCCTCTTCATCGGATTCCCAAACAGCATGGAGAGCACGACGGTCCCATCCGCCGGATTCGACTTCTCCGCGATCTCCACCGTCGGATCATCATCCTCCCGGCCATTCATCTACTTCACCTCCTTCCTCCGTTTCCCTCTCCGCCTGATCCAATCAACCTTCGAGTCCTACAAACTCCTCCGCGAATTCAAACCCCAGATCGTCGTCGGCACCGGAGGACACGCCTCCTTCCCGGTCTGCTTCGCCGCCGTGATCATGGGCCTCAAACTCGTGATCCAGGAACAAGACTCCATCCCCGGAACAACCAACTGGATCCTCTCCTTCTTCGCCGACACGATCTTCGCTCCTTTCAACTCCATCGTCGCAAATCTCCCGAAACGAGCCGCCGCCAAGTGCGTCGTCTACGGGAACCCGATAAGACAAGCGCTTAAACGGTACGCCTCGAAAGGAGCGTCGCGTGTGAGCTTCTTCGGACAGTGTGCGGGAGCTGTGTCGGAAGCGAGAGTTGTCCTTGTCCTCGGTGGGTCTTTGGGAGCAAACGCCATCAACATAGCTCTGCTTAACTGTTACTCGGAGATGTTGTCTGAACACGAGAACTGGTTCTTCGTTTGGCAAACTGGTGTTGAAGCTTTTGATGAAATGGATAGTCTCGTTCGAAGCCATCCTCGTCTCTTTCTATCTCCGTGAGTAGAAGAAATTGCACAACATTTATATCAAAAACTGTTAAAAGTAATTATTAATCTCAAAATGTGATTTTTTTTGGTATTAAGGTTCTTGCGATCGATATGTGTGGCTTATGCGGCTGCAGATTTGGTTGTATCGAGAGCTGGTGCAATGACTTGCTCGGAGATCATGGCGTTAGGCAAACCTTCTATTTTGGTATGTTTATTTAACTATTTAATCTTAATTTCATAGGATTTGTTAGACCTTAAATGTTGTTATTTCTTTTGGTTTGTGTTTGTTAGATACCATCACCACATAGTAGTGAAGGGGATCAAGTGAGGACAGCTTCTTTAATGGCGGACATTGTTGGATCAAAGGTGATAACAGAGGAGGAGCTAGATTCGATCACTCTTCGAGCTGCCATTGAAGATATTATAGGTAAGTGAAACTCCGCAAAGCAGTGAACAATCTCATCTTCTTCCTTCTCTTATTGTCTTATTGAGTTGGTTACGAATGATAGGGAATGAAGAATTGATGAGAGAAATGAGCGAGAGGGCGATTAATGCTGCGAAGCCTGACGCTGCATCAGATGTCGCTAAACACATTATTTCTATTGTCAAATCATAAGTAAGTTAGATTCTTTATCTTATGTGCAAAAACTCTTTTCTCCCTCTGAAGTAAGAAAAGTTAGAGTGTTAGAGATTACAGAAGTATTGTGAAACAAAATATGTGTAAGATTTTGAAGAATTATTGTTCGATTTGTATTGAGCAATTTTGTAGAGCTTCTGAATCTTGCAATAGAGAGAGACAAAAAAAAAATCCAAAACTTGGATGGCTTTTTTGCAAATATGTCCTTTTAAGGATCTCAGAAAATAGTTGCGTTTCTTCTTATTATTCTTATCTTTACTTGTTGTCTGAATCAAAACTTGTCCTTTGTACTTTTCTGTTTCTTATCCGAATGGTGGGTCAGTCATTACTTGCCAACTAACTGACTGAAAAAAGCCTTCTCTATGGCTCAGATTCAGAGTGTCTCGTTTTAGTTCGCACGTGCGTGTATATGTATGTAAATGAAGTTGAGCAATATTCAATTTTGACCACAATTTACCGATTTCGTGGACAGTAATACATAACACTTTGAAAACAAACAACAAAAATATTGTTTTTTAGATTTTGCATGTACTTTGTAATAATTTCGTTGTAATCTCATCGATTATATTCGAATGAGTATGGTGTTAGATTTGATTAACCCAGTGTGACTCGTCAAAGATAATTAATTGATGAATAAAAACAGCACCGGCTTTATCCTTTTCTTTTCTCGTCCCCGAGTTTATCTACTTTCACCAGTTTAGTCATTTTTTTATATTTTGTGACATAATTTTGTAATTGAAAATCATAACCACAAAAATTAGAAACAGAAACAGAGCAGAAAGCGACCGAGTGAGATCCTCCACGTCTCTACTCTATATGTAATTATATAACCGATGCTCTGCTCCGGAGATGCGGTTGGACTATCGGTGGTGATTCGCAGTAGTTATGGATGCTCTCCGATTCCAGCTAAGCTCGGCTTCCCTCACTTCCGCCGTCGCCGCCTCTTCTTTACCAAAAAGTCACTCTCGGCATTTCTTCCCCTCGGTGAAACTCGGCCGAGCCAACTCATCTCCGCCGATCGGAGCTGTCTCGAAGACGGCGGCGAATGAAATCTGCACGGCGGACGAACTCCACTACGTTCCTGTTCCCAACTCCGATTGGCGCGCCGCCCTCTGGCGATATCTTCCTTCCCCAAAAGTACCACTATATACGCATATATATGTATTTATATATTGTATTTTCATGTAACTCATGTTTATACACTTACAGGCACCTAAGAGGAAACATCCTCTGCTCCTATTGTCTGGGATTGCCACCAATGCTTTTGCATACGATCTTTCCCCTGAGGTAATTTGATTTTTCTTAAAAAATGATTTCTGATTATAGTGGAAGCTTGACAACTAGTTGTGATTTGGTGGTGTATCTTGAAATGGTTTCTTGTAACACAAGTCTCTCTATATGGAAGCTAAACACTTGTGTGTGTGTGTGTGTGTGTGTGTGTGTGTCATTTTTCATGTTAGGAGTCTTCCTTTGCATGATTCATGTATGGTTCAAGATTTGATACATGGTTTAACATATGCACTTCTTGACTACTGATTTTTGATTTTGTGGTGTATCTTGAAATGGATTCTTGTAACACAAGCCTCATTTGGAAGCTAAACACTTTTTGTGTGTGTGTGTGTGTGTGTTTTGTCATTTTTTATCTATGCAGTCTTCCTTTGCAAGATTCATGGCTGGTTCAGGATTTGATACATGGATTCTTGAGCTCCGTGGAGCCGGATTGAGTTCTCTAAGTATTGATACAGATCTTGGTAAAAGGAATGATACAATTGTCTTATGAGTTGCTTATGTGTGTACATGTTAATCTACTTTCTGACAAACCATGTTTGTTGATGAAAAGAGAATCCGAGAAGAACAGAATCTAGCAATGACAAGCAGAGGATAGTCTCACATCTATTGGATAATCTCATAAACGTATCTGAGAGTCTGGAAAATGTTCTTGATGGAGGTTGATTCATTACCTCTCTCTCTCTCTGTTTTATGATTTGTTCTGTTGGAACCACATAATCTTTGTCTGGTTACTGAATAAGAACATGCAGGTTTTAAGATCCTTGGGGTGCAAGACCGTCTCTCAAAAAAAGTAGAAGATTTCAAGCAACGGCTTGAACTTATCCCTCGTTACAATTGGGATTTCGATAACTATCTGGAAGAAGATATTCCTTCTGCGGTGAGGTGACACTTCTTGTTTATTGCTTCTGTATAACTGAAACTTTCACTTTGTTGGTTATATCTAAATATATGAAAAATGTTGATCTCAGATGGAGTATGTGAGGGCTCAAAGCAAGCCTAAAGATGGGAAATTACTAGCAATCGGTCACTCAATGGGTGGTATCTTGTTATATGCCATGCTCTCAACATGTGGTAATTTACTCTTACACATTACACAGTCTCATATTTTCTCTTACACAGTCTCATAATCAGATTTTGGCTCATACATGTTTCTTCACTAGGCTTTAAAGGAATAGATTCAGGATTAGCTTCTGTCACCACAATGGCATCAACATTGGACTATTCATCCTCAGGAACACTCCTCAAATACATATTACCAGTGGCAAGTAACTTCAAAACCAATCACTCTCTAAAATGGTAAAAAAAAAAAAAACATGACTGAAAAAGTGATCTTAAATGTCATTTTGTTTCAGAAAGGGCCTGCACAAGCCCTTAACGTGCCTGTCATACCGATCGATACATTGCTAGCGATGGCTCACCCTCTAATGTGCCGTCCTCCATATCCACTGTCCTGGTTAACCACTAATATCTCTGCTCCTCAAATGATGGACCCTGAAGTGATTGAGAAGCTTGTTCTCAACAGCTTATGTAATCACAATACTTTGACATTTTCTCTAAGTTTCTACACATTTTTCATTACAAGGCATAGGCCTGACAGATAATAACGTTCTTGAAACAGGCACTGTACCGGTTAAGCTCCTCTTGCAGCTAACAACATCCGTGGGACAAGGTGGTTTACGTGACAGAACCGGTACTTGCTGTTACAAAGACCATATCGGAAAAACCAATGTCCCGGTCTTGGCTCTTGCAGGGGACTGGGACATAATCTGCCCTCCTGATGCCGTATACGGTAGTGTTACTCTACAACATCATAACCGTGAATTGAAGATTGCTTTCTCTTGATTGATGTAATCGTTAACTGGTGTGTAATGGTGTTTGATCTGATGAACAGATACTGTAAAGCTGATACCAGAACATCTAGCCACTTTCAAGGTTTTAGGATCACCCGGAGGTCCACATTATGGCCATCAGGATATGATTTCTGGTCGAACGGTATGTATATATATGATCAATTTCTCTTCTCTTCTTTCTTTTTTTTTTGTTACTTTTATGTTTTGGATTATATTCACTCTTTCATTCTCATCACAGGCCCGGAGAGAAATATATCCATTGATTATTCGTTTTCTTCAGCGCCATGATGAGTGTTAAAGATAAAAGATCAGCAAAAAAAATTCAAATGGATATTGATTCTTGTTTCTGTAAAAGAAAAGAACAAAAGGTACATACATACATTCATGTATAGACAACTCAAAAGCAGTGTAGCAAAAATTTGAAGGCAACAACATATTTCATATTGAAGATCTTAGTTAGTATATTATGTGAAGATATGATGTTGCTTGCACGTAACAGTTTCATCATTTTCATGTGATCTAAATAATGTTAGATCCACCTAACATTTTTTTTGTAGTTGACGACCTAATAATCACCTAAAAAAATCACACGCAATGTGGGGTTCACAATGTCTCAAGAGACTTTTCTCATAGGTAAAGATTAAGAAGGTTGTTTTCAGAAATAAAAAATAGCAATCATGAATAAAAAAGCCTAAAGAAACTAACATAAAAAAAAAAAAAAGAGGTTGGGTCCAATCCCGAAATCAAGAATCATCATCAAAGGAGTAGATTGATCTATCTAATCTAAGCCTTAGAGAACGGCATCGTTTTACAGACCGGACAAGAGTTCTTCCTCAACAGCCATTGTTTCACACAGTGGATATGGAACCTGTGCCCACATTTTAATTTCCCAACCTGATCCTTTGCCTCATATTCTTCCTGTCAGCAGCAAACACAAAGAACACTCTTAATGAACAATCTGTTTTTTCTCACCAATCTAAGCAATGAAACCACATTTGGTTGGACTTACTTGACAGATGACGCACTTTCTATCTCCAAGTGGTGTGTTTTTAGTGAATGGTTTCATTCTCCGGAGACAGATTTTGATCTGATCTTCTTTCAATCCAGTGTTGACATACCCAATTCTATCACCAAGCTCCAAAAGTTGCTGTTTTTCATACCACAAAACAAACACAAAACACATCAGAGAGCTCTCACTTATGATACTTTCTGAGAAAGGCACACAAACCTCATATGTCATGTTATCAACATTGAGCCTCAAGTCACGGAATTGATCGTAGGAGCTAAACATCCCTCCCATTACAAAACCATTCTGTAGCATCATCATCTACAAAAGGAAAAAAATCATCCACATGAAAAAAACACTGCAACAACACAATCTCCATTACTTTAACACACTTACCTCGGAGAGTCCATCAGGGTAAGGTTGCTGTCGTAGATGTCGATGGTATCTTTCAGAGAACAGCGTCTGTTCAGCCCGCGAATCAGACTCGAAGTAAGGATTTGATTCTTGATTCAGAGATCGCCTGGGAAGAACAGTAGAGCCCTGTAATGAATGTAACAGTTGAAGTTTAAGACTTTTGATTCAAAATCAAATATGATCACTTGAAACTACTACAGAACACTCAAAATCCACCAATCAATGTCCTCTGAAGAATAAATAACGAGGAAACCTAAAGTTGTTATAGATAGGAGCAAAGTGATAAACCTAAATCAATAAGGAAAATCCCTAATTCTAACGACTGGATAAAGGCAAATCATATATCTTCTAAAGATATTATAAAACTAGCAAATCACAACACACAAAAAAACTATATCTTTTATATTTTCTCTGGAATATCTCAATCATCCCCGGAATATTCAAAACTCAAATTAACACGCAACGAATAATAAAAATGGAAACTTTATCATCTGTAACTGTAAATGTACCTCTCTCTGATTAGAGTTGTTACTATTGTTCTTATCTCCATCGATTTTGCGTCTCGCCGGAATATTCCTTCTCGGAGGATCCGACTCAACGGGGTTGTCAATCGAGCCGCCGCCGATGACCGCATCCGTCGAAAACCCAACTCCGGGACCGCACCAAACATCGGGAATCGCAGCGCAAGCTCCGACGCTTCTATCAGCCTCGCTCAAGATCTTAATCGAACCGCCATTGTAGCTATTACTAACTTTGCTCTTGCTCTTCGCCTTCTTCGTCTTCTTGGTTTTGGAATTTCCGGCATCCCAATCGGCGGAGGAGCGAATCACCGCCGGGACGGAAACCTGCTGAGACGCGGAGGCTGTGCAGCCGAGGGAGAAGACGTTGGGTTTCTTCCTTGTGGTTTCATTTGACGATGATGATGATGATGGTAGGAGGAAGAAGGAAGACATGGCGGATTTAGAGATGCGGCTAGGTTTTGGAATCAGGGGGTTGTTGTCGTCGGCGGAGGCAAATGGTGGGAGATTCCTGGGTCTTTGTCTGATTTGCTGACCGATTGTTGTCGTCGAAGAAGACGAAGGCTCTGCAGAAACAGGCATTGTCTTGTCTTGTCCTCTCTCCGAGAGAAAAGTAAGAGATAGAGAGAGAGAGAGAGAAGGAGAAGAGATAATGGAGAGGTGGAGAAAGAGACACAGCGCGGGGAAGATGGGAGTGAGGGACTTTTCAGTTGGTTTAGTGTGAAAAGTGAAAACTAATTGACGTCTTAATTAATTAATTACATCCTTAATTAAACATAATACGCTTTTGTCATTTATTTTGGTTTGTGTTTGAAGTCTACAAGTAACCGAATAAGATATTTTTGTTCTGTCACATGCAAAAGTACTGTATTAGTAGCATATGTGTGTGGTTACTGGTTACTGGTTACTGGTTAGTAATACTTTAGGCTTTAGAGTTTAGCAAATTAGCACTGTTTGTATGTTTGAAATTTTGATGTACGTGAGGGTCAAATGGGTATTTGACTGTTCACTCGATAGATTCCCATAAGCTTTTTGGATATTTTTTTGTTTAACTTCCAATCAAAGCATCAATATTTGACTTGATTTAAATAACAAATTTATAGTGAGTCCATAACCAAAAACAAAAGGTAGAGGAAGAAATTTTATTGTCTTTTGCTTGTATGAACAGAAAAGGTCTCTCATGTCACTTTTACTTTCTTTCTTTTTTCTTTTTTTATCTTTGTCAGAGGTATTTCAAATTTTAATTTATTCGAGGTAAGAAAGACAAGAAACAGTAGAGGTTCACACAACTCATAAGTCACAATTCACATATCACAAGTCAATAAGTACATTTTGGTTTATATACTACCACAAAATTACAAGTCTCCTGTATTTTTAAGTATAATCTACCACATGCGTAAACACAACTATCGAAAGAATATTTGGTCGAGGGAAAATAAGATAGTGATAAATCGCCAAGAGTGTTAGGTGTGTCACATGAGTGATGAGTCCACACCAGAATCCGAAAGTCTCCACTACCTTATTATCATCTGAGCAATACCCAAAAACTATGATTTGCTTTTCTGTCGACTAGTTATAGACTTATAGGCGTGATTTCATGTATTTGTTGTGGAAAAATATTTTAGTTTTAATGAAAAACTAAATTTTATTTCAAAGTTACAACTCTTTTATTTGGCGATTGATTTTCATACACACTTCTAGAGTGCAATTGCGAAGAAAAGAGTGATAAGTTTGGGCTGGGCCAGAGTGGGCTGCTTCATATCTTATCTGGTCAATATTCCGGCTCGATCCGGTCACGGATTCAATCAAGCAAACCCGGATACGAATAAAAGAGCGGTTAGCGCTAAAAATCCTATAATTGCCCCCTCTCTCGATTTTCAAACCCAAAATCAAAATCACACAATCCTCTGATAAACCCTAGAATCCTCTCAAGTCGAATCTCCATGAGACGAGTTCTGCAGAGATTTCCCAGCTTAGTGGCTCGAAATTCCCTTAACTCACCCACAAATTTCCGCCTTTTGAACACTAACCATCGTCTTGTTCCTTCCCTCGAACGATGCCGAACGATTTCCCGGTTCGCCTTCTTCTCTTCCGAATCCAACCCGGCGCGTGGTCCGATAAGCGACGAGGTTGTCTCTAAAGAAGGTAACGTTTCTGGAAATCAACTTTCTGTGTTTTAATTCCAGCCGAAATGGGTTTGCTTTGTGAACCAAAATGAAGAATTTTGCAACAATTTGATTACAATGTGATTATAGTTTCACAAGCCCTTTTTTTTTTCTTTCGTTTTGTTTTTTTTTGTTTTTTCCAGAGCTGAAAAAGAGGATAAAGAGATTTTTGGATGATGGAGATGAGGACGCATTGCCGTTTTTGTTTGCGGCGTTGATGGATAGGAAGTTAACGGGGAAGCACGATGAAAGTGACGACGAGGTGATGGAGGAGGTGCGCAAGTATCCAATTAACGATGCTCATCAGGAGGAGGCCCACGTCACTGACTCAGATGTTGAGAGTGATGGCGGCCTGATGAGTGGTGGTGGTTCGTCTGATTCCGATATTGAGAGTGATGATGATGCCCTGAGTGGTACTGATTCGTCTGATTCTGAGATCGAGAGTGATGATGTTCTGACTGATGGTGAGTCGTCTGATTTAGATTTCGGGAGTGATGATGCCCTGAGATATGGTGATTCGTCTGAGTCTGATATGGAGAGTGATGATGGCCTGAGAGATAGTGATTCTTCTGAATCTGACTCTGACAGTGATTAACTTGGTATGTTTTCGATTTCTTGTAATGGAACTGGAGATTATTTGCAAAGAGAACGATTCTTCTGTATTCTTTACTTGTATAAGATTAATCAGATATGCATAGTATAAGAGACGGTTCTTGTTTTGTGTCTTCAAACTTACTATTAGAGACTATTTGATCTGTTAGCTAGTGGTTTCTTTCTTATCTGTATGTTAGAAACAATATGGATTCTATCATTGCCTCCTTCCAACATTGCCTAAGGCTAATCTTTGTTTTGTTGGTCTTTGGTTTACAGACTTAGAGTAGATCTTGGGATTGAAGATTTTGAAAGGAAGCAATTGCAGAGTGAAATGGAAACAAGAACAGCTTTTTTGGTGCAACTTGGTTTTAAGTTCTGACTTTTGAAATGTAACTAGAGATTAGACTCATGTCTTTTGCTTCCACTGTGTTAAAAAACCCTTGGATTATACTACTCTAATGGATTTAAATATACATATATGAAGGTTCGTTTGTTTATTTGTTTAAATTTGTCCAACAAGTTTATTATTATACCTTCAAGGGGGTTTAGCAGAAATCTGAGATCTATGTTAGATGCACATGGTTCTCCCAAATGTGTTTAGTCTTTATATGCTTTGTCTAAAGCATCTTTGAGCTTAAACACAGAGATTATATTATACATCTCGAGATCTCATTTGAGGAACGTGACTCATACAAACGCATCTCCTTCTATATATAGAAGTAGAGAAACCCACTTCAAACTCCATAACCAGAAATCTCCATCTTCTTCTTTTCTCTCTAGAAACTACAAACTTAAAGAGACAATGAAGTTTGGTTGCACAAAACCAGTGTTGTTGACTTGTGCAATCCTTTTGATCCTCGTTGTTGCTCAAGAAAACAGAGTCGCAGCAGCGGTAGCGAAGTGCGATCCAATGCAGCTGTTCCCATGCAAGGACGCCATAAGCTTCGGCATTGCGCCGACCAAGGAGTGTTGTACCAAGGTGGGGCAGCAACAACACTGTGTGTGCCAGTACTTGAAGGACCCTCATTTCAAATCTTTCCTTAACTCACCAAACGCCAAAAAGATCGCCAATGATTGTCATTATCCTTATCCCAAGTGCTAGACTTCTCCTTTTCCCATCTTCGATTCTCTTTTTTTTTCTCTTGCTTTTAATGGATTTGCTTAGCATCTTCTTCAAGTTTTCTACTTTTAGCTTTGGTCATTGTCTTTTGTTGCAAGTGTTTGTCGTCAATGAATAAACTTTCCATGTTCGAATCGAGACAATAGCACCAGAACTGGAATTAACTGTGTTTTGAGACATTACATTACCAAAAATTTGGAATATTTCCATTTAAGACACTGCAAAATTAGTATCCATAAAACCGGACGTAGTCAGAATTAGCCGAGTAATCAATTTAGACACCGGTTAGATATAAACGATTCTGAACCGGCCGATTTGATACGAAGCAGTAAATTTCTCTAACCGGCCCAAATTGTGTGTGTATAACGAAACGCCGTCGTTTACTGTGAAAAGAGTATCTTGCCCATTTCTCGCGTTTCTCATCGTCTTCTTCAAATCGTTCGTTTCTCTCAACTGGCGATCAAGCTCTGAGATCTCAGCTCGTCTCTCTCAGTCTCGACGCCGTTCGTTGTCGCCGTCGTTGAATCGGGTTTGTGGATCTCTCTTCATTTCATTTATTAGCCTTTATTAGGATCTAATTTAGCTCTCCTGAGCTCCGTTCTAATCTTAGGGTTTAACGCAAATCCATTGTCGATCTATACCAAGATATGTAATGTTGTAACTATTAAAAATCGCATCTTTTAGCGAAATTTGAAAAATCCAAATTGTTTTTTTCTCTTGGTAATCAGAGAAATGGATCAGGAAGCAGCTGAAACTGCGAGGGAGTCGCTGGAGCTTGTGTTCCGCATGTCGAACATCTTGGAGACGGGTCTAGATCGACATACCTTGTCCGTTCTCATAGCTCTTTGTGACCTTGGCCTTAACCCTGAGGCTTTAGCTGCTGTCGTCAAGGAGCTTCGACAGGAATCTGGCCACAACCATGGCAGCTCAAGATAAAATTCAAATGTTTTATGGATTTCTATTACGCTTGTTTACTTTCAGATGTGATTAGTTATTACAATTTCAAAAATCTGCCATTGATTGTTCGATTTTGTTCTGCCATTGATGTCTGGAGAAATTAACTGAGTAGTGTTCTTGCGATTTCATTCTCATGGCGCTTTTACTGTTTCTTCTTGTTGCAAATACCGTTTGGAATCAATTAGCAAAAAAAATCGTTTTAGGTAACTTAGTCCACCTAATTTTCATGATTAGCATCTAATTTCGAAACTCAAAACTTTACTTGAGACATCCAATTTCGCCGAAAGTAAACAGAAAAACTCAAATAGATGGCACAATTATCCACAAAATTGAACCAAATTGATTTACTCTATTATCATTAGCTAAAGAATCGATCTACCTTTAGAGATAGAGACCCCAAGACCGCTCATCTCCACTCAATTGTTAAGTGAATCACAAAGTTAAACTCATATTCTTGATATCTTTTATGGGTATCACCACTAGTACACAGTTCCATGTTTTAATTTTGTTAAATGAATGGTAAAATGAAAGAATTATGGCATCAGAAAACAGCAATTTAAGTCATTTTCTTATAAACATGAACATGTAAAAAGTTTCATTAATATAGTGAATGGTAAAGAAACAGCAGAATTCACGTTTTTGAAACGTGAACAAATAATATACCATTCAACGAAAAATAGTAAAATACTACTACTCTCTTTCTAAATTTCACACATCTATGATCTATGCAATAATGAGATCCACACGTAGTATATATATATTATACATGTTGTAACAAGTAGTTAATTAAAAGACCTTCATTTGGAAAGATTCTAATCATCGTCAAGGCACGAGAGAGGCTTCGTCGTTCCATCACTAACGTAGATGAGGATTTTCAAAAGGGTTTATATGATTGTGAGACGAAGATCCGGTGATATTGAAACATATACCAAATTCCATTGGAGGAGTCGTTATATACCCTTCGTTTATTGTCTCCAAGTTGTTCGTAGATCTCTCCGCAACATATCCGTTTTGTTGATGCGATCTATTGATCTCGATGTTTTGGTAGTGGTTTGCACCATATTGGTCCAAAGAATCACCTGTGTTATCAGAATTATGTGTAATCAAAATTTGGTTACCACCATACAGTTCCACAAAAAAAAGAAAGTATTTTAAATTTACCTTGGGTCAAAAGAGGAATCTCGTTGTATGAATAACCCGGTCCTCTCTGTGTGTATAACTCATTTCCAAAATTACACTCTTTGGCATGTTTGAATGTGACATCCCACATTTTATCAGTCATTCCAATAATCTGCCAATACAAAAACCCTTATTAGTCCGACAGTTAAATTACTCACAAAAAAACATTATGACAAATTAATATATAGTTTTATACCTGACGGAGTTTATCGAGGTCATGGACGGCTAACTTTAAAAAGTCTTGGACAGTGTTGATATTTGCAGAAGAGAGCTTCTTGTGAAAGGCCCCATCTTTGCCTATCTTCTTTAGCCGCCACACCTCGTCTTCTAACATTGGTGGGTGATGTTTCTTGTACACTTCACCAACCCCAAGTTGTATAAAACAAATTTATTAATCAAATTATTTAAAATACTATTTGATTATCCCTATGTTTACGTATGTATAATTTCTATATATATCCGCGTATGCATGTGTTTGTTGAACTCGTTAGATTAGTATTTGCGTGTTATAAGATTCGAAAAAGTATGAGTATTGACCAAAAGACTTAGAGGCATTCAGTCGTTTGCTTATGGTCCACATCGAAAATACTTTTTATTTGTTTGTTAAAGATAATATCAAAATGGAATTTTAAAAACTTGTGTCTGTATAGAGACTAAAACAACAAGAATATCTGTAGAGAAAGCATATCGATCATGACTAGAAAAACTTTAGGACTTCAAAATTGAATGACCAAATACAGCAATTTTGATTTGACCGACCTTTATTTTGTTTTTTAGTTTATAAAATTAGAAAACTAAGATTCTCTTAAAACAGATAAAACAAGTTTCGAAAAAAAAAACATAGATAAAACCAAAATCATCAATTTAAACTTATTAGTTGATATATAATAGTTTTAGACTATTAAAATTTTAAAATATAAGTTATAATAAATTTTGACAAGAAAACAAAGTATCATTTGATTGTATTTCTAATGCACATATGTTGCATAAAATCTATATGTTACATGATTGATAGCGTAATCCGTAAGATGTGATATATGGGTCAGGTCAAAGATAACTGAAAAATGCTTCATGTGATATGTTCCTATCACATCTCTAGTGGAGTGTTTAATCAATGAATATAAGCACCAAAACTGTTTTATATATTTTCATTGATTAGTTATTCACTTAGCAGGTAAATTGATCAATAATTAAGGTAAGGAACTTACATTCTCCACGATGATCTTTAACCATAAACGCTTCAGTCATCGCTTCACAAACCGCAACGCCTTGACCGCTACTCCCTTTCGCAACTCTCACACCGATCCTGAACTTGCGGCTGCGAATCCAACTCGAGTTATCAGTGAACTCAAGATCCCCGATAACTCCAACGCCGTTTCTCACGGTCACGGTTACTTCTCCTGCAAGCAACGGTCGTTTACCGTCCCTTTCTTTGACGATATTATGCTCAAACTCATCGCTACTCCATTTATCATCCGAAGGAAAATCTCCGTGAAGGGCCACGATGTCTAGTCTGATCGGACGGTCGGGAGTCACCGGAGAGATCGGATAGTCTTTGTTTGAACCATCGACAAGGATGATCTCAAGTGGATTGTTGTCCACGTCCCTGATTTTACTTCCGGTGAATACTGGTGTCATTAAATTCTTACGGAACATTAGCTTTAATGTCGGAGTCTCCGGAGCTTCGACCCGAAACGACGATGACCGAGAAAATGATCGAAGTCTTTTATTTATCCCGTGTTCCACTTCTTGTCTGACCTGTTCCCATCACCAAAACGAGTAGAGTTATAAAATACTCTTATGACAAACTAATTGTTTTTTACTAAAATGTTTATTATATTTGTTGTTGCTATTAACTATTCTTTACTTTTTCAAGTAACACTGCTATGTATATCAATTAATCTAGTGTATGAATACATCTGAAACATTAAAAAGATATCTAAGATTTTTAGTATAACAACACTTTGTCACGAAAAAAAATCATAGCAATAAAAGAACATTAATTATAATTATAAATGCAGGTAGTATTAAACATTTAGGCCAATATGTGGTTCTTGTCAATGATACTAGCTATAGCATATATGCGGATGTGTGTGGACCGTTCTTTTGTCTCTTCTACTGAAATGTTGGATTAGAGAGGTCTTGTTATTAATACAATCTTCATGAAATGATATATATATTTATAATGTATGTAATGTTTATGCATGTATCATGTATGCAACTATATATGTCGTTTGTAGCCACATGATCGAATATTTCTTATTTTATCAAGTCCCAACTAGCTCGCATATTAGACGTCGTCAATGCTTAACTTATGTAGATTTGTATATGTAGATGCATGGACTACTTGTATGTATTTTTTTGTTATTAAAAGTTGTAAATACTTATATATGCATTTCTAATTCTCAGTTTCTTAATTTGATAATATCTTCAACTATATATCCATAAGATATCAGTTTTAAAGTGTAGATATGCATACGAATCTAGTGCTACTTAACATACAATATTGTCATATGTATGTATTAACATAAAACAAGTGGAATTAAAGTATACTTACAACGGTTCTAAGAAGGGGCTCTAGGGCTGAAGAAAAGCTCTTCTCTGTCATCAATGCTCCGACCACGCTGAAATTGGCCGGAAATAAAACAAAAGTTTATCAGAAAAACAAATATCTATAACATAAAAATAAGTAGTGAGATCCAAATAAGAATCGTATCATAATATATTATATATATGTTCATGGATAAGAGAGAGGAGGGATAAAGCTACATAAAATATAAGCATAGATACATGTTCAATACTAACAAAAAAGTATGTTGTAGATATGATTGATCATAAGTACAAGATAAGAAGAAGAAGAAGAAGAAAAAAAAAAAATCAAGATTTATGAGAAACTTTACGAGGCAAGGGATGGTATAGATTTCATCCGTTTCTCGGTTTTCTTTTCTTGATCAGATTCAAGATCTTGAAATAACCTCTTCCCCGCCATGGATTTGGTTTGGTGAGTTAATCAGAGAGAGAGAGAGAGAGAGAGAGAGAGAGAGAGAGAGAGCTTTAGATCAAATCTAGGTTTTATCTAATCTGTTGATATAAATGTATCTGATATATATATGGTTTAGTCTCTCAAGTCTTGTGATAATAATTCTTTTTAATGAGAAACTAAAAAAGAAAGAAAGTTCGCAGAACGACAAAGGAAACAACCTGGCAGCATCCCACAGAAGTCCACGCGAATTTTCCTTTTATGGCGTCATAAATAGGGAGACTTCTGACGTCAACCCCAAAAAAGAAAGGGTCGTTTGTTAACAAGTGGAACGATCATGATCGTCTCTTCTGTTAGGTTTTCAGATCCAACGGTTTATATTAAGCACGATCCATATTGTACTTCCCGTGGAGACTAGAGAGCAGAGCAATTTTACGAGTGTACAATACATCCGGTCCGTTCTTCAAAAATTTGTTGATCTCTTCTTTTTCTTCATCTTCAAAGAATTTAAACATTACTGTTATCGACAGGCTTATTTATGATAAATCATTTATCTAATAAATGCCCATTAGAAAAATGATAAAACCAGAGAAAAAGACAGGTTTAGATTTTGTTCATAATTTGATGTTAAAAACGGAAAGTTTGCAACTTGTTAGTTTTGGTTGGTCTCTATATATATACCCTTATCTAGAAAATTAATTTCATCAAAGTATCTTTTTAGGTTAATCAAAAGAAAGCCTTGTTGATCTCCCATTTTGGTTTTCATCGTTTTCCAAAATATCCTGAATGTACTGTAGTAAATATTTTGAAAAAACTTTAATTTCCTGATATTTTAAGACCTATTATTATTATTAATCGATAAAATATACAATAATCATTTTTTTAATACAGAATGTCGTATGTTAAAGAAAATTAAACTTATCCAAGTTCTTATGGGTTCACTAGTATTAAACAATATACAAAGGGTCAAGTGAATATTTTCGAAGAAGGTTCGTAGAATTGATTTGTTCTTCTCGGGTAATTTCTTGTCGTGTGGGTTTCAAATCTCAATCCTACTCTCAAAACTTGTCGTTCTTTTAGCTTCAGTCGACTCTGTCTATTCTCTATCAAAAACACTTTTTTCAATTAACTTTAATCTGTTTTTTGGTTTTTTTTTAGAAAGAGTTTTTTTTTGTTTTGTTTTTTACTTCAAAATATTGTTGGAAGCAATATATAATTAATGGACTCCATCGATGATCATTGCATGGTACTGTGTCGTAGTCTTTGTTATTGTTATGTCACAGAGTCCAGAATAAGAACCATCTATTCAATTTGATATAATCTAGACGATCAAAATCCTTATTTAAGACACTCTAAACTCGGAATATACAGTGTGATAGTCTATAGGATAAGTCTATTTTATAGCATTTTGGTGCGTTCCTACCAGAACTAATCAAAAACCGATAGAATCTATAAAAACAAAAAAAATTCTCATTTATCAAAATTGCTGTCCACTTCTTTTTTAGTTGGGGAGTGGCGAATTGAAAAAATATTAATACGAACTTAACTTTAAAATAGGTATGATGTCATTATTCCGTTCTACAGTTTTGTAACGAAATTAAAAACAAATTAAAAATAGAGTATAGGACTGGATATTTTCTTGGAAGCAGCCTTTTCCTTTTCATTTTTTTGTTACTATTGAGTATTGACTAAGCCACAAACACTAGTAGTATCGCTAAATACGTAGGTATGCATAAGGATTTTTTTTGTATGTTGTATTTATGGACTACAATCTGTATTTCTGTAACCACATGGCTACATCAGATTACAGATTCTTTTATCATTTTTTTTAACAGCAGATTCTTTTATCAAAACAAAACAAAAAAGACTATAATATGTATAACATGATGCAACCATATATGTATAGTTTCTCACACACAAAATATATTATCTTTTGTCCACAAAATCATATGCTGACTGGTGATCTCATATAATAGTTTTGAGTTTCTCTATTTGTCTGGAACTAAACACGGCCGCGTACGGGAAAAAAGGGCCGCGTGCATATAATTGTACCTCTACAATTATTATTAGCTACTGAATTATAATACCGTTTTCCTAAACTAGTGGCTTTATAAGCCCTTGTACTATATATAGTATGAGCTTAATTAAGCCATCTCCATATATATCAATGAACAATATATATATGTTGCTCACGTAATTTGACGATGAGTTAAATAAATCCAACGGAGATAAACTTGATGTTCTTTTCCAAATTCATACAAACAGAAACTGACATATGTTTTCTTTTGTCTTTTGTTCTCCAAATTTTTTTTTTTTCATTTCCAAATTGTTGTCAGTTTCTATATGTTTGGAATTTGGAAAAAGAACATCAACTTTATTTTTGAATAACAAATAGTACAATGTCACTACCAAAATATTATGTTGAAAGTGTCACTATTTTCACTCATAAATACTTTCCTTCATGTTGGAGCACGATTGCTACAATTATATATCCAACTTGATTGTAAAAAGAACTTCAAATTGAACAAAACCAAAAGTTTAAGTGATAATGTCATTTGGTTGCTCCAAAGTAGAACATGATGCTGACTTACCAAACCTTCCCACATAGCATCGGAAACAATTTACAATGAATCTCAATATGCTTCATACATTGATGAAGAACATGATTCGTGCCCACATAGATGATAAACTCACCACCTAAAAACATCAGAATAAAGGCAATGGCATCGGTTAAATTTGGTTGTTGAACAAAAAAGGGCAATTTGTAGAAAACTTTCCTTGGTAACACTGTGCAGAGGTAATTACAAATGGGCCTTTGAAATTCAAACACATAAATGGGCTAAACCAAACATAAGTGGGCTTAAAGAAGAAAACTAAAATCCCATAATCTTTTGACCAAAATGAATCAACCTATCTAAAGAACCATCATCGAATTTCCTAGCGAACAAGTAACACTGCTTGCTCTTCTTCCCATTATACACACACCCTTCTTCTCTATTCCTCAACCTCCCAAAAAACTGCGCCGTCAAAAACCGCCGCGTGTACTTCCTCGGATGCGGGCCTCTCCGTGACCAATCCGTCCACGTCAGCGACCTGTTCGCGTTCTTCCCCGGAAACATGACGTGGACAAACGTCGGCAAGTAATGCTCGTCTGCGTAACAACCCCAACGGCAATGTTTCTTGAAAAGAGGGAAGTAAGTGGTGTCCGCGGCGACCGCTGAAGCTACTTCACGGTCGATTTCAAACCACTGAGAACCTTTTCGCCAGTTGCGACGGTTGATGAGTGGGGACATACGGCGGTTGTAACGGCCGCGACCGGCTGGTCCGGGAAGGTCGTAGAGGTCAACGTAAGAGTGTTGAGAGTTTATGAGGTAGGAGTAAATGGTGGAGAAGTTGAAGAGAGGAATGTCCGACTCCGAGAGGAGGACGAAGCGGTGGTTTGCGACGTTGAGTAGAGCGTTGGCTATTAGACGCCGCTCAGCCTCCACCATGCTCACCATTCCCCATTCCACTTCCTACAAAAACAAGAACAAGAAGAAGTCTAGTTCATGAGTCATGCATGATATATTATTATTAATAAATAAATTTAGCAATTTTGTAACCGATTGAATTTAAAATCCAGATGTCGGTATGATGATGTATGTACAAACTTCTCAAAACTAGTAAAGCAAGATGTTAAGAAAGCATAAAAATAATCCATGTCGGTATGTAATGCATAATAGACTACTCAACGATTTTATATTTATATAGTATATGATGATATCTATTGAAACGGAAAATAAAGAGGCAGACGTAGACAAAAAACGAAATGAACTAAAAATACGACTTTATTTTTTGCCCTTTTAATCACTGGCTGATATAAAATCCCTTTGAATTTTATTTGTCACTACTAGTCACATCACGTGATATATAACTTTGTTCCGTATCGATGACATAAAAGTATTTTTTAACGAAAAAATTATCTTTCATACAGCATGATTCTTGATCATGTAACATCTCTTTGTCCTATAGACTTCAATAAAAAGATACGAATCCACATTTTTCTTTGAATTAATATGCCTTCAACAATCAACACTACACCCAAAGATTACTTACTTGTCGTTTCCTAATCATAGCCAAAGCGTGACGAATTGAAGAACAAAAAAAAAAAAATTAATGGTAAACACTGTTTGTTAATTTAGTCACTCCCTTCTAAGTTATATTTCTAAGCACCTCACTAATTTCCCAAAGTAGATTATACACTTCTAGAAAGAACAATTTTGCCAAGAAAATAATTCGACTATCCTATTAAGGAAAATAATAAAAAGAAAGATGAGAATCGGGAAGGAATAACAGAATTGACTAACCTTGCTAGGAATTCTCCGGCGATAAAACGGCGACGTCTCGGGAACATCGTCGTCAACGTAATACGGGTCACTCGTATGAATGTAAACGGAGAAAAGACCTTGATGGCCTTGGAAAAATCTCTCCCACAGTTTAGCCAAAGGAAGCTTCCCTCTCGTCAAGAACATAAACGCCACTTTCTTCGTCATCTTCAACGGCGTTTCTTGAATCTTCGTCGACGACGCCGCACGACGCATGAGCTCCTCCTCCGTCATGTTATGCATCACGTTCTCCGGCTCCGTCAGAGAATAACCCTTCAGCGCTTCGTCGTCGTCATGATCAGTCGCAATCGACCCTTCTTTTACGGAAACGCATTTTTCTGGCGGCGGTTGAAGCGGTGGAGAGAAGGAAGAAGAAGAGGAGGTGGAGGAAAGAGAAGCTAGACGAAAGATTTGGGGACCGAAAGAGACGTTTCTGATGTGGAAGTTGAGCATGAAGCCGAGTCCGAATCCGAAACCTATAAGGAACGAGTACAAGACGAGGGTTTGGAAGAATCTGTGAGATTTGAATATCTTCGATAAGAGGATTTGGTGAAGATGACGACGACTTTCTTGTTGATCAAGCGAGTCTTCTTGCGTTTCGTCGCTCTTCTTCATGATTGTTTTGAGTATGTGGTGGTTCTAACTAAAACTAACATTATGAAGACGGACGAATGTTATATATAGTCGAGATTATGATCGTGACTAAATTTTAAAACGACTTTTCTTCTTAGGGCTTTTTTTAATATCTATTTTTTCAAAAATATATATTTAACTTCACGGGCTTGAGATATTGCTAGAAGCACTGAATTGACTTATACATGATTTTAGGGGTTGGGTTGATTCAATTGGTACACGAATTGGGTTTTATATAAACACGTTAACTTAGACTGTGACATTTAAGATGAAGTAATGCTTGGGTTAAGAATATTGTCGTCACCTATCTGTAATATTTTAATCTTTTTAAAGCTTTTTTTCTTTATTACTTCTTTTGAAATTTCAACAAACAAAAAATCACAAACGAAACAGAATTGATTTGTAAAATCATCAACTCATCATTAAGGTTCTGTTTCAAGTTTCAAGAAAAGGAGAAACAAACAGAGGACTCTGTTTTGAAGACAAATTCTCAGTTTCTAAGTAACAAATTCTTCTACACTCTCCAGCTTATAAACATGAGCAGATTAAACATCTCAAGACTCGGTGCAACCTACATAATCTTAAGGGACGAAAGAAAGAGCTCACTTATGATAGCTTTACTGCAAATGATGATGGTACTATCTTCAGTAGAATGAGATGCTATAGACAAGTTTCCGTCTATGTTGTTTCTCGAAACCAGCAACAATGTCGTCGATCGTGTCTTCCCATGATTCATTCCCTTCAATCTCTTGACAGAGTTCCAAGGCGAGTCTGCCACCTATAGCTGCTTCTTCGTGGTTATCTTTAACTTCCAAGTTCATCACAAGTATGGTTTTCATGAGTGACTGTTCTCTGTTATTAAGATCTGCAGATTGATAATGATATATATCCAACTTGATGAGATAATATACAAAGACACAAGAACGTTGCATTACTTCCTCTTGGTAGTTCCATCAAACCATGAATCCAATTGTTTTTTCAGCTAGAGATTAAAGCAAGCCAAAAACCAACTTAAGTCACAACATTATGATCTTCTTCAAAATGCTGAAGAACAAAAATTATAAATGCCACAAATTTTCTTCCAATAATGTAATGTATAAAAGTTTGTGATGAGAGTATCTAAGAACTGAATCAAGCAATATTGAAACTATGGACTATATAGTAAACGGGGAGGATTTAGATTTACCTTCAAGGACTGAATCAAAAACCTTTTCTTCAAAGGTCATGACCACATCAAACACACCATCACCAGCATTATCTTGCCATCTCTGTGGAGCAAGTTTCACAGATAAATTCCTCTTAAGCATCTGCAAAATACCATTCCTCTTGTATCTGAAGAAATCATTTAAGGTAATCAAACTTCCAAGTTTCACAACACAATGTACAATGTTCTCAGCTTCACAGGTTGCACAAACACATATCCATCAGAAGAACAGATAAAAATTGGATTCAACCATTGAAATTAAGGATTTTGAAGACCTATCACAGAGCAATTGAAGGAGACTGACACTGAAGCAGCGACTAAAATAGAATTTAGGGATTCGAAGTAAAGAACAAATCATGATCACAGAAATCGCGGGAAAATAAAAAGGATACAGTTCAGGATCCTTGCGCCTGAGCTCGTCGAACATCTGCTTGTAAGGAGTTCCGAAATCGTAGACGTTAGGCTCTCTGAGAGATGGTCCGGGTAATTTAACATGAGACCCAGTCCCGTACGATGCAACGTCGAGCCCTTGCCTCTTCAGGAGGTTGTGAGCCTCCATGCTCCGGTTCTGATTCGACGAACACACCATCGCGTACCGGAACTTCATGGCTGAGCCGCCGCGACTAACAAAATCTGCGATCTTCTTCTCCGGCGACTGTGGCGGTTTTATAAAAGTTCTCGATTTTAGAGATGTTAAATGTGACGGAAATTAGTTGGGCCTGGTCCGGGCTTTTTCAGCCCATCGGATAATAAAAGCGAGTTTATTATGAGGTGGTCCAAGAGGAAAATTCCTACAACAAACGGACAAACATGTTCTCTATCTTTTATCTTGTTGAGACTGTATCGTCCAATCAAAATGGTCCCTTGCAGTGACTTGACTTTTAGATTTGACTCCTTGACTTTGTCTTAAACTTAGTCTAGGCAAGTTATATTTCTTTCAAAATGTTTTAAGTTTTAACTAATCTTTTTCATATCACTAGTCTGTCTTATTACTATTTTCCTCTTAAAAGACAAAAATGCAAAAAAATGCGAAAAAGAAAACGGAACTAAATGTAACGCGTATTAGTAGGTTATGTGTCCATACTGAAGTAAACGAAGTTGACTAGTCCAACGACTTGTTTTATTGTTTACGAAGTCATTCATATAAGCCAATCTGCAACAACAACACAACTCATCAAAATAATATCTATCCCAAGCTCCCAACAAGCCACACGATCTTCTCTTCATCTAAATCATCTTCACTACTACGAGTAACATTTTATAAAACTGTTTATTTACGATAGAAAACGGCCACGTGTCGTCGCCAGAGATGGTTCGACGTCTTTTCGGTGGCTTGATGGCGTTGCTGAAGATGTGTGGTGGTCACAACGGTTCTAAGGGAGAGGTTTCCGATGAAGACGGCGGAGACGGTGGAGACCGTGGTATCTTCTTCGATCTCCAAGAACTTGAAATCGCGACTGAGTTATTCTCCGAGAAGAATCGGCTCGGACACGGCGGGTTTGGTCCTGTCTACAAGGTAGACGACTCAAGAAAACTCTGTTTCTTGTTTTCTTTATTTAAAAGTGATAGCTCTCGTTTCTTATTCGATACGGCATTGCGATTTTGTGAAATAGGGATTGATGCCAAATGGTGAAGAAATAGCTGTTAAGAAACTGTCGGTGAATTCTAGACAAGGGTCGAGAGAATTTACGAACGAGGTTAAGCTCTTGCTCCGGATTCAACATAAGAACTTGGTTTCTTTGCTTGGTTGTTGCTTCCATGGTCCAGAGAAGATCCTGGTTTACGAGTATCTCCCTAACCGGAGTCTCGACTATTTTCTCTTCGGTAAAGCTCTTTTGTGTTTGGTTCAGTCTAATTTAATTTTAATCCTTGATTCAATTCAATTCAAACCGGTCTGGTTTAACCGTAATTTTCAGATAAGATCAATCCCGGTTTACTTGATTGGTACAATCGATGGCGAATAATAGTAGGAGTGGCAAGAGGACTGTTATATCTACACGAAGAAGCTCCGATTCGGATTATCCACAGAGATATAAAAGCTAGTAACATTCTTTTAGACAATGATTTGAACCCGAAAATCTCGGATTTCGGTTTGGCCCGGTTATTTCCGGGCGATGGCACTCATACTAATACCTTTAGAATCTCTGGTACTTAGTGAGTACACCTAATCTCTAATATCTAAGAAGAAGAAGAAAATGTGAATGTGAATGTTGTAACTGTTTAATTAAGTGAGCTTATAATGTGGATGTTGATGCAGTGGTTATATGGCTCCTGAATATGCATTGCACGGCCTTTTATCGGTTAAGTCAGATGTTTTTAGCTTTGGAGTTTTGGTTTTGGAGATAGTTAGCGGAAGAAAGAACCAAAATTCTCGTCTTGGACCGGAAATGGCCGATCTCTTGAGCTATGTAAGTTCCAAACCATACCATTGACCGGTTCGGTTTTGCACAAACTTGCATCAAAAAGTTGATAAACTTAATATCTATCACTCAAGATCACTTACTCATTTTTATGTGGGATATTATCTTCAATATGTTATCTTTCAATAAATTAAGTCAGAACATGCAAGAATCAATAACTGGGATTTATATTCGGTACAGGCGTGGAAAATGTACCAAGAAGGCAAAATTCTGGAATTGGTGGATCAATCTCTAGCAGGAGCATACAACCGCGACGAAGCAGCCACATGTCTCATTATAGGATTACTATGTTGCCAGCAAATCACATCAAACAGACCGGATATGAACTCAATCCATCAAATGTTGTCGAGCGATTCATTCGATTTGCCTAGACCGGGTCGTCCAGGGCTCCAAGGTCGTAGAGGAGGAGGGTATACAAGTACCGGAACCGGTACAGTAGTCGGTTCAAAAAGTTTTGGATTAACCGGGAGCGAACAAAACAGTTTTAAAAGTAGAAGTGGAGGAGGATCCAGAGCTTCTAGACAGAACAGCATCATTGAGGAATACTCGAGGAATTCCATTTCCATGTCTTCCTTCGCCGAAGGAAGATGAAAATATTAAATCATAACATGTAAATAATGCACACTTTATAGAGAGACGAAGAGAGGGACTTTGCATTTCTATCGTTATAAATGAGGTCTTACAAGGGTTACGTTAAGGACACGTTTTGATATATGAATTAGCAAAATGTTATGTGTTTGAATATGTCTTTCGTACGAGGATTTCAACTTTCATGTTTCCGTCTTTCCAAAGAAGAACAGTTTGGTACCAACCTAGTGACTGACTATATGACTTATATTTTCTTCAAATTAATCCAATTAACGACTATATAACAAGAACCAGGAAGTTTAATTTCACAAGCAAGTTTAGTTTCACAAGCAAATATGTCTAACCACCTACACTTTCAATCAAACTTTTCTTCTAGTACCAAAGTAAACTATTTAATTAGTTTTATTTAGTAAACTATTTAGCTCGTTTTATTGGTTTCTATTGGATGTAAATATTTGGCCCGAATGAACTTTAGATGATAGCTTAAAAACCATATAGTATATTTAATTTGTATAATTGGACTGGCATTACTCAGATACCAAGCCGTACAAAATCAAAATGGTTTAGTTTATTAATTCTCTCCACAAACCCCATCATTATTTTTTAGTACATGTTGTGTAAAGTTTTGTGGTGTAGCGTACATATTGCATCCGGTTTTTGTTTTCTTCAATATCATGTCCGATTTGGTAGTGGTTTGTTGGCTTTGTTCACTGAAGCTCTTATAAAATAAGATTTGTTGGCTTTATGTACAATTACCTTTGCTTTGATTTTAATAATTTTTTTTTTTTGAAAAGAACACATTCTCTTAATTCGGTACGTAGCTAGTTTACAAGATTCAACGTTCTCACAAGAAGTTGTGGCAACATGTATTCAAAACCATTGCTGCTTCCCTCACGCTATCGATATTTATGGTCCGTTAGTTTGCTAGCTATACTAAATATAGCAATGCTCAAAGTCAAAACAACAAGATAGGAACCCAACTCAAAAGTTAAAATCCAAGAAGAAAAATGTGTTTGATATATCAGCATTGAAAAGAGACCAACGTACCTAAACGAAAGACTTTAGAACTTTTACATTGATTATAAAGTTCGACCTTGTAAGTTTAAACCTAGCTATACCTAAATTGTAATGGTTCAATGAAATGATCTTAGACACTTGCACCAGGTTAACACTTCAGAAAGTCTTAACTATTCGTTAAAGTATGCCACTTAAGAATTGTATTGTAGCCATGGGAAGATTTGTTGTATTTGGTATCTTCTGCATAATCATATGTAAGATTCGACGAAACATTTTGTTTAACAAGAACTAGGTTATTATTTATTTGTATATATTAATTTACCCTATGAGATAAATCCCTTGAGGATCTCAAGACTCAACTCAAGTTCTTCCCCCTAAACATAACTCGTGGGTCCCAGTACCAAACAGTGACCCACTTTCTCTATTTGGATATATCTCCTGATAAATTAAGAGGGACCCCTTTCCATTACAAAAATCCCATAACTCTCACTTTCATTGGCCCTCCTTTTATTTTCTTTCTTTTTACACCCCACTTATATTCCAATTTTTTAAAATAACGAAAAAATTAGAAAAAAACAGTCTATATATAACCGGAATTACTCGCTCAGAAACAGCCACTCTCTGTAATAAAAAAAAAAAAACGAAAATCAATAATGGCAAATCTCTCTTCTGATCTTCAGACATACACAATGGATGATCCCATAACTCAACTAGCAGAACTGAACAACACTCTTCATCAATTCCAAACTATGTTTGCTCCTCCTTTGTCTTCTTCTCTCGACCCTCTTTTCTTTCATCAGCATCATCAGCAATTCCCGGATCATCATTTTCCCGGAAAAGTTCCTGAGAATAATTTTCATCAAGGAATTTTTCTCCCTTCTAATATTCACATCAACGACGAGTCTACTTCAAGAGTCGATACCAAGAAGAGAAAAACATTAATGGCGTCTTTGTCTACGTCGGAGAACAGTGTCTCTGATCAAACTCTATCTGATTCTTCTGCTCAAGTTTCCATAAATGGAAATATTTTGTCCAAAAATGTATGTAACTGACCTCGAAACCCTAATTTCACATATACTTATTCTATCAGTTTCCATTATTCTAACTATTTTTCATCTGATTAAAATCACAGAGTTCTTCAAGGAGATGCCCGAGAGGGAAGAGGACGAAGAGTAGAGAAGAAGAGACCGAGAGAGAAGTTGTTCATGTTAGAGCCAAAAGAGGCCAAGCCACTGATAGCCACAGCTTAGCAGAGCGGGTAAATATTAATTACGTGATCAAATATATTTAAATGATCCATTCCATACTGTTTAAATCGTAAATTGTATAACTATTGAATATTATATATGAATAAAGAGATTTTCATATTGAATTTCAGGTTCGGCGAGGGAAAATAAACGATAGGTTGAGATGCTTGCAAGATATAGTCCCCGGATGTTATAAGGTGATTATGAGAAAATTTAACCAAAATTAGCTTGTGACTTTAACAGAAAACTAGTTTATTTTGTGTAAACTATAACCATTTTTTTTTTGTTTTATTTATTTACTGAATATGATTATATCAATCTGGTGGTACAGGCAATGGGAATGGCTACGATGCTGGACGAGATCATTAATTACGTCCAGTCTTTACAAAATCAAGTCGAGGTATATAATTAATAAGGATACCTAATTCATAGATTATCGAATTGTTTCCATTCGTGTAAATAATTACTAACTCGTTTTCTATGTGGATTCAGTTTTTATCAATGAAGCTTACAGCAGCAAGTTCGTATTACGACTTTAACTCAGAGGATGATGCTGTTGATACCATGCAGGTAGAGAATCTTAATGTTTAATATCGTATGACAAGTCTTTCTTAATCGTGTTTTGGATGTGATTAATTAATCATTTAATTTGATTATTTAATATCTTCAGAGGGCAAAAGCACGTGAGGCAGTGGAGATGGGGCAAGGGAGGGATGGGAGTCCTGTCTTCCATTCATCATCATGGACCCTTTGACTTTTGTTTTTTCTCTCCTTTTTTGTTGTCTTTCTAATTTCTCCTTTTTTGGATAAAAATATACTTTAAAAAGATTGATTTCAATAATTTGGATGCCAAATGATATGTATACTGTGTAATGTCGACATTACAAATTGATTGCCTACAGTTGTTATTCAATTAGTTCGGACAGTGACAAATGTTATATGGAGATTTTTTAGTATTCGAATATGCTCTCTGTCTTAATATAAATGTCAGTTTAAAATATACTAAAACTTCAATAATTCCTAGTCAAAACTAGTGAAATACAGTATAAGCAAATTTCAAAGTACATGATTTATTGGGACATAGTAGAATAATAAACAGCGTTGTACAAAAAAAGGTTTGAGTATATAATAGTTTTCTTGATGTTAAGAAACTATTAAACAATACTTATATTGAAACAGAATAAATGAATTATCAAAATGTTCCAAATAAACACTATCGTACACGGATGAAACTCTATATTGAAATCAAAATTGAGTAGCTCAATGAGGTCAATATAAGTTGGTGTTTCTGTTAGCCACACAGATTCATCTATAACCTCTATAATGAAAGCAAAACATACAAATTAGCCACCGCTTGAATCCTGGAACGTCACAAAACAGTATAGCCATCAAAACCTGTAGTTTTCAAGTGAAAAATAATAATACATATTTTACAATGCAAATTATAGATTATATTAAGGGGAGCCCCCCTAAAAATGGGATCATGAGTTTTGACTGAGGTCAAATAAAGACAAGCAGAGATTGATAAATTCGAACAACCAACTGGATTTGGACCTGAGGAGTAGTAGACTGAAATGACAAAAGCATCCTTCAGTTGTTACTATCAAAAGCAAGACATAATGATGTGTGTCTCCGAAACGATGCACAAAGACAGAGAGGTTTTATGCAATTTGTGGAAGAGTGTGGACTGTGGATTTCGAAGGGACGTGTTTAATCAGAGAGCAACCAAAGATATTTGTTTCTTTTAATTTGTGGACTCTGTAATTATCTTAACATAGCTTTGAATTTCCTTTTATTGTTGAAAATAAATGATTGAGTGACGATGGATCAGAATTCAGAGAATCTGATGGATGATGTTTCCTATTCATCATATCATGATTGGGAAGAACATTTGTAAAATTCTAGATATTCATTCCCTTTTTAAGTATATCGGAGTTTGTTGTGATCTACGAGTGGATAATTTCAGAATCTCAAGTTAAAGTTAAGTTACAAAGAATGGTAAATTTAGACTAATATGCATCATATGCATGATTGGGATTTGGGAAGAACATTTGTGAAACTCTTGATATTCATTCCTTTTTAAGCATATACAGTTTGAGTTTGTTGTGAAATTCGAGTAAATAATTTCGAAATCTTAAGTAAAAATAAAATAACAAAGAGTGGCAAACTGAAAGGAATTTTTTTTTTTTTTTTTTTTTGTCTAAAATTTGTGAATAATTAATACAAATCATAAGATTTTTTATATAAGTTTTTGTCCTGTGGTGTTTTTTTTTTACGTATCATAGACTTATACTAGTAGATTTCGTTTTTCTTTCAAAATTTACTATAGTTTGTAAGTCACTATTGTATTTTGTATTCTATTGATTTATATTACTGTTAAAAAGTATGCATGTGTTAGTTATATGAACGATATTTTTTCTTCTTCTTTTTTATTTATTTATTACTGTTTACACATTTCATAATCTAATACATGGATTGCTTCATGCATAATTTACAGTACTTTGTTTGTTTGCTTTTTTTTCCTTTTCATATTACAGTTGGATAAGTAGTCATAATGGTCAAAATCATAAGAGAACGCTCCAAAAAGTGGAAGTGGAGTCCATGGCATGTGTTGCTTTGAAAATGGTCGTGGCTTAGTTTAGGGTTCTCAAGATGAATAATGGTTATCTTGAGGATAAATTAGACGACAGTAATAGATAACTATCAACATAAAATAAGGAAACATAGATATAAGAAGAAAAGAAAAAGAGAATAGATGCAATGCATACATCCATGAAACTAGGGAGGACAGCTTGAAATGGACCATTACTTGCCCTAAAGAAGATGGAGATCTATGTGGGGCTTTTTATTCATTCCGTCTTATTGCATATATTTTATATATACAATTAAAAATAAATTAGAAGCACCTAACTTTGAATAGTTCAATTGCTAACTCTCAATTGCTTAGTGGTACTGGTTGATTGTTTCTACTTTCTAATAATACCGGGATGTTACTTACATTAAAAATGATCTCTATATAGACCAACCTTGCTAGCTATACAGAGAAATGGTACAAAATCTTAGAGGTTCTCATTCATAATAAGATTTAAAAAAAAAAAGATTCAATACATTAAGCAAATATATACAATTTTTGGTTCAATATAATGTTGAAGAGGATAGTTTTGGGAAACAAATAAATATTTGGGACCAAAAAGTATTCTATAAATAGAATTATAGTGATCACATCATCTGGTGGCAGAGAACAAAGATGGGCAAGTTCAAGGATCCAAAAACATTGTGGGAACCACCAACCACCAAAACTTTGGAAGTGGCTCAGTTTGAATGTGGAGGAGTTGTTAACTCCTTAACCCTCTGAGATCTGAAGTCTTATGTCTTAAGACTCCTAACCCACAAAATCTTCAACTCTCACTTTAAGTAATCTTAAATACTTTTCTAATTATTTCAATAAACATCAAGCAAACATGCCTCCACACTAGAATATTTGGATATTAAAAATATAATATCTTCCCTTAGAAAAGATTAGTAGTAGACCCACGTAGCGCCATATATAATTATCAAAACAAATGTATACGTCCTTGCAATTTATTCAAACTAAAAATGATCACAACAAGAATTAGACAGAATGTGAAACAAGAGTCTTCTTAAAACTTGCAAGTCTGATGCAAACTGTAAACAAGACATACATCAGAGACTTTGAAAATCTGAGGAAATTTTGCTACCGAACAAATCAAAATGAGAGGGAACACAATTTTTTCACTAGGGACCATGACCAGTAATAACTTGAACATAAAAATCGAATTACTTTTTCCTTTCTTCTTTTTACAAATTATCCCAAACTTGTCCCCGACCTTACATAAGCCAAAACCTGTCTCTACTAAAGCCCTAACATGGAGACCAAGCCAAATTAGGGACAGCGTCACTGTCGGAGCATCTGTTGAAGCTGAAAGACTTGGTTTCTCTGCTCTGGTGGCAGCAGATTGATCTGTTCTTGCGTCAGGCTCATCACCTGCTGAAGCAATGCCTTCTCCATCTCTGAAGATATCTGCACAAATGAAAAAAATGAACCACAATCATCAACAAAAAGACACAAAAAGCTCTTTGCTCTCTGTTAACACCACTTGTGAACATTTGTAGAGAACTACACAATCATCGACACAAAATATATCCTAGAAGCACAAGCGATCCAATGGCTGCGTCTTTCAGTTGAAAAATGGGAAGGTAAATTTACCGGTGCAGGGCGAGGTGGTTGGCCGCCTCCAGGCCCAACTTGGCTTGGTGGAGGCACCGGTCCTAAGCCTGGGAGATGAGGAATGTTTGAGTTCTCTGATTGGCCAGCCATCCAAGAAGAACCTCTGTCTGCAGTCATTGGACCTCCTAACTGGTTATTATTGTTGTACTCTCCACGAAATTGACCTCCTCCCTGATATAATAAACAAAATTACAAGCAGTGAGACCCAAAAGAAAAACTAAAACCTTCACAATTTCGATCTTAAGCAAAGTAAAGATGATTATAACACACACAATCAGAGCTAGAAACAGGATGAAAATGAACAATGATGAGACGAATTATTGCTGGAAGATAAAGGTGCACATATCTGATTAAGAATAACAATGAAAGATGTTGAAAAGAATCCTCATTAGAGGGTGAATCTACTTGCTGAAGATCTCGGAAGAAAGCACAAAGAAAAAAAAACAACATAATTGCATAGTCAATCCGCAAAACTACAGGACATATCGCATTAAGGTAAAAGACAGTAAGAGTATAAACACCTGATACGGTGGCTGACTAGGCAGATGTGACTGTCCCTGAGGGAATTGAGGTCCAGCAGAAGCAGTGGGTCTGTTGCCTGACTGTAAATTGGTTCAATTAACAAGCCATAGTCAGTCAAAAACATAAATCATGATCAGGGAAACAAAAGAAAACTGATAATAGCTACTTATAACTCTTGACTCACATGAAACATGGGCTGAGTATGATGTTGAGGAGGTGCGACATGGTGCTGAAACCCAGCGTTTGGACCAGTTTGAGACGGTGCAAACTGGTGATGATACGGCCTAGACTGTTGTTGAGCCAGATGAGAACCTCCACCAGAGTGCATTGGTTGCTGTTGTTGTTGCTGCAACTGATTCGAGGAAGCTGGTATATCAAGGTGATGAAAGGAAGGTGTTTGGGATGTTGGATGATGTTGAACCGGAGGAGGAGGGGCGTTTTGAACTTGAGAAGACTGTGGATGTGACAAAGAAGTGGCAGCAGGATTCAGATGTCCCTGACGCTGGGGATGCGAGAAACGAGGCTGTGATGGAGGAGCATTGTTGGTTGCTGAAACAGAAGGTGGTGGAGGCATAGGCATTGTTTGTTGTTGTGGCGTTGGATGTTTTCTAATTGGGGCTTTTGGCTGCATTATAGCTGCTGGCTCTTGTACAGATGACATATGAGCTTGAACATTTGGCTTCTGTGGGATTGATTGATGAGATTGTTGAGTAATTTGCGGCTCCACTTTCGGAATCTAGATATTTAGAGTTTGTAAATGTAATGTAAGATGCATGAAATGAAACTAGTAACAAAATGACTCAAGATCCAAGCAAATACCGCTTGAGGAGGCTGAACCATTCCGAGCATGATTTGTGCCTGATATTCAACAAATACAACATCATCACCAATTCACCATCATCATATACAAGTCTGCATAAACCTAAACTTTGTTCATGTGTGGAATCTAAACAACAAAACCCTAATTTTCTACCAATTGCTACTACAGCAATGCTAAAACTAAAGTAAGAAGCTCCGAAATCAGAATCTCCCTCGTTTATTAGAACGCACGAAATGCGAAAACTATGGAAAGGATTGGGGAAGTTAAGAAATACCTGGAAAAGAGCTTTCGTCAAAAGAGGGTTCCGAATCAGAATCTCTCTCGCTTGTTGGTGGTTTTGATCAATCAGCGCCTGCGACATCAGATTCAATCAATCAAAAACATAATTCGAGGAAGAAGGACAATTCAGATTCAATTGTTTTTTCACTTTGCGAATCCGTAAAAGGATTAAAACTCTCGAGAAAAGCTGATAATCGGAGAGAAGGGAAAAGAGAGAATAGAACCTTCATCTGAGACATAATATCGTAGAGCTGACTTTTTGTCATTCCGGCGAGATTTGCCGGTAAACCACCGTCGCCGCCGATTTGCTTACCCGCCATTGTACTCGTCAGGAGTCGCTACCGTAACGACCTGAGTCTGAGTGTGCGCCCAGTGCGGTTCAAGACGGAAGACGAGAGAAGAAAAAAAAAAAGAAAAAAAAGACGTAGCAACAAACCTGGGCCTTCTCATGGACCGGCTTAGATTCGGCCCATTTATTGTTCTAGGCCCGATAAGAAAAATCAACCAAACCATACAAACTTTTTTAGTTGTGCCATTTTTGTAATTTGTCTTTGATAGTTTAGCACAAATACATGCGCATTAGATATGTACATAAATAAGTACATTAAATATATGAAATTTATTCAGGTGTTCTTTCTATGTACCATGTTAATTGTACACGTAACATGCATTTATATAAATATATATACATCTCTTTTGGAAAAGCAAAAGCTTAATCACAAGTTACATTACAAAGCGTGTGACACGGTTTTGGCCTCTTCACTTTCTTGTTGCTGCAGAGATCTTCTTTTTATTTTTTGTTTCCATCCATAATTTTCTTACGGGATAATTTATTTATTTGATCCATACCAAATTGGAGGATTCTTGCCTTTAGTAAGTCGGTAAACGTCATCGACTTTATTTTTATTCTTTCAGGTAAAACTAGAGTCTCCCACTACATTCATCTCCCTCCATGTTCTGCCAAGTTCAAGTTTTGTGTATTATCGATTTCAACAAATTATATATCATGTTTTATCTAATCTTCATTTCATTTCTAATCTCTAGCTAATCCCATTGTAAATGACCACCTTTCCATGATTAATTAATTTGAAATTTCAATAAATAAATAAAACAAATATGAACTGTTAAAAACTCATTTGCATTATCATTTCACTTTTTAGCGGTGATTAGATTTTCAGTCAAAGTTATAATTCTAAACTTTTTCTTACTCTAGTAATGTATAAAATGAAGTAAAGGGAGTCAATAATCTTTAAACTTGGCACTTGGTATAATTTCAGTATGTCCTTTAAGGAATGAGTATGCGTATAATCTTGTCTAAAGAAAATTATAATTAAGAAGTCCAATATGATACACATATGTTTAAAGAAATTAAAAGATTCATATTAATAAGAAAAAGGTAGAGAAAAAAAAAAGAAAAGAAAAAGAGAAGCACTCACCTCAACCACTTTATAATTTTTTTTTGTGTGTGGTAAAACCACAAACTTTGCTTTTGATTTTGTTGTAGCTGAGGAGGTCTCTCTCTCTCTCTCTCCATTTGATAGGAAGAAGAAGAAGAAAGATAGAAAAAGATAAAAGGAAAGAGAGAAAGGAGATTATAATTAAAATGCAATGTTATACAAATGAAGAAGCATTAGCAAGTCTCTACATCAATGTCTCAACTTCCTTCTTTCTCCTCCTCCTCCTTCTCTACTCCGCCGTCTCCCTCCTCCTCAATCTCTTCCACTTCATCGGCGGCTACCCTCTCCTCCAAAGGTATATATATGCTTACTCTACTAAACATACACAAACATTTAATTGATGAAATATTGAAGATACTTTTAGTTATGTAATGTTTCAAAAAGTAGTTAGCTTATAGTTAAAGCAAAATCCGTAACTATTGCTGTTTTTTTCATATAGTTTTGAAATCTTGATAGTTTTCTTATTCTGTAGGAGTGAAGATGAATATGATTCGGCAGCGTGGCTTTCCGATGAAGAAGAAGAAGAGGAGGAGGAAGAAGAAGAAGGGAGAGAATTCAAGATGTCGTGTAATACAAGTTACCATGTCATATCTAGAAATAACAAACCGGATCATCTGATAGCTGATATAGAAGAAGATGGAGAATCTTTAGTGTTTTACAATAACAACTCCAAAAATGAACCCAATAATCGACACACGAAGGAGTTTATGAATGTTCATCAAACTCATGAACAAGAAGAAGAATATGATCAAGATTCCAACATTTCATCCACAGAGGATCACTTTTCCTCTGCCAATGTTTCTCCTTATCGCAGCGAATCATCACTAGAAGATGAAGACCAAGGCGTTGAAGATCTTCATGACGATCGTTATGATCATGTTGACGATATTGAAGAGACAGAAGGAGTGTCACGTTACGACGTCGTTGAGGATTTGATTCGTAAGCGACCAAATAGAAGTATACGTGGTCCCTCTCCTCTCCAAAGGGGTTTGGTGTTCAATGACAAAAGCTACAATGGTATTATTTCCTTCTCCTTCACTTCACATGTTTTCTTTATTGATTTTTCTTCACATGCAAGTAGAAAGTTGTTTTCTTTCTTTCTACAAGTAACCAAGATTAACTCGGTTTGATTGATTTTGCAATATATTAAAACATTTTTAATCATTACAAAAAGTATTACAAACGATAGTAATTACAACTCAAAAGGACCGATAATAAAGAAATGACCTTTTTATTATACTTTATCAAAAAAAATAACCCTGTATTTAATTTGTCTATGTTATTTGTTTTTTTTTTCAAATCCGCAAAATTACAATAATAAATGGAAAAAAAAAATTACAATAGTACATTGTATTGTAGCGTTTATTTGTTAGCATTGAGCTAAGCGTGCTTCGATTTGTTTGTTATATTGGTTTGCAGGAGAGTTTGTCTCTAAGGGAGGAATCAAGAATGAATATGTGGAGATACAGCCATCATCGAGATTTGATACGAGAGAGATCAAAGCAGAGGAAATATTAGAGGAAGAAGAAGAAGAAGAAGAGAGAGGAGAGATATTCGGAGAGTCATGCACGAATGGGTCAACGTCAAAAAGCTCATCGGAATGGAGAAACTCCGTGAAGACCGACGACCCTTTCTCCTCCTCTTCTCGCCGGAGTTGCCCTAAATGGGAATCTTACACCGTCTTCCAAAAATACGATGAAGAAATGACTTTTCTCACTAGGGTCTCTGCTCAAAAGCTTCACGAGACAGGTACAACATCATATATATAACAGGCACATACATTAATTTATATCCTATAGTTACCAATTTATTTTTGTGACAGAATCGTTAAAGTCAATCATGGTGGAGCCAAGATCAATATCGGAGAGGATCGTTCGAAAGTTATCATCAAACGTACACAAGAAAAAACAAAAACAACACACAAGTACTACTACTAATGGGTCAAGACCAAACCCGTACGTGGAGCTAGAATCAGCTTACGTGGCACAAATGTGTCTAACATGGGAAGCTCTAAGTTGGAACTACAAAAACTTCGAGAGAAAAAGATCAGCCACGCAACGAATTAGCTTCAACGACATCGGATGTCCCGCCGTGATCGCCGACCAGTTCCGTACGTTTCATATTCTGTTACAAAGATACGTTGAGAACGAGCCTTATGAAAATGGAAAGAGACCAGAGATATATGCTCGAATGAGAACTCTTGCTCCCAAATTGCTTCTTGTTCCTGAATACCAAGGTAACTAGTAATTATTAAAGTTTCATATCTTAAGATAATTTAAGCAATTATTGTGTTTGTAAATACGGTGGTTACTCGAGTGTATGTTACAATTATTTTGGATATAGATTACGAGGAGGAGGAGGAGAAACTAGAAGAGGAAGAGGAGGGTTTCAAGTCGAGGATAACGTCAGCTTCGTTCTTGATGATAATGGAGGAGTGCATAAGAACATTCATGAACTTTCTCAAAGCGGATAAAGAGAAGCCTTGTCAAAAGATCATCAAAGCGTTTTTTGGTAGACCTAAGCGAGGCTCCGTTGATCCAACCCTCGTCCATCTCATGAAGAAAGTCAACACAAAGGTCAATATTTTCCAACATCTATTTTTTTCACTACTACTTTATGACCCACACCACCATATCTTTACAAAAATAATGAAAACAATCACTTCTTTTAAAAATCTTTTTACATAACCATGATCATTGTTTGAGTATTATGAAAAGTATAACACTTATGTTTATTTATATAAACTTAAAAAGTAGGTTAAATGAGGGTTTTTTAGAATCACTATTATATAACGTGTTCTACTTTGTATGAACTAGTCTAAGATTAGCAACATTATGCTAGTTTTTTTAACATTATGTATTCGTAAGCAGAAAAAGACGAAGCTGAAAGAGATGCGTAAAGGAGGGAAATACATGAGGAAGAAGAAGATGAGCATAGAGGAAGAAATGGAGATACTGATGGGATTAATAGATTTGAAAGTGGTGTCAAGAGTGTTAAGGATGAATGATATCAACGAAGAGAAGTTGCATTGGTGTGAAGAGAAGATGACCAAAGTTAAGATTATTCAAGATGGAAAGGCGCTTCAAAGAGATTCCACACCACTTTTCTTTCCTCCACATTGACCCAACTATTTTTAACCAAATCTCTTGAATATACCCTTTATTCTTTCCCCACCCAAATCCTTCTTTTTCTGTTTTTTTTACAGGTCATTTTGTAGGAAATCTTTTAGACAAAACTACGAATAAAGGATACAATAAAGTTTTGTTTCGAATAAATAGATAGGGATATACTGTAGATTGCTTTAGTTCTTTATACTTTCTCTTTGCTTTTCCTTATCTTACTCTACATGTTTTTACTTTTAGTTTTTATTTGATTAATTTTCAGGCTTTATTAGGTTATAAGGTCACTCGTACACTCAAGGAATCACATCATAAGGTATATACCTTTAAGGAGGAAAATCAAACTACTTTTCCATACGTAAGATTCACATAGAATATGAAGTTATGACTGGTAATATATATAACAACACTAAAGAATCATAACTCTTAAAAACAGTCGATGTTGTTCTTGTAGCAACTTCCCGAAGTTTATCGAGCGGTCGTGTTATACTCGGAGACCTTAAAGTCGTTGACGTAGCCTAAATATTAAATCACTAGGGGATTACCCACGCCTAATGCGTGGGATTGAGTTAACTTTAATATTTTTCGTATTTAAAATAAATTATTATCGAATGAATATGTCATTTTTTATATTATTTTTAGATTAATATCTACTTTATTTCTTTATCAATCTATATAAATATTTCTAATATAATAATAAACATATTGTCTCGATTACTAATATTGTAGTTTTTTTTCCGTTTTGGAATAATAGATAGATAATTGATTATTTATTTATACGTATTATTATATGTAAGTTGTTTCCTATTTTCAAAGTACATTAATTACGTGATTCTTTCAAAAGATTATAATTTAAATAAATTTAAAAGACCTTTAGAAATATTGCTAATAAAATATAGTTAAACTTTTTTAAAAATTTATATTAAGAAAGCAAATAGAGAGATCCACTACAAACTATTTCGCAATGTTCTCGTCAAACAAAATCCGATTAACAAATTTTCCGCCGTATTTGTGAGTCAATAAAATTTCTGCAATTAGTTTAATTGTGCAGTATAGAATCACAAATTTCTCAAAAATATTATTTTACGTCAGAAGTCTTGTTCTAAATATTTTCTCCAAAAATAGGATTCCTCAAATCTACCAAAATTACAAATTCACCAAATTTTGACCATAAATTTTAGTTTAAAATTTGATTTAAACAAAAAAAAAACAAACTATTCCACAAAGTTCACGCCAAATAAAATCCGATCCACAAATTTATAGATGTAGATATCAATGACTTTTTTGCAAGACTGATTTCAAATTATTCTTTTCTCAAAAATATGATTCCAAACATTTACGCAGAAATAGTATGATATTTTTGTGTAACCATATCTCAACATTTTTATAGAGAAGCAAAGAATGAAAGAAAACAACAACTAAATGCTATACTTTGCATCATCATCTCTAATACATTGACGTCAGCCAGTATCTTTTTCTACCATCTCGTTGATCACTTCCAGGTCACCAATAATTTCAGAAATTTTGTTACCTGTTAGATAAATTGCCAGAAAAATAAAATTGTGCTTCAAAAAATAAGGAACGAAAAGAAGACAAACCTGCGAACATTTATAAGATTGTGCTTCAAAAAGACACAAAGAAATATAGTACATATAGTACACAAAATACATATATATTGTACTGTTTCCGAAAATCTGAGCTTGAACCCTATTTCCTAATATACTTTCTTCATCTTGATCTCTTCTACTTTCGTACATCTTGATATTATTTCTTATAATGAATGAATTCTGATTCATCTTTATTATATAATGTTTCATCAAATTATAATGAATGAATTCTGATTCATCTTTATTATATACTGTTTCATCAAATTATAATGAATGAATAAATCTATATTACGTACGTACACATCTTTCATCAAATTCTGATTCTATACGCAAAGGGATAAGACTTACATAATAAATGGGACACATCTTTCATCAAATTCATATTATAATATAAACTCGTATCATGTAAAAATGCGTATTGTTGACCTACTGCGGATATCGTGGTATCTCCTAATGCCTCTCAGTCAATGAATAATATTGAGACGGAAAAAAAAAGGTTAACCCGAGGCTCTGTTAACTGCCTAACTGGTCATGAATCGAGATACCCCAATTGTAGAAGTGATTATAAACACAAATGAATTGCCTGGATTAGGGAGGGATCTTAATAAACTAAGGAATTAGATTATATATTGTTAATTTAAGGAGCTTCTTTATCTACATAAACTGGTGCGAAGGGAACGGCCAATGATCTTGTAAGGGAAACAAAACAAAAAAAACCACAAAAAAAGCAAACATGTAGAGTGAAAAAGGAATAAGAAATTGTTTAAGTAACCTGAGTAGAGCCAGTGTCATGATTATCAAGGAATGTGACGGCTTTTGAAGCCACCATCACATTATGCCTTGGATTAGCAATGATTGTTTAATCTCTGGAGTGCTAATTCTGTATACAATAATTAACATAAAAAAGGTTATTTTTGTGTGATAGTTAAAGCGAGTCAACGAAATGACTTACGGTTCGGGGATGGCAAAACAGTTGATAGGATTTAGATGAAATCCGTGTGTCTTCAGGGAATGTGTATTCGAAGCTAAGGATTCTCTGGCTTTTAGAATAATCAAAGAGTTTATAGATAACTAAGATAATAAAAGAAACAATCATGTTTAAGTTGTTACCTCTATTGTCTTAGATAGTCTCTTGGCTCTTCTGGATCTTCGTTTTGATCAGATCAAAGCAACATGATGTATAAGATTATTCTGCACGACATATATCTGCAAACTGTTAATGTAACACTTTGATTATTGTATACCAATCCATGGAAAAAATCAGAAAACAATTGGATTTCTTTAAAAGACAATAAACAAAAGAATATATACTGAGAGATACCTTTCGTCGTTCAACTTTCCATCATCGTTGCACAGCTCTGATTATGCAAAGAACATGACCCTTTGCATCTTAATTATTTCCAACCTGCAAAAAAAAAAAAGAGAAAAAAAAATCCATGAAACGTCACCAATGGAATAAACAATCATTGCCATTTCGCAAAAAGTTTTTGATAACCAAAATCTAAATGTCTCCGTGTGAAGGATGATGGGAGGAAACATGGAGAAGTTTTGCTTAAATAGAGAAATGAGGTGATGCGGTATACGTTTGTTCGGGGGTGGGGAGGTTAGCTTAAATACTGGGATGGTTATTCTATGGCTCTTTAGGTTTAGCCACTTTGAGAATATTTTAATGATCAGAGTTGGAAACATATAATTTATTCGGATTTCATTACTTTAGAAAGTAATATTCGCCAAATAATTTTGTAATTATTGAATACTATGCGAAAGGAATTTTAGTTTATTCGGAATGAAATTTAGGAAATAATTGATAAACTCTGATATGAGCATTGATTATATGTATCCCAGAAAAGAAGAACGTGACGAAATATAAAACATTCATGGAAGGTTTCATATACGTGGTCATGAAGATACGTTAATTCGGTTTTTCCGAATAAGGCAATCTGATGGGACTGAAATATTTACGCTGAACGATATTAAATACTGAAGCCTAATAAAATTTCCACATTTTGCAAGGCCCAGTGCGTCGAGGTTGGACTCAATATTGCCACTTGTCGCCTTTTAAAAAAAAAACCGTCCCGGAGTAAGGATCCGCGTCCTTTACCGAGTGAGAAAAAGAATTTAGTTAAATAATTAAAAAATGAGTCCAAAAAACTGTGAGCTTGCCACATCAGCAAAAATGTATGGTCTTTAATATATTGTAGGATTTAAAACGTTATCACAAAAACAAAAACAAAATACTATGATTATAAAGGAAACATATTTACAATGTAGAATATGATCAAATTTTCCTTCTTCCTTTTGCTATTTTGTTTCGGAACGGTTAAATAAGAACCAAGGAAATCGCACATAATTGGGCCATTTCGATTTGGGCCTGGGCCATAACTTTGGAGACCATGTGGTTTACAATACTCAAAATCGCTGAATTATTATGCAATCCCATTCCCATGCATGAGTTACGAAGAATACCTAAGACACCCGTTATTTTTCATAGATTGAAACTACAATATCCATTTAAAAATATCCGTGAAATAATAAGATCCATGTATTTACAAAATTTGTACATAAATCGTATAAATTATTGGAAAATTTGTTGTAGTCTCAGTCGAATATATTAGAGGAGAATGAAAGAAATAAAATGGGAGAAGGTAAGTAAAGTTTTCTTGAGAAAAGAAATGATATAATCAGTGTTACGTGTGAATTATGGCGGCTAGGAGTAAAAAGCGTAAATTACGCCCACCGTTTAGAAGACTTTGCCAAACTAGAAGCACCACCTGTCTTCTTAATGCCTGTAGTAAAACCATATCAAGTTACACGACATTCATTGTAAATTAGTCTCATCATTAAAAGAGTATATGTACAAATTCTCAGTTTTGCTTACTTGATGATGACAAGCCCGACGTAACCTTAGCAACAGTCGATGTTGTTCTTGTAGCAACTTTCCGAAGTTTATCGAGCGGTCGTGTTATACTCGTAGACCTTGAAGTCGTTGACTTAGCTCTGAGATTGAATCATTTTAAAACGTTAACACAACAAAACAAAAACATCTCTAAAAATTTCATAACAAACAACAAAATATGATTAAAAGTTAACCTTTCTGAAATCTTGGGTGGTCTTTTAGCAGCATCCATGGGTGATCCTTGAGTTCCGACAGAAGCAACATCAGAGGTAGCCTCGCTCAACCTCTCCTCGTACTCTCCTTCGACGGAGGACGTGAAGCTCTCTCCATCGGTAAGAGAATGTCTTGACTGTTGAAACGACCTCGAGTCTTCCATTGATGTATCCGAGTTTATGTCATCGGTTTGTCCAAAACTCTTTCTCCTCAACATTGGTTTCTGAACTCTCTGAGGATGTTGAACGTCCTTTGCCGACTGAAGCCTCTCTATCTCTTCGTCTTTTCTCGCTATCGTGTCCTTAAGGGACGCTAACTGTTAAAAACCATCAAATGATTCTTCATGAGCTAATGAGTACAAGATCATAACAGAGGAGAGATCACGAGTGTTAAAGAAAGTATGTGTTTACTTTACCTGTTCCATTAAGTCTCGAACATCTTTACCATCTTTACTACTCTTTGCAGCACCAAGTTCGACCCCAGAGACACGTTCTGCGAATTTCAACGTACTCATTGACTCTGAATATGAAGTAGCGTCAGGATTGAGTTGCACAAACATTAGGGTTTTTGCTCGTCCTCCTATAAAAACAAAGTTATGATGATATGTACCTCTTTCTTATATTAGGGATTAATATAAGTTAAACCTAACTAACTAACCAAGAGAGCTTTGGAGTATTTGTGTTAGCTTGCTGTTTCTGTATGGTATATGAGAACTCTTTGAAGCTAAAGAGAAGATCACATCTCCAAGAGAAGACAAAGATTTGTTTATATGTTGTGCTTCTCTAAGTCTGTCTCCTTTAACTTCAGAGCGATCTACTCTCTCACTTCCTGCCAAATCCACCAAATGAAGATTTCCGTATAACACAGAACCGGTCTTCGTATCTGTGCCGCGAACGTGAACAGTGACAATGCTGCAAAAGAACTCATATAGTTTAGTGTAAGAACATGTTTTCTAGTTCCGTAGGGATCAAGTCAATACGAAGAAGAACCTGTGAGAGCGACTACTTCTTTCATTCAAGGCAGTAGAGCCAACGGCTCGGTTTTGTAGTCCAATGTCCATCAATGTAATCACATCTGAGGTTGATGTCACTGGAAACATGCTTGCATCTGGAACAGCCAGACCGTTTTGTGAAGTTGTAGAAAGGATCCCTAGTGTGTGCAGGTCAAGGCAAACCAAAAAAAGAATGGCTACACACTAACAAGTAAAGATAAAGCAAGAATTAAGAAACAAACAAAAGGATATTTCTTTTGAGAAGTGTCCTCAGTCAACAAATCAAGAACTTGTTCATTGTATATCTCCACCATTTGCACACCAACTTCATAATTTATGTTTCCTTTTCGTGATTGAGAGATTTTGAAGAGATCATTGAGAGCTCGGTAATTAACTCCCCAATCCTCTTCACTTGAGTCATCTGGACCAGTCTGAAACAACATAAACGAATCTTTGCATAAGCTTTCTATATATAATCTTTATTTTTTCTCTAGAAAATAACAATGAAGAGTGAAGACAATACCATTGTATAAGTCTTTCCTGATCCTGTCTGTCCATATGCAAATATACAAACATTGAATCCATCAAGTACTGACCGAACCAAGGGCTTTATGTCCGTAAAGACATCAGCTGCATCAAGAATCCAAAATATCAAAATGAGCTTGGAGATCATTTAACTAATCAGAAACAGAGAGGGGTAAAAGATAGATGAAACACCTTGAGTAGCACTTGGACTATAAACCTTATTGAACCTAAACTGGCGAAGACCGTCTTTTCCAAGTCTAGTGGGATTGGTAACTACCAATTCACCGTCGTCGCCAACGTACTCGACCACTGTGTTTGGTGCACCTTGTGAAGGAAGGAAAGGTCTCACCCGGCAAAACACTCTTATGTTTCCTGCAAGTCATCATCACAAGTGTATAGAGCTTTAACAAGGCTGCTTATAATGTTTTGAAAATGTACATATTTGTTAAGTAGAAACATTTAAGCATGATCCTATTTACCTTTTAGCTCTTGAAGCTCGTTGAAAAGCTTCCGGTTTTCGGTTAGTACAGCGTGATAGTTTTCAGCAGCATTGCTAAGTTCAATGAGTTTCTTTCCTGAAGAGAGACATATTTTGATTTATGAGCACTACAGAAAATTTATCATGAAATACATAAGCATTGGTTATAAGTTAGAACATTTCTCTAACCTAATTGGCTGAATTGTTCCGTATAGTTCTCTTGAACCTTCGATATTTCTTGCTTGATGGATCTTGAATAAGACCTCAATTCCTGAAAATTCAGCTTAATTAGCCAACTTTTCGATTATTTTAGAAAGTGGTTTGTATGAACATATACCTGTAGTGCCTGAGACTGGTGATCAATAAAATTTCTGTAAGAAACTTCCTTCTGACTCCAACGTTGGAGATTGGACTCAGATTTTTCCTCCATCTCTTTGACTTTATTCTTCCAGCTGATAATGTTCTGTTCAAGCTCTTGTATCTTTCCTTCAAGGCTTGTATTAGCAGTTCTTGTTTCCTTTTCCATTTCTTGAAGCTCTTTGATCTTTTCCTCAAGAGTCATTTTAGCAGAGTTTGCATCTTTCCCCATTTGTTCAAGCTCGTTGACCCTTTCCTCAAGAGCGGTTTTCGCAGTGTTTGCCTCTTTGCCAGATAGTTCAAGCTCCTTGAGCTTGCTCTCAAGTCCTGTTGTTGCAGCCATCGTTTGAGTCTCCATCTTAGAGCATTGCTGTTCGTATGCTTTCTTAGTTGTCTCTAGTTCTTGCCTTAACGCGGAGATTTCTATGTTGAACTGATCGTTTTCTTTCGATAGCTTGGCCATATCTTCCTCTTCGCTCTTCCATTGTTCTTCCCATTTTGCCTTCTCTGTCTAATATCATACATTAAAAAAAATCATCACATGTTAAGTTGAAATATTCATGTCAAAGGCCAATATAACAAAACAGAACATATTTGTGTTTTGTATACTAAAGTCAGTTTCTAGAAAAAAACAATGTACAGACCATTGTTTGGGTTTCCATTTGTGAGTATTGCTCTTTATGTTCTCTTTTAGTTGTTTCCAGTTCCTGTCTCAACGCAGAAACTACAATGTTGTATTGATCATTTTCTTTCAATAGCTTAAGCATATCCTCTTCTTCGGTTTTCTTCTTTTCTTCCCAATATGACTTTTCTGTCTATATCATACACAGTTTTTTTCTTTCAATAGCTTCAGCTTAAACACAATTTTTCCTTTACTAAAATCAGTTCATAAAGTATAAATGTTTACCTTTATCTGTCGAAGCTGTTGTGTAGCAATCTAGAATAAAAAACAAATTGTTCATTAGTAGATGTAACACATTACAACATTAGTGAGTTTTATGGAAACAAGATCCTAAGCAAAATGATTATTACCTCATGTTCTTCACCACTTCCTGATGCTAAGGCTTCAAGGACTTTGATTCTTGACTGGTACTTTTCCTCACGAGTTTTGAAAATGTTGTTTTGCTGCATGAACATAACAATAACGAAAAGAAAAATTACAAGAAACCAAGAAACATGCAAAAACCGGAAACTGAAACATTTCTTTCTAATCAAACAGAGTTTAGCAAGAAACTATACCGTTCTTAGATGCTCAGCTTGAGTTGAGATGCGTCGCTCAATCTCTTGCACGACTTTCCTCAACAGGCAAGCCACTCGCTGAGGGATTTCACCGTTCTTTCTTTCAATGCTTTCGTCAAGAATTCCATTCACAACGCTTAGAAGTGACTGCGTAGGAGCATTCTGCAATCAAGAACATATATAAGCCAAGAACATTATAAAAAGAGACTTCAAAAACGAGTAAACCATAAATCCAAGGTAAGGAGGAAGGAACATACATCTAAGCTATTGGATTTCATCATTTCGGAGATCTTGGAGGCGTGAAGATCATAACGGCCCTGTTTCATTTGGAAAACCTCATGAAACTTGTGTCCTCCATGGTGCATTGATCCAGGGGATGATGGATCTTGCAGTCAACACAAAGAAAATTAATTAAAGAAGTAATCACTTAGCAAGAAGAAAGATTATACACACACACACACACACATACACACGACAATTAATTAAAAAGTAATCACTTAGCAAGAAGAAAGATTATACACACACACACACACACACACACACATACGAAGACACTAATACAGAAGCAGTTTTTGAAGTACCTAATGTGCCAGAGCTGGTAAGGACTTCCTGAAAGCTTTTGGGCCTTTCGTCTCCAGATAATGGAGAAAAAGGAGAGAAAGGACTACGTGGTGTTTTGGAATCTGCAAGATTTGAAAATGGTGAAAACGGACTACGAGGAGTTGTTGAATCTCCATAAGGGCTCCCGGTTTGATCACGCATAGAATTCATTTTATGCGTCGTCAGAGAGAGGTCCAAAAAGTAAACTTATGGAAACACTACTTGATGATTAACACAAAACTGCTTCATTTCCTTAGCAACAACTTCCTGAGAGACCATGGTTTATTAACCACAAAAGAAATCAAAAAGACTTGAGCGTTAGATCAAATCCATAAAAGAATATAAGAAAAATAGACATAGAAGAACAGGAAGCTAAAAGAAACCTAAAACGTCTAGTTTCTTTTCTTTTTACACAAGCAAGCATAGATTGGTAATAAGAAGAACATGATCAAATGGCACCTGAGAAGACACAACTATCTCAGGTTATCACCATTCCAAATTTAAGCACTTACGCTAGATAATCACAATTCCATTTCATTAATCGAGGGATTAAATAATGGGGGTTTTTTTTCTTCTAATTCCACATGATTTTCAACAATTTCTCAGCATATGAATTAAGGATAATTAAGAAAAAAAAAACAGAAATGAGAGACGATCAAACAACACTGACAACTTCTGGGAATGCTATTATGCTAGCAAGAAGAAAACATTTTTTTTTTTAGATTAACCTAGCAGGAGATGAACAAAAGGGGATATTGGTGCAACAAGAGAAAAAAAAATGAAGACGAAGTCAACACATAGTTGATGAAGTCGTGATCAGCAGAATAAGATCATGACCACAATAAAGATATGAGGAGGATGATGAAGAAGAAAGCGATCGTTTTATCTCCTAATTACCTAGATAATCCGGAGGAAGATTTTCTCTGGAAAAAACTTGGAAGCGCGCGTGGAGGAGGGAGGTCCAACCTGAGAGAAAGCAAAGAGACGGAGAAAGGAGACGACGTGATGGGAATGTGGGTTGATTTTGATTAGTGATAATAAAACTCTGATTATTTTTTAATAATTAACAAATTAGCAAAAAGAATTACTAAGATTTTGTTGTTTTGGACTTTATTTGGGGAGGGAGCGCGAATGTAGGAAGATGAAGTAACAAATAGTATCATACGGGTTTATGACATGTGGCAAATCTCAGCTAAATTTGGAGGAAAATCACTGTAACAAATGTTCAACAGAAATTCTAATATTTGCTTAAGAAACGGTTTAACTTATAAACAAATGTTTAACAGAGAGAAATCGACATTTTTTTCCTTTTATTACGTGGGTAAATGGTAAATTTTCTGGAAGAATCCCAAAATGGTTAATTTCACTAAACCGGACACAATGGCCTATAGATCAAAGGAAAAAAATCAAAAATACTGATAATAAACTAAACCGGAGGCAATGGGTTTTATATGAAAACCGGTTCGGATTAAATGTTATAATCAAGTGAATTTGGTTCATTTCACCGAGAGAAACCGGAAAGTTTAAGCGCCGTCCGACTTGCTGCAAATCGATAGCCATGAAGAACCTTTTCTATTGTATTATCAGCGTAATGATTCATCAACCCGCAAGTTTGTCTTATGAGACACAAATGGAAAATTTATCTTAAAAGCGAAAGACCTATTAAAAATTTGCGAAACCATCACAAAAGTTTATGTACAAAGAACGGACAAACCGATATGGGTTATATCCAAAAACATGGAAATGAATGTTTTTATGCATCAAAAGAAGCCCAAACTCATGAAATTGTTGATCTTGTAGTGTTTAAAAAAGAAATTGTTGATCTTGTAGTGGTTAAAAAAATAGATTAATTTCATTAAACCGGAGGCAATATCCTATAGATCAAATGAAAAAATACGGATAATAAACTAAACCGGAGACAATGGGACAATACGGTAAGAGTAACCGGTTCGTATAAAATGTGATAACCAAATTCACCAAGAGTAAATCGCCTTCCGACTTGATGATAGCCATGAGAGGAGGATACAAGCCGGAGATCACAGTGCGGCGGTCAATCGCCGTCACAAAGCCGAAGCGATCTTCAATTTCGGAACCGTCGTTAGACATACACCAGAAAACGAATAATCAGGAGTCAATACCCCGACCACTCGGAGTCCTGACCCCAAAATCCAACCGACGTATCTGTAAATCGGAATGGCCTAGTAAGTCTTCTCGACGGCGGCGAAGGATAAAGCAGGAGAGAATCTCGAGATCCGTTGACCGCGAATGGGTGTTTTCCGCAATCAATTTCAGATATCTTAAAGGTCTGTGCATTGCAATCTCACAAGTCAACTGTTTATTATTAGATGCTGAGTTCTCTGATTAGGGAAAGTTCTTAGTTTCTTCTTCTGGAAATTCGATGATTCGGAGTTTGTTATTTAGCTTATTAGCTTCACGAAGCATCACACTCCCGTAATATGAAACGATGTTGTTCTGAAAATCATCTCTTTTCATTTTCTCAGATAAACTCGTTCTAGTCTCGTACAATCTACTCGGCGTCGACAATGCGGCGAACCACATGGATTTGTATTACAACATTCCGCCGCAGCACTTGGAGTGGAGTAGACGGAAACATCTCATATGCAAGGAGATTAGTCGCTATAACGCAAGCATCTTATGTCTTCAGGCAAGTTTATCTTATTGTATTGGATGATTAACATTGCTTTTTTCCATGTGTATGATATGAGAATGCAAAGGAATGTTGTTCGTCTCTTGATGAATGCTATTTCATGGTTATGATCATCATGTTTCACTTTCACTGCAGGAGGTTGACCGCTTTGATAATCTAGATGGTCTTCTTAAAAACAGGGGCTTTCAAGGTGTTCACAAGGTATATATGTATGAGTCAAAAACCATATAGTCTCAAATGTATTGAAGGTGCCTTTTCTTAATATTTAATGTTTTGTAGAGTCGGACTGGAGAAGCGAGTGATGGTTGTTCTATATTCTGGAAAGAGAAACTGTAAGTTGATATTTCCATCATTTGAGTCGGAATCTAGTCATCTGAACTGTCTAAAGAGATTACCTCTCTAATGGAGTTAGATTTTCCAGCTATGACACAGAATTGTGCTTGTGATTGCAGATTTAAACTTCTGCACCATGAAGAAATTGAGTTTGATAGATTTGGCCTGCGTAATAATGTTGCTCAACTCTGTGTTTTAGAGGTATGCACCATTTAAAGTAATTCTAGAACCACAGAGATAGGGCAAGATGCAGCTTGATTGTTGGGATTACTTAATTAACTAATCTGTTTGATCCTGTATTTCGGAACAGATGAACTGTGAGGACCCAAAATCTAAATTAAGAGCGCAATCTTCAGAGTATGTGTGGGTTCTGTTCTGGTTCCTTTATTGTAGAGAAGATTCAAGATACTGCTAAGATCTTTATTAATATTCACGCTCACTTGTGGTGGCTTGGTTGATTTCTAGGCAAACATCTACAAGTCCTCGAAGGCTAGTCGTTGGGAATATACATGTCCTCTTCAATCCTAAGCGTGGGGATATCAAGCTAGGCCAGGTATGTATTGCTGATGGAAAGCTGGCTTATCCATAGTATCTGTAGAACATTTTTCTCACCACACATCCTGAGTTTAGAAATGTCAATGCTTTTAGTAGTAGCAACACTTTGAAGAGTATCTTATGGTATTCATCTGTACGTTTATGCTTGGCAACATAGATGAAACTTCTTAGAAATTCCAGTTGCTTTGCTCGTTTTGTTGATATTTGGAATGTCACAAACTCTTAGGTAAGACTTTTTCTGGAGAGGGCGTATAAGCTATCACAGGAATGGGGAAATATTCCAGTGGCAATTGCAGGTGATCTGAATAGCACACCAAAGGTGATATTTACCAACTCTTTTTCTTTAGTTGTATTACTTATTGTTTTGGCTGAAATTTTTCTGAAACTTCTCAATTTTCTGGACAGAGCGCAATCTATGACTTCATTGCTTCAGCTGATGTGAGTTTCATTGAGGGTCCTGGACTCTTGCTTTACTTTACATTTCTCTTGGTCATTCAAATGAAATTTATATATTCCTTGTTCAATTTGGACAGCTGGATACACAACTCCACGACCGCAGACAAATTTCTGGTCAATCTGAACTCCATACGAAAGAGAGATCATTTAGAAACCATTATGCAGTTAGGTAACTGGAATTCGTCAAGTTGTTTGGTTTTGAATTTGTATCTCTTCTTCAGCCTACGTAAACAATTCCCCTGTTTTCCAGTGCTGCAGTATCCTCCATTTCCAGATCACAAACCAATGAATGGAGTCAGGAAGAGCTTCAGCTTGCAACAGGTGGCCAAGCAACTACTCATGTCAAACATCAACTCAAGCTTCACAGTGCATATACTGAAGTTCCTGTAAGTGTTTTTCATTTCTTGGTCTCTACTGCAATGTTGTATGATGTTGTTAGCTGTATGCTAAGACCTGAGCGCTGATACCTTTCAGGGTACGCTTAGAACGAGAGATCAATGCGGTGAACCGTTGGCAACAACGTATCATTCCAAGTTCCTAGGGACTGTTGATTATATATGGTAAGTGAGTCTGTTTTGATTTATCTACTTCATGGTATATTATGAAATGCTGATTGTTAATCAGAGGTGTTGAACCAGGCACACTAAGGAACTTGTTCCTGTGAGGGTTCTTGAAACCTTGCCAACTGATGTATTGAGAAGAACAGGTGGACTTCCAAGTGAGGTATTCATAACTTCTTTTTTTTTCTCTTCACTAGTTGTGTTACTTCTTTCATTTACAAGTCTTTGACCGATAAAAAAATTGCAGAAATGGGGAAGCGACCATCTGGCCATCGCATGTGAACTTGGCTTTGTCAGTGAGTGACAATGAGGCCAACGGGTAAAGAAACATGAGATCAACGTAGCCACATGACTTCGCCATCCCATGAGGTTTTTATATGCTCATGGAGGCTTGTGGACGACGGTAAGTTTGAAACAGCTTGGGTAGAGATAGTAACAAGTTTTGGGTTAAGCAAAGCACCCAAAACATAGGTTTGCTTACTTGAAACTGTTATGTATTTTTTAAATTCTTGTAATTGTTTTATTACGATTTGATTGGTAAGCACACCTACCCACACATTCGCCAAAAGTTATTACCAAAATCTCATGTTTACGAACGTGTACCTATGAGGAGCGAAAACCCATTTTGCTACAATAAGCAAACAATGTTAGAGACGTTACGTACGGAGTTTCTCAATCTGTTCATTCCCAGTTAATCTCTTATTAAGTGTGATTTGATGATGATAGGTTAATCAAAAGACCACACGTTTCTATCGAAAAGAGTCGTAAGAATGTTCTCCAAGTGTAAGAACGACATTGGGTGACGCAAATGGGACCAATCCACTCACAGTAAACAACACATCCATTTAAATTGCTCGCTCCCTTCTCTTGAAATTCATCATCACTAGAAAAAAAGCTCATTATGACAGTAGTCAACATTCCGACAAAAGCCCATGTCTTGATCTTCCCGTTCCCGGCGCAAGGCCACATGATTCCCCTCTTCGATTTCACCCACCGCCTCGCTCTCAGCGGCGGCTCCTCCTTAACAATCACCGTCTTGCTCACTCCTAAAAACCTCCCATTTCTCTCTCCTCTTCTCTCTTCCGGAGTCGACGTCGAAACTCTCATCCTCCCTTTTCCTTCTCACCCTTCAATCCCCTCCGGCGTCGAAAACGCCCAAGACTTACCTCCTTCCGGCTTCCCTTCAATGATCCACGCGCTTGGTGACCTCCACGCGCCGCTTCTCTCTTGGATTTCTTCTCACCCTTCTCCTCCCGTAGCCGTCGTCTCGGACTTCTTTCTTGGCTGGACCCAGAATCTCGGAATCCCACGTTTCGAGTTCTCTCCTTCCGCTGCTATCGGTTGCTGCATCTTCAACACTCTCTGGCTCGATATGCCCACCAGGAACAACGACGACGACGATTACGAGATCCTCGAGTTTCCCAAGGTCCCGAATTGTCCGAAATACCCTTGGTGTCAGACCTCCTCGATTTACCGGAGTTACGTTCCCGGAGATCCAGCTTGGGAGTTCATTAGAGACTCTTTCAGAGCTAACGTGGCGAGTAGTGGAGTCGTCGTTAACTCGTTCTCCGCCATGGAAAGTGTTTATCTCGAGCATCTCAAGAAAGAGATGGGCCATAGTCGTGTATGGGCCGTGGGCCCAGTTCTTCCGTTATCCGACGGTGGTAATCGTGGTGGCCCGACCTCGGTTCCCGTCGATCACGTGATGTCGTGGCTAGACGCACGTGAGGATAACCAAGTGGTGTACGTGTGCTTTGGAAGTCAAACTGTGTTGACTAAAGAGCAGACTCTTGCGCTCGCTTCTGGGCTTGAGAAAAGCAGCGTCCATTTTGTGTGGGCCATCAAGGAGCCCGTCCAGGAAGAAGACTCGACACGTGGAAACATCCTAGACGGATTTGAAGATCGTGTGGCTGGGAGGGGTTTAGTGATCCGAGGTTGGGCCCCACAAGTGGCAGTGCTGCGTCACCGAGCCGTGGGAGCGTTTCTAACGCACTGCGGTTGGAACTCCGTCGTCGAAGCGGTGGTTGCTGGCGTGCTGATGCTGACGTGGCCGATGCGAGCGGACCAGTTCATTGACGCGTCTCTGGTGGTGGACGAGTTGAAAGTTGGCGTGCGTGCATGCGAAGGACCTGACACGGTTCCTGACCCGGACGAGTTGGCCCGAGTTTTCGCTGATTCCGTGACCGGAAAGCAAACGGAGAGGAATGAAGTGGTGAAGCTGAAGCAAGCTGCGTTGGATGCGATACAAGAACGTGGGAGCTCGGTTAATGATTTAGATGAATTTATTAAACATGTCATTAGTTTAACACTAAACAAATGATTCAATCAAAATCATATTCAGATTCAAAATTAGTATATCCCCGAAGGAGTTCAAATCTGCAGGACTGTATTTTATTAAATTGACGTAAGATGATAAATTAGAATTCCTGAATCAGATTTTGCTGTAAATTACTGGATTCTGAAATTTTAGACTGTAAATAATTTCGATTTATGTGGAGTAAAAAGAAGCGGGTCAAGTTGGATAGGATTGGGCTGTGTCGGGTCAAGTTTAATAAGACCCGAAAACGAATCCGGACGTTTTGATTTTCCTTATCTTCTTCGACTCTTCTTCCCTCTCACTCACATATCCACACAACAAGCGAAATGGCTCTCACCGTGAGCAGCGGTGGCGGAGGAGCTACGATCCGCTGCACCGACCTCACCGAATCTTCTCGTATTCCATTTTCCACGCCCAGACTCGTAAACTTCACATATCCGTCGAGAACCCGTCTCAACGTAGTCTCTGCCGCCAAAAAAACCTCCTCCTCAACCGGCCGGTTCGACAGCAAGAAGCGTCGGAGCCTCGTCCCGACGAAGGAGCAGTCGGAAGAGCAAAACGGTGGGTACGACGACGAGAAACCGCCGTCTCAGACCGAATTCACAGACGAAGATGGAGGAGATAGGACTGTGGTGAATACTCGTTTCAGAGGCGATCCCGCAGACGCGCCGAAGTTCGCGATTAAGGATCTTCCTGGGCTTGAACCTGATCCATTCGAAGGTCCTCAGTTTGATGGTCTAGGGTTCTTCGTTCAGTACTTGTGGGCTTTCGGAATCCTTTTCGCGGTAATTCCAATCGATCAAATTCTCCAATTTCATAATAACAATCCTCAAATTGAAATTTCGCTCAATTGTGGAACAGCTAATCTCCGGCGGGATTGCGGCGGGGACGTACAACGAAGGAGCGACGGATTTCAAGGAGACGCCGGTGTATAAAGAGGCGATCCAATCTCGTGACCTTCTAGACGAAGCAGAGAGTTCGAGCTCGGAAGATGTGTTCGAGTCCAACCCAACAGAAGTCGCGCCTAGTTTGGAATAGTTTCAGTTTATTTAGACGAAGAAGAAGAAGAAAGACTGAATCTTTTGCTTTTGGGGTTAACCATATTCGAAGTTTGATATTGAGCTTGTTTGTGTTCATAATGTTTTACAGAATCAAAGCAAAAACCGATTACTAAAAAAATTAGAGTATATGCTCTGCTCTTCATTGTTCTGTTTCTTGATTTCATTTCAAGAACTGCAACATACCACTAGTTCCTTCTTTCACAAAGTACTTGGTTCTTGATTCATAGAGAAAACCGAAGACATGAGAATATATAATGTAACTAGAACACAGAGGTGGTAATTAAAATTGCAGATTTTAGATGAGTAGGAGAGATCCAGGTAAGATAGCTGCTGCGACTGCGAGGATTGTTAGCTGAATCTCAGACTTGGAACCAGATGATCTCAGAGGATAACCTAGCCCCATGAAACTGGTGGGTCTTGATGCAACTTGAGCCACGGGGGTTGCTGATAAAAGTAAAATCAGATCAGTAAAACTTTCTTTTTTTGAGTCATTACCTGTTTGAAGTAAAGTAGCTTACCAGCGACACTAGACTTGTTCTTTGAACCTTGTGAAACCTGAGAACCATTTGAGCTAGAAGGTGGTGGAGCCACTGAGGAGGAAACACTAGGCGCCACTCCTTCAAATTTAATGCAAAAAAATTAACTACTTAATTAGTTCTATGAAGGAAATTAAGCAACAACAAAGTTTACATACCAGGAGAGGAGGAGGAGGATGAGGAGGAGCAAGAGGAGGAATTGGCGGGAATGTTGCAAAGAGGAGGCAATTGAAGAGCAAGAGTTTGATTGATTGGGAAAGCAGGGGATAAAGCGGAAGTGTTGTTGAGGAATTGACAGAGACAGGTTGGTTGTTGGCTATAGATCTGGTTTAAGCCGTCACAACAAGGCTGAGCAGGGAGCTGGACGAAGCCTTGCACGAATGGACCACATGGAGCCAAGGAAAGAAGCATGGAGGAACATGTAGCTGTGGTGGTGCCTGGGATCATTTGAGCGAGAACCACTTGGAGAAAGGTTGGAGACAAGGTGATGATTAAGAGAGTGATGAAGAGAGTATAAGAAGAAGCCATGTTTCTTGGAGAATAAAAGTTTCTTTTTTCTTTCTTCTTTCTTTTGTGTTTAGAGAAAGTTGTGGTTTTTGTGAGTATTTAAGGTCGGAATCAATTGTTTGTTGTGTGTGTGTGTCACTGAGGACAAGTATTGTTATTGCACACATGATGTGTGTTGCAACACTTGATTTTCTTCATGTTTGTGTCTTTGTTTGGTGTTTCTCGACTTCATTCATATATTATGCTTCTTGTTTCGTGTTGACCAAAAGAAATTTACTAGACTCGCAAGCAAGTTACAGCCAGTAACAAAGATCAAAAGCTATATAACAGTTTAATTATTTTTAGTATATTATGACAAGACAATCATAACAACAAAGTCGTTGTAGTATAGTGGTAAGTATTCCCGCCTGTCACGCGGGTGACCCGGGTTCGATCCCCGGCAACGGCGTTTAGTTTTGTTTTTCGTACTTTTTTTTTACTGTTTTGAGTTTCTGTAATTAAACTTTTATTTTAGTCCCTCATTTTCAGGTTATTTGAGCTGAGTCCCTCTCTTCATTATATTTTACTTCACAAGCCCGAGATAAAGTAAATCCCCGACAAATCGAACTCACTTTATTACTTCCGGTCGGTTCTTAAACCCTCCGACGAAGCTCCGGTAAAAAACCTCTCCATCTCTCGCATTCTCGGCAGCTATGTACGGTGGAGGCACGTTTCTTTCCTCGATCCCTAAAATCTCTTTCCGATTGTGTTATACTTCAGCATTACTTCTTCTTCCGTTTTGCTTTGAGCTCAATTTCGTAAAGGTCTAAACTTTTTTCATGGTGGGTTTGAGTTTATACTGAAACAGATGAAGTGTCAGCTATCGTAGTTGACTTAGGCTCTCACACCTGTAAAGCTGGTTACGCCGGAGAAGATGCCCCCAAAGCTGTTTTCCCCTCTGTAAGTCTTTAGTTTCAAATCCTCGTCCAATTTGATTTTGTCTAAGCCTTTGAGTTAGGTCCTTTCAGTGTAGAGCAATTCTCGAAATTTAGGTTTGTTTGTTTTTTGATGTTGTGTCATAAGGTTGTTGGGGCAATTGATGGAATGGATATCGATGATGATGGTGATGCAAATATGAATTCGAACACAGAGGATGCAAAGAACAATGCCGTGGAGTCTGAGAAAGAAAAAGGCAAAAGGAAGCTCTTTGTAGGATCTCAAGCCTTGAATTTTCGCCGAGATCAAATGGAGGTCAGTGTTTTGTCTTGGACTGTAAATTTTAAAACTTCAAACTGGTATAGAGTCTCAGTTTCTACAAGTGTTGACATTTCTGCGTGTTTAGATAATTTCACCCATAAAAGATGGCATTGTAGCTGATTGGGATATGGTGGACAATGTATGGGATCATGCCTTTAGGTAACTTGTATAATCGTTAGTGTTAAATGTTTTAACTTCTACTTCTCCATTTATGGTTGGTTGAAGATTTCATTATATATAAATTTTATATTTTTTTCCAAGGAATTGTCTGAAGATTGATCCCAAGGAGCACCCAATGCTGCTAGCGGAGCCTCCTTTGAACACTCAGCAGCAAAGAGAAAAGTCTGGCTTCTCTGCTTACGTATACTTTTATTCAGTACTGATTAAACATTGGAGGTAGTAACTGACTTTATCTTATGTATTTTGTTCCTGACAGGGCTGCTGAGCTGATGTTTGAGAAATACAAAGTGCCTGCATTATTTATGGCCAAGAATCCTGTATGCTCCATTGCTTTTTATTTGTGTATCAGTGATTCTAGTAATTACAATTTCTCTCCCTGTTGACCTCTCGTCTGCTCTTGCTATGTCATGCTAGGTTCTCACATCGTTTGCTTCAGGCCGTGCTACTTCTTTGGTTGTTGACTGGTAAGACCTTGTTGACTTTATATACAGATTCCTTTCATGTTACCTCGTTCTCAGTTTATGTTATTCATCAACGAATCACTGATCGTATTCCCTTTTCAGTGGTGGAGGATCCACGACTATTTCACCGGTGCATGATGGTTATGTCCTCCAAAAGGTATATGTACAAGTTTCATTTTTAACGCATAAGTGTTGCTTGAATATTGATGTCTTATTATCCGTTTCCTGACAAATCTTGTTATGTACAGGCTGTTGTATCATCTCCAATTGGAGGAGATTGTCTCACTGATTGCCTTCTGAAAAGCTTGGAGAGCAAAGGGATTAAGGTAAGTTACAAGTTACAACTATAGTTACTCCGTTTTGGACCCAATTCATCTGATCTTCACTGGCTTTGATCCTTGTTTTGTAGATAAAACCTAGATACTCTTTTAAGAGAAAGGAAATACGACCAGGAGAATTTCAGGTAAGTCAGTTGCAGATACGTTTTAAAATGCGGCCTTCTGATTTATCATCTGAAAGAAAGAGAAATAGATAGTTTTTGAGAATATTTTTGTATGTTATTGGCACAGTAGATGAAACAGAGCAACTGTAATATGTTATCTCATTTTGCCTTCTTTTGAGTCCTTGCAGGTTCCAGATATAGACGTTTCTGGTACGACGGAAAGCTACAAACTCTTCTGTCAGAGGATGATAGTGAGTGATGTAAAGGATTCTATTTGCCGAGTTCCAGACACTCCCTATGATGGTACTTCTTTTCTCTTGGTGTGATTCATTTGCTCTTCTTCACAGTTTAGAGTAGTTTTGAAAGTATAGTAAACAAAAACTTGCTTAGTGTTCCTGATATTGTGTACTTATTCTACAGACAAGTCATATTCAAACATTCCGATGACTTCTTATGAGCTTCCTGATGGCCAGTAAGCCCCACTTTTTTCTGTTTGTTACTGTTATTTTTGAGTACTGTCTTTAGTCTCTATCGCAGTATCATATTAACTTGTGGCTTGCCAATGCAGGACGCTCGAAATTGGTGCTGATAGATTCAAAGTTCCTGATATTATGTTCAACCCTTCCATTGTTCAGGTATATGCACAACTTGTGCTTAATCCTATAAACTTATACGTACCAACGACGTGTTGAATCATGTTGCTCTTGAGTTTCAAGTTGCCTCTAGTTTGTCTGTCGAAATCTTGTTTCTCTAAGAACCGTCCTATTTTTCTGCCAGACGATTCCTGGAATGGAGATTTACACAGATATGCTTCCTTCTGTCCGAGGATTACCAAACATGGTACGAATATGTTTTATTTACTTGTACATATGACAATCTCTTTTGTTTTTCATGAACGAAAACAAAGAATTCTTCTTGCGACAGGTCATAGAGAGCATTAGCAAATGTGATGTGGATATTCGCAGAGAGATGTATAGTAGCATACTGGTAAAAAAAAGAAAAACCAATCCAACTTTGTTTTTTTTGTTTCTCTCTTTCTCTTAGTTGAATTTGTAAAATACATATCAATGCCATTCCTTTTCTTCTCTTTCACATAATTGCAGCTAGCTGGTGGAACATCATCAATGCAACAGTTGAAAGAACGCCTCGAGAAGGACTTAGTAGAAGTATAACTCTCTCTCTCTATCTATTGTTTTTTTTCCGGCTTGTAAGCAATCTTGTAGCTAAAAGAATCCGTTGGACACTTGATTTTCTTTCTTCTATAGGAGTCTCCTCAATCAGCACGAGTGAAAGTGTTGGCGAGTGGTAACACAACAGAGAGAAGATTCAGGTTTGAAAACAGAGTTACTTCTTAATTACTCTATACGGCTAATTTATGTTTCTGGAAAAAGAGTTGAGATATTTGTTAACCCGATTGATGTTGCAGTGTATGGATAGGAGGGAGTATATTGGCATCGTTAGGATCATTCCAGCAAATGTGGTTCTCAAAGTCAGAGTAAGTAAAAAACACATTCGATTCATTCTCTAGATTTCGACAACTAAACATAAACAGATGTTAGTTGTTACTTATCTCCTAACTCGGGTTTGTGTCCTTTGCACACACGTGACAGGTATGAAGAGCATGGACCTTCTTACATACAGAGGAAATGCCCTTAAAAGCTATGCTACTTGTATAGTAGTAGTAGGCTGCTGAATTGTTTGTTATGTGTTGCCAAGACGACGATGACCGTTGGAGACACTTAGAAGGTTGTGTAACTTTCCGAGTCTGCGCATTTATGCAACTTAACATGAAAAATCTGAAAAATATTTTCGGCAAAAAATAACACTTGCTTTTGAAATAGCTATGCATTAAATACAATACTCTAAATAGAGTTCCAAAAATATTCACATGGTTGGGTTTTTGACAATAGTACTTTCTCATAGCATATAAGTACACCATAACATATCCACCAATATTTTGACATGGGCCACGACCAATTTAATGTGGTTCTTATCCATTTTGGTTGACACAGCAAATAATCACATGCGTTATCCAAAAATAAATTTGGAGCGTGAAGGTGAAATTTAAAAACAAAAACAAAAAAACTAATAAACCGTAAATATTTGTGATTTCCTCTTTTTATTTTATTACCAAATTACTTAATTAGTATTTACTCTGTCAATTACTCATTGGTCCATTTGTGATTTTGTGTATGTTAGGTAAATTGACTTTTCTCTTTCTCGAAACGTTGAATTTACGTGTCGTAACATGTCACATTCCACACAACCCAATAACACGTTTCCACGTGGCACCAATCATGTCTCTCTTTTAGAAAGCTTAATCAGACCCTTCTTCTGGACGGCAAGAATCGCCGACGTGCCCCTAATTTATCGGTTTCTCCCAACTTTTTTTTTAATCATTTGGATAATTTTTTGGATTCTCGAATCTCGGCTTCCGTTTTCTGGGTCTCTGTGTTTTCCTTTTCTCCGATTCCGTAATAAATCACGATCGCGATTTTGGTCAATTCTCTCGAAGCAACAACAACAAAAGCATCTGGATTTCAATTCTGAAAAATCTCGCGTCTTTCAGATTTTTCCTCGTTGTCGTTTTCCTTAAAAGCTTGCGTGTGTTGGGGATAAATCATCGAATCAGATTTTTTTTTTCCGCTAGAAAATTTCTGATTTTTTTTTCGTTGTTGTTCCGATTTGAGAGAAAAGTGATGCAACGGATCGTAGACAACGCTCTCGCTGTCACCAAAGAGTGAGCCCCTTTCTCTTATCGAATCGATTACTTCATTCATCTGTTTAATCCCTAAAGTTGTTTACTTTCATGCACGTTACTCATTTCATGATATCTGCTTAAACTCTCTAATCCCATTTCTCAGTAGGAAAAAATCATGTATTGGTGGATTGTGTTCTTGTTAGATGTTCTAAGAAGGCGTAAATTAACAAGCTTTCGGTTATGTATTGGCTTTTAGTGCAGGTCAGTGAAAACTATAACATATGAGTCTTTGAACAACATTGCAAGATGCATCAATGGTGTATCAGCTCTTCTCTTGACAGTTCTTCCTGGGAAGGCTAATATTCTTGAAGGTCTCCATGGATGGGAACTCAGGCCTACGTTGCGTGGACCACGTTTGCCTCGGTGGATGCATAAGTAAAACAACTTCTCAATCCTCTGATGATTCTTTCTTCTATTGTTTAGTAGCTATTAGTAATCTTACTCTGTTTCGATTTTTGATTGCAGTGGGGTCTCTTCTTTCAACCACTTCATTCATGAGCTCTCTGTGGATTCTGATACTTCGAGCTTGGAGTATTCTTCTGGAGAGGATAGTGATGGTGCGTTGCCTGCTTCACCATCATCTCAAAGCTCACGCTTCTCTTGGGCCAGCGTCTCTGCTAGTTCTGAAAGTCACTGGACTGAGTGGATTACGTTTGTGCTTTGGTGGTTGATATTTCCTTTACGGATCTTGCTTTGGGTGCCGCAATATTTTGTGCGTTTGTTCTTTAAACGAAGCTCAAGACCTCCTATGAGCCCAAGAAGGAACCAGCATTCAGCTAGACCTCGTATTACTATTAGCAAGACTAAGTCAAGCAAAGACCATGATGTTCCCAACCGAGCTACTGATAGAAGACGTGGAGTTGTTGAGGTTTGTTGTGATGCACTTACAAATTTGTTCAGTCATGTTTGTGTGTGTTGAAACCTTTTCACAGACCTCTTCCTTACTTTATTTTGCAGGATCTTCATCTTGCTATCGAGATCTGCATAGAAGCAATATTTGATTTTTTTCACAAGGCTACACATCTGCTTCTTTCTCCATCGGAAGCTTTTGCAATCATGTCATCATGGTTCTCTTCCCGCCGTCACAGCCCTAATGAAAACAATGATAACGGTTCAGATGATGAGACTGTGCAGACTGCTACTTTGGGAGATCCTGATCCATCTGTCAAAGAAAGGCCAACGCGCTTATACAACTCCATGAACACAGATACTCGAACGTGTCAAGATGTCATAACAGAGCTAGGGTAGGGGGCAGCTTAGATGTCTTGTGCATTATTCTATTTCTATCTCTTTCTCAAGTATTTGATATTTTACTTAATTTTCTCTCCTTATTTCTTTAGGTATCCTTACGAAGCTATTCGTGTTGTTACATCTGATGGATATGTTCTTCTCTTGGAAAGGATACCAAGGTATTACTTTCTTGTGTTATCATTTGCTCACTTGTGGATCCTTTCCATTTCCTGTTTTCTTGTCTCTCCCTTAAATATGTGATTACTGACTGCTTTTCTTGTCTTTGCAGACGTGACGCAAAGAAAGCTGTTTTTTTGCAGCATGGGATTTTGGATTCTTCAATGGGGTGAGTCTCATGGTCTATCTCTTATATGAATTTAAAAAGTTGCAAACTTCTTTAGCTGAAATTTTAATATATCCTATAGCCAACTGAGGTTTTGATCCACAGACATTATTGATGATCCTTTTTCTTTTCTGTGTGTTCTTATTCAGATGGGTATCTAATGGAGTCGTTGGATCTCCGGCTTTTGCTGCTTATGACCAAGGTTCAAGCATTCTCCAATCTTTTTATCAATTGACGTACCAACCGCTTGGATTCTAACACTCTTTTCCTTCACAGGCTATGATGTTTTCTTGGGGAACTTCCGGGGTTTAGTTTCAAGAGATCACGTGAACAAGAACATATCCTCCAAAGAGTGAGTTCTTGATTTCAAGCTCGCTTCATATCTTGTCTACTTGTTCTGGCTAGTATCCTTATACTAGTATGCTTGCAAGCTAGTATTAATTGGTGTTGATCAAATGCAGGTACTGGCGATACTCTGTTAACGAGCATGGTACTGAAGACATCCCAGCGATGATTGAAAAGATCCATGAAATCAAAACTTCAGAACTGAAGCTCTGCCAGCCAAACATCGATGAGGAAATCAACCAGGAGGAGCCTTATAAGCTCTGTGCCATTTGCCATAGTCTAGGTGGTGCTGCAATTCTAATGTACGTCATCACTCGCAAAATCAAGGAGAAGCCACACCGACTCTCCCGGCTGATCCTACTTTCACCTGCTGGATTTCACGAGGACTCCAGCTTAGGTTTCACCATTGTTGAGTACCTATTCCTTTTTGTGAGCCCCGTGTTGATTCGCATCGTGCCTGCCTTCTACATACCAACAAGATTCTTCAGGATGCTTCTGAACAAGTTAGCCCGTGACTTTCACAACTACCCTGCTCTTGGTGGACTGGTCCAGACTCTGATGAGTTATGTAGTTGGTGGAGACAGCTCGAACTGGGTTGGAGTCTTGGGGTTGCCTCACTACAACATGAACGATATGCCAGCTGTCTCCTTCCGTGTTGCGCAACATCTTGCTCAGATCAAACACACTGGCAAGTTCAGGATGTTTGATTACGGGAGCAGAGCAGCTAACATGGAGGCTTATGGCTCTCCTGAGCCGATTGATCTAGGGGAGTCTTACAGGTTCATAGATGTGCCTGTGGATTTAGTAGCGGGGAAGAAAGACAAGGTGATTAGGCCTACCATGGTGAGGAAACACTACAAGGTGATGAGAGATGCTGAGGTTGATGTATCGTATAATGAGTTTGAGTATGCTCATCTTGATTTCACATTCTCTCACCGTGAAGAGCTTTTGACGTATGTGATGTCGCGGCTTCTGCTTGTGGAACTGACACCAGCTCAACAGAGGCAGACTAGTCAGAAAGGTATGAAGTTGAAGAAGAAGGAGGCTTAGTAGTGTAAGTAGCTAAAAACCAAACCGTGGCCAATGGTCAATGCTTAGAGTTTTGTGTCTTTGTATTGTGATGTTGTGTGCGTTTGTGTGTTCTACGTTGATCTCCTGTGGATTTGGCTGTAATATTGTACATATAAGGATTGATCTTGTTGAGAGAGGCTTTTTTCAGCAATATAATTGATGCTTCTGAATCCAAAAGATTACTCCATTTCATTGAAACTGTGATGGGTCAATCAATAGTTAATCTTGTTATACAGAAAATAGAGCAGTGATCAGTGAGTCAGGCGTTGCGTGATTCTCATGTTTCATGAGACATGTGGAGAAAAAAACAAGGAAACAATTCATTTTTTTTCCCGGCATAGTGTAGTTAAAAGAATGAAACAGAACAAAAGAGAAAGAAATCACAATTCCAGGTCCTCTAAAAGCCATAGTGAAGAAGATGATTCATTGGAGCTCTGATGGATCTTGAAGAAGTGATGCTCTTTGCGGATTCGAAAGCAAAAGCTGTTGCATGTCTTTTGGAAGTACACTGAACACAGCTTGTAAATCCGTCTTCAGTTTCTGAAACGTTCCTTCTGAATCTGCACTTCCTCCTCCTGATTCCCGAGACTGCAAAAGATTGTTTTCAATTCGTCATCACAGAATCGAATTCTCGAAGACTTCTCACTATGCAGAGAGAGATATTATACATAGCCAACTAAACAGATTCTCTATCTATACACAGGAAACATCTTGTTTGCTAATCCGGATGCTAAGCATGGGAGTTTTCTAAATCAGATGAAACACTCAGGCCTAAAAGAAAAGAATCCAATGCAGAAGAAACATGGCCATGCAATAAAGAGTCAGAAGGGAAGATAAACTAACCTTGACTTCCTCACTGATGTATCTCTCAATCGCATTGAAGGAATCCACAGCTTCCAATTCATTCATCTGAGACGTAATCAGTCGCATATCAGTCTTCATTCTAGCCAACCTCCATAATCTACGTTGTTCTTGCTTGGCAACAGCACGCCGTCTTTGGAACCAGGGCATAAAATTAGGCCCTTGTAGAAACCGCCTAGAAAGAATATGAATGGTTTAGACCACAGACCAAGAAGACAAATTGTGAAACTCATTATGTCAACATGGAAAAGACTGTATATACCTATACAAGTCGGGCCAATTGGATTTCATGCGTTTAGACAAGAACTTCCCAACACCTCTCGCAGATAAATTTGAAAGAAACTCATCAGCACCGAACAATGGGAGCGCAGGAGGAGTAACATATGGGGAAGATCCATCAGAAGGAGCATTAACCTGGAAGTAAGGACCAAATGGTGCCAAGAAATTCGTAGTCAACTCCAAGAAATGCCGTCTCAGAATCTCATTATTCACAACTGACATTGACTCCTCAACCCTCGGCGACATCCCAGCATCGATAAGTCTATTCAAAACAGAAGTGTCTGGCTTCGTTATCGCAGAGTAGGTCGTCCACACAGCTTCCTTATGCTCCGTCATGAGACATAAAGGTCCATCTCTCCTGAGCTTTACTGCGTTTAGCAAATTCGTAGGAGAGAATCTTCTCAACGAAAGCTGCTGCACACCTAATCCTTCAGCCTTGCCAGATACTCTACCTGCCGACCTACTTGAAAACGCTACACGGTTTGAGTTCGGAGCTGGAGTTCCAACCGAGACAACATGAGGCATGTTCCGAAGAGCCTTAAGGAAGAAAAGGTTGGTGACACCTAAAACCATCGGAGGGAAACTATCTCCTTCCCGGAGTGAGTTCAACCGAGCAAACCCCGGATCATGTATAGTGAAATACGGTCTAAAATCGACGCTGCAAAACAACGGCGCAACCAAACTCACAAGACAAGCAACAGCCTCTGAACACTGCGGAGGCGTTGGCGCTATGATGAGGATAGGCTCACCGATAAGAAGCAGCTCCCACAACGTCCACAGCTGCAACAACAGCCCCCTGTAAACCCCAAAGAGATCAGCATCATGGAAAAGTCCCTGAGGAACAGACTGATTCGTTGGAAGCAAAGGAGCCATTGAAGAAGCAGACTCCTCATACAAAACCCCATTTTCCAACGGAAGGCTATGAGCAGGAGGCAAGTTCACCTTGAGCGTTGCGTTACCAATCGGTAGCTCCATTAGCTTGCCAGGCACAGGGGGAGGCCACATGGAGACGTAACCAGCAATATGCTCAATAGCTTTATTCCCAACGTCAAAATACAAAGGACCAATGATTTGAAGCAATGGTCTAAAGACACTAGAGTAAGGCGTGTGAGATAGTATCACCACAGACTTCTGCTCACCTCCTCTTTTCAATCTCTCATCATGCCTCTGCCTATTAAACACATAACCATACAAGTACCTATCACCACCACCACCACCACCTACCTCCTCCTCCTTCTTCGGTCTACGAAACCGGAAAAAGAAAATGCAGTCGTGTATGCTTGACCGGTTATGTTTCTGTGAGACGGAATCGGGGAAGGAGTTGAATGAAACCTCGATTTCTTCTTCTGGTGAGAGACGATTCGGTGGATAACACTCTTCTAAGAGCTGGCCTTGCTCGAGATCAAACCTCATAATGCAAAATGCGTGAACCCATCGTTTCAGAGACTCCGGATCAGGCTTTATACTAAGCTCAGACCTCGCTGAGAACGATGGAGACCGACTCATTTCGAAGATAACCAAGAGATTCTCCTAACCATCAATAAAAGTTCCCAGTTTGGGGATCTTCATCATCCTTTATACTTCCCCAATAGAGAAGATTCATCTAGCTATCTCTCAGATTTGGTGGGTTTGCTTCACGAAACACTTTCGCCGCCTGAAATTGAATCCCGAAGAGAGAAATTCGTGAGCTCAAGATGTTAGATCAGAGCAAGAAACGCCATTTAGCAGCTCCAATGGCTTCTATCGAATCAACACATCGTGTAGAACGAACAGGGGACGGTTTTGAATGGGATGGAAACAATGGGAGAAATTAGGTTTCTCTGGGAGGAGGAGAAGAAGAGGAAGAAGAAGATGGCTTGCAATTGAATACGTGATAACTATTAACTCAAAGTTTGGGTTTTTCTCAGGCGAATTTTGGCATTTCGATTCGAAGGAAGAGAATCATCGGAACGGAAAAGCTAACTCGGAAATAAATATGATGATGATTCATAGTTGTTGTATCTCTTTCTAAATTGCTTAATAGATCCTCCTTTTTTACACACTTAAACAAAAAAGGTATCATAAAAGTTTTGAGTGCACAATTGCACATAGCAATTTAACTACTATGTTGTTTAATGGGTCGTAAAGTTAAATTTTCATGACATTCAAAAGATATTCTCTTTCCCACATTGAGCCAAAAATCAAATAGGCGATGCGTATTTATGGTAATTGTTAAGATAAGAGTGTGTGATTTGTAAGAAAAAAGCCTTTAAATTGTGAACCTTGAACTTTGATGTATAGTGATCTTGGTGTTGTTTCTTGCAAGTAAATTGATTTTCTTTTATTCAATGAACGGAGCAAGGATCAAAACAAGTCCTGACTATCTCAAGAATTTGTGTTTTTTTTCTTTCTTTCTGGGACTAGAAACAGAATCAAAACACTCACAAAGATTTGCTCTCTAAAGTTATGTGAAAGACAAAGAACTTGCAGCAAATGAAACCAAATGCAGTTAAATAGCAGCAATCCTTATTTGCTTTTTTTCTTAGAGGTTTGTTTCTTGTTCTTGCTCTTGCTCTTGTTGTTCTTGCTTTTGTTGTTCTCAGTCGCAGTCGCAGCAGCAACCGGTGGTGGTGTCTCTTGCTGAGGATCTTCAGTTAAAATGGTGTGAAAAAACTTCTTGGAGGAACCAACTTGGTTGCAGATTAGCTTTAGCATCTTCCTCCCTCTCATCCATTTCAGCAACAGCTTCATATGCGTTTTGCTGTTGATTCCACTTACCCCTGCTTCCTATTGTTATGCAATACACACACACACACAATCACTAAAATGCTGAATCAAAACAAATCATCACTATTATCAAAACATTTCAACAATCCCCAAAATTCTTAAGAACACTTGACAAATGTCAAAGCTTTAAATCAAACAAACAATGCACAAGCAAAATAAACTATACGGAATCAGTAACAGATAATCAGTCAACGTGTAAGAGAAACTAAGGATCTAAAATCAAAATCAAATTTTAAAATCACAGGAGTGTTGAAGTTTCAGATCAATTTGTGGAAATGAGGAAAATTTGGGAAAAACCTGAGCGCGGAGCCAAGTGTTGGGAACGGAGAGAGGGCCATGTTTCTTAAAGACATCGTAGAGAGAATTGGAAATGACGTAAGCTTCTTGGATCGGAACTTTAGGGTTTATCTTCCGAACGTTTACGGCTCGTTCTCTCGACATGTATCTCACGAACAGAGAGTTACTACCACTCATCCCATTCTCCAATACACCCGTCGCTCTGCAAAGCTTCCTCAGTGCTCCTCCTCCGCCGGCGAACCACATTTTCTCTTCCTCGCCGTCGCTTTCACTCTCTCTCTCTCTCTCTCGTCCTCGATTTCGTTTCGCCGGAATAACTTTAGGTCTCTCGCGTCGCATTTGGTCATTTTCACAGCTAAAGCATTTTTAAGCCCAATGGGCTAGCTTTGGCCCAATCTTAGTTTCTGTTAGTTGACTGTTAGTTACCCATAATTTACCCGCCAAAATTAGTAAATATACCCAGCACTGCTTCTAGACACAGAAATAGAAGAAATATGCAAGAACGAAAACAGATTATATCATACAACCACTGAATTGTATAATTAGATGATATACAAAAGGCCAAAAACGTAAAAAGGCATACGATTTTATACAATTGACTTTTGCTTGGACCTAAACTCAATGCTGATTCACACAAATAGAAAGACTCAGCAAGATGCGAAGTAAAATGGTAACTATTACGAGTGTGAATCTTCATCACCTCGCTTACATTTATATATACACATTCATCATCTTTGATCAAAGATGATCAAGTTAGATGTTAATTAAACATCATATACGGGGAGCCGTTCTTCGATGTTTATACGGCAGAAGGGACACTTTTTACACTTTTCTGAGCAGTCTCTGCAACGAAACATGGCAGCAAACACACATGAGCAGAAGAAACATCAAAGCATGAGCCAATAATGTCGGAATTTCTATTGCAAAAGGTCTGCAAATTTCACTTGGTAGAGATTCTTCATACCTGCAAAGAACACGGTGTCTACATGGAAGCAGTACCACACTGATTTCTCTTTCGAAACAAACCCTACACAGCACTTTCTCCTGGAACACAGAGAATATTCAAACATGAAAAGTCTGAGGGATAAGCAACATTGAAAGAGAAACGATTGTGAAAGCTAAATGCTGCTTGAGGAGAAGAAAAGAGCATTACATTTTGCAGTCTCTCATATTCCTGCTGGCTGAATTTCGTTATTTCTGTTTGCTCACCAAGTGCTGCTTGAAGTCTCCATACCTACCACGCAATTATAGAGAAATAATGAAACCAGAGGAAAAGAAGACTTTTTAACAAACATTTAAGGAAACAAACGACATATTTGCAAGTAAGATAAGAAATTGGAAATACCTCCTCAGCAAGATCTTTCTTAGGCATTTTCTTGACTACTTCAGGCGGATGACCACAAAAGGTATTGTAACTGCACCACACATTTATCTTCAGCAAGAAGTTGGATATAAAAATTTACGTTGGAAGATGTAGGAGGTCGAATTCAACTAACCCAGATTCTTGATCAAAGTATAGCCGAGCTTGCTCCTCCCGGCTTCCTTCATCAATTGACCACCACCCTAGTAGCCTGAGCACATAGAGGATCAAATGTTAGGCATCAACTTGAGTGGATGTCAAATAAACTTGTATATTTGGTGGTTAGCTTCCATAGTTTATCACCTTGATCCATGGTGCAAGAAACCAAAGCAATCATGGGCTCTGGATGAAACACTAAAATACAATCCTGTATCATCTTCTCCCCGCATCAACAGAACAACCTTCTCTGTCAATTTAGAAGCAGAGAATAGAACACCAGCGCCTTGCAGTAGGAAGAGTGGAGAAAACAGGACCGGAAGAGGTATATCCTTAGCAGCTTCAGGAGTTCCCTGAAAGCTCAATAACCACAAAGCTTGATTTTCTTGGTAATGTCCAATCACAAAACAAAATTAGAAATGTTGTGTACTACCTCAAGATGCATGCAAAGTACCACTTGAAATAGAACAAGGGGGATTTTCATAATATGACCACCAATATCTTGCAGGCCACAGGTTCCATCTTGGTCCCTGTCGTCTTCTGAAAAACCCACAAGGCCACTGTTCCAGTCAACGTATCTAGCAGTGTTAGTAGAAGATGACCCGGGTTCTCTGATACGTGGGCTTCTATGGATAACTGGATTGGACCATTTTGTACAAACAAGAAAAGCAAAGCACTCTGCAATTCTGCAGGCAACATGTACATATTGTTGTTACCTCCATGATCAGTTCCACCAATAGCATTAGGAGTAGAAATAAATCTTTAACAGCAGAAGGCATACCCGAAATTAATGAATAGATCCCACCAGCCAAGAGCAGCTACATCGCCTGATTTGAATAAAATATGAAAGAATTAAGATACAATTAAAACACAACCACCCATCTAGGACAGGGTTTATATAAGATAGGATTTACATAGGTCAATAACCATATGGTTATAAAGACAACTGAAGTTAAATTTGATTATATGAATATGTGCACACAAGAGGAAGTTTCTTGCAAAGGACATTTTCAATGGACACTACACAGAAAATGGTTTTGCTAAAAACATGATTGTGAATTCCAGGAAGTATAACACCAATGGTCGTCTTTAGACTAAGTAAAATACTAGAAATTTTAGCAACTATTCCAGCAGAAAATTATTACCAGACAGCTTTAGGAGGGTAAAGATTGTAGCAGCTAGAAAGAACACCATGGATATCGCAACCCAGAAATGCTGCAGACAGAAGGAAAGAGCATCAGAAAAGTTTATTTTGAATATCAAGTTGCTTCCTACCCACCAACAAAGAAGTGGAAATTTCTGACTTAGTGTAAGCTAAGATTACCCAAATTGACGAAAAGGAGAACTTCTCTCAACCTATGACTTGAGAATGTTATATTATAAAATATGAAAACGGGTTATATATGACTGATAAGCTCACATGTAGAAATGAAATGCAACTTAAGCAAGTAAAGAGAGAGGAATAGAGGAGTCCCAGTCTTAAGCTGTTGAATCAAGTAATATAAACAGAATCTCAGGCCTTAAATCAACAAATGTAGCATGACTTACAGGAAGCGCTTCCCATATTGCTTCATCATTTATGCTCTCTTCATCTCCAGGCATCAGTGCTCGACACATTCTGAAGATAAAACGTGAGGTAATTAGATACTTCATATAGAAATAGCAGAGAAATGCCTCTTCCAACTAAGGAAACAGTATAATTAACTATAAAAGTCTACTTCCAGTTATAAATCCACATCACTGGTGCTAGGTAATTTATATCCTATCTCAATACCTGGCATTGTCCACCAGTATAATTACTTCAAATGCCAACAGCGGGAGGAAAACAATCTTCAAGCTCACAGCTGGTGGCCAACGAGCTACATCATGAATACAATAGCACAAAATTCCATTAAACCGGGAGGAAAAAAAAAAAAAAAGGGCTTAATACAGCAAGAAAATACAGAACATGCTTAAATGTTTTCTGTGATGTTATCCAACTTAACCATTAATCAAATCCAAAAAGCAAAAGTCGAGAAGCTTTGTGTCATAGTCAATCATATGCTTCACCAGATGAATATTAACACAAATCAACTATTTTCCTTGTCTAGATACCAAATCACAAGAGGCTTTAAACATCATATCACAACATCATAGGATCACAAGAAGTATGAAACTGTGAGTAAGCCGTGGTTATATACCATATGAACTCTCGAGGTATACACAGAGGAGCAATTCAAAAGCTACAAGCAACGGTGTAGCCACAACAGCATGACACGGTGCCCACTGTACACCAATAAACAATCATTACAAGCAAAAATATCACAAAATGTCACCTGAAAGTTTATCAGTTAGTATTAGCTATCGATTTACTGAGTAAGGGACATACATGGCGGTTACGAGGAGCGATTGGAGCAGGAAGCGAGAATCTTCCCCTTGCAACAACAGCATGGAAAGCCCACAGAGGTAGGCACACAACCCTGCATGACCAATGCGACCAATACCATGAAATGGATAACAAACCAAAACCACACACAAATAATAAAAGAAGAGGCAAAACCCTAGAGTCAAAGAAAGATGAAAGAATCTGAAACTTGAAAAAGAATATCCCTACGACTCAATAATGTAGATAGATGACATCATTTCCCATTGCAGTCCTCAAACAAAATCCAATATGTTTCTTCAAATAAAACATAGTACTTTGGTACATCAACACGTGACACGATCTCGCATGTTTCCTTGTCTTAGTACCAGATAAAGAGTGTACTGTAGTGTGTCTTCTTCACAAAAATCAAACAAGTTTTCCGAAAAAGGAAATATTCCTATTTAAATTAGAAAATTATTGCCGTGAATTTCATTATTTTAAGGAGAAATCGATAGAGGCGATCAATAGCTTTTCAGGCTCGGAACCAAATTTGAATTCGAGTTTTAGACAGAACCAAGCTCTGGATTCGAAATTCAACGAGAAAGAAAAAAGTCTGAATCTTTAACACATAAGAACCAATTTCGAGATACGCAGCCCATTCCAAAGAATTGAGTTACAGAGCTTCCCAGATAAAGGAGGAGAAAAAGAAAGAGTGAAACTAACCACCAGGAGTATGCGAAGGTGTGGTCGAGCTTGAAAACCAAACCGAGCGTGAAACACAAGAGTAAGCTATGAGCCGCCAAGGCTTGTACGGACTTGAACACTCTCCGACAGTTCATCGTCTTAATTTAAGGATTTGTCTCTACGGAAAATGGATTTCTCGCTTTGCCTCCATTCTCTCGCTCAGAAATCTTTCCTCTATCTCTCTCTGTGATTCTCAGTAATGACGATTGATTCGACAAGACGCAACTTGAGAAATCCAAGCAATGTTTTCACTTTTCAATTCCACCACAGTGCCTCTCCTTCCCTTTCCCTTCTTTTTGTTTCTTTCTCTATGTTTTTTAATTTTATTTTATTATATTTTATTATTTTTTGTGGTTTTAATTTTATTATATTTGGAAACTATAGCAAACAATTTCCTAGTTTTGTTGAGTTTAGTTGCAGCTCAAATTCTTTAATTGCCTGTGTACTTCTGCAAAAATATTAAAACTCTCTCTCTTGCAAACCAGAGTTGAAGAGCGTTCCACGTCAGTTTCATGAAGTAACGTTAGAATAGAGACAAGTGCACATTTCCTACTACTAATGGACCGTTCTGATTATTCATTACCTGCAACTTTTTATTTTAATACTACTACTGCGCAACAAAAAGTCATAAAGCCAACACCTAATCAAACAAATCACAGTTTCTTTATCCACAACCCTAAATAAACTATTTCTAAAACAAACCCACATCAACAAATCTTGAAGTTAGTAGATTACATTGACTCATCATCACACCTTGCAAGTTGCAGCAACTAGAACTGTGTCACTTCCAAGTCACACACATTGAATCTATGCATTACTCAGATAACAAGAGGACCATCATGTTGACAAAGGGACTGGCTCGGATCGAACCTTAAGGGTTGTTGTTGAACGCTTTGCTTTTCAGTTTGATTCGGAACTTAGGAAGCGGAGGAGGAGCTTCTGTACCTGCAGATGGCTCAGCCTTTGGTTCAACTTTGATAATTACGGCACCATCAATTACTATTTAATAATGCTCTGGCTGCTGCCATGAAGACAGCAAAAACAGTATACTCTGTTCGCAAAAAGAGACATTATGTCGACATAATTAGACCTCATATAACCTGACACAACCCACTCGACCAAATGAAGAAGAATCATCTTTCAACCAAATACCAAACAAGAAATCCAACAGTCTAACGAAGAAGATAAAGCGTCACCGATTCCTGCAAGCACTACAGGAACAAATTCTTCTTGAGATCCCACCAGTGAGCACTCTTCTTCTTCCTCCAAAAGCCTTCACAGCAATTCCAAGCTCAAGAGCTTCAATTCTCCTGACAGAGACCAGAACGCTCTGCGCTACTAAAGCTGGTTCTGGTTTGAGATTACGCCTGTCATCAAAAACGCCACGAATGGCCTGAACCGCAGAGCCAACAAGGGCTTGAGACGGTCGAAATGACTTCCTAATCCACACATAACTATCAACCTCACATTCATTTCCGGTGTGCTTACATACCTAACACTACATGCCCTCTTAGAATCTTGAAGACTGAAACTGGAAATAAGAAACCAAAGTAGGAGTGTAAAATTGTGTAATTACATAGTACTCATTTTATATATTAAGCCAAGGTTCATCAAAACCATGGACCTAAGCTCATAAAATTTCCTCATCCGAATTGGATGAATAAATAAGGGCAAATTATCTATAAAAACAAAAAATTAGATTGCAATTTAAACAAAAACAGCTTATCCCCAGACATTATCAGCATATAAGACCTTAATGGTAGACGAGTCAGTGAGGGGATCAAGTTTGAGAAGAGAACCGGACCGCTCAATCTTGCCCCAGATCTCTCGTACTCCGGCCCGCCAGTATTCCAAGGAAATCTCAGCAGACCAGAGCTCCAAACTCTCGGAAGCTAGAGGCTGGGCGTTCCAGAAGATGACAATGTTGGCAGAGTTTCTGCAGAGTTTGGTGATATCACACGAGTCTTGTTGAAGCTCTTCCAAACCCTTGACTTCCTGCCAATCCAACTCCTCTGGCAAACACCACAGTATTCTCCCGCGGTCACCGCGACAGAACATCACGTTCCCGGCGATGATACACCAGTCGTCTCTAAACCCTGGCTTGGAATCTGTTTTCCCGCTTGCCACGAACAGAGGCCTGCTCGGCGTGAAGGAGAAGCTTTCACCGTCCTGATCCAACACGTGGAAAGCATTCGTTTGGTCCATCACCAGCGCGCTTTGTTTGATACTGAAGGGCATCTTGGGCGTAACCGCAGACAGCAACTCCCAACTTCTGGTCTCGGGATTGTACACCTCTGCCCAGTTTGACGAATCAGCCACGTCATCCCCCCCGATTCCTCCAAACACGTATAGCTTCTCTCCTATCAGCCTTGCCGATGCGGAGGCACGAGCCACCTTCAATGACGGAAATCCCCTGTGGTACCATCCGTGCCCGCAGCAATCGAAAAACGCGACGTCCCGAGTGGGTTTGCCGTTTACGAGTCCGCCGATGATTAAGATCCCCCAACCCATCACCACGTAAGAGGCCGATGATTCCGGAGACACATACTCGTGAGGATAGATCGATTTCAGCCGATGTTGCACCGGGTGGAGGATGAACCACCGTGGGGTCGGTTCTGGAGAGATGTGCAAGCACACGTAGAAAGATGGCTCGATCCCAATCTCATCTCTCATGCGATAGAGCTCAGGAGAAGTTACGAGAGACCTGTGTGCCTTTGAGGCCACGGCCAAAGCCGCCAGGTCGAATCTCGACACCCGAGCCAGGCAGGTCAACGCCACATCATCTGGCAACGACAATAACCCAGTCTCCTTCGTCTTCTGTTTCCCCGTTTTCTTCAGTCCCAGTTTCCGACATCCCCGAATCGCAGATCTTCCTTTCATTGATTTGATTTTGATTTCCCTTCTCGCTTAATTTCAACCTAGGGTGTTTCTGTTTCTTCTTAACTCAGACAGAACCGCGCTATCTATCTATCTATCTATCTTAAATAAAGTATTATCGGATCCTTGTCCTGTAATTAAAAGGAAAAGGAAGCATATTGTTCGAAAATATTTTCTTATTTCTGATATTATTCTGATTTTCTAATTTGTTAGTTATACAAAATTATAAAATAATAAAATGGATAATTTGACACAACAAGAAGGAAATAAATTCTGATTGACTTTCACGAATGATTTTAGATTTTCATTTGTTTCCGTATTTATTTTCACCGATCGTAATATAATTTTTCAGTAGTCAAACTTTCTAATTTCCAGTTATATTCAAAAATATCAAAACTCTCTCTGTCTCAATCTTTCTCTCTCTCTCTCTCTTGCAAGCCAGAGTTGAAGAGAGTTTCATGAAGTAACGTTAGAATAGAGACAAGTGCACATTTACTACTACTAATGGACCGTTCTGATTATTCATTACCTGCAACTTTTATTTTAATACTCCTGCGCAACAAAAAAGTCATAAAGCCAACACCTAATCAAACAAATCACAGTTTCTTTATCCACAACCCTCAATAAACTATTTCTAAAACAAACCCACATCAACAAATCTTGAATTTAGTAGATCACATTGACACATCACACCTTGCAAGTTGCAGCAACTAAAGCTGTCACTTACAAGTCACACACATTGAATCTATGCTTTACTCAGATAACAAGACGACCATCATGTTGACAAAACAAAAGAGAGGACTGGCTCGGATCGAACCTTAGGGGTTGTTGTTGAACGCTTTGCTTTTCAGTTTGATTCGGAACTTAGGAAGCGGAGGAGGAGCTTCTGTACCTGCAGATGGCTCAGCCTTTGGTTTAAAGGTGATCAATATGGCACCATCACTTGGTCTCTCTGGTTTAGCCTCCACGACTCTCTCTGCCTTCTTTGTAGCTGGGTCCAAAGAGCTGCTGCTCATAAGCTTCGTCATTTCCTTCTCCTTTTGTTTCTTCTCTTTCTTTAACCGTTTCTTTTCTAGATAAACCGGGTCTTCTCTTTTCCTCTTCTTCTCTTTCTTTTCCTTGTCTTTCTTCTTTTCCTTTACTTTACCAACCGAGAGTGTTTGAAGGCTCGCGTATTTCTGCTGCGCCTCGTTCACCACACCATGGTCTTCTGGCAAGAAGCTGGGCGCTGCGATTTCTTGCTTGATATCTGCATTTTGGCTTGTGGAAGTTTTCCCAGACTCGGCAGTGCACTGCAACTCTTTCCCAACAGTAGTGTCGCCTTCGCTTGCAAATTTTACACTGCCGATGCTTGCAGTCATGCGAGACCCAACATCATGACACGAGTTTACTTCCTCCACGTGGTTCTGATTGCTCATGCTCACAGCATCAGCTGAGATTCTCTGTGGAGCGTCTACAGAAGCTGAACTGGTTTGCCTTTTTTCAATATCGTGGCGTACCACAATCCCTTGAGATCTTTCCATGGATCGTGCTGATCCCTCGGCTCTACTGGTTGCACCAGATGCTCTGACCTTGAGTCGTATAACAGACTTCTTGTGACTAACAGACACCACATCAGGTTCTTTTTGAGGTTCTTTTGTTGGAGGATTTGCTTCCCTGTTAGCTAACATATCTCTTTGCGCTTCACCATCTGATAAAACCTCATGAACAATGGGCTTTTCATGCAAAGGTTGGTCTCTATTTTCCATGCGAGGTTCAAGATCATGTGTCTCATAAAGTGATGCTGCAACAGGTTCTGGCAATTCTACCTCAGGAGCAATAGGCATGAAGGTTTCCTGTGATCTTACCGGAACACCGAAAGGAGCAACATCCAGAGATTTTCCTTCGGTGTCTCCATGTGCCAAAAGTGAAGGGCCCCCTGCCTCTGCTCCCGGAACTGAAAATACATTCGTCGGCTCAATGCAGGCCTCCACATCAACAAGCTGCAAAGGTTTTTCTTTGGGCACTCCAAACAACGTTGGGGGTCTGAAAATGAGATAACAGTAAGTAAATTCAGTAGGAAAAGCAGTAAACATGGTAAAAGAGAATCTTGAACAACGGAATTATTTTCACTGCATAAACTCTTTAGCTCATGAATGAGTGAGGCATAAAATCCTCAAGTTTTAACTGCTACCTACACTCTACCATAACGAAATAATGAAACAAATGCACCACATGAGAATGAATACTTGTAAAAATAATCTGGCAAGACAATGAGTGTTTAGGCCACAGACCTTCCAGCGAGGATTTGAAAAATGCAGAACAAGTGGTGACGAAGAAATTCATTGTTGAATACTACTACATGGCTCTTGAAAAGATGCAGCAAATTCTGAAGACTAGCAGTGTCAACACATTCATCTGAGTCACATCCAACTGCTATTTGACATAACCGCATTGTGTGTACGCACAATTTAACCTGCCCTGTAATCAAGCGACAAGTATATAAAACAAAAAAAAATGTACTCTACCAGAACCAGAAAGCTGCTATGTTCTAGCAAGAGAATGTAACCAACCTCTCAAAGATGACTCTTGTACCACGTATTTCATAAACAACGAAAGTGTAGAGCTTATGCCTTTGGATTGGTACTCAATGTCAAGAAGTGCCCTACTTGCTTCTATGCGAACTTGCAATATTGTATCCGCATTTCGGAAAGGTTCGATAAGTTTACAGATGTGTTCCTGAAGTCAGTAAATTGCAAGATTTTAATTATATCAGCGAAGGTATCTCGTAAGGAGCACTTTGAGAAAAAAGTGAAAGAAAAAACTTACAAAACTGATGGAGTCAGAAAGCTTGAGAGCAGTCTGTGCCAACGTTCGGATGCAGCTTACTGTCAAAATGCCATTGTAGCTTGGCATCAACCTAGTACATTTATCCCCAACATGCTCTCAAAGATGGATTCTGTTAAAATCTATCAAATCCTAAACACCAAAAAATCATTACCTGTCAAATTGCAAGAGCCTGTCAATGCGCTTCAGAAGAGGGGCCAAAAACGTTAGACTCTGCAAGAGAAAAAAAGAAAGAAGAAGTATTGAGCAAAAAACATGTATCACGCTAATATATGGAAGTTCTGAAATTCACATCTTTGCAAATGAACTGAATGAAATGGTGCTTCATTTTTTCTCATAACAATGGTTGTCCTCCAAGACAATAATATTTTATTTTTCAGAAAAGTATGAAACGTAGAGTAGCCTTTTCGAAATAACAATCACACACCTGTTGACCGAATTCAAGATCACCAACTGACTGAACAAGCACAGCAAGCCAGAACACATCAGAATAAGGATTTCCACTGTTGTCATTGTACTATAAAAATGGAGAGAAAAAATGGCGAGATCAGCAAGAATGATAACATGGACTGGAAACGAGAAACCGCATTCATCTTTCAAAGATGAAATTATAGTCACAGCAGCGCAATAAAGACTAGCACAGCTTTTATTTGAAGGCTGAAACTTTACCCTAATTTTACATATTACATGACAGAATCAAAATATGAAGATGTATACCTTCAGAAGCTGTAAGATAAATTCAATAGCTTCTCGAGGGCTTTTCGCCTCAGCACCCCTAACCATTGCAATGGCATGTGGAATGGCCTAATACATAGCAAACGAAAATAAATTTAGAAAATAAATTCAAAGCGAAAGCATGCTAATACTACTGCAACAAAAATGATAAAAACGACTCAGGAGATCCAATCCAGACGTCCCTACAGAGAAATTCTATCATAAGGTTCAAAGTTCAAGAGAAAATGGATTTAACTTAACAATAACCAATATAATCTACCTACACTAACCAAGTGAAACAGAATAGCTAACTTTTAAAAATCATACTATTAGGGGGATAACCATGGATAACCCCAGAGCAAAGCAGGCTAAAAAGTAAGAATCCAGGAATCACACCCCTCTGCCTGACAATTTTTTATTGAACATCAAAGGCAGCTTCTGAGATCTACGTTCTTTATGCTCATTACTTTCTATGATGTTCTCCATTCACTCAGCATCCATTCTTTTGCCCAATTTATATACTAAGCAGAGGAGTAACAGTTTATGTCATATCAAAATGATATTTAATAAGCTAACAGCTAGTATCAATGTGTGACACCACATCAAACTCATACTCTATCTAAATCCATTACCTCAAGCACAAAATATTCTGGGAAATCACGAAAGTCGTTTGGCCTGAAAGGAGAATATCAGTTTTATGAGAAATCTTCTGCTGGTTACCAAAGAGAGATCCAAATATTAAAAGGCTCCAATCTCACTTTGGGAGTCCAATCTCTGCATCAAATCTTCTACTTTTATAAAACTTTATTAGATGTTGCAAACCTGCCCAGTCAGTCTCCTGTTATAAATAGAAATGAGCCTGAATCAATAATTGCACCAAGACATATTTCAAAGAGCACAGAAAGCAGAGCAGGCGACCTTATGAAAGATGCAGTTTACAAAAATAAGTTGAAAGCTGGCATAGAATGCAGTTTAAACTGATAGACATACACTCAAGAGAATTTCAAAAGAGAAACAAATAAAAACTGATTAACATAAATTCCTCATCTAGTACTTTTGTAGCAACACCTTTTTGCTAATTTTCCTGCTATACACTATTTTCCAATCTCAAACCATCTGGTTTCCATCAATAACTTATAAATCTGTTATCATACCTTCAGTATAGCCTTGGAACATTAGATTGAACAATTTATATCATACCTCTGATGCTGTTTTAGCCAATGCAAAAGCTGCCCCAATCCGTATTCTCCAGAACACCTACATGTCACAATACTTTCTTGGAGAAATGAATTTCCATCTTCAAACTGGCTTTAGAAACAAGTACACAAGAGACGGACAAAACCTTGGAGTCTATGAGAATACTATTGAGCGCATTCACAATGGAAAATGAGTGTTGTTTTAAAGCTTCCAGTGACGCAATTGCTTGTGCCTGAGCAACAACATCTCCATCCTTCTCTAATTGA